AGTAATGATGATTGTTTCAACACATGAACGATTATGGGACGTGCTCCACAGTTATTTAATTTTTATTACGAAAAACCTCCTTGTAGAATGGACTTACCACCATCTAGTGACAGAGTGGGTGATGTAAGGTAGCTAGTGCCAAATATTGAAGAAAATACATTTTGCTCAGTTTTGATTTGCTTTTTACAAGCTGAACCACTTCCTCTGTATGTAGAGGGTGATTCAAGGCACATCATTAGGACGATCACACGGTGCACACGAAGGCCCAGTGGGACGCTGCCGTGAACTTCCTAGAGGACGCCCTCTACGCTCGCATCAAGGAAGGTAGGTCTGGGCTGCACAGCTCAGTTGCTCTCATTTCACATACATCTAAATCATTTTGTAGTCAGGCTTGTAAAGTCAAAATGTGGTCTTAAGTGTTTTTCGTTCTCTGATTAGGAGTTGCACAGTTGTGCCTTATTTGCAATTAAATCAATGTCAGCCATTTGTGATTGGATCATAGATACCGATCTTTGTGTTGGTACTCTTCCAACCTGTTCCGTTTGTATACGACTGATGAGCTGTTGTACTTATTTTCGCAATGTTTTGTCGTAGTGAATCAGCTTATCTCTGATCTGCGAGGACCGGGTCTGCTTTCGCGTTGGGTGCATTGGACCAATCAAACGGATGAGCAGCGAAAACGAATCGCCGCAATCGACGAAATCCTTCCCATCCTTGCCTCACAACAGGTACTTCACCTCCTTTACGCTCATGTGTCTACATCTGGGAACTTTTTACAGTTCCACAGTTAGGTAAATATGAATATTATGCGATCCCCACTTTCTTTCCAAATGCAAGACTCCTTCTCTGTGAGTATTTGTGACTAAACGTTCACTGCTGTTCTTTAAGTGTTGCCACTCTTCCTTTTAGCAACCAAGCATTGAAATGTCCTCCGACGATGTCACCACAGTTCGGCGAAACTTGCAGGCCAAGAAATTCGCCGTCTCTAACAAATTCGTATGTTTAGTGCCTTTTTTGCAGTGCATTCGAACTTCCGGTGTGGTTTGACATCATTTTATCCAAAATTTTCCTAAACTTTCGGTGATGACCAGGTTTTTTTTCACTTGAAGTATAGCTTTCACCTAAATCACAACGATATAATAGTTTGTTGAAGTGCTTTATTATATGATATTTTCTATAACTTTTGCTTGATGGTATTACATACTTCGGTTACTCTTTATTTAAGATATAAATACCTTTATCCAAATAGTATTTTTCTTAGTAAAAAGCATGTTGCTTTCTGACCTTATATCAATGGTTGAAACTGAGGTGAGGTATGATTTTAGTAGTTACTCAGGTCCCCTCTTACCTGCGTTCAATGATTTGTTTCTATCACTCGCAGATTCGGAAAACCTACGCTCCCTTGGTAAAGCAAGTGAACCTGGCGCACGCCCTCGCGGCCTGTCAGTACTGCCGCCGGTGCTTCTACTTCTACCAGCAGGGCTTCATGGCTCTATTGGGTGAGGAGGAGGTCGATCAGCGCCTGGAATTAGACGGTGAGACCGAGGTGCTACCTTCGTCGAAAGCGCCGCCACCACCTCAGCCCTCCCCTCGGGTCGCCACTAGGGGTTCCGCCCGCGTCGCCAGCGAGGATGCCCGACAGCCACATACCTACATCGACGAAGAGGGCACCGCGAGCGAGGCGGAGAAAACCTTTGTCCCTTCCCCCGTCGCCGCCTCTTCGCCTTTCAATGACTACATTGATTGTCGCGACGTGGTGCTCTTCTCACGCATCCTTCGTATGATGGACGCATCCAGCAACTCGCTCAGACAACAACTGGTCAACGATGAAAGTGAGTAGTTTGTTTTCTTTGTTTCGTGATTTAAAGAAATTCATCTACCTCTCTCCTAATACCTTGTTTCCTCTAGAAAATTGAGCTTAAATGAAACCGCAAAAAAAAATTTATTCAAGGAAGCAAATTGCACTTTTTTAGATTTCGTGAATTGTGATCGCGTCTGTTTCTGTTAGTTTGAGGTGGCCTTGTAGCTTGGCACCCTGCCATTGCTGACACAGAAATGTGTAAAACGAGCTAAAGGCAGCTGTAGAATGCATGACGAGGGTGGTATCACGTTGTATTTTTGGATCACAATTTTTTCCAAGGCTTGGAAAAGAAGGCAGGGGAATTGGTGGTAAGGTCTTTAGTGACGAAACCACCACCAACTATGTCTCATCACTAAAGTAGTAATGACGTTTACTTCTATCAAATCACAATTTATAGTGGCTTTGCAAGTGATCTTGTACAATTAAGGCCCATCAAGTTTCAGGTCACTGCGCATTTTCGAAAAGTGTGGCGAATTCTCTCATTTCAAATTAATAAAACTGTTATTGCACATATCAGCTTGTATTTACTTACTCTAGTCAGGCGAATGGAGCAACAGGTGAAGATGGTGCTGAACGAGATATCAGAGGATCCTCTGCTTCTCAGCGTCCTCCTGACCGGCAAGCGTGTTCAACTGGCCGAGGACTTGAGTAAGCACTACTTACCTGTTGAAGGATAATTCAACCAATGAAGCTTTAAATCGACTCCTTTGCTGACAACCATGGGTTCTACTCCAAATGTCAGGCTACTCAAAGCATCAGAGTTAGATGAGTTTGTCATATCAATGCTCGCAACAATAACGTTATTCATTCCATTCATTCATTAAAAGTGAAATTAGGTGTTCTAATCGTCTTACCTAAACTGGAGTGTAGCACTTGCCCACAAACTAGATAAGGCACGATCGGTTAATAGTATGTGAGAAAGAACGATTGGATTCTGAACGCTCCCAATTTGAGCTCGCGGCGTCATCTAGTGGCCGCAACCATACTTCTTATGATTTTGTGCATGCAGTTTTTTGTCCTTTCAGAACGAACACGACACATTCAGGAAAAGTTGGAGGAGTTTATCGCTGCTCTCAACAACAGTGACTAAACGTACCTCTCTCCCCGTCTTTGTGAAGATTCAAGCAGTGCTCTGCTGTGATGATGCTCCATGTGAAGACTATGTACGGCTGTCTTAATGCAGAAGTTGCAGTTTCCAATCTTTTCCCCTTGTCTTCAGCCATTTACCTCCTAGCCCCGTCTCCTTACCTCGGTCTGTAGCTTTAATGTATACTTAGCTAAATAAAATGCAACTTTACGTTTGTTAACTGCTATTCTCCTCCCACTCAAAACTGAATGGTGATTCGCTTCGATTCAGCTTCGTGATCTAGTAAACCGCGCAGGTATTTTGAACCATGAATAAGCTGGACTGCATTCAGTCATTGGCGTTGTCATCTGCAGATCACTTGATTTCGTTTTACAGTGCCGTTAGTTGAACGTATCGATGGTAACTGACACTTTCAATCAGTATATGATCTCCAGGAAGGAGTGTTATATTTTGGCCCGCATCTTTTTTCCGCTTTTAGCTATTTGAAATGTACTCGAAGTAAGCCAGAGTAAAGCTCTTCAGTATTGTGGTCCTAAAGGGTGCAGTAAAATTTTCAGGCAAAAGTATGTGCTAACTACATCGGGAACACTGTCGGTCGGTGGAAAACTTGCCAGTCTTTTAACCCCAGTAGTTGATGGATATATGTCTGCTAAACTAGGGAATAGCACCTTTATTTTCCAGATAAATTAAGTGTCAATTGAAGATCTGTGCTGATGGGGTCTAGGCCATCGATGTTGGTGTTGTGCAATCGTAGCTTGGATGGTTAAACGGGGAATCTATTAGGCGTCGTCGGCTTATTGTTGGCGCTTCGGTTCACCACGTAGTTTTGCTTACATGGAACGGTTAAGGCGTCCACGATACCGCTAAGCCTGTAATGTGAGCATGTACTCTTTCTGTTCCTCAATTTCATTAAGACAGCTTGAATGTTGACTGGGCATTCGAATCCATTTCATAAGTGTTCCCTCAACTCTGCTCCTCGAACATACTGTTCAAATGGTGCCACGAAAACTGGACCACTTCTCCCATCAAAATGGGATTTGATTTGTTCTAAACCAAGAAATACAATTTGTACTTATGCAATTTTGAGAAGGTTCAGTGAGGTAACGATATACAAAGCCATCTTAATGTCATGGTCTCGATTGTTAGAATACGCCCTCACTAGTAATCTGTGTGAATAGAGTAGTCTACAAAGCTAGCGACTGTAATAAATGTTTCAAGTAACAATTAGAACTACAAAAGCATAGAGTTAACGCCTATGCATCGAATCGTCTGCACTCACCGACAGCAGTCATGCCAATGCCAAAGCACTCATGCCAACTTTAAATCAATACTTGCATTTGAAAGTCACGTGTCAAAGGAAGTGGAAACTTGAGGTTACCTTTTTGGCGTACGATCGTGAAGAAAATCCAGCATCTTGTAAATAGAATAGGCCTTACAACAGCCTTTCCAATATACATCGTGATAAACGGGGCATCTGTGAATGGACCGTTGGCTGGAGGTACATCAAATCGTGCTTCATTCGCCCAGTGCTAGACCACGAAGGGAAATACACTGGCTGAGCGCATAGTTGTCTAGCGGTGTTTGCTAAAAATTTTACCTCCTCAGTCGCCTAAATGTCCAGATTAACGGTAGATAAAATTCACGTTAAAAGTCTCCGTGCCTACTACGACGATAATACGGGAACAGAGGTAGAGGAGACTGATGCGATGCTCTACTACAAGACACAAACCTTCTATTGTAAGATCACAATTGAGCTGCCTACATGTACAGCGGACAAGGACTGGTCTGTGGGACTTGTACAAGCATGTGACTTTATGTACCTGGCGAACGATTATGGTGGCTTGGGCAACTCCTTGTGGGAGTTCCATCCCCTCAAAAGTGGTCTTCGGAAGGTGATCAACGACAGTGATGGGCGTCAGTATCCATTCTACAGTGTGAATCAAAGTCTCTACAATATTAAAAAGGGTATTGTCCGAAGAACAACTGTGAATCTCCAAATTAAAGACTACTTTCATCCTTCAGTGGTTTGGGAGCTTCCATACTCTAGAGGTGTGCATTTATCAGAAATAAATCGGAAGCAAAGGTTTTTCATCTGGTTGGTAGCCATCAAGTATGGCAAGAAGGCATGTGGCAAGGACGAAATACACATATTGAAGAAAATTCGGTGGGAGTACAACTTGCATATGGAAGTTGATCCGCACATGCCACTGGGGCAAAAGGTGCGGAAAATCTATGACGTACAAGACGGATCCATATTGATGTGTGATTCGAGTCGAAATCAGAAGCTTCCAGCTGCAGCCACTTATGCACCACACTGCAACGCAGCTCAGTCCCTCATATGGTATCCCAGGGATCCCCTTCGGCATTCAAGGATCCTGGTTCCCCCCAAGCAAATCATTGTACCTTGGGAAACTTGGGTGTCTGACATGCTCGGGCCTGCGGCTCGGATTCGCAGGCCGGTTGATGTGACCGAAATCTCGGAATCCGTCGTCTGTGCATAAACTGTCAGTGGGAGGAGAAGAGCTAAGTGCAATTTGATTCAATGACTACATTCTAATTACTTATTTCCATAGGATTTCTTTTAAGTACTACTTAGAAGCTTATTTTTGAGGTACATTTGAACTTCATTCTATTAATTATTTTGAGTTTGGTTCCAAGGGTTGCTTTGCACTTGCCTGCATTTCTGACTCAGACAACAAAACGATTTTGTGACTTCTACTTCTCCTTTCCTCCACCAAACTCCTCTCACTCTCTCCTCCCCTTTCTTCCATATGTCCGATTGTATCCAGCAGGAGAATGTTGCAACCTTTATACAACTGTCAACAAAACCTCAAGTCTCTTGATGGCTTTGGAAGTTTTTTACGCTGTCTATATCGCTGTTAAGACGGTTGAATCACCACAAAGCATTAGTGATGATTTGTACATGGCAGTGGACAACGCATAGTAAGGCTGAGGTTTGTGTTTCCACTCCACCTTTTTATGTCCGTTTGTGGTAACGTGCAAATTTCAAGGTCCTCCACAAAGCCCTAGTAAATTTCACGCAAAAGCCTTTCAAACGCCCCTGATGTCCAGAAATTTTGGTAACTTAAATGTAATTGAAAATAGAAAGACTTGTAAAACCCGATGTTCCTAACTAAGTTAATGCACAGAGTATATTACTCACAGGACACAACACTCACAGCAGTCCTTCAGCAAGCTCGACTTTAAGAAGTCACCCTATTTCAACAATATCGATATGCTAAGTTAATGATACTTAAAGCAAATTAGCTAATAAAACTGTAGGGAGTAAAATTAGTAAAATACTAAACGAATTCGTCGAATTAGGATAGCCAAGTAATAAAGATGCCTTGTTATAAAGCCTCTGTTGCACAAAACTATGCAGCATTCTATTAGTCAACCCTGGGTGATGAAGAAACCATGTTAATGTCGTTGCACAACGAGCCTTTGAGTTTTGTCATTTGGTACACTTAAACGGGAGACTTTATGTTAAGTTTCACAAATACTCGTAAATTGTGATAAATTGTAAAACGCACTTAGAATATATGTGTTCCCGCAAATAGGCTGGCTTTATTGCATATTATTTTAAAATAAGTAGATGGCAAGGTAATACATGAGACTAAATGTAGTTTGTGAGAGGTACATCAGACGATTTGCAAGCAATAACTGGGTTTGTCTATCAAATAAAGCATATAAAATATATGCAAATATAAAAAGAAATATTTGGATTCAACCTTGAAATCTGTTTAATATAATCAGTGTCCTAGCTCCAGTGAAACTGCACGCAATCAGATTTGCACTCTAGTTTTGCCATTTTAAGAAACTTCTAATATATCTTATGTCAGAACAACGCTACTCTAGTAAAAATACTCCTAAATCAACATTTGACGTTTATCTGTCGGAAGGTGATGCTTATTTCCGGAGGCGTCGATTTGTCAGCGCAATAAAAGCCTACTCACTTGTTAGTCAATAGGTTAACTCATCTTCTATAACAAGGCATTGCGACTCCGTCCAAACTGCGTCAGCTGTTTGATAAAAAGATCCAAATGCTTTATGCTTATTGCACGTCCTCGAGAAGGAATGGAGGACATAAAAGCCGCTTTAGCACTTGATCCCAGATCATATAAAGTAACTTTCAGTCAAAAGTTTATTTCATCACAAAGGCTATGCTACAAATGGCCGAAGTATTATATCAATCAACAGCATTTGAAAGTGCATTAGTGTATTTTTATCGTGGACAAAAAGTTCGACCAACTGCGAACGACTTTATTTTGGGTGTGACCAAATCAAAGTCCGCAATTATTAATGCGATTGGGGGTAAATCTCTTGATCTTTCTTGTGTTACAAATTAGGTAAATTACTTCAACTCTTGCATATTTTAGGAGGTTGGTCAGCGAAGGTAGATGCAATGCGTTTTTTTCCTAAACATATATCCTTAATTTAATGACTAATTACACAGTTAAACGATATATTTTTAGTTGGGTCACACCATTTAACTAATGCTACCCGATCTTATTAAACAAAAATCTTGTCATGTGCTTCCATATATTGGTGGAAGAGCCACTCAAAATCATTTTGTGTTGTTACAAACTTGTTATTTGTATATCTACCTGACTTTTTTAATGACTAGAGCCAAGGAAAGTGAAATTTGCTTTATCGGATGAGGCAAAGGATGGCATCAGAAATGTTAGTTTGCTTCATATGTAATTACTAACTAAAATGAGTGTATATCATCTACTCTACATTTCCTATAGCCATCTGAGGTACCTTTAAATGAACTGCCAAATGAACTATTGAATCTTACACATGAGTCGAAACTTTCGGACAAACATTTTCAGCAACTTAAACGATTGATGGGAAAGTCGTACGACGCTGTTCAACACTTTCAACAACTGTCAAATAGCGAAGGTATGCATCGAATTCTGATTACTTTCTAGAAAGAAGACTAAAGAGGTTACAAAATGGCCATCAATTCGGTGATAGGCGTCCTAATAGTAAATTGGGATTTGACTTTTTACTTTTACTGTTCTGTTCACTGCGCGAAGTTAAATAGTTACTTTTGTTGATTGCTCATTACCTGTTTCATTCAATGTTATTTTGAAGGCGATTTTATTGTTTACACTTTTATTAGACGATAGATCAAATACAGTAAAAAGCATTAGTCATTGCAGAAATGTTGCTTACGCAGGATCATTCTCCTTGGCTATGGTTTTGTTAGTACATACTTTTATTTTATAAATGTATTTTGGTTCGACAACTCCTTAACTTGTCACAATGTTTTTCCCAATTTATAAATTAGATGGCTGCATCAAAACCCCTTGGATATGATATCTATTTTCTTAACTTAAGTGAATATGCAAGAAGGAAGCTAAAAATAGACTTAATTTCTACGTGCATTTAAGGGTAATCTTCACAAATTTTTCAAAAAAGATGTAGTACTGTAGCCACAAGCTCCGCTTTACCTGAAATCTCTAGACTATGAACAGTGGCAATGGTGTTAGGAATCGGGAACATAGTAACACATATAAGAAATTAATTTTTCGTGCGTTTTGGTTATTCGGTAGCTAGTAATATGTCTCCAACAGTGTACCAAAACAAGTAGTGTTTTAAACCCAGTGGTCTTAAACTCAAATGCTTGAGACGTCCCTTCATATATCAAAGCAAGAATATGGCAGAGAACTTCTGCTAGTATTGGGTTAGGACCTCATGCGTTGCTATCATGAGGGGTTGGAGTTCGATTGAGCCACATAGAGTTCATTACTTGATTAAAAACCCTAAATAAGAACACTTTAGTGAAACAGTGCTAAAAGCTGTCATGTTTACTGTGTTATGGTAAAATGACTCCAGATTGTAAACAAAATTTATCTTTATTGTATTGGTGAGGATTTGGCTAGCACTTCGATTAACGATTTAGGGACGCAATGTGTTTGACATATTCCCAGCTATCTCATTCCTCGCAGTGGGTATCAATTTTTAGCACGTCTGTTGTTTTCCTTTCCCTGCTATTGTTGAGAGGGTTTTACACCAGTGAAATTTATCGTAAATGTAGTATTTTTTAACGTGCAGAGAGATATGAAATGTATTTGAAGAACTCTAAGGAAATAAGCCAACTTGCTGCCGAGGCGTACAGATATTTGGGTGTGAGGTCGGAGTTCTGGCGCCAACAGGAACCGATGTACAACCGAATTAGGAAATGTAGAAAAAAAACAAGCAGGAATGTATCGTCGAGGGATGATATGAACGCGCTTCAGCGACTCGTACACATGCTCCAGGACATCAGTGATGGTGACTTTCCTACTTTTAAGAGCTTTTACAGGGATCACCCATGCACCTAAAATAAGGCTTACTTAGGCTTACTTATGAATAACCGTGGATTTGTTTTCTCTACTGATAACCTGTCAAAAAATGAATGCGTATTTGGGGGCTAATTTTTCCTCATTCGTATTTAGCATAGGGCAATGCATTTCTGCTGCCATGTTTTTTAAGTTCAGTCCTATGATTGAACTAGTTCTTGAAATGGGGCAAATATTTAATTGTAAAAATATCAAAGGAGGCAGATGACCATCTTTCTCTACCTAGTGCAACGTGCGGGTGATCACGTCAAAGCCTTGCAACTCTGCGCAGCTCTTCGGGAGGACATGAAGGTTTTCAATCCAGACTTTGCGGCGCTAACCGAAGTTATGGCGGATCTCCACGCGTTTGAGGCCGTGTCAAACTTCCATTTACAAAATTACAAGGAGGCTCGAGATGGCTTCCTAGCACAGCTGGAGACATGCAGGAATGGGGATTTGCAGCATCACATACCGCGATGCTTGGAGAACCTTGGTCGAGCCTACGCCAAGCTTGAAAACTACCAAGCCGCTAAGGAGGTGTAAGCGCAGCCCACTGCTCACCTTAATTTTACCTAGTTTGCCTTCGATAAATTGGCTCAGTGACACCTTTAGAAAGGTAATTTAACAAAGCGTAGCTGTTTTGGGGACAAATTAATCAAGCAGGCTAAAAGGACTGGTAGAATTCAGTTATTCCTTTGGCAAGAATTTCTATCAGTTCACCAGGAGAATTAAATGTCTACGCATCATTTGTTGCACCAATGATAGCGAAGAAAACGGTTTATTAATATATCATTCTCTTTATCACTCCACCTACCTCTCAAAAGCGCCTTGTACTTCACGGCCCTCTTTCGATGAGTTTTACACCAGATCTCCGGTTTTTTACTCATGATTCGATGTAATCCTGATCGCACTACAACAAACATCTCACGCAAATATTCGTCTTTTAGGAAATAATTTATGACGTGTTATGTCTAAAAACCCACAAGTGGTATTATTCAGCGAGTGAAAGGGAATTATGAAGCTGATATTTGGAAGTACATTTTTACAGGTTTGCACGTAGACACACCACTTTAAACATCACGGGTTCCCTATTGGTTTGCAAGGGCTAGCATTGACACCCGGCTGCGTATGCTTGGAAAATGCCTCCACTTTTGCATTGCTTACTGCGTTAGTTGGCGAGTGTTCTCATGCCAGGTGGACTGAAAGACTTCAATACGAGACGACAGGCTCGGAGAAGTCCTGGCTTCACTTTGAGCTTGGACTATGCAACATGGAGCTGGGTGAATATGAGGAGGCTGTGATGAATGGTTTGGTCTGCAAGAAGGGGAGTGAACGAGCCTTTGATATGGACTGGGAATTGAGGGCCTGTGTCTTAATTGCACAGGCCCATTTGGCACTTAACAATCTTAATGAAGCGCAGACGTACTTCCAAAATGCACAGTATGCCGCCTACGTACGTGAGGCATTTAAAATTTTATAACCCTTTATTTTTACAAATAAGTGTTTGTTTTTCGGGCATTTTGTCTGTGAATGTTTAATCGTATGGGTTACAATGGTTAAGACTTTAAACAACCAGAAGTTGGAGGAGCTTTTGGTGGTGGCACTGGAGAAAGTAGAGGCGGCAATAGAGGAGAACGAGCGTAAAGCAGTGGAGGAGGAGTATGAGAGCTTTGGTAGGTCCTCCACACCAATTTTTCCTCTCAATTTGCCTTGTTAATCTAATACCGCGAAAGATCGCCCTAATAAACCTGAGCGTAGTCACATTTCATATTTCGTGATTTAAATAAATTAAGGACTTTACCAAAGCAAAAAGGAGAAGCCAACTTACATCATATCATTTACACTGTAATGCAAAAATTTCTTTTAAGCAAATGCATACTACCCACCTAACCAAGCTCGTCGACCCATGCTCTTTGCCATCGGAGCACAAAATCGCGGTTTGCTGTGTTACATGATTACTTCCCTACGCTTATGTTTACCGTTTCTTTGTTTTTTTGTACCAAAATTCGCTAATCATTCAAGTATAAAGGATTTCTGCTTGAATTTCTATTTTTTTAGGAATCAGTGATGAAGGTATGTTGAGATTTGTAAAAACTTACTTTTTCGACCAACTTTTCTTATTTGTTAAGTAATCGTCGATTTTCTCAAATGAGTGCGTATATTACTTAGCATGTCTTCATTTTTGCTAATGAGTCGGGGCAAGATTGTAGCCACGTAATTAATCCCCGCGGTTTGGGACCAAAGTTGTAACCTTTTTTTCTCCCAATTTTAGGATCTGAGGAAAAATCAAGTTAGTCAATAGTTTGTAATAAAAATCCACATTTGCGATGGAGAAAGGGCTAAGCATGCTGTTTCCCACTTGCAAACTTTTCGTACTCTACGATTTATTACAATTTGGGAATTAAGTAAAGTCTAAATCACACTTGCAAGAGATGTCGGTTCATGTAATTCGAAGTGTTTCACTTCAAAGTTGTTCCCATCATTGCCCCACGCGCATTGAGAGCTGCATGGTGCCATCGCGACTGGTCAGTCATTAGTTCCATCAGTGAATCACACGAAGATTGCAGGCGCTTTATTCGTAAATGTCCACTTCAGCTAAGTATCAAATTTGCAGCACAATTTTGTAACTCAAGTCGGTGATGCATATTCGCGTCAGGGACTCAAGTTACTGATATGATGCCAGTAGCGGAACATCTCACTGCTAAAAAGTTGTGGAAGAGAAGACGAACCTGTGTATTCACCACATGCATCGGTTTTTAAAACGCCAAATGTTACCTATCCAGCAGAGTTTTAATGACTGCCAATTAACAGGTTTTAGTGTCAACAATTACCTGATATGATCATTAGAAGGACAGAACACTTGTAGTTAGATCAAATGCTTAAAAAATTCCAAAATATTAGTTTGTCCGTAGAAATAAGTTCTAATAAAGAAATAGAATTAAAAACGGAAATGTGGTGATGGTAAGTGACCATCACGAGGTTTGGGCTTCACTCACCGTTGCAGAAATGTGGCATGATAATTGCAGCAGTTTGAGGAATGCCGTCTTAAATTCGTGTAAGCCAGTGAGGGAGAGAGGAGGTGTCTTCCCACAACAAGAGTGAGGTGGATTACCGCATACTTAATAATTTTCGCATTGCAGAAATGTAATTACCACTTATACATCCGGATGAATTACTAGGTCGTCACTCAACAGTAGAAAATTCGCCTTCTTTCTCACGCACCCATGAAATTGGTGATGAGGATGGCATCGGTAAAAAAACTGTTTATGTGATTTACTCGTTGTTGTTTTCTTTAATGTTGCGTCATGATTTGCGACTGGTTCGTAATGGAAATGAATTGTACGTGTGCGTTTTTAGATGCGGAAGAGGAGGACTGGGAGGATTTGCCAGGTGCGTGATTATGGAGTAAGGTTGATGGTTAAACGCATATCATGAAACCACTACGTCCTAGTAAAAGCACGAAGCACACCCTTTCTAGGCCTGTCAGAAAAAGGAATTAAATGAAATGAATGAATCGTGCTTACTCCGATGTGTACATGTGTCCTTCCATCACGTCCACTTCCAGCATCCCATGCATTCGACATGGCTCCTATCAGCTTACGCTAGCTGCTTACATCAAATGCTGTCACAGGTAGATGGGTTAAGTTTAAAACGAACAGATGGATGTTTTGAGTCTGGAAACATCCACATTTTTCTGCATTGAGAGCAGCACAGTTTTAGTAGAACCATGAACCACCCGGGCCGTGATTGTCAATTCACCTCTGAGATCCTGCCAGCTGACCTGCCAATGGAGTTCTTTTAAGGACTTCATTCTCAGCCAACGATTTATAATTTCATTTGTGATTCCACTACTCTGTAAGTTCTACACAGGACACATTAATATATATGACCATTCCATATCATTTTTAGATTACTTACAGTCTTCAGGTAAGCCAAAATGTTTACATGTCTAAGTATTAGGCTTAAAAAATTCCTTTGCGTTTATTGATTCCTCTTGATTTGACTATCAGCAGAGGATAAAAATTCCTTTACTTATTTGCACTTCCGACCTACGAGAACACCCTCCCCCCCACAACAAAACTTATCCTTGTAGTTGCAATTCCATGAAAAGTCGTGTCGGTGGGAGTAAACATAGGACGTGGAGACACTTTGTTGGGTCTTATTAAACGCGCTTTTTTATGGTGCTATCTGCTTAAGTAAAAAACACTGTTTTCTCTCAACTACAGTTTATAAATTCCCTACTTACAGTAAATCGCTTATTGGGTGCAAAATTATATCACCTAACACTTCCTCTCCTGCATTCAGTCGTAAAAATCTTTTTGATATTTTATAACTGCCTCTCCGTAGTCTGTGACTTGATGTCATATAATCGTCCCAGGATGACAAACAGTTCCTTTTTATCTCACTAGCTCTTTTAATTATTTTGCCTAAGAAGCACTATAACATCGCCTAGGCCTTTACTCACTAGCTTGATTACTTCATAAACATTTCAAATACATGGAATTGTCATGAGGAGTAAGTGATTCGACCATCATTAGCCGCGCAGTCAGTTGGGGATATTTTAAAGGAAGACCATGTGGAGTTGTTGTAGAGTGCCAATTTCGTCAGTCTTTCCCATTTACTTTGTAGAATCAACGCTGCCGAGGCAGAACAGGAGCGGACAAGAATCAAATCTATAACTTTATCTGCATATTTTGCACCGCATTTAGGTCCTGCAACCACGCTTCTTTGCACTAAATTTCATTTATCATTATGGGAAATAAAGAACTTCTAATTACTCCGCAACTATTGCATATCTTTTCATAAAGTGCCGCCAACTGGTGTCTCGGAGGGGATGTTTTCAATTTTTACATAAGACGTTAAAATACCTACATTGCAGGAACTCTTTTCTTATGCTGTTTACTCTGTATAGAATAATAACAGTGGTTGTGGGAAGATAGGAAACCTTCTATTTACCATAAGAGCTTACCAGTCCCTACAGTCTTAAAGGTATGCCTCATCACTCAACTTACACAGAGTCTTTTTGATTCCATGCGAGAAGATATGCATTCATTTTGGACTGCATTTTTCTCCAAGAGGTACAGGAACTCGCTCGACCACATTTCGGATTGGTTCAGAAAGGTTAGCTGCCAAAACATTAGCAGCTAAGTCTCTATCAAATTCACCAGGTACCCGTGGGTAGGTAAATGCATTGCTTCCTGTAATTCAGTGGAGTGGATGTTGAAACTATTCTTACAATCTACTGCCTCACTATTTCAGCATTTCCTGGTCATGATCCTGGCATCCCATCCTCTGCTCCGATCTGATCACGGGTCCACGAGATCACCCGCCTGGAGCCAATAGGCGCAGCGTGAGTTTCCGCCTTTGATTGGCTCGTTTTGACGGCGCGCTCATCTTACAGTCCGCTGGTAGTGAGGCGGGCTATCGCGTAAACGCACTATTCGAAGGGCTCATTCCGCTACATAATGTGCTTCAAATCTCTTTTCACTGTAAGTGTATCACATAGCTAGAATTTTGTCTTTTTGCACCGTTCGCTTTTTCTTTTTGCAACGCATCGCCCTCCCAACTATGAAATTGCACTTCGCTTTTACCACACAATCTCCCCATAAGAGTAGGCTTAATAATGTTTGAATAGCACAACTTGGAATGTAAGGCCATTTTAAAAGCTCGCATTTTAATACGTATCAGCATCTACCACTCCCACGGCTATATGAGTGGCTTCCATAAACACCCCTTCTCTCTTGCAATTTGACGATCGCTAAGTATTTCAATGTTTCATTTATGCTCAAAATTGGTCCACTTCGTGCAAATGAGGAAGGCTAATGCGTATCTGCTTCTTATTACCCACATTTCAAGCAGCGATTTTGATAACTTGCAAGTTTTGTGGAATTTTACTTTCCCCATGGATTGTATGTCCCTGAGTTGAATACGTAAATGAAAGGTGCTCTAGCATGCTTATTCAATGGATTGTGCTTCTCAACATTTGAAACCAAAGCAACACAAGATATTCCTTGGAAGCACTGCTGTGATTGCCACGGTATTCTGCTCTCACTACAACACTGACCTAATGTGGGTGTGGGATCTTGCACCACCACTTGGCATAAATCACATGAATTCTGACTCAATTCCAATTTCGTTGGTCAAGTCAGCCCTCCTTATACGTGGGCACGTGGCCTTATCACCGCTGCTGAGTCGCAATTGCTGTGTAGATGTTCCACTTCAGAGCTTGGTTGCACCGTTGAAACGACTCACAGCTGGTCTCAATTCACCTCACTTGGTGCCTGTAGAGAAACATGGTCGAGATCATTATGATATCACACATCATCAACAGCACTGTGACACTGTATTGAGGTACGATTTGTTTGGAATCAGTATGAAACCACTACTTGGTTATCGTGGAGTTATTTCAAGGCCATTGAAGGTCCCTTAAATTCACTACTACTTTATTTGATCTCGACTGAATTTAACACATTACCAATGCAGTGGTCTTTTATAATGATAAGTAGTGACGACTGTGTTTGGTTAGTCTTTTTGAAGAAACTGATAAACACAAGGAGACTTATCATGACCATGGCGTTGGAATGGAAACTTGATATTCCCACACTAACACATATCTCCGATAGGGAAACACAAACAAAGTAGACGATCGCATAACACTAGCTCGAATTACGACTCGACGCACGGTCAATGAACCGGCACAATGCTGTAAGGCAGGCAACAGATCCACTTAGTTGTCCATTAGTTGCCATTTTTTGCAGATCAGGATCAATCTATTTATACTTCGACAAGATCAGAAATAAACGGGAATTCACTCAGGATCACATGTTATAATCTAGCTTTATTTTTGCGGTTCATACACTTTTTGACAGCTACATTTTCATCTCCGCCTATCCAGCCAGTAAGTGGAACCTCAGTCTCGAACAGAATAAAAAAAAAACGAGGTGCAATTTTGTGTTTCCTCGTTATTTCATGTACCTTTTTTAAATATGCAGTTTACGTAATTGACAGATAAAGGCTTGTGTCAGTGGCGTTTCTGCCTCTTTTCGAAACCACACCTCGGCATTCTTACTTGTGCTGCGCGTCACTTAAATCCGCACACCCACAACAGGTAGTTAATTTAGTCTAACGATTCCGCCGTAGGAAAACACAAGCGAATTCACAAAACGCTTCTTTGAGCTCCTGTTTAGGCTGACTTTAGCTGGAGAAGCAAAAAGGGTGGAAGCCGCTATGATTGCGTTGAGACAAAGCAGTCAGTGTCATTTGAAGCCTTCAAGCACGTATGTTTTTTTAATTTTCGGTGAGTCAAAAGAGGAAGCAAACAATCTTTCAAGCGGGACAACATAAAATGTACACTAAAAAACACCAATTCTTATAATCAGCACCGAAGTGATTAGAATGCCTCTTCATCAGTACCAACGTCAAGTTCATTGGGAAATCTCAATGCATGTTTGCTTAATTGTTTCCTGGCAGTGTCTTTGCCGGTGCATCTCGCGGAGAAGCTCAAATAAGCGGCGACTGGGTTACGGTTATCACCGCAGTTGTTTTCGTGCTATCGTGGACCAGATGCCCTATGTGCGACGGGCGCCCGGACCTACCTACGTGGCCTCCTAATGATGCAGTGAAGAAGGGAGGATCCTCCCTCCTACCACCCTCCGACTCCCCTCGCCTTCACCCACCTCCACTTCGACGTTCCCTGTTGCCGCCACTGCTTCCGGAGCATTTTGCCTTGTGTGGCTGTGACCTGCAATCCTGCTGTGCTATACTATATTACCATTTTTTATACCTTTCCTTTTTTCAATTAAATTACCTTTCATGTTTACCCTCTCTCGTTTGTATTTATTACCGACGGTGAATCAATGAGCCCATAGCCGTAAGTTAATTTGTATCTGGTTCAGCCTTAAAGCTGAATTTGGTGGTACAATATAGATAGAGGAGCAAGTTCACTTTAAAATGTATTCCAAATGAATTTATAACGAAATTTTCAATACGCGCTGTGGCTGCTCGTATCGTGTTGATTTTTCCTAATGAGACAAAGGTATCTGGGACTTTTACTGCAAATTTAATCACTTTTAGACGGAATTTTATGTGATTGTTCAGGCGTGTCTACTTGTCAATCTTCTACTTACAAGTGAATGTCCCGCTGGTATTATTGGGTTTCAGCATATTTCATTACCGCGTTCAGGACTACATGGCATTATTTTCCAAAAGGCCACCACATTCTTGGTTCAAGGAATTTGTGGAATTAATATGTATTTTAAATTGGAATTATTCGTATGATTGTGGGAAGATGACGACTATTTTTGCTTACCTAATTTCATCTGGCTTCATAAAGCTACTAGTAATTTGATAGAGAAAACATCAAATCATGAAACACTTTTGCCCCTTGTCTATTACTTCTATTGTAGTATTCTGAGACTTCCCTGAAGATAAAGAAGACATAAAACTCGGGTAGAATAAGGTATTGTTGACGCAAAGAAGGGCTGGGCGACTACCGCATGGCTTAGTGGCCAGGCCGCCCGGTAGAAGTACAGAAGCGAAGCTTTAAATGCCCTCGAAACCAAAAACGAAGAGTTACTTATACTATCAGAGCATAACACAATGTCATGAAATCTTGAATTCTCAATTTTGCTCCAAAATTTACCGGAAAACCTTTGTGATCCTTCGATAAATGGAAACTGCGAGTTTCCAAAATGTCTACTAAATTCTCCTCACCAATATCCTTGCAGCACCCGCAATACGGTCTAAAAAGGATCAGAAATTATGATGATAGGGGCAATACCTAGTTGAAGGTTGATTTACGAAACCGCCGTCATCTTAAATTCCATTAAAAATATTTCTTTAGCTTAAATCTGGCTCCTAAAATTTATTTTTTTACTCGTTTCAGATTATTTAACGGAAAACAGGCTCTTTTCCCACTCTAAAGGCTGGTTTTTTAAGAGAAGATTTACAGATCAGCTGTTCTCCAGGTTGACGGAATTTTCCTGTTTCTCAATTTAATTTTGAATGCTTATAAGACGACGTTTACTCATGGCGGCCAGTCACCAGTATTCTCAGGGTGCTCCGTCTTCGGTTCACACCAAATCTCGCCTTCACCGAACGCTAGATTGCCTACTTTTCCTCTCGTTTAACGGGGAGCAAAGTGCCCTACCTCAAAAGCAGTCTGTATACTGACTAGATGGATTTCGTAACTCCCATGGCTCATCAACAGCCAGTTCTCCTTACCTGCGATCAGTATAAATAAAATAACCAAATCAAAGTATGAAGGTGCTTTTTTTTTCTTTGTTCGGGTACATTTAAGATGATTTCATGTAGCCTAGAGTTCATCTTTTTTGCGGTACGTTTGCTTATCATATTTTGGTAAAATAGTATCACTCACATAAACAAATCCTTCCAAGTTCGATTGAGATCGCATGGATTGAACTATTTTTTGCTTCAAGTCAGGAATCATAAACTGACCCCACAAAATTAGTCGACAGGTATTAGTGCTTGGGGAATGCTTTTAGACCGTAAAATGAAAAATTGGTGGGTTTAGCATAATTTTAGTGGCTTTGTTTTCAGTTACTACCTAGAGCATGTGAATTTACTGTTCATAAAAGCTGAAGCTCCTTTTATTTTCTGTGAAAACAATGAGAGCCCTGCCACTCTTTCATCAATTTTCCCCTTGTTTAAGTCACTTTCGGAAACAAGACAGTTATAATGAAGGCATTCAACTCTTAATCTGCCAACAGGACCGTAGTTGCGGCTTATACACAACTAGGCACTATTCTGCAAAATATTCATTATAAAACCCTCAAAAAAGCTATTGTTTCGGTACAGAAAGCATTCTGAAAATCAGTTGTTTAATCCGATATCACCACAATTGTTTTAAAAATGCGTAGTGTTTAGTTGGAATTAGAAATAGGTGGCAAAATCCAAATCTGCACCCTGAACATCGAGTGGACTAGAACTGCGATATTTATGCAGCGATACGATTGGGGGGAGTTTATCCATATCGACGCAAGTGTAGAGGTGAGCGATATCACGAGTATCAAGGGGGTAAGGCCCATTTTTGCCAATGTACTTCACCTGCCAACACGGGAGTCACTGCCCGCACTTTTGCCCATGTCGTCGGACTCGCTCGCGTACGATGGTGAGGCTGGTTGACACGCAGGAAGGCACGCGTGGTTGTACTGAGTGAGGAGGGAAAGGAATTGCCTCGACTTCACCTTGAGCCTGTTGCGACTCGCACACCCGCAAGAGCTCATCTCCACGTAAATTATGCAATTCACTCGCAAACACTAAACATTGGAATGGCAGTAGCCCTGGCACACAGTCACACAGACCGTATTCTGTGCAGCGCACCTCCACAAACCGGTGAATCACTTGCCTCCTCTTTCTTGTGCGTGCGCGCGTGGGTGCGGACGTGGGTGCCTCTTTGGATCCAAAATGCAAATTCACCAGTCGCCCCTGAACTCCTGCTTACATATGTGCGAGGTCGACTTGAGCATGCTTAAAACCGGTCGTGACCCCCTCTTGGAGCTGTGCAATTTCAATACAACCTTGGATTTAAACAGATGCAGTTGAGACATTCATCGGATTGAATGCGCTAACCTCATGACAAAGTTGTACACCTCTTCCCTGAAACAATAGTGCCTCCATATTGGGTACCTAACATTGATATTTGAAATGTTTCATTCTATTTACTTCATCGCGAAAGACCTCGTGAGGTAAGCTAAGTAAGTTTACTTTGAGTATAGATATTCTTATACTTGCGTGGTCTTGTTTCAGAAGATTCCTGCATCGTTTTTCCGGTTTCTTTTTACGCTATGTTACACTTACGTCAAATAAAGTTTATAGGAATATTCTTAAGCCATGATCAATTGCCTTGAAGACCGGGACCATCGGCTAAAAAGGAATTTAGAATAATTATGATGATCCTTATCAAGTGTGGTCCAGTGGCACTCCGAAAACCATGCTAACAATACTAACTCGTAAAGATAAAAAAATTCAATATCACTAAATGAATTTTAATGATATTTTCTGCTTTTTGATAGGAAAAACCTATCCATGAATGGAAAATCTACTGTAATATACGTCGCTGATGCGGTAACAGTCTAGAGAAATTGTGGATTCGATGGCGCTTGAGCGAGACTGTCAGTTCTCAAGCCTCTCCGTACATTCCAGTACCATGGATTCGGGCAATAAATTTGGTGTAACAAATTGCGCATGGGACAACTTCCTCTCATCGAACTACAAAGGGCTCATATTTATACGTTTTAAAATGGGATCGGGTGGCTACTGACGCGCTAAAATAAATATTTTTGCAATGTAATTTACTAACAGCATCGGCACTGCAAAAGTTGGCTCAGAAGCATTACAATGTGGCTGCCGAAGTGTAACAAGAACGTGTTGGAGGGCGTCGACGTATCGCCTTGTCTGTGTAGATATGGCTGCCGCCTAGACAAAGAGGCCAAAATATAGGTCGAACAAGGTTGGCTTGCCTCTTGTCTAGTTGATAGACTTTTGAGAACGTCTGTGACGGACTTAAAATTGATCATAGTGAGAATTGAAGCGATCCGGTGGTCTTCGCTATTCTGCTAAGCAAATGCAACGAAAATGTGTTGCTTACACTCACCTTGCGTGCGGTGTTACTGCCACCGGAGTATTGGGTTCAACGAAAGCGTCTCCAATTAATGACAGGATGAAGAAGCGGAGGGCCGCTCATATGTAGTGTGCTTCAATCAGAATGCGTGAATCGACTAACCGCCATCTGCTGACCATTAGATACTTTCAGAACCCCGCATGCATGCATGCATGCATGTCCAAAGTAGTTGCACTTCTTTTATTGCTTGTCTCAAATAACTAACGTGACGCTTTTGGTGTGCTTAGCGCATGATGGCATCTCGACAGTCATCTGACCAGTGGTATGTAAACTAACATTGCAGGCAGTTATTTAGTCCTTTGAATCATTAGGGTTCGAATAGAGCTGTCAAGCATTTTTACTACTCGTGACTGTTTGATTACACGTGCCTCTTACTTAAGGTTCGCTGAGAAGAAAGTGAGCAGTTAAATGTGCATATTACCTGAAACTATGAATATGGATATCCTGGTAAGCAAAAATTGAGCTCTCAAAAGTGTTAATCTTCGATAAAAGTATTCAATGTTTTGCAAACTCTCATAAGAACCTATTTGTTTAGAGTGTGCTATCACTCGCTGCTAAAGTACCATTGTTTTTTACTCAAGTATGTTAGTGGGTAACTTTGAAAGGGAATAATTTTTATGTTCTACTTCGGGAATTATCTCATCATCTAGAATTAAAATTACAGACCATTTTATCGGAAATACCATCCCAGTTCTAATCTTTTGCTTTCAACACCATAAAGTTCTGCTTCACGAGTGCTCAGTTAACCCGAGCAGTCACTGTGCACGCAATCGGTCCTTTTGGCCACCCTCAGAAAATCTTGGTGTGGCCCTAGCAACACTGTTGTTACGTATGTGTGTTTCCGTACTCCTTGGTCATCCGTCCACAGCACCAGCATTTCTGGAGGGTGTTAAGTTACCTGACCTAATGTGACCTTGATTTACTGTTCTGATGACACTGGTTCATGTGCATTGTTCTACTTCTTCAGAGCATTGTGTTTTGGCCTACAGGAGTAACGTAAGCTCTGCCTTCGTTCCTTGATGGCACCCACGATTCATTGCAATGTCTTAGTTGTTTAACTCCGTTCCCCATCTTTCTTTTTTTAGAAAATCATTGACTATAACGGTCTGGTCAGTCATGCCAGGGGTACTCCTCATCTAAAAGTTAACGTGTTTAAATGTTTCATCGTCTTTCGATTGATGATACTCTGTGGAGTGATCGTGCAGCCTCAGCTGCCACCAAAAATGCTTGAGTTTGATTAATTTTCCCTTGGGTCTGTCATCGCAGACAATTTGTGAGAACATAGCCAACTCACGAAGGTGGCTAGCTTTACTAGCATTTCGTAATTTGTTCTGTGTAGAATCTGTAAGAGATTTTATATGGGTTAAATTTGTCACCGTCTCCGAAGCCATTCCACGTTCGTAAAAACTTATTTGCTTTTGGTTAAATTGACTCTTCTCAGTATATTTAATTATTGGGAGATGTGCGTTGCATGAAGAATGCAGACCGCAATGTAGGGCCCTCCTCATCAACATCCATGCAATGTTCATAAGTTCATTTAAACTGTCATTCTTCAGTGAAATGCACGAGCAGATACTAAGTGAGTACCCTTAAAAAGCAGATCATGTGCCTCTTTCGCTGGGAGGCAAGCCGCCGTCCCCACGATGTGCGGTAAATCTCACCTCACAAAGCAGGGTGCTGACTTGTCACACCTGACACCTACCCATACCCCAAGCACAAACGTGTACGAATGGCCTCTTAAGTAGGAAAACCCTCTCGCATAGCTGCACTTTTCTCTTGAGATGGAGTCTGTGAATGTTCTCCTCAAATCCACGCAACCAAGTTTCATGTGAAATGCTGAAGCTTAGTTGGTTCCACTAGCAGATAAATCTATTTTCAATTGTCAATGCGCTCCGTGCTCACTGCGACTAACTGGGAGTAGCACATTTTCATAGGATCATCAGCTCCTCACAAAATGGATTCCACATTTTATTATTCCGTAAATAGTAAACAATAACGCCACTGTCAACTCAGAGATAACTTAAATGTTGTTATTTGGTGTGGTTTCTCGGATGGCATTTTAGAATTTGAAACCATTTACACTGTATGGACTCAAATTAATACTACTGTAAATTTCTAACTCAGTAATTACAAAAAGCACTTTCGCCTATGCTTTCAATACGCTGCAAAGTAACGGAGGACCTTCACCACTCTCTTTTACTGACCAACTATATTTTTTATTAGGATAGGATACATGTAAAGCATTCTGTTTGTATGTCAATGTTTCGAACAAGATTTGTGATAATCCTCCTACGCTAGGGAAGAGAACCATCCTAGGTCAAGGTTGGTGGAGGGGTTTATGGTACGGGACTCTATTTGACCCTCTTTCTACCTAGTACATCGCATAATGTTGACACGTTCAAAACATTGCTACATTCACAGTTGCAGTGTGCTTTGTGACTTCGGTAACATGATTTAACGTGCAATCAGCATTCAAGCATATGGTTATGTCACTTTACAAACACATTCTCATTTCTTAGTTGTAAATTTCCATTCCATGCTCAACTTGTTTGGAGGAGATGCATACTCTATACTGCAACACTTGACAGCCCTTTTGATTCTTTTATCACAGTATGTGTGTGCTTTAAACAGTATAGCAAATAAATAATTTGTTTTAAGTCCATTTAGATGAATCTTCACATTTGATCAATGTTAGAATATCACCGTAAAATACATTCAACCAAGTCTAAAATTGGGCATTCGTGCCGATTATTGTGCCTTCATTGCTGATAGGCAAACCTGCTCGAATCAACTGGTTTATTCTAATGTATGTTCTACACCCCTCCTATCCCCCGCCCTCAATACTGCTTCGTCGGTGTACAAAATTTCGCTGTCATTGTATCCGGTTCGCAACTGTCACACATTCGACCGCGTGCCTCATTCCGGCCTTCGACGTGGTCATTCAATCAATTACATGATAGTTTGCACTTGTCAAAATGAGGTTTAAATATTGTCCAAAGATATGGAAGGAGCATTTAATAATCGTATGCTCACCAACAAAAACTGTTTTCTTATGAAAAATTCATTGGAATAATTCATTTTTTGTTTAAGCCTCTCGTTCAGTTGACGCATTTAGACTGAATCAGAGAGATCGTAAGCGTCTGTTGAATTTTTTTGACGTCTTAATTAAAGTTTCGCGTTTGTATCACAGTCCTAAGATAGGTAAGCACACTAAGAGCCGTCAGTTTTGTTAATACGGTGCTTTTTCATTAATGTCATCTGAATTTGAAGATGGATAGAGTTTATTTGAGTGCCTTGGAAGCAAATTGCATTCCTTCTCAGTGTAACACGAATGGAATATGGTGTGTGGATGGAACGACTCCAAAGTCGACATATGCCTAAGTTAAAAGCACCGGCTATCACTCGAAAACCGCTGCCATAAAGATAACTCTAATTGTCCCATTTTCAGCCACGGTGGTAGGTAGGACACGGAATTTCAAGTTTAATGCAACTAGAATGTGTTTATGGTCAGTCCATTGGCTGCTTCATTTTTGATTGCAGCATTTTAGACCCACCGACAAAAAATTTAGTGCTTCTAGGTTGTACTTATACTCCAGGTTAAGCAAACTGTCGCATAAGTCGTTAGACAAATTCCCATTTTGACTTGCCCACTCCCGATGCGTAGGGTGGGTTAACGCCTTCAGAGTGACTGCTGTCTGCTAATAAAATTTCGTTATTTACTTTCTGCTGTCAAGTGAACCAAAATACTCCCGATTTGAGATGTGGCAGGTAATTATGTATGAGTAACAGGGTTCTGAGGGAGTTTGCTGTTTATTTTACCAGATGGTGGTTCGATAAAGTGAATGACATCTACCATCACCACGCAAATGTGAGTATATTCTTTTGATTTTGATGTTATAAGTGTCAAATTTTTATAATCGTATGCATAATTCAAACTGGTTTTATTTTTATATGTTTGAATTCGATTCGAAGACTGCACAATGGAGTAGCCTTGACGGCCTAATAAGGTCTAATGCTCTGCATCATTCAGTTTAAACTCATTTTTTTTAAATAAGGTCAAAAAATTTAAACATTGTCTTCTGTGCAGTCCTCCCTTAACTACTAGCATTGTCTGAAGTTGATTTACTTGTTAAAATGTACGTTTGTGACAAAAGACCAAAACACCGCCACGTCTGGGTTGCCATTTCTTGTGTGAGCTTCTGATAAACTATCAACAACTGGTGCTTGAAAGACGCTGCACTTCTTCAGCATGACACCTCACAATGTGATGTAAATAAATACTGAGTGGTGAAATTTTTGACTCGATGACAATTTTCCTGCCCTCGAGGTTCCGTGCTGAAATTATTATTACTATTGACTTGGAGCATGATTGATGAGCGCCATCAGTCTGCACCCGTTTAGCATCATGTGCCAGTATTTTTACTAATTCAATAAGCACGAGTTGAGATTTTTCCAGCCCTTGCTTCATATGTCCTGCAATATGGGAGTCGTAGCAAACGTGTTGAAGCCTGTTGGGCGACTGGTGCGCGATCTGCCTCTATGGGCTGATCACACAACGTCTGCGTATGTGCAACTTTCGCTGGAAAATACTTGAGAGTACCTTAGATATTGAATTTTTGTCTCAGAAATTCCTGCCATCTATGGACTACAAGCACAGTTTTCGCTGAGGATTGTGCTTTCGCCTCTTTGGAAGGTACTATCAGCCCAGTGATCGAGTGCGCAACAACTAAAGTGTCAGAGCCTTTTCTGATTCGTGAGACATGATAGGGATCTGTAGCTCTAACAGGTATTTCAAAATTAGGTAGAGAAGATTGTCAGTTTTGATACAAAAGGTAAAACTCCAGGCCGTTTGGAATAAAGGATAGATTGTGAGGAACACTATCCAAATGCTTTCGGTTTTGCCATTCTGAACTCATTTAACCTTTTGTATGGCGCAACTGAGTAGAAGCAGAAGAAGTATTCCTGCTATCCCCAACTACAAAAATATGACTTTTTAAATAGTACATTTTCAAAGAATGTGGAGAAAATCGACGGGTCAATATCAACGCAATTGCAAATATCTACAAATCGTGGAGGACGTGGTAGGAGTAGGGGGTAGGGCGGGGGGATGAGTGGAGCAGGGGAGGGGGGACTACCGAAGGGCTAAAAATGTGGGACCCGGTGCACGCCGTATGAGGGGAATCTGATCCCGTATTGCGCCAAAGAAACCCCTCTTGCACCCTCTGCGTGGTCGCTTTTTTAGCCTTTGAGACGCAGTTGAATGACCGAAGCACATTGTAAATGGGGTCTGAAATGACAATGCCAATTGATGTCCAGTGTCTATTCAGTGCCCACATTGCAACGCAAGCCATAATGCCGTGGGTTGGTTAGCTAACGTACATTGTAATAAACCTTATCACTAGTGCAATCTTGCTGTTAATTTTGAAAAATTGCTTTACGTTCTCTGCTTTCCTGGATGTTGTTTTACTATGATCTTGTACAGAACTTCGTAATCGTGATTTCGCTAAATCATGCAAGAATAGTCTTTCATGTACGAGCATACATACTTGAGATGAAGCATTATTAGTCTGAATGAGTTCGTATTACCCTGTTGCTGATGTTCATGCCTTGGAAGAAGTCACGGCAATTTCTTTCAGCTGAACGTTTTAGAGGGCGATAACTGACGCCCACTGGCCTATCCACTTTAACTTTCTAAATAAGGATCACTCTGCTGTTCGAGGCATTTGATTCCGTGGTTGTCAGCCCTTAATCCACGTGTGTGAGATCGTGATTCCAGCTTTGGAATGGCACGTGACGTGCCTAGTTTGGGCAATCACAAGCTCATTAGTTTGTTCCTGATCTGTTCAGACGTGATCACCCTTTTAATGCGCAAACACCACTTCCGGCGAGTTATGAACTTTAACTGCACAGTGGTATGAAGCTGTCAGAGGAGATTTCTATTCGATATATTAAATTATATTGCATAAAGTTATCAAATTCTTAAATTCTTCGAGGTTTAGATACACCTTCACGAACGTAATTTATGCTGGACCCATAAGTGTCGGTAATTCTTAACTTACTTCTTAACGAACTTGATTCAGTTGCATCTAGTTAAGAGAATGAATTTTGCTACTCATTAAATTGCATAAGTAGTACGTGCGTTGAATTGTTAAAAACGGGAACATTAAATTTGCTAAAAATGGAAGGTGTAGGAGCGGTTAGAGGCGGAGGGTAAAGCATGCATATTAAATGCCCACGTTAATAATTTGATTGTCTAGTTTATAAAAATTTCTTTATGATTTATTCTAGCTTTAAATCTATTCCGGTAGTACCTATAAATTAAAATCGCTTGACAGTTATACATCTGCATAGTCAAACAGATCATCGATAAACATTCCAGTGATATTTGAACTTGATCGCTAAAACGAATTATTTTAAACCAAATACGAATAAGGAAGCACCAAGTCCTAAAGAGATTACAGATGTTGTTCCCAGTACACGGTCTCATTAATGCGGTAGTCTTGAGTGGAGTATCACGAAGCAATTGCACCAAAAGGTGCTAAAGAAGACTTGGGGATACACCAGCAATGATGCAATGTAGCTATCGTTGGAAAGGTCATGGTACAATTCGTCGGTAGGTTGAGGTGGGTAAAAGGTTCTTTGCAGGGATGGAGAGTTTTTTTCAGATATTTAATTCGAACTTGAGCAGTTTAATTGTTCAGTGGAAGCTGCGCTTTCCGTACAGGTAACTATATTTAAGAATGATTTATTTATAATAGGTGATGACATTAGAACTCAGCCAATATGAACGGAAAGTGACCGTCGCCTAGCAAACGTAACCTAAGTTCACCTTAAAATGGATATCAAGGTTACTTGATTCATGCTTTTACAAGATGTAATAATTTATTTTAATTACGATTACCTGGATACCGTGATATGCATATTTAGCAGAATATTTCAAAGGAATAGAGGCTTGTCAGTGTAAAGTGTTGGTGGGAATTCTCTATTGCGTAAGTCAGATTTAGTCCGAATTTTCGTGTCCCTCAACATCATCTCTGACCTGAAGTTGTGCTAGGGCGTATTTTATCCCTTTTAATGGAGTTAAAACCTGAGCGGGATATCGGCGAAGTAAGTTAGTTGTTTTGCTTTCTAGCTCAAAGATATTCACTCAAAAAATCCTGGGCCGATACACCAAGCATTAAACCTTGGGCACTTTCAAAACGCAATCGCCAAATGAAACTGGAAAGCAAGGGTGTATCCATTGTATCAGAGAAACAACTCCAATTATTAACATATATTTACTGTTTTTGGTTTGATCTAGACCTTAAAATGTGGAAAAAGTGGGCGCATTTAGGCATTGACCTTATCAACGGATGAAACAACACCCACAAAAAAATTAGGGTGGCGAGGTGTTAGAAAGCTGCTGTGACCGAGTGCCAGTCAAATGTGCATGTGCAAGGCCTGTGGTGGAGGCAAGGTCAGTTGTGGGCAATGCTTTAAAACGGTGGTCCAGTTTGAGGAATTGAGTCAACTAAGTTGTGGTGTTGTAATAATTTGATACTTTGTTCGACTTTGTAGCCTCTTCAATCTTCGTAGGTTACCTTCCCCACAGCGGAACGACTCCATGGGGCCATACCCATAACAAAGTTCTCCTCCATACCGGTAGGGCTTATTACGACTTCAGGGATGACTATGGACGCCCTAAATTGAACCCTGTTTAGATCGAAATCCATGGTTAAAAGCGTTCATTTCAAAAAAGTGGAAGATTAAATAACTAAGGCTCAGTAGATTCGGTGAATCATTCGAATCCAAACAGGCATGTAGACGACCGGAAAAATAGATGAATGCAGTAATATACGTAGCACATAATAAACTACGACGCAAGAAAGTCGTGAAAGTTAATAAAGAATCCTCATTAATTAAGCAAAAAAGGTAGTAGATGAGCACTCACTAAAGCGACCTCTTTTAGGCACATTTTGGATGATAAAGTGTCAAAACCACTCACATCACTCTAGTGCGGTCATGGCAGTCAATTGCAGTACCCATACACGCGCCAGTTAGTTGACTGGGTCACCACGTGCATGCACATGTAAGTATTTGTGCTCAGGTCCCATAGCCTCTGCAGGTAATTGGCTCATTCCTCTCTCAGAGTGCTGGTTTGGAAGTTTTCAAAGAAGGCTTGCCCGGTTCATCTATGCCACGTAAATTTGGCGCTTTAGCCATGCTTTTTTTCTCAAATGATAAGGAAGAATCACTCGATAGCATGGTGCCTTGGGTAAAAAGAAACAATGTAACGGAAAATTGTTTTATCTCACTAAAAAATTTTGGCAAATGCATTATGTAGTACTGAATGGTTTCACCTTAAAATAATTTGACTGCCTCTGTTTCCGCACAAAAGAAATTTGCTAAAAATACGCATTTAAAGAGCAGTTATAAGTGTTTATTTACTATTTTCTTATTGAAAGCTAGGCCTTAGGCCCGTCTTCGAGTCTTAGTATTAAAAGTAATGGTCTTCTACTTATAATTGCTGAGTAGCAGTGTATGCACTTGTAAATGCTTAAAATTCAATAGAGCAACACAAAGGCCCAATTAATTCTCGCGATGGAATGCCTACCTTCACGGCGAGCGTATTGAATCATGCGTCACGTGTGCCAGGCGTGAGATGATAAATTTTTTTGGGAAAACCGTGGGATTGTCTTTCATGATTTTGAGTTACTTGCCAAGACAATAGCCTTTTGCAATTTTCAGACACTGTCCCTTTGTTAAACGTATTCATATAATAGATTCACTTGGATTAGGTAGATAATCCTCCATTCACTCATAGAATTTAAGTAATCGTTGAGGTTTGTAACGGAAGGGGATTGCCTAACAAATAGCTCTATCTTCACTTGATAGCAATTTTTCATAGTACCACCAAATTTGGTCAGCTACTAGGCGTAGTAACTAGCAGTCTCTACTGCTTGAAATCATGTGCCGAAGTTCCATACTTCATGATAAATCAATACCCTTCTAAGAAGCACATTCGTTAAAGAGAAAGTGTTAATTGAGGGTCATTATTAATGTCAATCTTCATCTGTCCATGTGGCAAAGGTTATAATTTATGGAGGTCAGTAAAAAAGTACCGATGCGTAGGAGAGTATTCGTATTAACATTTTGTGCTGTGTAAAGTTGACTCTGTTCGGATCCTGAAATCGTCGTGAGTTCGGAAGTCAGCTCCTCAAATAGGCACTTCTTCTATATATTTCACGATTTAATGACGATATTTTTTCGATTTAAGTTAATAGTATTTAGTTTGGACCACAAGAATTCCTTTTTTTATTTTGTTGTGTCCTTTTTCCCAAACGAACTGCTATCTAGTAGTGGTCCTATAGTAGCACATCAATCGGAGATGCGCACTTAGAGAGTGATTGCAAACTACGCCCAACACATCAACGGTAATGTCGTAAAGGTTTCTCAATCAACCACACGGCGTACGTGAGCATGAACGGAGGTTATAATTTGTATTTGGGAGCTGAACCTTGTGTGAGATGTGCGGACTGAGACCTGAGTTAATAGCATTATGAAACAGTAAAAAAAGGATCGCCATATTCCACTTACCTGGCGACTTCAGAAGGGACGTTTGCATTACCTGAAGGTCACACTGTACAAAAATGTGTCTCCCGGCCACTTATAAGCTGTGTAGGTCTTCCACTTTTACTCTCCTTGAATCAATGTTAGAAGCAGAAAATCTGTGAGAATAGGAACTGGCATCAGAACATTTGATTATGTAAACAGAGCTAACTAAATGTATCTCTTAGCCACGGCAAACGACAGTCGATGTCGAAGTGAGAGCATCCCAATTCTACATTTAAATGGAGTTAGCATTATGGTCGCAAACAAGTGTAAGGCTTTTGATAGCACCGGAACTGCGCCTCAGAATATAGAAAAGAGACACTGAATTCATTCTTTGGAGCTGTCCTGGTAGGCAGATTCCCTAGTAATCGTGTGAATAGCAGTATTCGATCACTGTGCTTACTATACCAAAATCGAGCTATCATATCAGTTCATACGACTAGTTAGTAGTATAATCAGAAACCCTAATTTTATAAATTATTCTGCTTTGATTTGATTGGCGATACTTTCATGATTCTCAAATGCTGTGGAATTTCACGAACATGCAAAAAAAGTAAAAGATGTGGAGTTCCTCTTTTAGCCTCCTCTAAAGTTGGCAGATTGTAAATATCACAAGCAATAGTAACGCATGTAGTCACGTATTCTTTTTTTTCACGATCCAAGCTCTACTTGCGATGGTGCCGGCTGACAATGCAGTAGATTCTATAATTAGAGCGGTGTGAATCGACAAACTAGAAGTCCCTAAAAAAGATAAATGTTGGAGATATCTTAAAACCCTGCTTGCTCCATTGGAATCTCAAAAGTGAGCAAATATATCTTCTTCTACTCTCTATTGCGTATGTCATTGTTATAATAGTGATGACGGGAGGCTTTGAAGACTCATTTACCAATGAGCATTACATTTTTGAATCGTTGGGTGCAATGACTGAGAAAGGTAGATTGACGAGATCATTGATCGTTCACATAAAGTGTTCTCGCTTCGGGAAATCACGACTCATGGCAGCATTGAAGCCCTCCACGTTGGAACTGATGCAGTGGTTTCGTAACCGAATGAGTCAGCCAACCGAATTCTCCGCCGCTTGCGTGCATGTGACCTAGCATTGCGCAATTCGGCTGAAGTCAGCAAAACCTAAGAAATCGTATCATAAGTACACGTAAAAATACACATTTATTCTAAAATCACCTTACCATTTACTGAATGTGGGGATTAAATCGCATTTTATGAGCTTGCTAGGCTTTTAAGTCACTGCAGTGTCTTAATAAGCTGCTACCCATTAAAACGCAGAGCCGGCAAATTAACTTTTCGCATAATTTACCCGATTTCTTGTGCTCCTTCACTCGAGTAATACTCAATGAAGCGAGAGAGAATTCATGACTGACTAAAAATTGGGGTTTTAAAGCTCATTGGTCATCCCACTGGTGTCTCCGCTGTTGAATTTTTAAGTTTCTCATGCATAGTTATTTCGTGAAGATAGTTTCAGGAGTTGATTCCGTTCCTCCTACAAAAAGCTGTACTGAGAGTCATACTAGGATTAAAAGATCATGGTGATCTTCATAATAACGTCTAAGAAGAACAAATTCACTTAAGGCGTTTTGTGAATGCAGTTCCAACTGATTAGCTTATTCGACATTTATATAAAAGAGTAGTCTAGATTACATTTCCATTGGCCTAAAACCCACCTCTGCTACACCTAAGGGTCGCGCTATTTACAGTACCCTCGGGTACGCTCATCAAGGCGAAAAGGGAGCAGCTGATGCGCGTCAATCCTGAGTAGGCGCTTACAAGCCCATTGAAAGTGGTAGTTGGGATCTAACTCACGTACTTTTACCATTTCAATTATCAACAACTCTATATGTAATCAGTGAAGACGCCTAATTCGAGTTATGTTCAGTCCGCTTAGACCGTTGAGATGGGTAACACGGGTTTCTAGGTAAAATGCTTTACAGAGGAAAGTACTTGAGTAACTTCGATGGCTTATTCGGTGCCACACCCACTGATTCTATTACCACTCAAGACATTGCATCCCTTCGTGCAAACATAAAGTGTAACTGATACGAAACAAAACCCACCCGTGTTAATTTAAGATAAAGCTAAAGACATGAAAACTTTAAAAGCAAAACTAGCAGTTCAGGCTAAATTCCATTAATTACTATGATTTCAGTGTCAATCACAGTTCACCAAATGTTGTCTTCGACCATGTCTTCGAAGACAACTAACAGACCGTTGCAGGTGATCAAACAGTCTACCTCACTGGGATATGAAGATTTATCAATGGGGGTTGGACACAAATCTCCCAGTGTGTGGCCATCATCACAGGATCAATCAGCGACACCCAGCTTTCACATGAAGCGCTTCAATGGGACAACGAGTAAGGTAGTCGGGAATGCCTAGGGTACCACACGCAGGCAAGAGGAACCCACGAAATCGACAATGGTCTCCCTACGCCTTTAAACACCATTATACTATTCAAGAATCACCAGATACAGAACACAATGAAGGCTTAGGAAAGTGATGGGAAGTACATCGACCACGGTGGTTACAAAAGTGAACAAGTATGTCTAAGACTTGGGTCAACAGCGAGAGAGTACTTAGAACTGGAAGGGACAGAAAGTCGTTGAAAACAGTCGCTCTCATCGTAGCCACAAGTACAATGCGGGAGACTGGTAGACTTGACAAGGGCTTTACCCATCACACAATTGAGGAAGCAATGGACGTGTGAAGATATATTCAAGCAAAACCACAAAGGTGCAAAACACAAGGTAAAATGAAAGTCTGTCGGAGATGGGTGTGGTAGAGAAAAAAAGACGACAAAATCATTTATCGACTCTTCTCCGCTAAAGCCTTCGCCATCCAATCGAGACCCTCATAGAGACCGGTTCCTGTGGTAGCGCAAGTTGCTTGAATAAACCACTGGCGATTCTTGAGCGAATTCAGGCCAAGCTTCTGCGTCATCTCACTGGCTGGACAGGCGTTGGGGAGGTCCTTCATAAGGTACGTTGATTAGTTGAAAAATCAAACCAAACCTGTTTATTGGCAAACACAAGAAGAACGGCATCACGAAGCTCGTCCTCGCTAAGCATCCGGTTAAGTTCATTTCGTGCTTCAACTAAGCGCTCCCGATCATTGCTGTCGACGACAAAAATGAGACCTTGAGTGTTTTGGAAGTAGTGACGCCAGAGAGGTCGGATTTTGTCCTGACCGCCAACATCCCATACGGTGAAGTTCACGTTCTTGTATTCCACTGTTTCAACATTGAATCCGATGGTGGGGATAGTCGTGACGATCTCACCCAACTTCAACTTATAAAGAATAGTTGTCTTTCCGGCCGCGTCGAGTCCAACCATGAGGATACGCATTTCCTTCTTACCGAAGAGACGATCAAACAGCCGGGTGAAAAGAGCCCCCATTCCCTACAACACATTTCAACAAGATTTTGTAAAGTGGACGACGAATTAACAGAACTGCGCGACTCAATATTGTATTACCCATTATGACCAGAACTGAAACTAGGTGCTTGTGAATCCAGCTACAAAGTGCAAAAATTAACGAATTACACCAACAGGAACAAGATTTGTGTTGGTAAAGAAGAGTATTTATAGTTACCTAACTCGTACACAAACATAAACGAATTGTACGTATAGCACCTCACACTGTACTCTATGAAAACAAACCCGTCAGAAACTGACTATGAACTGCCAAAGGCCCATCCTCAATTTCATAAACTGTTTTATGAGAACTAATACTATCTGCTTACTTAATAACTTCCTCGTAAGATGTGAAACTGCAAGAGGAAACGGTACGTCGTGTCAACGACGTTAGACAAAAGCGCTAAGTGGGGTAAGGATAATTCAAACAAAGATCATTATACGATGTAAGTATCTTTTAGACCTAGCCACCCACTAACAAAACAACTTATTACTAATCTTATTAAATAACTTTTGCACTTGGATACTTGCACTTTGGGATATGTTTGCAGGTAAAATTTGCAGCTAGTGTACTGTTCTCCAACGCATAAACCGTTAGGCATACTTAACCCCCGAGTCTTCTCTGAAACAGTAGCAAGCCAGCGTACTATAGATGGGAGTGTATTACTAGTAATAAAGGGAAACAATAGTCTACTGACACGTTCCCATACCAGTGATGGAAAGTTGAACAGCAACCTGAGGAAACCGAAGTGCCCACGTGGCTCAGCATACGTTTAGACGAAATACTAAATCACTACACTAAAATAAACCATTGATTTTGACACAACTCTTCCTTCTGACGACCTTCCATGGCAATGCTCATGACATGAAATCCACCTCTTCTTTCTTTGAAGAGCACTGTGTGAAGCGAGACTCATCGGTCTCCGCTTCTTTATTCCTAACATTCTTAGACAAGCCCGGTTGATTCGCTTTTGGCATCTTTATTAAAGGTGACAAGATGGGGAGGGAAAATACAATGTTCAAGAAGGAGAGGAGCTGTAGTCACTAGGTACGGGGGAGAACAATCCCACCACGAGATTCCAATTTTCTACTTGCCTCCTCCCTGAAAGGCACACTCAAACAACGTAAGTATTACAACTGTCTGTCAACTCATCGCAGAGCCCAAGTCGTGCTTTGCAAGTAGTCCCACGAAAGTACACCGTTAATAACACTCTGCCCCATTTCTCACCCCCCAACTCCGTCCGAGTACGGGTGGCCAATTGGCTTCGGCACAAACATTTTCTGCAGACTTTTGCTACATCCCGTAGTCTTATCCTAGCTGGTAACCTTTTGCGGCCTTAAGTTCACACCCTTTTGGGTTCACGGAACCGTCACGTAAGTGCGCTCCCACACATTCTTTCAACTTGGTGTCAAGCCATACGCCCCCACTGTATCTAGTCCACAACTCATTCAGAGAGCCACTTCAAATTGTTGCAGCAGCTTTTACATTGAGGTTAAAACTTGTACAGCCGTATCGATGTGAGTGATGAGTAGATTGGGAGAAAAAGGCAATGAACTATTGATATTTAATGTCTGAAGGCTCTTCGCGAGGCTCGCCATCAGCTGCCTGACGCCCTCCCCGTGCTGCTGCAACCAGCACGTGGGGGGACGCCAACGCTGCTGCTGTCCCTCATCGTCGTTGTTGATGGAGGAGGCAGCTAGACGCTTTGTGTAGGCCAGAAGGTAGGCGAGACAGTCCGTCTCCGGAGATACCAACCATTCGATCAGGCAGTAGCGGTCAAAGCCAATTAACTCGAGGAGGCTCGTGAAGAGGTAGTGCGCAGATGGCACTCTCAGCTTATCTATCCAGCTATTTATATGTAAAAAACGGGCGATTAAACAATTGGCTTTTTGGCAAAACCGAGCTACTAAGCCATCCGCGTTCAGAATTTGACCCACCAAAATTGGCTCGGTGTTATCGAGTAGAGTTCAGTGCATTACAGTGACATTTTCACTGGATTAGTAAGGTTACAAAATATCACTAATCATCAACAGCTTTTAATAATTAAATGCAGAAAACGAACGGTTAGCAGAACTCTACTAGAGGAGAGTGGAACAGAAAATGCATACCCATTCTTTACAGCGTCATTTTCAATCAACAGAAGAGTCAGCAGCATTCGGAAAAGCAATACGTCATCGGACTGAAATATGGCTATGAGATCTTTGTCTGAGATGGCTAGGCGATCCATAATGCTTGATTGATAACATCCTGTGGATTTTTAAAAAATTACTAGTTTTGAGATTTGCAAGCTGAATTGTGAAGCAAAAATTAACTAGAACCTTAGAAGGACCAGCTCACCTTGAGCAAACAGCAAACGAGCCATCGTGTATAACAGAAGTCGGTAGCAACGAATGTTGAAATCAAATAGGTTTTCATCACGATTGTGCGATACCCAGCACGTCAAGTCGATGTTGCTTGCGAGAGAAAGGAGTTCCGTACGCATGCTATTGTTAACAAGGCGAGAAGCCTGTGGCTTGAGTGCGAACGACCAATTATCGTAGTACACTATTTCAACCATCTTTTGAAGAAGTCTGATCAGACTATACGCAAGATTGGAAGGCAGTTCTAGAGATCAAGAGAAGTTAAGCCGCGTTCTATCCCTGTATCGATAAATAAATAGCAGGAAATTCCATTAAGCCTTACTTTTATCAATCGTATTAATGAGAAGTAAGCACGTTTCCTAGAAGATTAAAGCATTATTCACGATGCCTACACTGAGCAGCTGAGAATGTAGTGGGCTCGAGCCCTCCTCATCCAAAACTAAAGCTTTGAGACCTCTTCTCCAACACTTAAGGATGTCCTGTATCTTGAAGGCACCCTGGGGTGTTTGACTGGACACCTGCAAGGAGCAACGAGAATCCTCAAACGCTTGGAGCTAACTTCTCAGCAATTGCATCATTACCCCTTGTAGTGACGAAAGCTGTTTACAACTACGAACCTGTATCTCGGCTTACAAAGAAATAAATATTGTTTTTTTACAAAACTTGGCTCCTATAATGAAACCTAGAGTGCTCATATTTTAGTCAATTCTAAATTAAAGTGAATTTAAATCGATGATTTAAGTGCACCCAAACCGTTACAATTCGCTAATAAACCGGAATTTGTTATAAAGTGCGATAATAATTCCGAGTTTCCTTATTATTTGCGGCTAATGTGTGCAAAGCAAACGTTTGATTTGAGGCATATAGTAGTTCAGGTGAATTTTGACAACAACTAAAATGATAAAAAAGCAAGGAAGTGGTCACCCAATTTGTCACCAAATCTTCAAGCCCTGTGCGGATAAATGTCCACCGAGAGTTCAAATTCTCCAAAAAAGATTTTCTGGGAAGTGAATCCGTCAGCAAAGCGAGAAGAATCGCAGGCTCACAGCCCTCGATCCTTCCTAGTATTTTACCGGTAACCATCCTCTACAATTAAAATGTGGCACCACTAAGACTATTCATGAATAGCTTTAAATAAATAAACGAATAATTCTCCTTTCTAATAAAAGATCAAGTTCCCTTAAACCTACACTGAATTTGGTTTCAAATTAGTCATGAAATTACTATTTTGGGCACTTCCATTTAGCCTCTAAGGTTTTTCGTGTAAAAGCAGCAAATTCTGGGAAATCTTAGGTAATATTAATTTGAAGATTAAATACTCCACTTCTGATCGTAGGTGGGCGTTACGTGACAAATACTAAATGCTTTATTGAGAAGCGAACCTCGTACGATGAGAGAGACAAAGCCGTACGAAGAAGCCTTTGTGCAAGAATGGAAAGTGAAGGACTGGGTAACTGCGTCGCCCAGGAAATGGCCATGTCGACGCAGAGTTCTGGACATTCTGGCAATTCCTTAACGTTAAAGTACTGAGCGGCACACATAGACGTTTTTAAGCGTTCTGACGCGAATAGATGTGCATCATCCATAATCTTCAAAACCTATTAGGGGCAAAACAAATGGTCCATTAAGTCGCCTTAATAAAAAATGGGATTCCTTCCCAGACTTTTCATCAAGACTTTTGGTCTCAAAATCAAATGGTCTCGCTACAGCAAATATTTCATCCTAAACACTCGATTTTTGGCTCCTTATCATGTGGTTTCAAGAAGCTAAGATTGTTAAACAGGGATCATTAATGTCACAACAAAATTTCACTGTCAGTGAACTTGAATACCCAAGAGGGTGACTTGCTGTTATGGGCAACTTAGATTTCACTTAACCAAACTAAGTAGCTAACGAAGTAAGCCTGAATCACCTAATACCTGACAGCTGTAACATATTATGAACACAAGGGTACCTGTTAAGAAAAACCAAGTCTCAGACGAGAAGTGCCTCACCTTTCATTACAATACCACCGCACAGTTACCAAGCAGCAATATTACGTAAGGATTGGTGGAACTGATCTATCAAAATGCTGAAAGAGCTGCCAAACTGGGGCTCGCCGAGCAATAATGCCTTTCAACATGAACAATTTCGACGAAAGCGTTAACATGGCCTCACTTACGAAAAGCTCACCTATTTACACCACATTTAAAGCTCAAACAGTAATTGGCGTCACATAGCACTTTTCAAAAATTATTGCACTCATTAATAAACAGATTGGTCGATTTATTTTTTGAAGTGAACGATGCCATTCTAAGTGACTTTATCGCCTCCCATCATCAAACAAAGTAGGCCTCAAATCTGTATTCTTGGCCCACTGTTGCTGAGCTGCTGTGTGGCCCATCCAATTACTTATTCCTTTGGACAGATTGATTTGAAACCCATACAGATGTTTGCAAAGCATTTATGTGTTTGAAAATTAGAACAGCCTAGGAAGTAGTGTTATCTCTTCGTGGAAATAAAATCTACTGGAATTGTAGCACAAATTCCTCGTGGAATTGCACATTAGAGGTTACGTTGACATGTTATCAAGAGATAGCCACAATCCTTTACGTCCGCAGCTTTAATATGTATTGAAAATTGGTGGTTGATATGTGTATTGAACCGCCCCTGCACTTATCGTGGTCCGATGCTTATGAAACTGCACTTTAGACCAGCAATTAGGGTACAAACCGTCACTTAACTTGCAATTACCATGAGGAAATTTCCTGTACTACACATGATCCAAACATTTTTAAGGGATAGCTGATAAGATCTAAAGCAAGTTTTGTTGCATTTGGAAACTCAAAATGTTTGAACTGAGTAAACAAACTCCACGCAAGAAGTGGGTTATGAAGTTTCATGTGTGACTGTGAAATTCCACAGTTTGGTACTCTCCTATCAATCATGCGTCATTCATGTCTCTTCAATTATTGATAGAAATGGTGAAACCATATTTTGTATGCTTTCTCTGCCGATCTCTATTTAGTCAAGCAGAAAATCTCAAATGTGGGTTGCTGTGATCTATACAGACCAAAAGCGCTATTAGTCCGTGTAACTTATGGCAGTATTCCCTTACTGCGCTTGCGATTTTAAGTGCTTAAAGTAGTGGAACGTGGACTCGTTTAATCTAGTCCTCAGGACCATCCAAGCGACTAATGGATCATATGCGCTGAATCCACTGAAAACAGGATATACCGCTCCACTAACCTGTAATTTCAAAGTTCAAAATGACTGATTAACAGCAATTCACAAATACCAACCAAGCCGTCGCCACCCCTATCTGGATTCTGGATTATAAAAACTAAAGGAGTCACGTCCTGGCCTGCCTGCTCCTTTGTGGATTGCATCTCTACCGAAATTATGGCTCCACGCTCGTCTAGAATAGCTTACCTACTGGAAGGGTAGACTCACGTGGCAAAAGCATCCCGTGCCAGAAGTAGCGAGTCCATGTTACGGTTACTATCCTAACACTACGCAACAACCAGTAGCTATGTCAGTGATTTGTGCGTTAGCCGAATCTCCCAACACAGCGTTCCACAATCGAGTTACTATTTGACAAACACCCTTTCCCAAATCCATACCGGTAGCGGTTGCCTACTGTGCTCAGAACTAGGCTTATAGTAAGGTAATTACTTGCGTGCAATCTTATTTCAGAAGACTGAAATCTTCCCTTAGTATTTTAATTTTCGCAACCTACCGTGCCCTTAACAAGTGTTTTTGGATCGTCAGTGAAAAAAGCAATTTCCCTCTCCTTCTTCCGAATTGAACCTGAATATCCAAGGCCTGATTAACATCACCGTTGCCAAAACATTCACAATATCCACCACTTTTCAAGGTTGTCCATCTTTTTCGCTTCAAAAGGAATAAATGTGTAAGGAGAGCAATTAGGAATAAAATAACAGTTTGCGAAGTTATGTACTTAAACCAATAGGCTTACCATTCAGAAACATTATCATTATTGCCCATGGATTAAAAACCACAGTAGCTGGCCCAAGCCGCCACAAGAATATTCATTTATAGTCGCTAGAGAGGGATGTGAGGATACAAAACATATTGAGCGGCTAAGTAGTTGAAACTAGTTGCTATACCTCGGAGTGCCGACGCTACAATGTGTTTGTAGTCGTGGCCTTGTCAGCCAATGCACTAATTTTGCATCTTACCACGTTTGCAGTCTAACAACCAGTAATATTACTGGATTTCAAGGTCTCTTTAACTGATTGGGTAGTACTTCTCTCGTATGATTGGCTCACTCTACAGCATAGGCATTAACTATTTAAGCCAAACTAGAACCCTAAACACTACTCCTCCTGCCTGCTTGCGCCGGTCATGAAGCCCCAGGTCGGTATCAACGGTTTTGGCCGCATCGGTCGTCTTGTGTTGCGCGCTGCTGTTGCTTCCAACTCCGTCAATGTTGTCGCTGTCAATGACCCATTCATTGATCTGGAATATATGGTCTATATGTTTAAGTATGATTCCGCCCACGGCCGATACAAAGGTGACGTCAAGGTTGATGGCGGCAAGTTGGTTATTGACAGCCACAGGATTACCGTCTTCCAGGAGATGAGTGCTAGTGCCATCCCATGGTCTCAGGCTGGCGCAGAATACATCGTTGAGTCCACTGGCATCAACACCACCGTCGAGAAGGCCTCGGTAAGATTTGCGTTTCCATTCTTACACTATCCATTCAGGCTCACTTCCAGGGTGGTGCCAAGAAGGTTATCATTTCGGCTCCCTCTGCTGATGCTCCCATGTTCGTCGTCGGTGTAAACCATGAGAAGTACGACCCCTCTATGAAGGTAGTGTCCAACGCTTCCTGCACTACCAACTGCCTGGCTCCACTTGCCAAGGTCATCAACGATAATTTCGGCATTGTCGAAGGTCTCATGACTACCGTGCACTCCTACACTGCCACCCAGAAGGTTGTTGATGGTCCCTCGAAGAAGGCATGGCGTGATGGACGCACCGCTGCCCAGAACATCATCCCCGCCTCCACTGGTGCCGCCAAGGCTGTTGGCAAGGTCATTCCTGAGCTCAATGGCAAGCTAACCGGCATGGCTTTCCGCGTGCCCACCCCCAATGTCTCTGTTGTCGACCTGACCTGCAAGTTGAGTAAGCCGGCTACCTACGACCAGATTAAGGCTGCCGTCAAGGCCGCCTCTGAGTCGTCTGCCCTGAAGGGCATTCTTGAGTACACTGAAGATCAGGTTGTCAGCACTGACTTCCTTTCCACCACCTGCTCCTCGACTTTCGATGCTCGCGCTGGTATTGCCCTCAACGACACTTTCGTTAAGCTCATCGCTTGGTAAGCTTGGGAACTAAGTCTTATCCTAAGGACTTACTAAATGGTACTTTAATAAATAATACTTTTCCCCTTTTAGGTACGATAATGAGTTTGGCTATAGCTGTCGTGTTGTTGATCTGATCAGCTACATGTTCAAGAGGGATCATTAAGGCTCCCGCTGGAGAGGGTGAAGCAACTAACCGATAGTTGTCTGTCGCAATACAATCCCTGTCAAGTAATTACTGCTTGACGAAAATCACCCTTTATCATAGCAATAAAGTTAAAATTTCATCTATTTTTTGTGGTCTTCATGTGATGCGTGGGTAGCTAGCAATCCATTGTCTATCTCGAGCTCCCCGCCTCTGAATGCTGGCCGGGGAGTTCTTCGGGATGATGGTTATCCGAAACTCGCGTAGCTGGTCGAGGTGCAAATTAACGTCAGCCTCACGGAGCTGGGTCTCTACGGCTCGGGGCGAAATGTCTCGTGAGAACTGCGCTGGGTAATGGTGTGCGGCAGAAATAGTCTGAGGGCCAGTGTCGCTCCGCGAATCATCGCAGTGTGCTTTGTTTGTACGGCTTGGTTTTCACAGTCCGTCTGCAAGCACCTACGCGACTCGTGGAGGCGTGGCTGGACGCGGCGGTCACGCATGCACATGCGAGAAGCACACCCAGTCTAGATGGCATGTTTTAACACGGTGGCTAGGCTCAGAGTACAGTACGTCGGCTCCCTGCTTGCATGCACACTCCATTTGGTGATAAGGGAGGTCTCATAGCTTGTGCTTACGCCAGTCGTTCTCCTCCATTGTGTATCCAAGGGCGCTAAGTGGGAAGGCTACTTTGCTTAAACTAGAATAAATTCCAACATGACTAGGTGGGAAGTCGAAGATGGATCTACGTGTTGATTGAACGGGCGCTAGTGTGGTCACCAACAGGGTGGAGAAACCGGCATTATGAGCGATTCGGTTTGTTGGGTCGATGTCCAGAAAGGTATTTGTGCTTGTGCATTTGTCTAGGCAGTGATGAGCTTATTTAACACGCCAATGCAAACCACTCACGTGAAATGTCACCATGGGACTGGGGGGTTTTTTCACGAGTGGAGTCAGTGAATACTGACGGAGTATGGTTTGCAGCAAGCGTCATTTTTCGTAAAAGTGAGGATTTTACCTGGAGAAAAATTTGTCAAATCTGAAACCAGAAGAAAGCCACTCTGCGATTATTTCGTACTTGAACAACATACATCTATTACTACATTGCTAAATGGGACAGCCTTGCATGAATGCATTTGACAAGAATCGGGAGCTGGCCAACGATGTGAACGTAATTGCAGGAGGGATCTACAACCCCTAAAAGTATTCCTTTTTTAACTATCCCGAAGTTTTCTTTAGAATTCTGATTCTCCAGACATTCTAGGAAGTTTACCAGACTGCGATCTCTTTGAGCTCTCTATTTTGATTACCATGGCATGTAGGCGCACCATGTTTTTACACAGATAGTCACGCCGAGGTCGCGACCGTGCATGATGGCATAAATATGAGAACGGTGACCGCCATGAGAGCCAGAGTCTGTACCTGCAACGTCAAAACCATCGACGTTCTATCTGATGCGCCAAATAACAATGGCACTTGGGTGAGCGTCAGCATTCTACATTCTTTATACCATTTTTGCTTAAGGTTATGGCCTTTGTTTTGAATATAAACACCTTTTAACTATTATGGCGCCAGTGTGAAAAATGTTTACGTCGTGGAATCAACTTCCTGGCACTCCAGTAAACCTTTCATTCAGCTTGCCGGAACTACAACGGAAACCAACGATTGACGAGTTCATTCCGTTGAATTGTTTAAAAGTGAGTCTGCAAATGTGGTGGATGATTTTCTGTCAAAAATTAAAGTAACGCCTTTTTGTATGACCTTAGTCTGTCATGTCTACTCAAGTATCCCGTAATTTAATTGCCTATTAAAAACCCTAGCAAAGATGGCTTCGTGTTTTTGCTCTCGTATGGTGCACACATTTGTAATTTAGTTGATTAGGCCCGCTAGTCACAGCCAAGAGTACTTTCGCTGCATAACAACCTCGGAGTGATGCCTCTTGGTGTCAGCAATAACTCGCCAATGCTCTTATGTGAGTGTCTTGTAATTTCTCTTGACCCTCCCCGAGGCAGAGACCACTACAGTACACCATTGCATGAAATGCAGCAACACATATGAAATGCAATATGCAGATGGAGCTCAGAAAATATGAATGAAACAAAGGAGACCTTGGTGTCTTCGTACTGACACCTTGCCAATTGTAAACATCACCATTATGCGTGTTAGCATGCATTATTAGTGAAAGATAAGGTTGAATTTACAGACCTGTTTAGCAATTTTAACTTGTCGATTTACAAATAGAGAAGTATGTTTACATCCTCGTAACGCTACACTAATCTCTTAATTATTTTACAACAACTTTATCAACAAATACCCATTTCTGTTGCTACGCTTAACCCAAGTTCATCTGCAAGCCCGTCTGAAACCGATACCTGCATTAGACAAACGGAAATGGTCGCTTAGGCTTCGCCCAATTCGATCTGTGTACACTTTCTGTCAAAGAAATTGAATGAAATCACCCCATTCAAAGGGCATTCTATGAAGCATGGTGCACGTATTTTCTTCAGCTAGTTATGTAATTTAAGTTGGCTAGACTTAGTTCCTCTACTATTAAAAAAGAATGTAAGGTACGGTTTCGTCGTCATTGTTGGGCCACTGCAATGGTCGGTACAAAGAAGGTACTCATTCAACACCTTTGTGTTGGAGAGATGGCCAAGAAAACATCAAGATCGTTTCTTCTCGAGATAATATGCTGTGCACAAGCACTAAAGCAACTGCTAACCAGAAACAGGATAAAATACGATTAGTGTACAATTTTATGTACTATCTAAGAGAAGCCTCTATCGATTGTATCAGTTTGACAATTTCATTGCGTGAAGTATCAAAAAAACTCTCAGATTTCATAGCACTGAGCTAAAGTGGCATTGCTATGGTACTGCTCAGTTAGGGTTCTAATGTGTGTGGTCCTTATCTGTTGGTTGCCATTAGGAAACACTGAAGAATTCACGCATTTCGGTGAACACTTTTTGATGCAAGCACTATTTAACATCTGTAAAATTAGTAATGTTGGTCTGTCCGGCCTTATAGGTAACAACCATAGCCTCGAATTGTTGACTCCGACCTAGTATAGCCGTAACCAATGGATCTATATGATGTCAATCCGTATCTAACACAAACCTGAACCTGTAAATTCACTGCTTGTAAGGTTACTGTTGGGACAAGTGAAATGAACGCAGGGATTGGTTGGCCTCCAAAAGGCTATTCCCCTAAGATTAACGGAAAATCAAGAAATGCGTGAAAATGGTTAATGCTAATAAGTGGTAATGATGATAAAAACGCACTTCAGTGGTCATAGAGCGAAACCTTCACAGTGTTAAGCCATACGTGGACCTACTATCCGCCTGGGTGCAGATACTTACAGGACCTAATCAATGATGTGGAGCGGTTGAGTCACTGTTGGCGGTAGGTCAGCGAAGCCAGATGCAGGCGGCTAGGCAAATGGTTGTTAAGGTCTGATGACGCAGCCCAAAGGTAATCCTCAGGTTAAAGCCCTGGGGTTCACCTTCCTCTAATTACAAAACTTTATTGCTAGCCAAGTATTCAATTGGGCACTTCACACAGACATGGAAACAATTCTAGAAAAAAAATAGCTTGACACCTGAATAGTATGCGACGCGAATTTAATGCTAGTTTGCGCATGAGAATAAGTTCGACAATAACGGCTCTTCTTTACGTAACATCTAACGTGGCAACGAGATTCCTCAGCCTAATTCTTTAAGAATAAAGGGTGACTAGGCTTTTTTTTCTCCATCCCATGACAAGTCAATGATGTCTAAATTAATAGCTATGTCTTTGCGTCTATTCATGGTTGAAATAATAAAGGCAACAATCATTAAGAACACCAATATCATGAGCTTGTCTACACCTTATTTCAGCTTTTATAAATGACTTGGAATCAATATCCAGAACCCAAAATCCACACTAAACTGCCAATTTTATGCCGTTCTAAGACCAGTCACGTCCACAAGTCCAGCCAAAGGGTCTGGGCGTACCTCCGTGAACGCACGCTATCCAGTGCAAGCGGCGCTCGATCGATAAACGCAGGGCCGACGCAAGCTCCGGGTTGCAGGTGCGCACGCCTCTTCGACGTGTGGCATGCAGAGGCGCGCGTGCGCACGTGCGCCTGGGTGCGTGCACTCACGCACCAGTGCACAGCCAATAAGGTTTCAGTTTAGGGCCATCGCGGAGCAGATCGTCTTGGGGCAACTCCAAAGCCTGCGCGTCCGACTGACTACGCCAGTTTTGGGACACGGAGGGAGTGTCCGCTATTTTCCCGTGTAATCTAGCACCACTTACACAGCATAAATTTTGGGGTCTGCCCTTTTTCAGAGAAAAGACAAAGACATTGTGCCAAAATAGTGTTTACAGACGAAACCTACTCATTGAACATTTAGTTTCTGCCTAATGTGAATACAGTGAACGCCTAGAAAACCAGGTATTCTCATCAAAGACTTGTCGCTTCGAGTTAGTTGCTTGCACACAAGTCAGGCCCTGTGAGTCACTTTAGTCCAAAATCGGCAGAAAGATGCAGCTTACATGTTGACAGACGATGTCCACCCCTGCTGATGAGCAGCCAACCACGCCTACAGCAATCGCATTAGCTCTCTGGCATTATTTGGGTTAATCGTTCCAGTTGTTACCATAATGCTAGTTTTCCGCAAGTATTACTCCAGCTCAGTATTGTCAACATTAATTCAGTACTGAATTCTGGAGGATGGTGAATGGCAACGAAAGTCTTGTAACAAGTCTACGGTGCAGTAATTTTTTCCCCTGTAGAGTTTGCACTAAAAGTTCGCAACCCAGATTCAATCTGCTTCAACATTGGCCTATAAGAAATCAAACGCGAAACACATGAAATTTGGCATTTTCTTTGCTTGGTTTGTGGTCGCCAATTACGCCTAATCAGGAGACTTCGGGATGCTTTACACACACGGCTTTCAAGCATAATAGCTGGCGTAGGCAAAAAAACAACAAAGCAAGCGATTCAAGACCGCCACATCAGCTTTTATTCCGGGAAAATACCTAGAGGTGTGCGTTCGCCTACGCTAAGTTGTCTTTGAAGATAAATTTTACCGACTACAGAAAATCGGATTTCAAAGGCCAGCAGGCTATGCAATTTTCAAACGAGAAAGACGTGGAGGGCGCACGCGCGAGTAACTCAAGTTGTGACTTCGAATGATTTTTCTGCCGCAGTTGAGTCCAAGCCAAAAAGCACGGGAGCTCTTAACATCGAGAGGATTATGATGTATTGTGCTCCACCAGTGTGTCAGACAGCTTAATTCTTTCGTGCTGTTGAATTGTTTAAAACTGCACCTACAACAGATATCGGTAGTAAACATCAAAGTGTTGGCGAATTTTTAGACTGATGTAGAGAAAGTTAAAGGATTTTATTAAACTATATTTTCCTTTCGTGATGCGTCTCAGCGATGCCAAAGTATCCGGGGTTTTCATCGTCTCTGTGAGCCGTATTAGCAGAGCCCGATCCATTGGCTCCACACCGCTCGGGGCCGACCGAGCGCTTTTTATGTGCCAACGGCCAATCGTAGAGAATGTTTGTCCAAAAGCGGAGGCACGGAGTTACTTCAGTGTTCCCTATTCGTCGATGTAGATTTTATTCAGCCAGTAAGAAAGTGGTAGACGTATTATTTGTTCCCTCAATAGATCCATCCTCATAGTGTTATCCTAGGTCACTCCGTAACGGACGCTTATCAATCGTTCAAGTCTGGTGTTGCTTCAGTCGACTGCCTTCATGCAGAACACGGGGTTGAAGTAATTGCCAAACTTCTATAGCTCTTGATGTGAGTCTTCGTACATTCTGCCGTCTGGAGCAGATCTCTCTCTCCTCCGACGTTAAAGTAGTCATAACCATCAAAGAAATAAAGGGATTCTTCGTTTTGGATCGGGCCCATTTGCCACTGTCGGCCGGGAGACAACTTTTTACTGCCCTACAGAATGAGTGGGGCGCTATAAATGTTAATGGATGTCCATGCCACTAAACAGGCAATCGAAACCACGGAGAGCAGAGTTCATCGCGTTGGAGATACGACGAAGTAACAATTAAGACTAATATGAGTACTAATATCAATTGAGGACCTGAAGGACTTTGCATTTGCAATAGAATGTTTTAGTATTACTACCAAAAGATAGTTACTAAATGCTTATAAAAATGCAACAGCGAATGCTATACTTTTTCAGTAGACTCGGTCTGTCCTATTTTCTGGTCCAGGCACATGGCAGAAGGTGATCTACGGCAGTGACGATCCATTAAACCGCAATCACGGTGTGCCCTCGTGGAAATACCGTGATGCGCGTTGTACTTCACCCTTCTAATGAAACAGGCTCTTACTTATATGCTAACTAGTAGAAAATAATTATTGGGTTTTTTTCGTATCTTGTAACCACACTCCATCCAACCGAGGAATTGTCCCTCTCTTATTGCCATCCATTTCTAGTTCCACCGACAGACTTTTGTTAGGGCTGCCTGCCAACGCGGAACTAAACTCCGGTCCGATTTTCTCGAAGTCCTACTTGATAGCTCATCACCAAAATTGTTGGAGTGTTGTGCTCCTGTTCAAGCCTGCCTGATTGGTCATTGTCCAGCAGACGTGTGCTCCAACGCTGCTGATAACCGCTCAAGGGTCAGTTACTATAGCCGCACATAACTGAAATCATCGAGACGAACTCAGAGGCAGACTCACCCCTTGACAGTGCCTGCTTCGTGGCCATCAGGCACGTACACGATGACCGTGCCTCCCTTGCGTACTCATCATGTCGACCCATACAGACGACCGTTCTGAAGTTCTAACCTGTCACTCCTCCGGTTAGTGGCCTCAATAGGGCTCCAGCTGATGACAGTGGCGTCCCAGGTTAAAACAACCCCATTGTAATTACTTTTAGACATAGAACAGGCGCGTAATACAATGTTTCGTACGGTGGCTCTCAGCCTCGGGCGAGACCAAAGTGGCTTGCGTAAAATGGATTACGAATAGACAAGTCATTTGAAAAACGCCCAACTACTTCCGAGTTATGAAATTCACAACTTTAAAAGGCATAGAGTCATAGTTTGCGGACCTTAGCATACTTATGACCGCAAAAGAATCTCATCCGTCTAACTAGAGATCGAATCAAAGTCATTGACGACGCCTAGACCAAGAAGGCGAAGTGCTGATTCTTCTAAGATTCTGAAGCCTTGGCGAGGTATTACTTACCGTACTCTTTATCTGATGTGAGAAATTCCTGGCGTCAAAAATCAACCAACCGATGACCAAGAGCAAGAAGTGAAACTAATAAATTACATCATTTACATATTACTAAAAAGGGCACATATGTGGGCTTAATGTGGTCAAAAAAGAAGATTTTGACCATCATTATGGGTATTCGACGAGGGAAGGAGACCAACAAATGTAGCAATTCCTTCTCCCCTCAAAATGTTCGTAGCGAGGGCATATAGTGGCGCATATTAAGTGTGCCAATTCACAGAACAAGGAAGGTGGAATTTTCACCGTCTAAGGCGTTTTTGCTGCTACGGCTGTCGTTAAAACTGACATTACATTCATCCTGACGCCCACGCATGTACTGACGCTTCGCGGCCTTCAGCCGTTCCCTAGCCTGAGATCGCGCTAAATCGGCAGCTTCCTTATTTTGACGAGACTTCACCGTTGCCGGCGAGGCAGCTGTCTTCAGCTGACACCGCTTCGGTTTTGAGGGCTAAAAGAAAAAACCACCCCATCATCCAACTTGTGCCGATGCGTAAACAGTTGGATTTCGCTGAATAACCTACATCAGAACTTGTTCCATCACAATGACCACAAAAAGAAGTGGGAGATAAGGAATGATGGCTGCTTACTGTTTGGAGACAGCTGTTTTGGCCGTTGTGAATCGAAGGGTCTGGAGCGATCCGCCAGTCGTTCCGGCGCATATGGTTGCACTTGGCGATCATGGAGCGTACATCATCTACCTGGAGCATCACCATCGCCCAGAAACCTTCGAGGTCGCTAGGGAGGGTGACAAACTCCCCTGCGGAGTCGGCAGCCTGGCCCGCCTCAATGCTGTCCATACAAAGCCCGCGGAACTGCACGAACTTTTGCGAGAGCAACAAATTCACCTTCCCCACTGTGGTGCGCAGATGGCCAGATACTGATGGCAGAGAGAGGATCAAACTAAACAAATAGACTATCATCGAGTGTACCTGTTATTAAATTAACTTAAAACAGATCGCGGCAAACATTTTTTTTTATTTCCTGCAGATAATGGTAAATGCGGTTGATAAAATTCGTTGGAAAATATAGCAAAATGCAATGCGCTATATAGTGGATTGTGTCAGTGTTTTCCAATGATGGTAAAAAGAACTCGTAGCATTGATATACAGAACAAACCTTCATCGGGAAACTCGTTTTCATTAAGGTCGCGTTCGATTTCCTCGACACGGTCTCTGAGCTCCTGCGCGGTGTCTTCCACCACCCGGAGAAAGTGGTGACCGTCTTTCACCTCATCACTTTGCTCCCCCTTCATGGGCAACACTGCCACCGCCATCTCTCCCTTATTCTTGTCGAGGGTATGTCCGTTGACAAGGGCTAATGAAGAAGCCGCTTCTTCCAGACCTGTCGTCAGCGCGATTGCCTCTTCCTGACTGGTATCTGTGGTATTGATCGAGGGCACCTCCTCCACCTTTGGCAGAGAGACGTCTAGACTACTGTTCTCCTCTCCGGACACCAAACGATGACCTGGTATGGACAAGAAAAATGATCAACTCATCAATGCTCGCGGAAAAACTACCCTTCAAAAAAGGCAAGCCTTAAATAACGAGATAATGGTAGGAGAGGTACGGACCAGAGAAGGGTTTGGAGGGAGAAGCAGGAGAACCACCGGTGGTGTCGCCGTGGGAGATGGACTGGCGACCCGCCATGTTGACGGTAGATCCGGCAACAGAGGGTGGGACGTTGTGACTTCGTGGCGAGGCCTGAGCGACAGCAAGCATAATGAGTGAGGAGCGGTTCCAATGCTCGTTATGTGAGTGGCGGCTGCGATTGAGATCCTGCGACTGATCACCCTCACCACCCGTAGTTATCGAGATCGCGTTTAAACAGTTCTGTGAGTGGGTGGAAAGCAGAGAATGTAGCTCTTAACATTCCCAAAGCAAAATGTCCAATTTAATAACAAGTAATAAGCGTAACTAGAATAACTACTTGTTAACAAAATGCCGTAAATAGCAAACATACCCAGATTTAAAAATGCCTTTCGACTGAAAAGTCTTTATTAGCCATCCACTAATTTGTAAATAGAATTCTAGCCGACCTTGACGAGAACGATGTTCCCAGAATTATTGACATTTGCTCTGATTTACAAATTCATGCTTACGAAAAAGCTATCAAAGGATTACGCTCTAAGTTACGAATAGAATTTGAACATGAAATCGACAAAAGAACTACAACTGATATCAAACGCAGGAGGAGCCTTTTCAAGAAAGATCGGAATTTAGAAGCCTAGGAAATCCATCACCGATTTCTTTGGTGAATTGAGCTGTCGAAACGAAGGCAAAAAGTCCAAAAAACTAAACAAAACAATGGATACAAAAAAAATGTGAAGACCAGACACCGAAAATGCTGCGCTGGCAGAAATGAGTGGCCTAAAAAAAAAAACATTAACAACCGCCTACTGATACAAAAAGTAGTACGAACAACGGTTACCTGGAGAAAACACCTACTACCATGTAGCCAAACAATCGCAAAAAATCGAAGTGGTGGTGGGCGATGAAAGCACTCAAAAGAGCATAATGACTCAAACACGTGAAGCAAAGTTGCAACCAAGATCGAACTCCACATTTTTCATAAAAAATAAAAGAATGAAAGGCAATAGATGGTATCGGAAAATGCGTAAATTTATGAATTACATACGCCCTAGCTGAAAACGGTTCCGAACCTGATGAAACACACGAAACATGGGGAGAAGCCAGCAAAGGCCAAAGAATGACAAAATACTTTAATGACTCATCAGGTGAATTGTTTATTCGTTTAGCGTCAGCAATACGCTTTATCTATCATGCACTGGCACCTGTTCCCAAATCTTCACAGAAAAATTTCACGCGGAATGGACTTAACTTATTAACAAGACACGGCCAATTTGGTACTTCTATCTCTTTAAAGTACATCGTTACCAGTGGAAAGGATGCTGGGGAAATATCAATATGCAATTTGAAGTGGTAGTGAGAGAAAGAACAGGCTGTTCTACGGAGTAGGAACGTGGTGTGTCGTGTAGGGGCAAACAAGGGAACATCAAGTTCATGAATACGTAATGAACTGTGGTAGTCCTGCGAAAGACAATGAAGTTGACAAAAAGATAACTGTGAGCGCCAAGTCAAAAGAGGATAGTTGTGAGGGATAAACGTTTTTAAGCTACTAATTAATTAAACACACTATTGCGGTTGTGCGACTGAATACGGGAATGCATCACGGGATGCCGTGGCATTGAAATACCAACAACAGAGTCTGAATAATGCATGCGTAGGCGTTGCCCCGTAACGGAGGATGTTTAATGGGTAGGCATTATAAGGCACTGAGAAGGGGAGTGTATGGCGGATGCTACTGTGGCTGCTCCAAGATCATGGGGCAGAAGCAACAAGCCACGCTTAATCGAATCACGACGAGTCATAGGCTTTGAAGAAAGAGTCCACTTCAGTAAAGACAGAGTGAGTTGGCTTCCCACACATAAAAAGCCGCTTACATATATGTAGCAGCTTAAAAACAAAAGGAAAACAAACGAAGTCGCGAAGCGAGAGATGAGTGAAAGAATTAGGATTATCTTCACATGCGTACACACAGTGCTACTAATGTAGCCAGCCGGTACACCATCGTCATGTGCAGACCCCACTGTTGGGGTCAGAGGTCGCACCATGGGTGAATTGCGTGTACACCAATACACCAAAATCTAACAAAGTTAGGACGATCACATACAAGTCGATGTATGAGAAAGAAGTAACTACAAGCACTTTTCTCAGTGTGTTGAGAAAATTCAAAAAAATAAGTTCATTTGAGAAATATAAGAATAATGCTTATTGAAAAATATTGGAAGCTTTGCAAAGTGAGAAAAATTCGACTTCAAAATTTTAACAGTTTGAAGCGATAGTGGCAGTTTGATGTGTATACCTCAAAATTACTCAAAGTTGGAGAAAATGAAGCGATTTGGTTTTAAAAGCTACAAAAAACAATACCACTACAGCACAAATTTCTATCGTTATGGGAAAAGGACAATTCAAAGGGGAAGTGAAGCCTTCCAGCACTATACATAAATAGACAAGTGCCAATGAGATAATGAAGTGAATGCCATACAGCGAAACACTTAATGTTTTTTTGCATATTTTGCGTGGGGAACAAACATAAAACCTAGAAGATGAGAAAAATTGCGACAATTACACAGCAGGAGTGGTTTGCAAGCAAAACATAATAAAGTAAAATAGTGACCCTACAAGAGCACGGATTAGCCCTAAATTTTAGCAAGTTTGAAATCGAATCTTGAACAGTGGCGAAACTAACGCTCCATATGTGAAGCAGAGAATAAACACGTTCAGTAAACGGACAAATAACCCAACTGAAGAGTAAATGATTAACTTTTCGATCCGGTACAGCGACGGGAAGCTTAAAAACGAACATTTAAATTTGTTGAAAAGCGACCAATCCACATGAAAATGCGTTGTCTAGATAGTGATTTCTCAAATGCAAAAAGGCGACCTGCACGACGAATTCATTAAGTAATGCAAATGAGGAAGCGCTAAACCCTCAAAGTAGAGCCTGCAGAATTCGCATTTGCTCTCCCAAAGATTCACTTGCTCATGATTCATTCAACTGAATTAAGTGTTATCTCAGACTGGAGATCTAGTCAAAAAATGTGAAGTATGAAAAATGCAAAGTGGAGATGAAACAGATCAGAGGTACACCTACACGTCTCACACGAATAGCGACTCCAGCTGAGTTGTTTGGTCGCTCAGTAACGGCGGCGGGGGAAGCACCGGAAGCCTGAATTGTAGAAGAAGCCTAGACGGAAAGAGAATGGACACAAAAAATTAGATCCCACAGCCGCTAGTAATCAACGACGAGCTAGTGAGGTCGGACTGCGTACTACCCTCACCCTTGGCGTGGTAATGACCCAAAAGACGATTGGTTAAGAGATACCAATCAAACTGGCACGTCGTGCAAATATCATCAAACCGTCGTGGTGAGAGAAAGGCGCGTGGCCTCAGAATTTCACCAATCGTCTCTGGGCATTCGTATTATATGTGGCGCCCATCCTCGCAAACTTTAACGCCTCTCTCGGATTGGTGGAAAGTGATAGTGAAAAAAAGCAATGTTCAGAACCATAAAGGAGTCTTCAGTCGTGGACACCGACACAGGTTTATTTAACGGCCCATAAGCTAGTTTGCGGACTTTATCAGTCTAGCTTCACGCGTTGGATCGTTTACCCAACAGTCCGGTTGTTTTGCACACGCATTATGTTTCATAGTTCATGGCCAAGAAAACGCCCATTTAGAAGCAACAGGTGCAGTGCAGAACTATGGAGACTATGAATAAAGGACAGTCAAAAGCGTTAAAGAAGCATTTACAAAAATGTTTCGGAATCAATCCTGTGATCATGGAAAAAGTTTTTCACGGGAAATTCTTGGGCTGGAATCACAAAGAATGTGTTCGAATCGATGAAGAAAACCTATGAAATAAGAAGAAAACGAATATACTGTTCGCCTCGAGTAGGACTGAAGTTGACATGACATCTCGAGGCGAGTCGACAAAACACTTTCCTCTAGAAGCCTTAATTATTTCATAATTATTTGCTACAGCGTTCACTCATTATCGTGCAGGGAAATGGGCTATTTGGAAGCAAAAGCTTCAAAATGCAAGTCGAACCGTGGATGAGAAATGTCTGAGACAGAGCAAAGGTAACGAGGTCGCCTTGAGCTCATGCATACACACAGACTCAACTGAAAGCTGGGCGGAATAAAAGTGCAGCGTTCAAACAAGTGGTGACGGATAGAAGTGGAGAGTACCTCAGGATTTTGACCATCCCGGAAATCCAAGCGGTAGGGTCGTTGGGCAAAGGTGTGAGGTGATGATGTGGGGGAGGTGGACTTGTGGCGCTGGGGTGTCACGCTAGTCGCCAGGACGGCAGAGGAGGAGGCCTGCGCCGTGGCGGCCGTTTTACCACGCTCCAGGGTCTGGGCCGAGACCCACTTGCGATTGCACCCAGTGTAACCGAAGGCCGCCAAAGACACGTTGAGATAGCGTGGCGGTGGCCCTGAAGAAAGATACATGAAAGTACCATCATGCACCCTTCTCGTCCTTCTCCTTAAGTATGCACAGGCATGTGAGTGGTGAATGATCATTCTTAATGAGGTCAGAAACTATTGCGATAATCATGTACAGTCCAAGTATCGGGCGGAGATTCAACTATCTGTGGATGCAGTGAAAAATGACCTTTCGACAGCTTACTTGCCAAGTCACAATGAAGGAGCATGGAAGAATGGACTAAGCAATAGACCCCTGGGTAGAAAAAGCGATATTCTAAAGCGAGATTTTGGGCCTTGAACGCATAGCATGTTCCTTTGAGTTGCGGAGTCGTGCATATAACATCCTGAAGCAACAAGGAAGTTGAATAATGGTAAGTGAATGGTAAAAGATAGGTAACAAAGAGGGAGAACCAAGTGAGTATATTTTTTGGATGATTGAAAATAAACTGAAAATCAGATCGATATTTGCACTTCAGTAGAGACTACTGTTTCCATATTTAAATCGGAAATTTGAATGTATCAATGGAGAGAAGACAAAACCGAGCCTACAATTGTAGTTAAACTCTATAAAGTTTACCCGAACACATGCAATAACTGCACAACGAACGAGACTAATTAGGTAAGTGAACTGCGACGGGACAAAGTCGCATATAAATCTCCCAAAACTTGGTGAGATCATGCTCTTAAAAATGATGATTGCCTTAAATGAAGATTCACCCTGAGCAAGGCATTGCTGAAGGGGTTCATTTGTTATTGGGTTCAATGCAAGCTCCATTAGGTTAGTAATCCATATAATTGACCTCGGTGTACCACTAATGTTTCAACAGGATTGTGCTTAGTTCATAAAAAATAATAAAATCTTTGTGTCTTGATAAGGGCAAGGTAAAAACCCAATTTCGAAGTTAGATTTGCGCGAAGCAATGCACTTCTAATAGATACAGAAGAAAAAAACTGAGTAAATTTTGCAATAACCACGGAAGACAGACAGAAAGTGGCAGCGCAGACAACTGTTTAGGCAAATTTTAACAAGTAAATTGCAAATTATGCCATCCTCATAATTCAACGGGAAATCAACAGTCTCCAACGCTAATCCGCCTTCCCGGACTCGTCCAGGCAGTATGCAAGATTGCGCCCCCCCCCCCCCCCCTCTATTTACAGCCGAGGAATACCACAGTGAAGTGATTAATACTGCTATTAAGGCGCATCTTAATGGCGCTAACACGCCTTCAGTACAGCTAGGGTACATTTGGAGGGTTAACATACACCTAGACGGGGGATTAGCAGGGAATAGCATTGGAGACAAAAACAATCACGGAGACATGCACACACATGGACGTTTGCATGGTATAACGCAATAGAGCATACACGCAAATGACACGTAAACCACACAAGTCGCAGAACAAGAACTGAAGAAGAGGGAAGAGTGAATTAACGTGACCACATTCAACCACTTTAGTGGAGAATTTTCCCTCCCTTAACAAGTCTTAGGGAAAATATATTTACTAGTAGACATCAAGGAGCGATAAAATTTAAATTATTTAAATTGGGAGTTTTTTACCAGCAAGTACGCGGAATATTTAATGCTAGTTTGTACAAAAGTTGTGGTGGTGAAAAGAAATCATCATTACCACATATGCAAAGTGCACGTGATGTGGGAGGATGAGAACCCCAAACTGAAATCGTAAAAAGGCACACACAAGGTAGAGGTCGACAATGAACAGGACCTGTTTCTAGTAAGAAGTGGTGCCAACATCACGCAAGCAGATTTGTCACCGTCTTCAAAGGGAAAGAGCAGAGCGATTAGCGGCCCCGCCAGACGCGAGTGGTGTGCTGTGTATGGACAATGGGAAACGACGGTATATCCAGGGAAGCGTATTCATTCACGACCCAGTGAACAATATAAGGTTTGTAAATTTCACAAACAATATGTCCATCAAGAGGTGGGGGCCAAGAACCGACCCAGACTATGCAATTGCGTAAAATTAGTGTCGTTAAGAGGAAATACTTCATTACTAGGGCAGTCAGGTAAAACTGAAGGTGTGTCGCAGATAGCACGCCTTTCAGACGATCGAAAAAAGGCATATGTGGTGCCTACTTCCGTTTAACACCTTCAGGTAGGACAAAAAATGCAATTAATGTGGAGAATGAGTCATTTGTAAATGTCACTGTCACATCCACGCAGTGAATACACAAATGGCAAAATTATATATGAGTTGGCAGATGCAAAGCGGTGATAAAATTTCTATGCCACTAAGAGGTGAACAACAATAAATTATGCAAAGGTTTTCCTGCTTCCACACCTCAAGAATAAACAAAGCGAACAGAAGAAAAAAAATGAGAAAAAGTATGTCAGACAGAGTTTCGTGAACTCTCAGAACAGTCCAGACCGGTAGTGAGTCACAATATAAGGTGAAGCAACGCCTGGTTCGCGTAACGCAAGGTTACGGTAAGCCAGAAATTATAACCACATAACACCGTCACTACTGCTACAAATTCAGATACATGTCACTATCGACATACAATCGCAAAGTAGAACCACTAGGTGTTCAAGAAACACCAAAGCATATCAGGTATTGGGAAGTGAGCATTAGAAACACCCTACGAATGTAAAGTGAACGTTCCATTATGCAAAAAAAAACATGCAAACTAGGAGCCTTTACTACTGAAGATTAATTTTAATCAAACAGAGTGACAAAACCCCTCAAATAAAAGCGGTTCTACCTCGAGGCCAAAGGTGGTCTCCGCATCACGCTGGTTACAAATCCCAGTTTAATTACGAGGGTACTCTCGCAATTTAACGCAAATTGTATCGTAAATGAGCGAGAATAATAAGCACGGAAGAGGATGACCAATGTAATCGAAGCATTACCATGGAATCAAATAAAGACCAATAGAGTATTTTCTACTGTAAAAACATGGCTAGCCCAAAGTTGTACGTATGATTTGTGTGCCACGTGGACCAATGACCGCACTCAAAAGGCTTGGTTTTTCAAAAGGTGGGAAAAAACGAAAGCTACGGAAGTATGGGATGAACGGTAAAGAGAATTTGTCAAGCCAAATGGGAGGTGACTACGAAAGTTTCCAGGAAGTGATGCAGTTAGGACGACTTCGAGACCATCACAAGGGAGCACGCACCGAGCATTACAACCACCTACCTCCCAAATGTGCTACAACACGAGAAATAATGAAAGCTGAGTAGAATTAATGAGTCACGTTAACCTGGGCGTCAGCCCATTGAGGGCGAACACCATGAGCTCTCTGACTCACGGCAAAAAAAACGCACTAGGGGGTGCGGTTGGGTGACCAACCAATCGACACATCAGACCAAATAGAAATAATTAAGCTACTGGGCAGAATTAACATATTTCAGCTAAGCTTTTACGAAAAACATAATGAGCAAAGTGAAATTTCACTATTCAGATACACGGCACGGGTAGGAGGCCTAACACCGACCAAAAATAAGACAGACAATGTCTATCCACCAATCTGATTGATTGCAATGTCACAATTCATTATCATAATAGGATTGTGTTTAATATGCCTCAGAGGCGAGACAAAGAAGTCGTCGGCTAATTCAAGAGGAGTACAGTAAAATGAAAAAAGCAATTGTTTATAATAGTATCTGAAGCATTGGTGTGCAAATTAAAGATTCCAGTAACTTAACATTGGCAATAACTAGCTGGCACTTTTATTGAAAGGTATTTTAAAAAGCGATAAGACGAGTATGTGGTTGGATGAAAGAAAGGACCACTGCGGCTATGAATTAGGGTGGCAAATGTTAATCCAAAGAAAAGAAGAACGTGCGACAGGAATGAATAATAATGGAACATATTCAGCACCGATATAACAAACACACCGGTGATTTACATAACGGTCGTAAGTATTAGATACGTTACACAAGAAAGCTATGGGTATTACTCATCCTAAGGCATGAACTACTAGGTTTTAGCAAAGTTGCACCATCATGTTCGACAGCAATTGGTTCACCCACCGAAGAAACAGCAATGTTTTAAAATAAATAAGCGACAAAAACTGCCACAAAACAAGCAGGAAAGATAAATCAAATAAATCTGTACCTAGGAGCACACAAGCGAATCGACCGCATGTTGCTTATAAAATCATAAAATGTCTATTTTTCGTAAGCGTTCGAGAACCAATTTACATTACAATAAGCAGGTATTCAGGTGATGGTTAGCATTATAAGAGATGAAACTCACCTATACCTGTAACCGATGGAGAGCTGAAGGCAGAAGAAATTTGGGTCGTAGGATTGTCCTGTTTCGTGGAAACTGAAACAACTAAATCGAATCCAAAGAAAACGTAACACAATTTGGTCCGAGGGAATATTGACGACGAGACTTCCAAAAATTGCAGATTCTAGGTTTCGCATAAATTAACTAGGCTTTAAGGACTAACCACAAAGTGTAAGTTTAGCACAGAGAAGGGTAAAAATTTAAAAAATTTCAAGGGAATGATTGGATTTCTGATTGTTTCGCAAACAAAGTAGTAGGAGTGCAAGGTTTGCATTTGCAGCAGGAATTAACATCCTAAAATACAATCTGGTGACAGACAAAGTCAAATTGATATCACTCACCAGCGCCTGTACTGTTCAGTCTTCCCGATCCATACGAGAAGGTTTCCTAGAAAATATGTTTAATCAATACATGAACACTTCTATCTAGAAAAAATAATTAAGGAACACCTCAACTCACCTGTCGAATACCATTCCCACTTGCTTCAAATGGCTCATCCGCCAGACTGATTGTCCCAGTCGGAGAGTTGCACAGGCTAGATGTTGAGGTATTGGGTGGGGGAAGGGCCCGCCGTTGAGTGGGAGCAGAGCCGAAGTCATCAGCTGATTGTGAGACGCACTTATCAACTGCACCATCAAGAGTGGCTGCACGAGTAGAGAAATTACCTAAGATACATAAACAATAGGTAAAAACAGACATTCTGGAGGGAGAAAATGAAAAAACAGTACTTGGGGACGCCTTATGGAGAGAATTCTTGGGAGGAGCCATCAAATGTTTGCTGAGCCATCGCCGAATCTTCCGACCGGTAGAAATTTGTGGCGAAGATTTCTCAATGACACCCTCCAAAGGGTTGGCACTACCATGAGGAGGCGAAAAGGACCCTAGCTTGGGAACGGTGCGCCGAATGGTTAAACGACGTGCAAGTCTAGAAAAAAATGTTGACCGGGGAGTCGAATTAGTTTTCTCGGGTGTCTTTGTGATAGGAAAGTTTGCAAGTTCAGCAGGATGATTCGATGCCAAGTTTGGCGAAATTTTTGGCTCATTGCAATTAGCAGAACACTGAATCACTTGACCGTTATTCTGGATTGACGACTCAATAATTGGAGATGAATTAGGACCACTAGTCTCGGATTCAAAAGTACCGAAATGCGGCATGTCATAAAAATCTTGAGACTCCAAGTCGATTGTCTTTGTATATGTGGAACCACCTAAGGTGATATTCATCTTCGGCTTATATTCAGAAACATTCCCGCCTTTTGGGGTCAATTCACGCCAGGCATTGGCATTTCCAAAAGGACCTGTCAAGCCACCACTGCCTTTAGTAAAGAATAATATAATAACAAATAAACATACTTTCAGGGACATTACAGCCCTGCATCCCCCACTAAAGCATAAAAATCCGAACGACCGGTGTACCAGGAATATGAACAACCAAGGTTAATGAGCACCCAAATAATGACCCAATCAATCTCTACCATTTACGCCGTTACATGATAGGACTACTCATTCCACTAGTTAGAAAGAAACAAAAGTAAATGGTGAAAATACTATCAGAAGAATGCATAAACATAATGCAAAACAGATGAAGGAAACAGCTAATTAAGTGGAAATTGTATTTAAGCTAAAATGCCAGAAAAGTACACTTGAAATCCACCTCCAGAAGAATTATACAGTTTTTTAGTTTTTTTGACCTTCGAGGAAATGGGTGGTTATAATAGAGATGGTTTATGCGAAATGGTGCCAGTGCCGCAAAATCCGAAACACTCCATTTAAAAATGAGCCTAATAGCAGTAACAAATCCTTTGTTTTTCAATCTTAAAAATATTTTGGCGGGCTTTAAGCAATACAAAGGCGTAGTAGATACAAAACAAGCAAAGACAGAGCAATTCTCCCTGGTCCAAAAAATGGAAGGATACTAAGGACGTTTTTCGCATTGCAATAGCAGGAATTAACAAAACAATAAAATGTGCAAAACCATGCGCATATATTCTTTATAGCTAATATTCCCCCGGAGAACCACAGTTCCCCAGACACGCCTATAAACCCTCATCTCTTTTAGAGTCCAGCAGCATACAGCAGCGACTTTGTTTCTGATTAGGTGCACTTTAACTGAATAAGCTCTTGTGTAGCATCCCAAGACTCCCTGAAGACGAAAGAAGACACAATACTCGGGTAGAATTTATATATTCAGCACGGAGGAGGTGTTCGGGCTATTGGCATGGCTCAAAAGGCCAGCCCACCCAGCCGGGTACAAGGGGGCTAATTCGAAGTACAAAAGTGGCGCCTCACCAGAACCAAGGGGCAAACCACTATCGTAGTACATAGCCTCCCTCCTCTTTTGAGCGTCGTCCCCGGCGCTCCCGCAGGTCAACCTCCCGCGTCAGCCATTACAACGTAGTCGGTGCAGTAAAGAAACACCCACGAGCCGACCGTGCCAGTCACCAAATTAGTGCGCAACTGAGGGGATATTTGACCTCAACGTCACTGATCCCTCTTGGCGGCTTGACTGGATCTGGGGTTTCGTCCGGTTTAGGGGTTTGATTCAGGACGGGGAACGGCGTCGGCCATAATGTGTGTCCATAGATAGATGCAGGAACACTGGCCTAGAAGCAGATCTGAGTAAGAAAGTACAAGATTCAAAACAGGTCCATGGGGGACGGTAGGGAAAATCCGTAACGAAACTTCCAGATATTTCACGGCTAGTGTCGCCTCAGTTGTTAATGGCTTTTCTGCAGAACACAGGACTGGGAGAGATGTTGAAGGTAGACGTAAACATCAACCCTTCTGTTAGGGGTCATCACCATTCTCCCATCCGTAGCATATGCACTTCCTCCGTTCCACTAAGGCTTATCACGCAGAAGTGGAAAATCAGGATACATGTCTTTCAAGATCGGGTTCGCTTTCCGCTGCCACCAATGTAGCGTCCCAAGACTCCCTGAAGACGAAAGAAGACACAATACTCGTGCAGAATATATGTATTTAGCACGGAGAAGGTGTCTGGGCTATTGGCATGGCCCAAAAGGCCAGCTTATCCAGCGAGGTACAAGGGGGCTAATTCGAAGTACAAAAGTGGCACCTCACCAGAACCGAGGGATAAACCACTATCGTATTACAATTGCGTTTGTCCTAGTTGTGGTCTCGCCTTGTCCCATAGTTTTCGGAGATGGCATTGGCATACTTGTCAGCCGTCACCTACTTGCGTCAGATTGAAAAAAATCAGATGAAAGCAAAGATGTAACTTGGCTTGCCAGTTCTAGTTTTTATACTAGCTCACTTTAGGCTAGTTGGCATTTATTATAAATATTTCTAGTTTTCCTGTTCCTAGGATCTAAAGTATTTCAACTGATAGTCCTTTTAAGCAGTCAAAATGAATACTTAATGCTAGTTATACTAAACTTTTGCAATTTGCACAAAGTAGCATTTCTTTGTGCTGATGTTTTTCAAATGTACTGCGTTTGTTGGTACGCGAACAAAGTTGGTGTGTTGCGTTTGCTAATGCGTAAGCACTTTTTTTCTTGTTATTCCCATGTAGATTCCAGTGACCACATCCTTGAAATCGAGAATAACCGTCGGGCTGAAGACCTCAGAGTCAAAGTTAATTTGTTAAAGTCGGTAAGTATTCAGCTACCGACCTTCATATCTACTTCACTGATCTATTTGGTTAAGCAGCACGCACTAGCCCTTCGTATGCCTCACCTAGTTTTCTAAAACTTCGTTTGAATCGAAACCCTATTTTAGTCGTCTTACTCTACTGTTACAAATATAATATTCCACCGGAATTCCAAGGTGTCAAAAATTGCCTTGGTGAATATGAAACTGCGGCAAACAGTTCGCGTTTTAATATTATTCCTTTTTTGTGTCTCTTGTCCCATCTTTACATTGTGTTGGAATGGAGTAGAGACCCGCCCACATATTACCAAACGAATTGGCTTACTTTTTTATTCTTCCCCAAAAGTATGCTAAGGAAATAAGAGATGAAACAAAAGAACAAAACCGGTTTCTTGACACCGTTCAGTACGCGGCGGATTCGGCGGGCAGCATGCTAGGGAGGACAGTGGGTCGAATAATAGGCATTCCCGATGGTAGACAGAACAACCGCAAGCTCCTCTGTCTGACCATCCTCACGTTTTTCGTTGTATTTGTAATCTACACCACTGTGCGGCATCTGCCAGTTTGACGGACTGCCCGCGCCTACACATCGCCAACCCACATCTTTACCACCCCAAACCCGGAGCTATTCATCCTTTTTATTTGCCATCTGTTCTTGGTCAAAGAATTGTACACGTCTTGCGAGTACTTCAGTACTAAATGGGCCATGGAATGGTTTTGCAACTTGCATAATGGAACACAGACACTAGAAAGGTGAGGAATGTCAGGTACGCACTCAAGGCTATTGACTTGCAACTAAATAGGCGGTATACGAACTTCAAGATAAAACCGACGGACGGGAAGACTGCACCGCGGTGAGACGTGGACGCGACCTGCCGAGATCGTAGGGGATGCCACGCAGCAATGACGCATTAGTTCCACAAGTGCTTGGGATTTGAGTAACACTTGTTGTATAGGAAACTAGCACTAAACGTCGTTACTAGGGAATACCGGTAGGATCTCAGCTTTCGATCATGGAAAGTTTTCGCCAGTGATGCTGAGGCTGTAAACGCTGTACTCGGTAAATAAAACCATCAACTGCGTAAATCCTGTAAGGCCACGCCTCAAGATCAGTCGTTGTTCAATCAAAGCATAGTTGCGGAAAATAGTGACACCATATAACGACCGGGCATAGGCAAAACAGGAGACAAACGACACTAATATAATGCGGGATCGAAACTGTTGCCATAGAGCATCTTCCAACATTTAGGTGACTTCCAGGATACGGCGCCGTTGACAGGATTCACCTTCAACCAGCCATTGAGCGCATGGGCCATGAAGAACGCGTCGTTGCGGTTGTCACCGTCACACGTGAAGGTATTCAGAAGAACAGCTGGAATGGTCTGCGCCTTCTCCATCGCTGAAAATAAGGGCAACGCAGCCCCGGAACCGGGAAGATTAAGAGCCAAGTAACTAGCAACACTTTGATTATCACCATCCAAGACCTCCTCCCTGACCAACTTCATCAATCCGATGCGTGAGAGGGCCTCGATATCCTCTACTTTTGTAGCTGACGTCACAGAATATTGAAGAGGCGGTCCACGAAGCTGTTGATCCTAGAAAAAAAATGTTTAAAAAGGCAAATTAATGGCGTAGCAAGAACAACACAGTAGGCATGGGCCGACGTGTATGCATTCAAATCGAAGTACTTCTAGTGAGAATTTATGCAAATAGTGTGAAACGTGAGATCATTGGATGGGGAAGGAAATACAGCTAGTTAAAGGACGATCGTGCTTCCTCGTGTCGAGAAATAATGCACAAAACTGGCGCCAAAACCCCGAAGCACAAACACGGGGAAAAGCACTCAATGTTTAGCAAATCTACCTTTCGGGTCATGGCAAAACTACTCGAGAGGAGGACCACACGAGAGAATTTTTGCTGCATGATAAAGTCGACTATTTCCGTGGCAAAACGATCACGAGCACCAGGGAAAACGGGCACGCGAACTTGCAGCAGCGAGAGCCCACGGGAATCGTCATCGTAGAGCTAAAAGGCAAGAAATGATAAGTCAAACAATTGCAGCGATAACTGGTGTGATTTTAGAAAACACTAGAACAAATATAAGCCAAAAAATATACTTCTAAAGAGCATGCCAAGGGAGCAGTGGAGGATAGTTCGGGGTAAGGTGGGGGTCCAACAACGGGTGGGACGTGAGGAGAGTTGAGGTAGCCCGCGAAGGCTGATTCAATTGATGATATGAGGACGTCCATGCAGAGTTGGCCGACGTTTCCAACGCCAGCACACGCGATGATAAAAGTGTATCCCTGCCGTCCTTTAAGAGAGCACTCTGGGTTGGATGACACGAGGAAACACATCTAAGAGGGCATAAGATTCTATCAGTGCAGAGTAAAGCAATTGACTTTCAACTGAAGGGACTCAGAAGAATATAACACATTTCCGCAACACTGATAAAAAACTACCGATAATCAAGACAAAGCAAGTGAAACCGGGTCTAAATTTCCCTTAACTACGGGACCATAAGTGACTAGGATCATGGAAGACGATAAACAATAGAAACACCGGTCGCGTAAAAACACCAGTTCAGCCCGGAAGGATCGTAAGTTACGTACAAACGTAGAAGGCACCTTCGTGAGTTAGAATTAATTGAAATACATTAAGATCCAATGAACACAAGTGAGGAGTACAGCGGCTGGATGCGCTTTCTTCCAAGCCTATGATGTGAAATACACACAGAAAATGACTGTTCACATTACATAATTTGGAGGCAGCCATGTGAAGTCGATTAGTAAAGTAAAACAAAGTAAAATGCCATCAGAAAATATCCCGGTACTTCACTGAATTTTTGCACCTACAACTAAAAAAACATGGATTAAAAGACAAAAAATTTTAGTACAACTCATATTTTGGTGTGATTAAGGACGGTTTGATATTGCACGTGTAATAAAGTAATTTAAGAAATATTAAAGAGCAACCGAACCCACTTACGTAGGCAAACTATTGCCATGGATGATATCCTTTTTAACACACGTACTTACAAATTAAATGCGCCTTTTCTGCCACCAACTTTCCCAGTTAAAATCTATGCTGCTTTCAATAAATGGCTCCACTTACTTTCGAGATTTGCCTATTGTGAAAAGAATTATCAACGCTTATGGCGAACACTTTTAGATTAGCCATTAATGCTAAGAGTAATGAGCATGTGGCACGTAACAAAGCAACCAAAGTGTCAACTACTTGTTGTGCAATTTAGAAATGGCAGCTTTTCGAATACAGAGGTAACGCGTTATCGTTCACGAATATACCGGCGGATAGGGATTTTTATTCAATTTATTCTAGCAGGCAAATAGTTATTCGGTGCAAAATATCATGACTTACATGCCTGAGGTCCGTTAACTGATTCTGGTTTCTTCGTCAGCGGAAGCGCAATATTCCCTTTGATCTTTAAATCAGTGCACATACAAAATTGTGCTTTTAAAATGTGTATGTACATATAGATGAAGAGTTGTTTGTTTGTTATTATGTAATATGCGCAAGGAATTGGCTACATAGCAAATTTGTTGAACTAGTAATAATCAGGTCTTATTCTATAACAAATGCTTCTTAAAGCATCAGCCTAATGGGAGTTTTAAGGAAGTTCCTCCTTGAGCTGCTTGATTAAATCAACATCTTTAAGCCTATTCAAAACTTCTGCTTGCAGGCATTTACCATCTTACTTTATTTCTATGTTCTCTTTTCGTATTGCACGACCTCTGCTTTGATTGGGGATTCATAAACAGCTTGCAAAATTGAAGTCTTTAGTCAAGCGGATTGCAGCTTACATGGCATAGTGTAGCTCAACAGTGATTTTAAATCAACGTTCGACTATCAACACCCTCGAGTTCATTCAGGTTTATGCAAAAGCCCAACAATTATGGCATATGTATCAGGCACATTCATTACAGGCTTTTTATGATTGAATTATAATACAGAATTCTGGTAACTATTTTACACTTTGGCGTATTTTGCACTTAATAATGCACTTTCATTTACCCATGAAACTCAATTTAGACCACTTTCATTGCAAAACATGCTGATTGCTTTACTTAATCCATTTTTTAGATAAAACGTCCCTATTCAGTTTTGAACCTTAAGTAATGACTGAACACACCCATACCATATCGACAGGAATAAAACGAGAAGCCTCATTATCATATATCAGCTCGCCTTATATGGCCGCAATAATAGGAGACGATGATCTAATTAAAAACTGCGAAGAAAGTATAGACACCTTCAGCCAAATCTCCACAAAACTTGCCCCTTGTGATTGGCGATCGACCCTTTTTCAGGTTGAGAGCTTTACACCAAGCACTGAAAGCCCTGTAGAAAGCGACACCAACGCAGAGGTATCCTATCACCCAGAATGGTATTCAGTCGGATATCTCACTGACGGTCGATACAACTCTTCCTCATTCTCTAAAATTCTGCCAAAACCACAAAAATGTGGTGAGATTCCACCGATTGCCAGGCACTCTATACTCATATTTAGTGAGTCGGAAAGTGATTTTAACGTTCACTTTTCAACGAAGGTGTCTTTTCGAGCAGCCGAAATTAAAGGATGTTCATATCGGGTGCCTCTGCCCCTAGTATCAATAGAATTTACCCCAGCAAGTTTCATTGCCCATGAATTTAGCAATGAGAGCTTTAACACTGGCAAAGGGAACGATGAAAGAATCACTGATTGTCAGTGTGTGTCAGTCGATTGGCACACAGTGGCCAAAGAATCGCCACCGAGTAGTATTGATATGCAATCACAGGAGCCGGAGCGCACGGAAAGCACTTTTTATGATAGGCTTAAAGAATCTAAATCTCTCCAAGTGCCGATGCAGATTTTTCTCCATTACCATTTACATCGTTGTAGAAGGGAGAAGATTTTGGTGTTGAGACATAGGCAAGACTACTTTGAAGCCTTTAAATGACTTACAAAATATTGTTACCTTAATGCAAATGTGTAAATATATAGAGGGTAAAATGAATGCAAGCTACAATTTATGAAACACAAAGCAATTGCTTTTAGTTCTATTTCAATTTCTATTGGTAATTTGTTAATAATTTGAGCTAAAGTGGACTTTTTGGTGACTTGCTTTACTGCCATTATTATTAATCCAGTGATATTTGTGGTTAGGTTGAATATTATATGGTCGCGTAAAATGTGACCACAAAGAGCACTGCGTTGCCGAAAATAAATTAAAATCTAATGCTTAATACAGTGGCTATTTTGAGACTTACAAAAACCTTTGGGTGCTAAATTGGAATTTCACGGCAGTAATGGTGACTTTTGTATTTTCACTTATCAATTTTACTTTAACGTTAGATATCCAAGAGTGTTGCGAGTCCTTCCGGATCCAATTAGTGCAATAACATCTACAAGAGCAGTGTTAAATTACAGTATCTTGATCCGCATTGAACCCATCCTTAAAGAAAATGCCTCGAAAATTGGAAGAAAGTATTGGCAGCATAAAAACAACTTTCTCAACGAACGACCAGTAGCAGATATTGACAGGCTAGAGCTATCACCAGCCCATACTCCCGAGGTTTTTGATTCGATGAGAAAAACAGTTCGGTCTTTAAAGCTTACGGCTTGCTCAGCCAGCAGTGAAGCAAAGACAATGTCCTACCACGATACAGTGAATAGGTGGGTAATAAAAAGCGCAAATATTTATGAAAATGTCAAAAATTATAGCAGATAAAAGCGTAAGAACCTGGCGATACGACCCTCATGCCCGTTGCCCATTTTCTCCGTTGGTTTCAAAAGTTTGCTTGGTATATTTTGATTAGATCGATTCTAAGTTATAGTGAAACGGCTTTATTTATAAGATTCTGACATAAGAAATAGATGCATTTAATAGGGAAACAGAATAGTGCACAAAAATCCGATTGTCTAGTAAAAATTAACGAAACCGTAAAAGTTTATTTTTATCAATCCAAACTATGTCGATACGCAAATAACAAATCACCGAACTTTGAAAGCTCGATTTTCCCCGGGTAAATGGAGGCTTTCTATCACACGTTTGGGTTTTGTGAGTTGCTTAAGTGTATCCTTTTTTGTCTTCCTACAGTGTTCTGCAGAGTGCCCCCTCGTTAACAAAATCAAAAGTCCTCTTAGCCCAAATTAAAACAGTTTCATCGGGATGCGCTGATGGAACTCACCCGAACATGCCGATAAACGCACTGAGTTATTGCATTGCCAAATCACTTACCCTTCATCTTTCTGGACGAAAGTTTAGACAGGAATGCTTTCACTCAAACATACTTCAACAAAGTCTACCTCATTTGCAAAGGGAACCGCGTCTGATGCAGCAGGTTGAGGTGGTTTCCCACAACGTCGCAGAAGTTGAAGTCGCTAATGAGAGACCTTGTACCGGCAGACCTGAGAATAGATCTCCTCCTGGGGACAGTGCTTCACCTTGCCTATCCTTCTACCTCATTCCAGAAAAACGACCCTCTGATCAAATCACGCTTGACGTAAAATGCTGCCCTGCATCCGATAAAGCGATGCTTGTAAGCGGACATTTTAATTTTATGTCAATTTCATTTCTGTAATCTATATATTTGTGATGCAGAAATGATTAATATCGAAAAACGCACTTGAGAATGCTTATATTCTATCACGGTGAAAGGTTAGTCTCCGTTACAAGGCAACTAAATACTGTTTATTTCGTAGGATGCACTACCAGCAGACGGAGCAAATTGTGTGGAACGTAGATTTCTCAAATTGATATCCCAGAAAGCGAAATTCCATCGACGCAAGCCTCCGAAACCGCGGACAGAGGAGTGCAACGTTGTCACGCCCTCACCGCTGCAAAACTACTGCGCCATCACTCTCAACGATTGACAGTTGTGAGCGATGAACCCTGTGAGGTTTTACTGCTATTTCATATTCGCAAAAGCCTCTTGATTTAATATTACAAGCATCATCATAAAGGTTATGAAACTCCCTACAGCGTGAATTGTAGTTGAATTACTAATACAATTTTTATTCATCTTCCCTTTTTGAACAAGAGTTTTTTTGCCTGTTAGACATTTTGGTCAGCGTTACGTAAAATTTGGCAGACGAATGGTCTTGTTACAAATGCGGTACTGCTAAGCTTTTGCATTTTTGAAACTGGACAAGTTACAAAATATTATTTATCGTACCCAAGAGTTTATCAAAAATACCATAAAATCTTGCTTAAGTGGCCCGCTTTTCAAGTAGGGGATAAAAAACCATTGCTAAAGGTTTTGCGTTTGAAATTAGCTTCTATTAGAATGACTAACTGATAGGACCGAATCCCATTGACTCTCTTTGAAAAGCACCAATTAATGCCACCTTAGAAGACTGACAAGTTTCGATAAGTAAACTTGTATATTGATGACGGGATAACGATCATTGTTTGATAACGAAGACCATTGTTATTTAGCTATATTCCGAGTCTTTCACGAGGAAGTCATTAATTATGAGGAATGCTTTTAGTTGCAAGACGCACCGGTAGGTTTCCATGGTCTGAAAAAAAGATAATGCTAACAACAATGTACCTATTCAGAGCGATTTAGATATTGACGAGGTGCTAGAGAAGCTGGCTTGAACCAAAAGGCAAAGTCGTGTCGTCTTCTAAATCCACACCTATCAACAGGAGCATCATCCACAGTAGCTATATGAAGAGATGGGATTATCTTTGAAATGGCCGATCTTATCCGATCAATACACAATTGTGCCTTCGTGGAGTAGGGAGTGGGTGAGAGAGAAACGCAGTAGTCGATGGTGAGATAAAAAATAGTAAACGCGGATGGTGTGTACAAGGTGGGAGAAGACGGTAAGGGTGGGTTAGGCGCACCAAAGTGTCCCGACTTTGATTCGCATCAACCTCAGCACCGCACATTCATCCCATGGCAGTGTGTGAAACCATTCTCAAAGGAGACTGCAGACCTTTTTGCGCTGAGGTGGGCTCTTCATCATCTGAAAACGGATAGACAGGTAGGAGATTTTAAAAAGTTGAGGGTGGAGTAAAATAGGACGCGGTTTAGTAGTGCTACTATGTTCAAGGTGCTTCACCTGTCTTTCGGGATGAAAGTTTATGTCTCGTTGCTTTTCTAAGGTCATCTTTGATCCACAAATGTAAGATGTATTGAAATCTATGTGGAAGTTAATGAAAACTGCGACTTTTACGCAAGATGACAGGAACAAAAAGTGCTAAAACAAAAAGGTCGCCTTTTTAGGAAGACCATTTTGGACTCATGTTCAATAAAATTACGTTATAATCTGCATTTTGTGTAACTGATAGATTTTAATCCAAAAAAATTAAATGTTGCCGTTTTTTATCACTTTCGAGTTGTGGCAAAGTAATGATGAGTAAATAAAGACAGCCTTAGAGGCTTATGAACTTCGGCCATCACAGCGCTTCCTTTCCGTGAAATGCGGTTAGTCGATCAAATATCAGAAGAGTCACTTCCAACTGTTGTGGTTAAACTCACTCCTTGTGAAGGAGAAAGCCTCTGCTAGCGGTGCGCGAGAGTGAGCCAATCGGATAGCAGAGGTAAAATAATAACTCAAGGTGGGGCACCGACACAGAAGTAATCCAGGAGTTGTGGAAAGCTTACAGCTGTACACCTGCTAGAAAGTGACTCGTTGTCTCTAGGCCGTTTTTTTCTTGAATTGAATATCCTGATCCCACGGGATTCTCAAGCCTTCACTCACCAGTAATGCATAAAATTGAGCAAGGGCAGAGATTACACTCTTCTTTCACACCCGAATACTTAGTTGTCGATGAAAACAGTAAAAATCACTTAATTTTGTAGGAAGGAAGAGATGAAATTAGGGGAGGTTTGCTTGGAAATGCAAATAGTGAAAGTGTTGCCATACACCAATTTGTGTGGATAAGCAACTGGATGAATAAATATACATCACCGAATACACAGAAAAGGAACATTTGACTCGAGGTTGACGAAAAAACTGGGGCAAATTTATGCATCCATGTGCAATGGAGGGCGAGCGCAGGCGGGCCAGTGGAGGCAGGGCGCGGATGCTGTCACTACGGCGTAGAAAAAAAGCTCGCGGTTTGGAAGTGCAGCTGCGAAATATCAACAACGGGACTACAGCAGACACGGAGGGTCCGCAAATGTCACACCGCACAACGCACCACCGAGAAGGGGGCGCCGTTTGCGCGCACACGCACGAGGCGATTCAAAGGTCGGGCGCGAGACACATATTAACCCCAGTAATTATGCAGGGCTGCAAGGATTACCAGAAGATAAGCTATCGACTCGTCACTAAAGCACCCAAGCAGGGAGACATTCCCAGTGAATCGAAATTAATGATGATTTTGCCAACAAAAATATTCAAAATCTATCATCGGACTAGCACATTAAGCCGTCATGTCACTCCTGTCATGTGCTGACGGAAGTCGAGTTAATTATTGCAAGTAACCCAATGCAGACACCAGAACGAGTGCCAATATTACGGGTAGTGTAACCAACGAGAGTTGTAAGACTATTCTCAAAAAAATAAAGGAAAGTATTCATGGCGTAAGCAGTATGCAGCAGGATGGGAAGCGAAGCAAAATCAAAACGTGTGCACCATTTGGGGATCGGCAAGTAAATGCCAGCCTTATGAAAGTATGGTCCGGACCATATTTATAGCAATTGAAAGAAGGGCTTTTCATTCATTGGTTCACACCTTGAAAGACCCAACTAATTCCTCTTTGAGGTTCCGATGAAAACGTCTATTAGACACCAAATCCTTCATGTTCGTTTAAACAAAATTCAAAGAGCCAAATGGCAAGAGCTTCCAGTGTTCAGTAGTTATGTGTATGTTTATTGTTTCCCGATAAAAGTGGTGAACTATTACACGAGGCAAGACATTTTTTTAAGCAACACCTTTGATAATAAATGCCACAAATTGTCCACAAATTGTCGATTTGTCACATTTCATATGTACTATCGAAAGTGATCATCACAAAATGCGAACTTGACACGTGTCTTTGGTGTCAAGCTCTCCCCAACACAGGCTATAAACCTGGTCACACCAATAGGGATATGAAGAATAATGATTGATGCGATTGCCTGGTGCTACAAAAGTACGCTTTGCATGTTCCAGGTAATATAAAAACATGATTTACTCAAGGGGAAAACTTGAAACTAGGCCTTTCCTTGGCAGGCACCAATCCATACATTATGCCTGGTTAGTCAATTCAGGGTTGATGTGCACCACTCCTGACAAATGAACCGACTGCTTCAGGCCTAAGCTAAACAATCGCTAGGGGGAGAAAAGGCAAAGAATTCCAAACATGCATGGTTGTTCAATATGGGAACCGACCATCGCTTTGCATTACGTGTACATCGGAAGACTGATTTTCGAAGCGGACTTCGGTAAAGTACAAAAAACTTAATTGCACCTGGGATACGGTGAAACTAGAAAGATAATGTTTTAGGTTAGGCATCTAGTTAGCTAATAGATGATTATGTTTAACTAGTTAGTAAGAAAAGAATACACCTTTGAAAAACCAAAATAAGTAGCATGATAGAATCTTAGTGTGTTTGAAAATTTGGATGATTTGTGGATAGTTGTTCTCTCAATGAGAGCGTACGACGGCAATTCATAGATCCTGCATCAAGCAGGAGCTTATCAAATTGTGTTGATAAATGGTGACCATGTGCTTTGAATATGCTATTATCGTTACTATACTTAGAAAATTTGATGGTGTGGCACAAGATCTTAAACAAACCAATGAAAAGTAAAGCAATCATTTCTCCCGAATACTTGCATGCATAGTTGGATTCTAAAATAACTAAACTAAGCACAAAATGTCCGAAAATGTGCTATTACTTTGTAGCAAGCACACTCTCTTGGGAAAAACAAAAGGGAATTTATCACTCCCGCACAAAAGCAGAGAATACGCCACACCGGCTACTAATGGAGGAAGGCTTATTCTACGCCAGGTTATAAAAAAGCCGTGCACAGCCAAGTGGTGGTGCCAGACACGCCGTCGAGTGCACTTTTCCGCCGCCCTCGGCAGACGGCGCTGTTCCAGTCTTGATGATGATTGCTATTCCCCGTAACGAGGAGGGACACACCTTGATGACCTTTACAACCCACTACTGCCTCTGCCATGTTAAGTTTTGTGGAACGGCACACAGGAAAGGAGGAAACACCGATAGAGATTTCCTACATTGTAGGAACCACTAAATGTCACAAATGTCGGATAACGAGGCAACGAAAACGCAACAGACGTGGCACAGGACACAAGTGAAATGAGTTAGCGCAAAAAGCAAGCGACTAAAGCGTAAATGTTATTGCCTAAATACATCGCTGATTCTTGTGCTTGTAACTTGTTCAGTATAGCTCGTAAGTAGGGGGTTACCACTGCACAAGCTGAAATTAGTGGGGATTGTTTAGAGCATGAGTTATAATTTCAGAAGTAGAACCTAAAGGAGCAAAATCGCCAAATGATTGCGTGAATGATAGAATCAACGAGGTGAGAATGAGAGTATGCGGGTGCTTACAATCTTGAGAAATAAAATTTAAACCGTATTTACGCCGTTCGACCCCCCGGTTCTAGGCTATTACATACAAATGCAAAACCTGATTAAGCAGTCGGAATACAATCAAATTTAACAATGGCTTTTTGAGTCCAAATCAGAACGATATGAAGAACTGGTTGGGAGGAAAGTTCCTTCCTCCAAGTAAGATACGATAAGGTTCAATTTGAGAACTCAAGAACATTGCAAATGAGGCCATTTGGGCACCATCCCCTTCAAAATAGGGCCAGAAGTAGCAACTGTCCCTGTTTCGAAGACCATATTTAGCCGCTAAGTACAGCAAAACGACAAACGACATTTTTGTCAAGTTCACTTGCAAACAGGTAGCTTCTAGGAAGTCGCCTCAGTGTCCTTAGGATGAAGTGGAGTGGAGTGAGGTTGACCGCCAGCCACATGTAAAACACACTAAAGGCGGAAAATAGGCGAAGAAAATGCACATGTCAAAGTGCCAAGAATAGAAGTAGCAGCAGCAGGTTGAACAACTTCCAACTACCAGCAGTGTAAAAATAAACTAACCATTTTATAACCGTATGGGTCGATCGACCAATAGAGTTGACCCTGCCGTTTAACCGGGTCACGATATAGACTTAACGGGAATTAGCAGCTACATCACTTCTGCCATTTGAAACCCATACGAGCAACCGCCTTTCATATGCGATCAACTGATTAAAATACAGCACTTATGTCCATCGTAATCTAATGAATAGAGCCAAACTATCAGTCACCTTCGGCTGTAATTTAAACAGGGTCACACGAGGCTGCATTGGGGCCAGGAGGAGATGTCACGCCCCCTTAAGATAAATTATTATATGCCGCGATTAACCGACAAAGTGAGGGAAACTAACCCTAATAGAGGTGCGTCCTTTTCTGATTGCACTACTGTCATTGATGCATCTCTAGGTTCTACAATAACTATAGGCGTCTAGAAATGGTTCAGTGCCTTTTAGATTGGAGCCAATCCTTGCAAGCTTGATAGCGTGAATTTTCGCATGTGAATGTGAAAATGATACGCAAATTTTATCCGATCAGCATAATAAAGACACACCTTTACATCAAATGGATATTAAGAATAAGGGATTGTGAATCAACAATTCTCACGGGGTGCTTAAATTGGCATTGCGCTGCAAAATATCGGGATCTGGTACAAGCTACACCCATGTCAAATAAACTATGGCATAGAGCAGAGCATGCTTGATGAAAACCTTAAATGATCGCTTGATCAGTTTGAAAGAAACTTATGTAATAAATCGTCGATCGAATTTAATACAGCAAAAAACACTTACTCATAAAAAGTGCCTCTGCTATCGTACCAACTGCTACTAGGCATAATTAAGAATCACATAAACGTGTGATCTACCATCTACACAAAGTTGCAATCATCCACTTTATGATATGTTTAGTTAAAACCATGGGACCAGTTCTTACCTCAAAAAAGTCTAAATTAAACTACTAAAGCGGCTACAGGGGGATGAGGGGTGGGGAGAACAAAGGCCTGATCGAATCAAGCGTTTGAGACAAATGCGTCGTGGAGGGGTATTTTTGCCACAAATGACATTTTCTACATGACTCCACGGTGGCATTCAGACAAAAGTATTCAAAACAGTACGATTGACAAAAGCAGCGCTCGTTCATTTTTGCTAGATGACGATATTTCCTGGCAAAATATCCTAACTATCCTAATTTACTTGATTTAGAGTGGGATCTTTTTCCAGGGTAAAGTATGAATTGTGGTCAGCAGTGTTGCTCTAATGAACGCCACCCTCCAACAGCATGGAACAGATTTCACATTGTAAAAATTCCATCCACAAATGAAATGAACACTTCATCCTTAACGGATAGTGAGTGATACTGCATTGTGTTATGGAGAGATTCCCTGGACACTGAAGTGAAAAGTGTTGGCCTTCCCATTTTCGCTATTTCAGGAATATGACAAAAGTTTAAGTTAATGGGACTAAATTTTCTTAAAAATTAGGTAAAATTAGTTGTCAAGGCGTTGAACACTTCCCATCTGGTCCACCCAAGATCCGAGTTGCCATCATTTGCAATGAAGGAAATGCGTTGACAAGGGGATTTCCGTAAAGTACCGTGCACCCATGACAATCATTTGGCATTCGAAATGATGTACACCGCAATAGATCTGCTATTAGGGAATCACAGGCCTGTACCGGGTCATAACGCACTGTACTATGCAGAATCGTTATTGGAGTTTTGTTTGAGCGCCATTGAGTTGAGTCCTTCAGGGACATAAGCTAGTTTAAATGAAGTAGATGGGGTGCTCTTCCCGCATAATGCAGTGATGTGCAAAACTTCTGCATTTCCGCAAGAGGTGAAACGAAAGGAATAAAGGAGAGCAGCTCAATTTTGCAGGAGGATCTTATAACGGTTCCATTCGGCAAACCCATAATGCCAAATTTTTCAACTAAGCTATAGGTTTTGCTCATCCTAAAAATGATTTCAACTCCTTTACCGCTAGCATTACACTATCAATACTTCAAAAGACGGAATGCTACATATATCACTTCGCCTGCTGCGTAGTGTAATCAACAAAACGGACAGAGTGAATGGCACCCAATGTTCTTATGTGTAAAAAACAACTGCAAGCATAACAAATAGGAGAAAATGACGATTCCGACTGCCTGTTTCATTATTCCGCTTTTGGCATTATTCAGTGTACGACAAGCTGTGTTGTACACTATGAAATTTTCTTCGAGAAGAATTACTGGCACATTCATCACGATGAATAACGCGCTTTTAAGTTATTAACATAATGCAATAAGAATAATTTGAGTTAGACTTCGTAGCACTGAAACACAATCCAGCCATTGCAACTATTTCACGGAAGCCTCCACAGTTCGCCATTAAGGTCCTTGACTTAAAAACAACACTTTAATACACGAGGAGGAGCCAGTATCACTTTGAAAATGTTCTTGAGTACATTCATTGTATATTTGTCCAAATGAATATTTAGGTAAACAGTTGAAAATAGAATAGGGTGAGTGATGTATGGGTGTGTATGAGATGGTGGAAGCATGTGTGCGCAGGCTTCATGCTAAATGATAGGCAATATGAGCAGATGGTTGGATCTGGTTCTTGATGATGGCCACTCCACTGTATCTAGGCTAGCAAATTCAACATTGAACCATTCTACATCTCAAGACAAAAGCAGGACCTTAAGATTCAGGAGAAATAAAAAGTGGGATCCTTGGGGCAAGGCTCATCACCTTAATTTATCTCACCAAAGGAATTTTAATAAAAAGGTGCTCTTTAATGGATACGAATCTGACAGATAAGAAGAGCAGCCTTCGTACGCTCCTTCCAATAAAGTGTCTCGAAAAAACAAGAAAACGTACGAAGAGGCAGATAGACCGCTAAAGGCAACATGATGGCAATTAGAAACTGTCCATAAGAGAATCCAGAATCGATGAAATACTTGTTTAAAAGCATTTTCCGCAATGAACTACGTAAAAGAATTGCCGCGCTGTACTTAAAATCCAGTTCATTCCTGAATAAAGCCTCATTATTCACCCAAATATTTGGCACTGAGTTGGCAAACCCGATAAAAGTCGTCACGAAAAATTTGAAATGTCTACAAAAAACTTTGAGAAGCTTTTAATAAAAGTCAAATTAGATTAAATGATGGCTGTATTTACGAAAACGCTTGACGAATGAATAACTCACCCGACAATGTTTTCTCGGATTCACTACACAACGGTTGTTGAATATCTCAACATACAAGCTGTTTGTGTTTTGGAAGTAACTGTCAGAGTTTGCAAAATTTTGCGATTAAAAAAAGGAAAGTAAGCGCATTGGTAAAGAACACCTGGAATAAAACATGTAGAGAGGATACTATTAATCCGTGTTGGTAATTTACATAAATAAAATATGAATTAAAAATACCGAGAGGGCCCTTAAAACCGCAAATGATGTCATATATTGCTCCTGGCAGTGCGCAGCTCAACAAATAAACTAATTTACAAATTTGTTAACGAAGTTATTCACCTCGAAGTCCCAAAAATTTGCATGTGCTTCGAGCTATGGGTGCTATAAACGGATTTAATCAATTCAAAAGACGTCGCTTATTTTTATCAGCACATTTCGAATAAGTAAAGAGACTGCTGATTGCAAATTATAAGAATTTTAGAATACAAGATACTGCGTTAAAAAGTGAGGTCCGCTTTATATACAGCTCCAGCATATATTCAGCGGCAATGAATTCAGAAAATTGCGTTAAAGAAGGTGAATATATAAAAAACGGAAGCCTATTGCTTAAATTGGTCATTCTATGCAATAAAATGGAGAAATCGGCCAATGAAAGACAGAGCTTATGAAAGTCGAAACATAATACTAAGAACTGATGAACTCTTCGTGAATGAGACGTCATATTGCAGCGCCATACTGCGATTTCCTTACACAAAATTACTAATCATTTGACTGTCACAAATTCAAGTGCACCAGATAAGACGAAATATTGATCAAAAGTGATTCTATTTAATCCCTCCAAAAAATTCTTAACGGCTTTGGATATACAAACATAGAAGTACAAACCCAAAATTTTAAATGGCTACGAAATTGTATGTCCGTAAAACGATTGGATTTTGTTAGACTCAGCAGTTTGAGCATCTAAAGCAATACACTATCCCGATCTGACTCCAATCAGCTTTAAAAACAACCAAATTGCGTTTCTAAATTTAGTATCTAGCGCTGAGAAAAAAAGATGTAAAAGCAAAACTTAGCGGTGGTAATAAAATTGCAGCACATTACTTATTCGCAAGAATTCCACATTTTATGGTTTCGATTATATGCTGATTCAATTTATTCCATCAATATCGGAAATTATATCTTATTGGCGCAGTTTATTGAAATACTCGACTAAAAATTGTATAATGCCCCTTGCATCCCAATTTTATTCAGTACACTATGCTAAGCTGTCAATTTAGTATGATGAGTTGCCACCGCCCTATCGCAAAACACAAAGCTATTAGCAATTTAGCGGAATCACTAGAATGTAGGTAGACTTATGACAAAAACACTTAGCTTATCATAGACTTCCCAAAAGGGCACCCATTATCTTAAGGATAACATATGATAAGGGGCACAATAACAGAACCACTATGTAAATCAAACTAATGGTGTGATAATGAAGAAAAATATTTTTGAGTTTTCAGATCACGTTTAATTAGAGCTGATCATAGCTTTAGCAATCGCTATTTAGTAGTACTAACAAATAACAAACGCGGTATGCAAATGCTTAGAACGGATACATAACACAATCTTTAGGTACATCTTTGTATAGATTACTAACCTGGGAAAGAAGCTCGAGAAAAACAGCTTCCACACCTACATTGTTGCGTGCCGAAGTTTCAATGTGAGGACAATGCCATTCATTTGCCAGATTAATGGGATCACGAAGAATATAAGACTTGTCATCTGTTTCTTTAAAGAGGTCCGACTTTGTGCCAACAAGAACAAGAGGCACAAATCCACTGGAAGGGAGACCTTTAACACGGAGGATGTTTTCCCGCATATTACGGATATCGTTAAAGCTTTGACGGTTAACCAAATTATAGACAATAAGAAATCCATCACCATTTTTTATGTACAAATCGTGAAGCGAAGAAAATTGAGAAGTTCCAGCTGTATCTAAGATACGTAGAACCTTCGGTAAACCTGCAAAACTAGAAGATACCAAATATTTACAGACTTCCTCCTCAAACAGTGTCTGGAAACAACACTGGCAAAAAATGCAATAAAATTTTTTTCCAAAATATCACCGGACTTATAAAATCAGCTTGTACCTGACTTCCTTTTGATAAAAATCTTCGATTGTCGGGTCATATTTATCGACGAATTTGCCACAGACAAACTTAACAACTAGGGCACTTTTACCAACCCCGCCACTTCCAAGAACTACAACCGTAAACTTGCGCCGAGAATCCATGCAATTTTTTCTAGAAACATCAAGCTACGATAGTATCATAAAGTAGATCAGAAACACGAGGGGTTTCGAGAAATTGCCAAGGTCCCCCTTTAATTGAGTAAAAGGCGTTGGCCCATTAAAACGATGAATTTGGCTAATCCTTAACAAACTCTCTGTGCACATTTACACGCCATTAAAAATTAAATTTATACTCGTGCAACTGTTCAAACTACCTAAATCACCGATTTCTTTACGCTTTAAATGTAGTAATTACATTACAGCAATTTCTTAAGTAGCAGTTCTTCGCCCCGAAAGCTATGTCACCTGCTGGTTTACATTCTTTAGCGTTCTGCCAATTCCATTAGATGAAGCATTTGTAGCCCCTCAGTCTTCCGCTGAATTTGCAATAAGTCATGGTACTGCGGAAGATCATGCACCATTACCACACGGAAAAGGTAACATACCCCACCCCCCTGAGCATTGTTCTTTGGTGTAATATATGCCTGAGCAAACTGCCCAAGTAAGATCCAGATCTGTACGGGGTTAACACCATGCTGTCATGGGACGGCCTACTTTGCATAATCCAATTTGGAGGATTACCAAATTCTGATTACCACATACTACACCTTACTTGCTACCCACAGCGCTTATCCCTTCTCAATCCCCCGTATGAATATATGCTTGACCTAGAACTCGGCTTACAACCATCCCTTTAGATCCGCAAATATATTTCCCACAACAAAACGATGGTACCGACAAACGGGGAGCCGAGCTCACCCCGATTGCAAAATGACGCATCTTGGCCTAGATGCACATAGAAGACACTTACCACCCTAAAGATCTGCTTGACATTGTGGGCTTGTAACCCTCCCCATAGCGTCTGAGTATCGTAGGCGCTCGGCAGACAGACTCATTGGGTCAACTTCGTAGTTTCTTAGCGAAACGAGGGTCATGTCCGCCCATTCGGGGGACAAAACCATTATACAGGTCAGCAGCTTGATTGTCAACCACCACAATGAACGATACTCATATTTTCGCAGCACCGCGACGTTAGCGTAAGGGAGGACGAGTGAAGCAAAAAGAGGACTTCTGCAGACGCATTTGCCTGAATGCACAAGTAGCTAAAATAACAAGGGCAGCAAAAAATTCCACGGCAATAAGTGCCAGAGGGGTGAAAGAGAGAATGAACTAAGCTCATGCGCACGCTGTATGGGAGGGGAAAGGAAATTGGTGAAAATGCCAGTCTACGACGGTGTAAACTCTCAGAATGTATATTGTACAGGAAGCATAAAGTCATCAAATCAAGTTCAGATATACAAGTGTGATGGCGATCAGTGGGAGGCAGCTTAGACTTTTGTGGGAGGAGCGGTTGCAGCTGGAGAGAGAATCGAGGATGAGTTATTCGATGGAAGATCACCGGCAGCGGGTTTGGTAGTTTCGGCTTGTTCAACACCGTCCTCACCGCCTCCACTAGCACTGCTACCACCAAGACCGTCAATAGGTGCAGAAGATGGCACTCCGCTATTGTCATCGCCAGAACCAGATAAGTTGAGCTGCTCCAACCTCCTCCAAAGATCATCTCTTTCCTTCTCCCGGCGCCTCTCCCTAAAAATACAATGCATAACTACCCCCGCATCATTTTAATTTCCGTTAAAAAGGCAAGAAGTGGATGAAGTCTGGGCACATTTAAACTAGCGCCACCATATTTAGACAATTTCTAGAAGCAGCATTATGGTAATGATCGAAAAATAGCTTATTTCGTTAATTCCAGCGAGTGGTATCGCGTAGAAATCGCTTCAAAGACGGTGTTTTTAAAATTCAATGGGAGTTTACTTAACACTGTAATATGTTAAAACACCCACCTACACAGCTTTCGTAGCGACACTAATGCAAGCAACGATCCCGACAAAATTAAGTACTCAAAACACGGTGAGAAAGCATGTAAAATCTAGGTGAAGGAGCCGTCTACAAAAAAGTTCAATCGGATACCGTTACCCAAAATGTCAGTACGTGTCAGCCGTCGCCAAACTACCAAATTAAGGCCCAGCACGGACAAAACCAGTAGAAAGTTCAACAGGCGACATGAGCTAAGAGCATAAACGTTCTTACCGCGCAAGACGAGGATACATAGAAATAGACTCAAATCCAATAAATTTCAACAATGAATTTACAAAAGTCAAAGCGCAAAATCACTTCATCGATTCCAGTTGCAGTTGAAAAAAACCAAAATAATGGAGCCGCAACACAGGAGCTTAAGGCTCTAATTAGAGCTATATTTAACTAAAACAGGAAACTACAAGCCAAGCAGTAACCTTAAGCGCACATTTGTTGCGCTCGTCAGGTAAATCTGACCATGCGAGAATTCAGACAAAAGTTCTTTAGCAAAACTAGCCACCAGCAATACCATCCAAAATGCAAGCTTATCCCCAAACAGTAGACGTACTTTTGTCGTTCAGTCTTGTAGTTTTTGGTCAATTCATCGAAGAGAACGGGATTCATCTCCATAAATGTTTTGAGAACATTAAAAACTAATGCGACGATAGTCTGATTCCAGTGCTCTCGTGATATCCGGTAGAAAGAGGGGAAAAGAATAGGCAGAAGAACTTCATTGTTTTCCTCAATAAGAGATACAAGATATTCATTGTTCCAGTAGTACAAAGCTCGCTCCGCCACCTACATTCGTAAAAGCATAAATCAATGGAAACAGGTAAGGTGGAAAGTACCTAAGCGCTGACGATGGTCATATTTGCTCTTATAGACCAATAACGATGAGCCGTAGTGAATAGCTCATTACGGCAACAAATACGAGCGGAACTTGAAAATAAATGCATGGAGGTAGGTTGGCTTCTCGACCCATGCATAGTCAATGAGACTGCTGGGGGTGTCTACAACTTCACAAAACGTTACCACTTCAATTCTCCAAAAGTCCCTTTTTCGAGTTCAGTGCTCGGACATCTAGGAAGGTCTCGAAATTCGCGTTTTCATTCAAATTCCTCTGGTCGCCCAATGCACTCATACCCATCAGCAAGTAAAGACGTTCGCATTGAAGTCTGCTCTTCGGGTACTCCGGTTGAGAATTTAGTGGAGCCAAAGCTCACACGCTTAAACACTACGTAATGACAGCGGCATAGCCGTTACCATCCAAAATTGGCAAGAAAACGTGCATCGAGGTTACCAAGCCATGCGCGCACACGCGCATCCCGATGAGTCAGCGAGGGGCAAAACTCAACAAGTGTAGACACCTGGGAGGGAACAGGCCAACACTACAGCACGGCGCAGCTTGGGAGCTACATTGGTTATGCGAGACCTAAACACGCAGTGGTGACGATTTAGTACGTTTACTAAATCCCCTTTGTATTGCAAAAGGCGTCCATGCAATCGGAAACGACTAGTACTGTGGACATCAAGGGACCTGTCAAAGTGCATATCAAAAATATTGACAAAGAATGACCACCATTTCATCTGGCCAATGCAAACGGGTTCGTATTGCGCAAAAAAGTATATCACTAAGTGCGCCTTAGTAATGGGTAGATAATAGATAGAACAACGTTTTTTCGTATTCGGAATGACTTCAGTGGAGAAATAAAATAATTCTGAATCAATCTCAATAACGAAGACTCTAAAAACAGGAAATAGGCTGTCAAGTAATGTAGGCGGCCATTGGCAGGCCAAAATTACGGTAGAACCGAAGGCGGTGAGTATAGAACACGTAAAACTTTGGATGAATAAAGAAAGTGATAAGGAGTCGTGAAAACATCATTTAACGGATTTGTAATCCGAAATTCAGGATAACTTTAGCACATGTCGAGAGAATATGAAAATGCCATGGCAGGCAACTTTGGTGTGAATACTATAGAATAACATGCGATTTGTTAAAGGCAAGTACTCGCTCAATTGGTGGAATATGAACATTAAAGTCTGGATGTGATGTTGAAAAAGTGATGGCGCATGTGAACAAAAAGGAGAGAATGGAACTGCCATCATCCGGGAGAATTCGATGTAACAGCACTCACTAGAGCCGTAAAGAGAATAAACCCGTGCCCAATAGATGTATGGAAGAGGCCATTTTTGCAAGACATGAGGGCAAGAGCTAAGGCCACAAGTCATGCCACTGCACGCACACGTGTGTACGCCCGCAGCGAAATGGTCATGTCGGGCGAATTTCGCCTACATATGGGTGTTAAGATATTTGCAAATTTCTGGCGAAATAAGCTTGACCAAAGTTTGCATTATAAATGCGATGCATCAGAGGGTAATTTAAGTGGGGAAGAAAATCCATTCAAACGGAAGTGGGAGACGGTAACGGACAAACATTTAGGCAGAAAGTATGCCTATGAAGCCAAGTTATTCAAAAATACTAAATCTGAGACTATAGATGTTATTGGCTCAGTGTTAGCAGGAGATGCGAACGAATAAACTTAGAAATTTGCGTCCTCAAGACGGCGAGGACGCCAAGTTGCCAGAACTGGCACCAACTAGATGACCAACAAACCAAAGCGTGAAACTGGCTCGCGTCATAAGCCGGTTACTTTTGAAACTGGCTTCAACTAGACAAAATTATAAAAATCTCGAAACATAGAAGTTTGTTGATCAAGTTTAAAACACAACGCCTATTTCTTAGATCACCTTTTAATGGTCCTGAAAAAATTTGATTCTATTGTCATCAGACAAGAACATGCTGCCTTCGCATACAAATGAGTTACGAGCACGTTCGTAGATGGTCTACCAGTTACTTCGAATGACCACTATTGGCGAAAGTGAACAAAAAGCTTTAAAAAAGATTTCACAGAAGTAAGACAAGGCATCAGAATTGTGTACCTGAAAGTGTGAACTGGAGACGGATTTCGCGATCTGACGGAAGAGAGGCACCATAATCTTCTTAAATTGCGTCGGATCAATTATATCAAGAATCTCTTCAATTTCGCCGAGAAACATAACCTCCTTTTGAGAGTATGTTTTGGGCCAGAATTTGAGTAGCCCTTTAACGACCTCTTCTGTGAGACTATAATCCTTCTCAAGAAACTGCACCACGCAGTACGCCAGCTGGATGAATAGGGTATGGAAAAAGTATTTAAAAACCGAGGCTATTGTGAATCCCTAACAAATGAGCAATCAAAATCTCTAACAAATAATAACCAGAGGCAGTGGTTTTTGGAATGCCAAAGGGACGGCAACTACGGGAGACAATGCTTGTCGACTTTCACACAAACACTTTCATGATGTAAACTACCATGCTAAATGGACTACCCTGGCATACGTGAGTTACGCTGACTAGAGTTCAATATTTACATTGCAAATAGGGCGTCAAAACACTGGAATTATCTCTTTGAGTCCTAGGTAAACATCCTCTGTTGTGTAATAACAATAGATTAGTTATAATTTGGTAGTAGTCCTCGAGACTAAAACATTTGCGAAGAAAATTAATTTTGGCACATCGCGGTGCCAAATGGCGATATTTAGTAACGAGACTATTGCCTGCACTGATACTGTCCAAGAACTTTTCATACGTATAATATTAGTGAAATGACTTTGTCATCATATGGGAATGATAAGAGCACTATGCAGTGATCTTAAGTAGAGTCAGCACCGAATCTGGGACGATGGACCTTAAACCCATTCAGGACTCATGGGTGATGGTTACGCGTACGTGATACAACTCACGAGCAGTTGGATACTAAAATGGTTATGGCGTAAAGTGCGCAACCAAGTCGAAATTCAGTCGTTCAAAACGGAACGTTTAGCCAACTACACAAAAATTTACAAATGGTCCAAAAGGAATCATTTATTTGAGTACTAGAATGAGAGGAAACCGGAGAATCTTACACATCCAAGGCTACATTAGTCTAGTGAATTAGAATTAACTATAGTTGGATACAGGCTTACTTGAGCGTGAAACATCCCCAAGGACTTCGCCTTGTGAAGCGGAATGAGAACTTTTATGAGAAATCGTGTGTGCTCTGACTTAAGCGGAAGAGCGAACCCGTTAATAATGCTCCCAAGAATTTCAAGCAATTCACCAACTCCATTAAATTGTTCCGTTTCATAAATGAAGCGTAGGAAGATATTATTGATCTGCTTCCTGATGAAAGACCGTAGACCGAGAAACTTCCCGTAAATGCGGTGTACAACAGTCTTGAGAAGGTCGCGTTCCCTGGGGTCCTCGCTGTCAAAAAGCTCCAGTAGTTGTAGCACGAATTTGTGGTCGATGTAGCGCTTGGCAATGCTAGGCTGGAACTCCGTGGACTCAAGAACGTGAAGAAAGAATTCATAAACATAAAGAAGATGAGGCCAGGCAGAATCAAGAACGGGGTCGTCCTCTTCAGGATCGAAGTCAGGATTATCAGATGGAGGCAGAGTTCGAAATATATTACATGCAATCTACAGATGAGAAAAAAAAATCGACGAAGTGTGTAGGAAAAAGGGAACGGTAAAGAAAGCCATGGTTCCAAATCAATACTATTACGTGCATTTCTTAACTTCCAATTCGGCTCCAGTACCGAGACGAGCATATAACTCACCATCCTAATGATATCCTGGTAGGTATTTTCATTTAAAACGCCTCGAGTAACGGTGACATACTCCACCAGTTCACTCAGACATGTTCTCTTAATTTCTTTACTTTGAGTGTCCGTAAGAGCGTCAGAAAAGTCAAAAACAACACAACATTGTTGAAGCTTTTTGATGAAAAGCTCCTGTTGTTCGTTTGCTGGAGCATCTCTCAGAGGAGGAAGAGGCGTTAGTTCCGTTGGTGCTTTCGGCCGATAATGTGATGAACCCTGTGATCTTTTCTGTTTCTTGCCTTTAAATTCAGTCTTTGAGCGGAAAGGGTCGCATTTCGACATATCCCCAGCTTTCTATCATAAAAGCATGTTACATAATCAGGACACGAAACTGCACAACATTAGAGGTAAATTTCAGCGGTTAAAAACTATTCTCAAGGCCAGAAATTTGGTAAGGCGAACAAGAATAAAACGAAGAAGGGCCGTGACAGAGCAGACCATGCCTCCAATTTGTAGATTATAGCAAATAACAAAAGGTATTCGCGGTAGAGCCATAGCAAATACGGGGTTTTTAAATTTGGTTTACACAGGAACAAATCAAGCATGTGACAGCTTAATTTTAATCAACTACACTAAACACAATCCACTCAGGTCGAAACAATGAAAGTGCATGCACTTGGTCGATATTTAAACTAATCCCTAAGAGAACACCGTACGCAAAATATTGGAACCAAGACAGGAGCGCCAAAAACTGAAACATTTACACAGTAAAACAAAGTCCGAGTATTAAAAAGCAAAACCTTTAAAAACAACAAATAAAATGCAAAAACTTTGTTTTAAATGATTTGTTAGCGCACCCAGTCTGATTTGAAACATTAATCTTGCCTGCAACATTGCGGCAACGCTTCGTGCATGTTCCACCGCAAATAAAGTGGGCAACGGTAATCAAACAATTTTGGCAAATCACGAGGTTTTGTTATGGTTTCTAATAGATAAAAATTACAAAAAAATAAATAACTTTTATTTTTGTTAGGCTTTTATTTGCAACTACTTTGGAAATCGGATTTAAACACGAGATAACGAACGACCGGATGACCCAGCAATTCCATTCCAACATTCTATCTTCGCATTTCTTTTTAATGCATTAGGAACAATGCACATAGACTGACCATTAGCGTAATAAATGAGAATTAGTTTGTCATGCCATGGTAATCTACTTTACTTGAGCCACAGGTAACCGCCTTTTTCCGGCATCAGTCTCAATGAGCTGGCTTTGAAACTTTCTGTTTTGGTGATAAGCCTCCTCGCCTTGACCGTTGTTCCTCGCCGGCTGAGCTAGACTCCGGTCCATGCCAGTGGCCCTAATACCTCCCCCATACCAGATATATAAGTTCTACCCAAGTAATATGTCTTTCTCTGCCTTTAAAAAAGTCGTGAGGTGCTAAAAATACATTAGCACACTACTGAATGTCTGATAGTATACTTGTAGCGTCCCAAGACTCCCTGAAGACGATAGAAGACACAATACTCGTGCAGAATGTATGTATTTAGCATGGAGAAGGTGTCTGGGCTATTGGCATGGCCCAAAAGGCCAGCCCATCCAGCGAGGTACAAGGGGGCTAATTCGAAGTACAAAAGTGGCACCTCACCATAACCGAGGGATAAACCACTATCGTATTACATACTGATATTGTCTAAAGGCCTAGCGGCTCCGAGGAATTGCGAACACGGGAGCCTTAAAGTCAAACAAGTGAAGCATCATTTTTATGTAAGACATTCATGCAGATTCAAACCTCGAAATTTTGTCCAAATAGGTATTTGGCTTATAAGCACCAATTTGAAGGTTTGAATAAAATAAGTCAAAACTTCTTAAGGCGGAGAAGTGCATTAATAGAATATTCTTAATTTTGAGATTTTAAGGTTTGCAGCTGGTTTTCATAATAACACAAACCACTTTCGCCAAAGAAGTTTTATGGATCAACCACATCTACCCCACTTAAATCGCCGATTCCATACGAACACATATTCACCACAGTAGCTATTATTGACAATTTATTTTTATCACTTAAGCCCTCGTTCGTTATTAAAAATTGCAAATTGGCAAGATAGCTTATATAAGCCTCTGAATTAAGTAGTTTTCCCCAGACTTTGCTGTTGGTTTTTTAGACGTTCTAAGGTCAAGGATGAGGCAGTGATTAGTTGCTTATCTTGTGGCGGTGGGTGGACGCCTGAAACAGTTTTTTTTTTTTATCATGTTATTCGTATTATGTTGGCGGTAATTTTTCCAAAGTATTTACACAGTCTTTCTTATCCACGGCAACCTCACTCTTCTCGTTCTGCTATGGACATTTTTCATCGTCTTGGATGTAAATGATTGCCTTTCCCTTCGCTGTGGATTGTAGTCCCCTATTTATGGCTTTTATCGTCATCAGTTCTTATTTTTTTAGTAACAGCCCATTTACGTGTTGGAATTAACAGCCTAATATTGTGTCATTTACTGGTAGTGCATTCGAACGGCTTTGGCATTTACTTACTTTTTTGTAGTATTATGGAAGATATTGAGTACTTTCCTCAGGAACTGCATGTGAAACCCAAGTGTCTAATCGCTCTAACCGGTCTCGACGTGGACAAAAAACCTTTTCATGCATCGGTATTGAATGGCTTCTATTCTAACCTACGCAGCGATCGCCTTGCATTGAGATTCCGGAATCTTCCTCTGGACCACCAGTATTCAAGATCCAAACCAAAGGTAGTCTCCCCCGATAGTACATAGTGCATAATTCATCCTCCAGCATTCGTCGCAGTATGAGTGGTACCTGCCCAAGGGTCTGCTCAAAAGGCAATGGATGAAGAAACATCTTGAGGAATTACCAGCCGTCGTGGTTGTCTTCTTTGACCTCGAAGGTAACGACAGGAGTTGGTCAGATAAGGTCAAGGAATGCGCTCGCAGCGTCGAACTTGTACGGTGGGAAGTCTGTTTGAATACAGTAATCGGATCTATAGATCCAACCTTATCACACGGGCTACGAAAATTGTTGTAACTTTGCTGCAAGATAAAGCATCAAATGTCATTGGTGGCATTGTTAATGCTACGGAAGATTCGCAAGAGTTGTGTGATCAATGCAAAATTAGTATTGAAAACCTCTTCATTTTGCGGCAATCCGAATTCATGCTTAGTTCTATTAAACGGTAAGCCATCCACTTATGGTTAGTTATTTCAAACTGTTAATAACTGCTTGGTTTTTATTAAGTTTTTCTTCCTCTTTAGATTAGAAGCGGAGCTTTACGATATGGCTTGCAATTACTACCGTAATGCTGCAAAGCGCGTCAAAGCCCACAAGTCCAGTCTTACTAAATCCACGCAGCAGGTAGACAGCCATTAGTAGACTATGCTGGAAATAATAACTGTATCATTATTTAACTCTTTCAGTTGCTCCTTGTTCGTCATACCTTCAAGATTGCATTTTTTGACGAGTTGAAACAAGAATCAAATTTGGCCCTTAAGTAAGTATTTCCATCGTCGTAATCCACAAAGAAAAAAATTCGTTTTTTTATTGCCTGGTTTAAATTTATTTGCGCTGTCATACATATAGGGTTTTTTGAAGGTGAGGTAGTAGAAAGTCAGGTTTTTGAATACGTTGCAAGTAGACAAATGGCTCAACTTTAATCAAATGGGAGCTTAGAATCTTTTTTTTTGTTTGATGAAATGTGCGACACTTTTCCTGTTCCTTTAACAAAGGTACACCATTGTGTTCACTATTTCCAATCTCTTTCATTTTTGTCTAGACATTACCGACAAGCCTATAATAATTTACTGGAACTCAAAATGCCCGACGCTCACCTCCTTGAATTCAAAGTTGTCGCAGGTCTCATAAACTTCAAGGTATTTGTTAAACTCACTAGTTTGAAACTTCCCATTTTTTTTGATTGCATATTAACTTCTAGCATGCCTACATCGTTTGAGACTGTGCGTACCGACTCGGCGGTATGCCTTTGCCTGATCCCTTTTATTTTTCCCATAGATTTGTCGTATCTCCTTTCAAATGCGTGCTTCGGATGCAATCTCACAATTTCAGCGTCACATCGACTTCTTCAAAGTGGCTGTGGGAATGCCTGAACTAGCCTATGAGCACGAAGCCTGGCTATCTAAACAGTGGGTTATTCGTTTGCGTTATCCTGCACTTAACTTTTCCTCTTATCCAGACTACTAACCGCAAGTTTAATTGGATTTTAGTTTTATGTATGTAGATCGGAAAGGATCAAATTCGTAACTGATAAAGTAATTTTTCTGTGTGACATCTCTATTGGTAAGATACCATATGATTTAGAAGTACTAAATCCCAGTGAGATTGTATTAGTTAACCTTGACCAAACTTCCTCCTCCATTGTAAACCCGAGATTATCTATGTAATTTAACCTACAGGTATGAGATATTCGGGGGTCTACTTGATGAGGCAACGGAGTTCAGCTCAAAAGTCCCGATCGCCCAGCATCCAGGTCTATACTTCCATGAGGCAGGCCGCCACACCATAAATCGACGCGCCATAGCTGCTCGGCTCTGTGGCGTCACTGCAGGTTGCACTCTCACCCAACAGAATGGCAACATCAGCACCGGTAGCCTCGTTACGTCCTCGGACAAATCACCTACCCTGATTGCGGCTACCGGTGTCGTCGGCGGAGCTGTTCGCGTTGGCCAGACCGATGCTCCATTGACTGCGGTCGTCCCCGCCACAACTAATTCCCTGCCTGAGTTTTTCGGACAGCGCGCTTGGCGCAATGCTGGGCAGGCAGTGGAGACCACTGACCCGGCTAAGGAACGTGAGGGTATCTTGGCCCTTCAGGCCAAAGAGGCACAAGTCGACCACTCCGTGGGTCTCGTTAACTAGTCTCAATTTTTTATTACGCCATATATCCTGGCTTTTTTAGGCACAGTACTTCCTTATTTACACCCGCTTAACGCAAGTTGGCGGTTAGTCACCTTACCAGGCATCCTCTTTAAGCGGTGTAATATTACCACATCCTTGTATAACAGGATGTTTTTGGTTTTTTCCCACTTTGTTCTTTTCGTAATCATGTTTTTAGCTATATTGGACAAAATTCCCTTCTACAGAGGCCATAAATATTGAAATCAAACAGCTGCCGAATTTGTTTAAGATTCCGTTTCCGTGTGATGATTAGGGTTTTTTAATAAAACCTTAAATAAACATTAATGCATTTTTTTGTTTTATAGAAATTAATAATCCCACTTTTTGCACGTGCGTTGCTTCACTTCGATCGCTGTGGTGCCAAGCGAATGCGAAATTATCCCAGTAAGCCAAATCGAACCCAACGGGTTTCCATTGGTGATTCTCCATCTCAATCTTTCCTGCAGTTGGTGTCTCCACAACGGAGCGCCTAACATCTACAATTCGAGGACTGTTGTTGGAATTTTATGAGATGCTTAGCTTATCGTTAGTTTTGAGCATGTGAATGATTTTCGTGTCGCTGACATAAATGTAGGTTTGACATTTTGCTAGTCCAAAGGTACCAAAATCGCCTGAGGGGCTTACGGTATCGCAAGTGTAGGTCAGGTCCCACTTAAACAGGCACAAATTGTTAGAGAATTAAGCCCTTTAAGTCTGTTGGGTCAAGCCTTACCGTAACAATTAATCGCTATAAAGTTACTGCAGAACGAATTAGTAGTTTTCTGCAATAAATGGCCAAACTTCATTTAATTTCTCTGAAAAGAATCTATAATTAGGTCTTTCATCTCACTTTTAGCATTTTGCATTGCCGAGGAGTTTTTTCTACAGGCAGAGTACGGAAATGCCCTCGAGTAAGTTGTCTTTTACTTGAATGCAACGGCATCCTGGGTTACCAAGTATACAGCCATCTAATAAAGTTGCCTTCTCCTTCGAGACACTATTTCAAGATCGCGGATGATTTTCGTCGTTCAGACTGGAATCCCATGCCTACTTCCATTTGTTATCGTATTTTCCAGTAAGCCATCAAAACTTTGATAATCATACTGTGTTAAATTTACCTACCTACTTGCCTTTGCTATTGCTTTGCTTCCCCTTTTTAGGTGCGCTTCTAAACTTCAGAAGCACGCTCTAATTATATCCTCGGCCATGGAACTCCTTTCCGACTGTATCCTTTTGACCATTTACGCGTCTTTGAAGGGAATGACAATCTCAGCTACCTGCACATTTGCTCAATTTCAGACCTCTCTCATTGTGTCGGATCTTCTTACCCCTCATTCAAAACATAAGTTTTACTTGTTTTATCTCGAAAAATTTCTTATAAATTCTATCTGCACACGAGTCGTAGTATTTATTTCCTCCGCGTGTCAAAAATGTGCCTTTGCATTGCGTTGAATGTAAAAAGCTTGTCACTAACGCTTGCTAAGTACAAAGACCTTGTTATTACATTTAGCCTTATATTTTGCCACTTAGTATTTAGTAATTTTTACTCAACATTTGTTAAGTCATTGCTGAATTATACTAAGTGTTATTCAAAAACGGAACCGACCCATGTGTTAAACAAATTTTAGCTATTTCACAATTTTATATGCAGTTTCGATTTGCATCGTTTGATTGTAAATCTGCTTTATTGACCCGACTCGGGCCCAAATTGGATATATGTGACAACCCTTTTGTAAATACATCACCAGCCACATTAATCATGGTAGTGGAATTACTAAAGTATGCGTTACGAGATATCCACTCTAGATTAATTTTCATTGTTCTGCTGGCAGACTTGGTGTGCTCTTGGATCGCTCCTTGTGTCTTTGCACTGGCGCTACGGAATTGTGTGCATTGCTTTCGTAAAACAGGATGGGTTGAGATGTGCTCCAGCTCGTGTGGAGATGTGCATGGCGTTTACGCTTTTTTAGACTTTTTTCTAGCAGTTCCAGCTCCAGACTCTCAAGCGATTGAGTCGAGAGTATACCATTATCTGTGTCCTTTACCAGGGCATCCAGGTTCAATCGGCTTTTCTTTCTGGCTGCTCGGGTTTCAGCTAAAAATCGAGGCGAAAAGTGGCCACATCTCATGTCCCTCGCTCGCTGCAAGTAGGCCAGCCTCTGCTCGAGTGGACTCATTACCCAGGGCCTCTCGTCCGTCTCGTGGGTGTAATGGTATTCCTCAGAGTAGGCACCACAACAGAGGCAGGAGAAGAGGTCGCGCAGCCATAGAAAAATGCCTGTAAAGGGCAGGTGTCGCGGACCGCGGTGACGCTGTTGCCTGCGTTTGCGCGAGTGATGAGTGCACGTATGGGGACAGTCTCCTGCGTAGGTGGGAGGGACAGAGTGGGGGTAGTGCAGCGGTTGCCCCCCCATCCCTGTGATACGTGCGGGAGGCGGCGGTGGCGGTGGGGGCTGTGGCGATGTGTAAAATGTGTCGTAGAAAGGCATCGGGACACCGTAGCTTACTTGGTGTGGTACGTGGCAGTCTGAATGAGCTCCGGCGGTGGAGGGGATTCCGATCGCCTGCACATCCCTTTGTTTATCTCGAATTTGCACGCGGGGCTTTATCCCAAACGTGGCATTTGAACGCGTTTGGGATTTGAATGAGAAATCGATGACCGCTCGATGTCAAGTCAGCTCATATGTTAGTGTCAACCATCCGTCACCTGGAAAAAATACAAATTTTTAAAGCTAACGCCTTATTTTTTTGATCATTTGAAATAGGATTTCAGATTTCCAGTACGGGGTATTTGGCAAAAAAGCCTTCTATCCCATTGCGTAGGGCTATATCGATATGCGACGAATTAGTCTCACTTCTATTTCCCGGTTTATAAGTGTTGAATCTTGTGTCTAGCGAGAAATTCATCCATAGACCTCCAGGTGCGATGGCGAGGTACCTGTCTTTACTTAGAAGCATTGAAGTTAATTACTTAAGCATTGGTAGCCCAAAGTGTATTTATTCCGTTGTACTAATAATAAAATTTTATCTAAAAAAGGTTGTAGACTACCTAATCTTTAATGCGGTCAGGGTCGCAGAACATCTCATGTACTCACGTTCGTTGACACTGGTAATTCATGTTTTCCGTCGTGGTATTCCAGTAAATAATCTGTGATCTCCTCAACCCATTTCCTTAACCTTATTCCCTTTTCATAGACAGCACGCTTTCGCAAAATGAAAAGGAGGAAATTCACAAATGCATATTCCTCGTAAGTTTAGAAGGCCTTCTGTAATCCAGGTGACTTATCCATACCTCTGACTTCGTCTTGTGTTGTGTAAATGAGTTCTTTTTGATGGCTCATAAAAAAGGATATGTATGCTCATGCGTGATTGGACGATTAAATTTATTTAACAGATTGTGTAATGCAAAGGCGTTTTTACTCCTGTAATAGAAAAATGAACTTCAAGTCGACTGGGCAAGGAGTGTTGCATCCTGTCAACCATCTGTAGAACTCGAAACGTCTACACCCGAAGTCATTGACCTCACTCATCTTAGAAGTTGCGGTATGTTCTTTTGTCGTCTTGTAACTTCACATGAACTGGGGATCACTCAATTCCACGTTTTTAAACTCTGCTTCTGTAGTTGAGTTGAAAGCGCAATTCGCAAAGTCGTTCTTCTCTATTGATGAAGCAGTAAAACTCCTAGTCTTCGTCAAGTGAGTTTTATGCTTTTTCAGTAATCATACGTTTTTGAAAACAATACTTACTGCGGTGGACTCTTTCGCTGACAACTTGCTTTAATGGCTAGATAGATATTCGTTTTCTAGATATTAGACCACTATTATTAAGGTTTATTCGTTTGTTTTTTTTGGTGGAGTACCTGATTGGTAATGCATTTTGATTCCTCTAGCCTTGATCTATTGCCTTGAAAAGTGTTTGAAATATGGTCTATGGTTTGGCTGATCTTGGCAGCGCCTGTAGTTATGTTAGCTCACTTTCCCTTATTCTCTCTGTTGCAGATCCTTTACCTCCCTGACGCTGCACTTCGACGCGCTCTCGGTCAAGTTGAACCATGAGGCGCTTCAGGACCGACAGATTGCCTCGACTGGTGCCTCTACCACTACCCCCTCCTCCTCCAGCGTCTGTGAGTGGACCCATCCTTTTGACCTCACGCCCGAAGATCACCTTCGCCTCGTCGTTTTTACTCTCGACCCCACTACACTCGGTTCTGCTGTACAGGTAGGATGCAAAACCCTTTTTGGACGGAAAAGCTCCCTTCTTTGGTATCATACCTCTAATTTAAGTCATCAGTATTCACTGAGGTGTTCGAAAAATCAAAATTCCTATCGATATAACTAAGTATTGTGGTTCACTGTTATTTGGTTTCAGGGTGTTTATACGATCAGTTTATGGCCTTTAAATGTTTGCATGCAAATAGTTATTAAGGGAGGCAAACTAGTAGTTGGTCCAGTCATTAAAATGCAAGTACTTCTGGTATGAATTCAGTTTTACCGTTTACGAATTACTGTCGTAACAAAAGTATTCTGGAGCAAACAAGGATGCAGTGTATTGCGGCCATCTTCTGAAAAGCATGGTGGGTTAATTTAGCTGATCTCAGCGCAGTTATTTCGCCAAAAATTGCTTTTGTTCTATTTAAAGAAAATAATTATCATCTCTTGGGTTTAAATAATTAGCATTTATGTCCAACAAGCACTACAAACTTTGCTCCGTTTCCATTACCTTAGGGAGTAAATAATTTTAAAACGAATTGAAATGAAACATTATTATTTCGTTATAATTTTGGTAGTTCCCTTTTACTTAAAAAGTCCCACCTGCCTCTATTACTGCAGGAAAGATATTGCACTCGGTTCCCATATTCGCCATAAAATTCGTAAACAGCATTTTTTCGAACTTCAAAACTGATTAGCTGGTGACGGATCGTTAACATTTTCTTCCAAAATCTTTCCCTAGTTGGGAAGAAATATGGTCTCAACGAATGCAGCAACTATGTGAGGTGGCTCTTCTACATTTTGATAGGTGGAGGCCATTCAGGCCACTATCCCATACACTGACAGTGGAAATCGACGTTACTGTCTCTGCTGGTTTCCTTCCGCGGGAGTCCCTTCGCCAATATCTGCAGTAGTTTCCTGTAACTACATGAGCCGACTGGAGGAGGTTAAAAGGATCTTTACATCTGCCGAAGATGTCAACACCACTTTCAAATCAAATCTCACACCTCAGTGGGAGTTATTTACCAACCAACTTTCGACCGAGTAGGTTGCGGTGAACTCACTTACCAGTTTCAGTTAGATGTACTTTATGTCCACCATGATGCTGCGTTTTTTAGGATACTGCCGAAGTCGGCCAAGTTGGAGATGAGCCTTAGACATACCCCGCCGCTGCTGTGCAACGAGAAGTACGTCATCTTGTGCCAAGTGCTAAACACTGAATCAGCAGAATTGAACGATTTGATGTGAGTTTTGGGAGATTTCTTATTCTCCACGCCGCTGAAATGGGGGCAGCCGTCGAATATGAACTCACTTTATTTACCGTAGAGTGTCGGCTATGCTGGCTGGTGGTGGAGCGAATGATCCTTCTACGGAGTTTAGCCCCACCGCGCTAGAAGCGCCTAGACGTATGGGCAGTGTGGCAGTAGGTCAGTCTGCCGGCCGGGCCATTGCCTCCGCTTCCTCTACATCCGCCTTCAACTCCGTGGATGAGATCTTCTCTCAGGCTTTCCTCTCTTCCCACCTTTCACCCGGCGCCGACCTCGTCTGTCCCATTTTTGTGCATTGCCCCATTGTCGCCGGTGACCGGAGTCTGCGTGTTGACGCTCACTACACCATGCTGGCACAGCTTCCATCTGCTGGAGCGAGGGTCCTTTCGTGGAACAAGAACGGTTCTATCTGTGTTATTTCTGCAGAGATGAAGGCAAAGAACGGGAATTCAACAGAGCTCACTCTGACACGGTGTATCCAATCGAAGCGTGTGCAGTTGTCGGTTACACCACCCTTCGAAATCGCCTCGCGTGTTCTTTCTCTTAAGGTCTGATTTTAATCAAGTTAGTCTACTTATGACATATTAAGTACTATCACTATCTGCTATTTTCAATTTGGATCAAATTAGCATGAACCGATTACAACCGTGATAGCTGGGAGGCCGTTCGTGCTCGAAGTGGTTCTCACAAATTGTTCGCCTTGGTCAATTGACATTGAAAAGTCTGTGCTGAACCTTGTGAGTAACCTTACCATTTCCCATTTTCTTGGTGCTGCCACAAAACGCATATATTCCCCTACAGAAATATTTTGCCGCGAGTTTATTCTATCAACTCCCATATTACTTCATTTGGTTGATTGTTTCCCAAACATTTACTACTATGATTGCTTTTTCCGCAATTTGGGGTTAATTTTTATTTAGAAGTCGAGATGTATAACGGAACCCTCTAGGACCGTAATCTTATAACTTCTGCAAAACTCACGCCGCTCTGTTTTTCCTTTGATCTTATCAGCTATAATTATGCCTACGGCTCTATCCCGTTGCTATAATGACAGTCTCATCAGTCCAGTTTTGGACAGGCAATACACTTGTGCCGTGCCAATAAATGTTTTGGCAATAAAACATTTAATTCAAATTTTCACAACGTTCCAGCACTAGTATCTACGGCAGTTAATTTTTGGTGTAACATATGCTCATACTTTAGTTTGTACTTTCACCTCTCAAGCGGAACTATCTAGGCACTTAGTAAAGTATCTTTTCAACATTGTGTTTACAATAAGTAGTCAGGTATGCCAATTCACTCCTCTTTGTGTGGGGAAATTCATGCTCGACTTTCCACGTAGTTACAATGATTAAGTGCTCCACTATGTCCATCGTGTGGTGTATTTGTTGAGCCTTTTGTACTGTTTGTAACCAATATCCTCCTTGTAACTGGAGTGTTTTTGCACACCCATATTTCAGCAACCCCGATAACCACTGGTGGCTTTCCCCGATCCCCATTAATGCAGCAGTTTTATGCCATACTATATCATGTTACTTTTGTGGGCATTAAGTCGTAAAATTAAATTTGCTGCGTAAGCAGTAATGTAAATGTTGCATGGACATCTCGTTTAATTAATTCATACCTTGGGAATCGTGAATGTACTTGGTTATGTTTTACACAGTTCGTTTAAAATGGGCTCAGGAACACGTCTGTTTGTACATTTTAAATTTTATGCGTTCACTGATAACATTTTAAAATCAAGTAATATCAATTTTTTTATCTCCTTTTTGCTACGGTTCGACGATGGTCAGCTGTTTTGGCCCACTGATCTTCTAGATTCCAACTGAGGCGAAAAAAAACCTAAGTACTTAGTTCCGATATTTTCACCTCTATTGGTAAATTTCATATTTCATTAAAGGTACGAATACAAATTCTAAGCAGGATTTAAAATAAATGCAAATTTTGTGTTTATTCGCCAAAAATTCGTTGCTTCTATCCCAGTGGTGCAGGAAACACTTGGGCATTTATCTTGAAGATTTCCGCTTGTTAGCAGGATAGTGAAGCTAATGTTTTCGTATTAGTTACTCCACTTCAGATACAGCTGGTAAATAGGGAAGCGATTATCAGATATTTTGAGGAAGCATTTTACACATTAGTGAATAAAAACCGATTGTTTGGTCAATCAGAACCCCTCTGTCTTATTACTTGTTTTTTCTTCGTATTGCTACCGACTTTGCGTGACATTTGCCTACAGAAGTGTCGTGCTTTTGGTGATTTTTCCCGTTCTCTATACTGAATCCAGTTTAATCTGCCTCGGTGTTACTGAAGCACAGATTTAGGGTTATAATAGCGTCCTGCGCTTATAATGTATGCACATTTTCGATATTTTTAGGTAGAGAAAACTATCATTTGGATTCATCGTATACTATTGCTATTCTAATTTATGCTTGTAACATTTCCTAGTATCTTGCTCTGTATCAAAACCACGGTTTCCTTCATTAGTAGCACATCACACCGATTCGTTAGCATGAATTCGTTTCGATAATTCAACACGCGAACAGAGGTGAAGTGAATTGGGCCATACTATTGTCCCTCTCTCAGTGTTTGTCGGTTTGACCCACACCCGCCCGCACCCCTCCCCTTTTGCCTTGCTCTCTCCCTGTTTTGCTGATTTCTGGGCCACACTGGTTTCGCCAACATATTTTGCACTTTTAGTTGTCGCACTAGCTTTTGACTTTCCCTCCAATCCATCCTCCCTCCCTCCCTCCCACGAAATATGCACTTTTGTATATTTTTTCGCTCAAAATATGGCATGTCACGGGCCACTGCTAGGCCTTGACTTTCTTGCTGATCATTTTCAAAGCAAGCCCAGTTAAAGTACTTCTTTTTTTTTCAGGGATCCGGCGTTCGTTTCAATGGGGCCTGCTATCCCCTTCCTGCACCCAGTAGGGCCTTTTATTTTTTTATCTTAAAACTCAGTTATGAGTTATCCCAAAGGACTTTACTATTAACAACCTTTATTCCAATTTTGGGGTTTTTAGAAGTAGTTCATAATAGTGTACTGGAAGTGGAGACAATTTTGTAAAAAAGCCTTACCTAATGTACTGCACGAGAAGTGACCTGTGTTGCATACAGCGATCAAAAGTGCTCTTTCACTCACTGCTCATACATTACCTCAACTTACCAGTAGTGTTATTTGGCACCACAATAAAGCTGTCAATTGATGGGTCTCTTTTTAGAAATACTCTGGTGATACTCTTTCAGATATTTGGAGTCTTAAGCATGCCCATTAGTAAGATAGCACATATGCAAGAAGTGGTAAGTGGATTTCCACCAATTTCCTGGAATTTTACCTTTTCAGTAGGCTAGAAAGTACATCAATTGATATCCTGGTTTATGTATTTATCAATAAGTTTGTACGAATCGAACTTTCTTGTCGTTTAGTATCCCTTGATCCGTATGAGAGCTTCTCCGAAGTCCAGGTTCTGGTGGCAGTGGACAATCAAATGAATGCAGAATTCCTCAAATTGGGCCAATACATTGTCAACTGGAGACGGTATGTAAATCTTTCATCCAGAATTTCTCAATTAATATCGAGACAAAACCTTTATTCTACTGCCTAAGTAGAGGTCTACCCACCGGTCAATGCCACGACCCCGACTACTAGCTAATCCATTTTATGGACACTATGATTTCATAGCCATCACACTGGCAACTATTCGGCATAATTCAGTCAATTGACGATTAAAATGCCAATATTGTGACAGTTGCATAATGCATCTAGATGCAGTGAAAAGTGATAAACTTGCGAGCCTTGTGTACAAGTGTCAGACATATACTTCATTTCGCTAGTTCGACGTGTGCGAATCCTTGAAAAGGCAAGTGAATGCGTTTTTTTAGGTCAAAGCTATAGACTAAACCGATTTTAGCGAACACCCGCTCGAATGCAGACCTCAAGTGAATAAATCCCCAGCTGTGCATAATAACCTTTAATCCGAGTTAATGATAGTCCGTACATTCACAAAACTCGAAGTTGAGGCCTAGATAGTCATTCTGTCTAATGACATTTCGTGGTTTGTATCTTCAGGCGCCGGCCTCAAGTTAATCAGGACCCGAGTTTCCCCAAGTCCTCGATCTCGAGCTCTACATTCAACCTCCCCACCTGTGGTCTGATGACCCTGCCGTACAGCGTTGAGCTTAGCCTCCCGCCCTTTGGTCTTCTCCACTCGCCCCTCACTATGTCCTACACACTGAAGAACAAGACTACCCTTCTCCAGGTAATTGCCTCCTCACTTGTTACTCTCTACTGATCTCTACGCAGCAACTATTCAACTGAACCCACTGTTCGGTTGCATTCGCTAAAGTTTTCCTCACCTTCTTTTTCAGCATAGTCTACATCCACCATGCTTCGCATTCTCCCTTGTAACAACAATTTTGGCAGCTGGAATTAATGTTCATGCAGTAGTCTGGCATGTGAGCAGGACGAGTTTGGAACGCAATGCTCATTAAACTTTGTTTTCCGAAGCAGTAAGGGCGTTGTCAGTAGGTGCATTGTCACGGTGTTGAATCCACAAGTTATCTGTAACAAGTCAGCCTTGCCAGCCAAGTCAGTCTTTCTCGGGTTGCCCTTTGGAAATGGTGCAGTATGTTTAAAAACACCTTTCTTTGGTGAATCGATTGGGTAGGGAGAAACTGCAGTTTCTGCCACGGCAACTGGAGAAAGCGAGTAACATTGCCGCCGTGGTGACCATTTTCAAGTACTGAGTGCTCCTTTATCCTATTTATAGATAGTAAATGTCATGCTTCTGTTTTAAATTTATATGGAGTTATCCATGTGTAAATTCTAGGTAAATGCTCGGGAATGTAATATTCTCTCTGTCTGGTATAGGCCAGTGGAAAAGTGCTTTTTCGCTAATAATAACTTCTACGGCTATTTGCGTTTTAGTCCTGTACTGAATGAATGTCAGGTTGGTTTTTCTCGTGTGTAGGAACTCAACATTCTGTTGGAATCAACGGAAAGTTTTGCCTTTTGTGGTGTCCAACTAGCATCCATCCGCTTGCTCCCGAGTTCTTCGAGGAAACTCGATTTCACTCTCCTTCCTCTCCGCCCTGGCTACGTCCAACTACCTCGGTAAGCTCTCAAACTGCCCATTGGTTACACTGAGTCTACAAGTGAGTATGGTGCTTTCGTAAATCAGTCATCCCATTTCCGGATTTATCGTCTCATTTATAAATTATGATAGTAGGCTTACATTATTTTATCATACGCAATATTCATGTGTTATTACCCGTTAGGTATTTTAATTTGCAGTTGTGTAATATTTCGTTTGCGATTGCAGGCTGAGAGACGTACTTTTATCTAAGTCCACGTGTTTTTAATGCTGATATATGATTAGAAATGAAGTTCTCACCTTTGAATTATTACCAAATTCAAGCATATGAAAGAATTGGCCCCTCCATAATGCACCAGTTTGGATGAATCACGTCGCAACGCCCTCGGGGTGCCACATTGCCTAAATAATAATTGTTTCATGCGCAAACGAAAAAATCTAGCCTTGGAGCCTTGTTTTCTAGGTCAGCTGAACAATTACAATCTCTAGGCCACTCGTTTGCTTTGGGGACGATGGCTCATTTAAGTTCAGCTTTTTTTGCGTTTTTGAGGAAAGAATTTGGTGAAATAAAAGTACTTTCATTGCGATGAGCCACTTCCTGCTCTAGTATGCCGACGATTCACCTCATTCACACATTACGTTATTTCGTATGCAGAAGAAGGCATTCTACATGATATTCCTCTGCTCTGTGTGAATCGTTCATAAATGACCTGCACACGAATCGTGTGTTATGTAGCTTTTTATTCTCCCAATTACTCCTTGTCACATTTTCTGTTGTGTTAAAGGGAATTGCGTTTTTACTACACACACACACACACAGATGATCTGTTTTTAACAGTCGATTTGTGCCTAAAGCTCTAATGCACACAATATTGTGTAAACATGATATTTCCCTTCTGGTGACCTTGGCCTTAAAAACCATTTACACATCATTTCAAGACTGCGCTCTTCATTTTCATCGTCTTCTTTCTGTAGGCGTTGTGTAACTCGTAAATTAATTGTTCTCTGCTGCTACAGACTTATTAACAATGACATTAAAAATAATATTTATACGTGCGTGCAGTCGCCGTGGTTGATGATAGAGCGTCCTTGTTATTTTCTCCTTCCGTTTTTGCAGAAGGATCGTAATGCAAAGGAGAACGCCAATCCTAGTAATGTTAGAGTTGTGGCATTTCCGTCTTGATTTGGGCATCTCGGGGCTTCTAACGCTGTCCACGCACACACACACAGACCCTTGGTGCCGCATTCCCGCACTGGTTGCCTCGTTTTGTTTATGACCGGTTCATTAATTAATAGACATCACCGAAAATTGCATTGAGTGTCAATACAGGAGCCCTGGTTTCCAAGGTTTGTACTACATGCAAACAGTTTTGGCAAATAAACGTTTTACTTTTAGCTTCCAACTGTGGTCGGGCCCCAGGTTGGAAGTGGACGGGGCCGAAGCGGCTGAGACAGAGAACTCAGTGGACGCTGAGACTGAAGTGTCCCCAAAAAGGCACTTGCTGCGGCAGCTTCAATCCCACATCTTTATAATGGTAAGAAGTAAACCTAGCCGCCAGAACGTTGCAGGCATCTCGACTGGCGATTAAGTATTGCAAGATTATGTAACACCTAGTGATCGCATTTTATCCTAGGGAGCTGCTTCTTCCTCTTTCGTTTTTATCCACCTGGAGTTTAGCGTTTTTCAGCTGATCGCGAGTCGCGTTTGTAGTGAGCATTCCAATTAAAGTAATGCTACTGTACTTGACCACTACGGTGAACTAATTGGTGTAGCACCACCTTCGGCTCCTCCTCAACATATAAGTAGGGCAACAGCAGATTTATTGATACACAAACCAGCCTTTCTTACGCTGTTGCACACTCCTTGATTTGCTATACTTCAATTCATAGTATAAATCGTTTATGCACAGACGGTACAAGTAAATCACTCAGTTGTACTAATAAACACCAGTGGTGTGGTCACTACACTTTTCTGATTCTAGCCGCATCTCGAGGAGACACTGACGACGACATAAACTACGGCGTTTCTTGTCCGAGAATCCTCCTTTCTTATTCCCTGGCTCTTTTTTCACTCAATTGAATAATACCTATTCGAACGTGTACCTATTTTCTGATCTCCCTTTTGTATCGGGACGTGGACCTTCCACATTGAAAGAGTTCCATCATGCTACCGCACACACTCAGATGTGCATGGATTCTGAGCAGTATGGAAATCACTCCATAAATGCCATTGTATGCGTTCACATCGAGGTTCCTCCACACAGTACCCATCCACTTCAGTCACAAAGCTCGAATTGACTTATGTATTATCCTAAAAAAAACTGATTGATTTGGTTTGCAAGAGCACATTTGTAAAAGAATCTTTACCATTCCATGAAGAGCCCGAAATCTTAGTTAAGCTCGAGTAATAATTGCGGGAGTGTCAAATCATTGTCGGCAACACACAGGACGACACAGTGGTGGCAACAATGTACTTCGCCACGTCAATAGGAGTGTGGAAGTTCTCCCGCTGAAGGACGAAGACAATGTGCTACGATAAATAAGTTAAGTGTATTTGAGAAAATAATAACGCCTTTCCTGTGTACTGTATTTACACCGCGAAAAAAAAAGAAATATAGAAGACTATGTATATAGTAGATAGGTATATGTACTGTTAATTTCCACTCTTGTTGGTGTTGGAGGGGGTTGCGGTGTTGTATTGTGTTGGCGGGTTCACAGTCGTACGTAATATCGAAGGTGGGTATAGTGTCCATGCTTGTGTGTGCGGATGTAATCAGATGGAGAGCTGAAAGGGGGTGACATACACACGCGTGCACCCCTCTGTACTATGTTGCGTTGAAAGTAGAAGTACCCATACATACCATAACCAAAATAACGGAGTTCAGGGAAGCAAAGAAAGGAAGAAAAAGGGAGGGCACGAGAGATGAAAGAGCGAAGTAGGTAGAGGGTATGACTGGAAGTAAAATGGCAAGATGGTCAAATGCAAGAGATGTGATGGGGGAGGGAGGGAGGGAGGGAGGGAGGGAGGGAGGGAGGGAGGGAGGGAGGGAGGGAGGGTGGGATGAGAAAGAGGGGACATGAAAGAGTCTGTGTGACCTGAGCATGTTGGCCCACTCAGTGGCGCAAATTATCTGTGGGAAACAAAAAAAATAATGAATTTGGTATGTCTGTTTGCCTGTGGTAGCGTGAAAAGAATGGTGGTGGATAGAAGAGAGAGAGGGAGGAGGGGAAGGGAGAGGAGGAATGAAGCGGTCAAAATAAGGCGTTTCAATGGAGATCAGACCGATGTGAATGTATATGTGCGCAGGGAGATAATAAACACAACGCTCATCACTGAAATGAGGGAGTGGTCGGTAGGTGCATGAAGCAATACATATATATATATATATATGGGTAGGGGGGCGTGTGCTCTTTGGGGTGAAAATAGTTTGCAGGGAACTCTATTCTGTGCATGTTAATGGAAGGGTGAGGCCAGACACAATATATGACCCTAGAGAGGATGGAAGGCACTCATGGTTAAGTGTTTGCAATTGTGAAAGATTGGAGGACTAGTGGGAGAGGAGATTATGCAAACGCTGCCGGTTGGAGCCTTTTCGTTTCAGTGATTTTGGCATTCGACCTTTAAAGGGAGGAAAAAGTAGAAGTTATGCACACAAATGCTGCTAATCGTAATCACTTAGATGGATACTCTTCAACCTCACTGATTGCATTCTCTAGGATAAAAAAAACCAACCAATCCGCAGCGTAACCTAATGTGATTAACAGTAGAGAAATTAGTGATAGAGAGATGACATCCGCGTCGTACGGCGCAGAGGGAAGTATGACTCACTTGCATGGGATCCCCGCAGTCGGCGCCGCCGGCAGAGGCCATTTGCATAATGGAGAGGTCGAATTTGGGGGCACCGCCACTGTTGCTGTTGTTGGTGTTTGTCGAGTCATAGAAGCCGTCAGTGGTGCCCTCAGCAGCGTGGGCGACACCTCCCACCACCATATGACCACCATTGGCACCACCACCACCGCCACCGCTGGCCATTTCTCCACCTCCACCGCTGCCATAGCAGACCTCCTCGCCCTCTTCCAGTTTGCAAACTGGAGCTGAAGGCAAAGGAAGCCAAATAACTCTCATGAAGACCTTAATTCATAAAAATACCGAGTGTCGAACTACGACGCGACACAAACAAGGCCTGCCGAAGCCTGGGATTTAGAGAGGCTATTCCACCATTTATTGAGTATAGGCTTGATTCTACTTAACAACAAATGAAAACATTGATCCAACTTCTCAGCAAGGATCCACTCACATTTCCACTCAGTGATCCTACAAATGACTGAGGCATTTAAGCGCTGACGTTTCGTGGAAAGTGATAAAAAAGGAATTTATACCGAGTCCAAAAATAGAACGATTGGTATTAAGAAAGACTAAATACCTACCCCCCATGAAGATTGCATTAGGCAAGTAGGGACTGGCAACAGCGCCAGCAGTAGTGGTAGGAGGCCTTCCCACGAAGGTGACCTGCATGTTCGACATTAGAGGCATCTCGGAGGACTCCATTTTGCTCTCCTGTGGATTCTCCCCACTGTTGTTGTTCATTGCGGCGACGGCAGCGGCTCGAGCCAGGTTGGTAGTCATGGCCGTGCGCCAAGCCTCGAGAACAGCCTCGTAGGCAGCGCTTTCGGGAGCTCGTCCGCCCTCCTCCAGCAGGCTTGAGGCGCCCTGGCCTCCTCCACCCAACGGCTTTCCCGTAGACATCTCCACTTCCTTTATGGCGCTCTCCAGCGACTTGTAAAAAAAGGGACATTAAAAAGGGTATTAGATGTATGATTGGACAAGGAATCCGTGAAATCGATTTTAATGATAAAAATGCGGCCGAAGTGCTCGCAACTATCAGAAAAATTTCCACACAAACTAAATTGAAAGTAATATTGAGGTGATGCGTAAACATTTAAAAATCTGGAATGGACCTTAAGTCATCTATAGAAATTAACGACGTGGTTTTTTGCAGCAATCGCAATCACATTAGATGTCACAGTTCCAAAAATGTCAAGCATTGAGCCATTGAAAGTGGTACAGCGCTACCAAATTGGGAGGAAGAATAACACGAAACACTACGAGCGAGGGCAGTAAACGGCCATGAACCCGGTCGCAAAGCTACCTGAATGTGATTGAGCAAGAGGGGAATGAGTTGTCGAGCGATAGCAGTCTCTTGGCGAAGACTGGCCGTGTGTGCGACAGCTTGTCGCAGTTCGAGAATGTAGTTGACTGACAATCGAAGAACGGTTCCCTTGTTTCTTCGGCCGTCTCTTTAAAAAGAAAAAGAAATCTATTCAGTTATATTGTGACACTTGCAAATTCCAAATTCAATAGCAGCTGAAACGCCATTTCTGGATTGTTAGAAGCCAAGCGTAGCTACTGATACATCACACAGAACACAGTTTTATGCTAAATTTGGTCATAAGTACAAAAAATTAGCGCAATAGTAAATTTGTTTCAACGAAAAAACAACAACGCACAAAAGTGCACGGGACAAAAGGGCACGGAGTGGTCAAGTGCAATCGGAAAGTAATAGCACAATTATCAGATAGTGGCCTCCGCCCACTCCATGCCAATCGAACGGAGCGTACAAGCAATTTTCCAATAATAAAATCTACTTTAAAATGTTTGGAATTACTGGCCTCATAATAGCCCGGCATGGATTTCAGATGGGAAAAAATGCGTTGACCGGAATTTGCACACCCTCGACAGCCAGGTGCGTGCCGTAAAAAGGGCGCATCACTACACAACAGAGGATAAATCAGTCTGAATCCGGATGCATCCCAATGGTAGTTGATTTCGTTTGTAAGGCTTCAAGCATAAACAAAAAATGATAGTCGAAAGTAGTGCCATGTGAAAATTAAACCTTCATCGGTATTCCTAGAAGGAATAAAAAATGAAACAATTGACGGGCACAGTAGGTCGAGTGGCTAAAGTATGCATTTGAAAGTGCTTTCCTCGCATGAATGGCCCCCCAATGTGAGTAAAACAAACATAACATTGGGAACCACGAATATTCGCACACACACAGGACGCATTTAAGACGGAACCAGAGCAATAGCAAACACCTCCTAGTGGGTCCACGCCTAAGGTATTGGGGACCACCAAACTGAAACCCAGAGCCTGGATTCGATGAACGGATATATCACTCCTACTTCCTTCCTCACATAAAGGTACACAACAAGGTACAACCAACGGCACCCACACACACGCATCTCTACGGATAAACCCTGTGAGTTAGAAGGAAAGCTGCTGTGCGGAGTTGGGAGGAGTGGCGGAACGCAGAGAAGTAGGATGATGGTTCCGAATTCACTCCAAAGCACAGGATACGACGCAAATTGGTAGATGAATTCGCATTAGAGGAAAATTCCGCTTCCCCCTCGATTTGTATTTGCGTTCCTTAACTAAAAGTACACCGTTAATTAGGGCGCGACCTTCAATTTTCCGCAATGATAAATATAAGCCTAGCTTCCTATTAGTAAATACATTACAAATTTAACGATTCAATTAGAGTGCAGCGTTAAAAAAACAAATGTTGAACAGGTCAAACTGTTACACTGAGCTTGTGGGGAGATTCGGGAAAATTAGTACGTTAATGGAACACCAAAATTTAGCCTACTCAAAGCAGGAATACAAGCTAACACTACGTTGGCGAAGTGACACACGTTCAAATAAATTAGTTATAAATAAATTCCAATGCCTTTTTTAGCCTAAGTCCTAACATGGACAGCGGCTTAAGGCAATTTTGACGGTACGCGGTTTTAATGAAGATGATCCGTGACCCTGGCTTATGTTGCAAAGCTTGAGCGAGTGTTTCTGCAAATTAACAGATCAGCTATCCAAGAAGCCCAAAAATAACTATAAACTATTGCTTCGTGATTCCTTCTAATGATCGGTTGGTTAGAGTGTAAACAAAGGCAAGAGAAAGTAGGTGTAGATTTTCCAGAACAATTTCAAGATTGAGAACTTTAACAAGGTGAAACATCACCGGCTACCCGAAGTAGCGCAGTTTAACGTGGCCATGCGAATGCCATGCAAACAATCTCATTGGTTGAGGCTACAATATCCACGATCTAAATAGCATAGTGTTATTTGAACTTCCTCCTGCCAATTCGTTATTTTAACTAAACTAAAAAAATGCAATCAGCTAATGAAAAGCAGGTAACTTCGGTGTGCGCATGCTTCCACTCGCAAAAAGCAGACTGGTAAGCAATAGGTGTTTAATGATAAAAAACCGCGTCGTCATGATTGATATGGCTTGGAAAATTCCGGTAAATTCAGCATCTGATCCAATGAAAATGAGAGGAAAAATGACAATATACAAGACCTATGGAAAAAGTGCAATCCACCTCTTTCCAAGCCCTACCAAACGAAAATCCAAACAAAGGCCCTGAAAAAAAGAAACAAATGCGGGCGCGCACCGACACATCAATTGAACCGTAAACAAGCCCTCTAGCAGGTCGGCTGTTGCTATGGTGACCTTTTTAATTTAAAGCTATGATTTGAAAACATCTCCAAAAGTGACTCCGTGAGACAGACTTCAAAGAAGACCTAATTTGAACAATGGGGTGTTGTATTGAATGCCTAGATTATATCCGTTCCGCAGAAGCCTTCACGTTAGATTCAATTCAATTGATGAGCTAAACACGGGCTTGTGTAGAATCATTGCTAACTATAGAACAGTACACTGCTCCACATGACTAGAAAATAAGTACTCAATTAGTTGAATTCTTCCACCTCGGTAAACTGCAATGTGAGCAATTACTGCAGCGCACAAAATGAGGTGGAACGATGTTGCATAAAATGATCACTTTCAGGCTAAGGTAAGGCCATGCCCTCGGTTTGGGAGTAACGGGGTTTCCGCAATTTTGCATGATTGTGAACCATGAAGCAAGGTATTATGACGGATGAGCCCGCGCAACCTACCGGTGAGACAAGCGTTTCAAGAGTTGCCCCCGCTTTGTATAAAACCAAGACGGAACGCCTTTTGATTGATTACTGTAAACTAGCATGAACCCGTTCGCAGCGAATATGACACTCATTTGATCAGTGTGTTTTTGGTGAAAAATGGCGGTATTTGCAAAGGGAAAAAGAAGCCCAAAAAAACACTTCCTACCATTAAGTTTAATGTCACGAGTTTAGACGTGTGGGGAAACCAAGCGCCTAGCCCACTTTACACCTTCGAACGACCTAATAAACTCAAAAAAAGTATACAATTGGAATCGAGATATAAAGCGATGAAACCAGTGTCCTGGTGTGCAAGGGTTGGAGACTAACTTAAAGCCCAATCAGCCGATACAGAGGAGACCTAAGTATGGAAATAGTCTAATCACGAAATACTGGGAACCCGAGGAAATACCGTTTTAACCCCCAATTGATAATAGGGCAACCACACGCGTTCAAACCACTAGATGCGTTGACAACGTGAGTTCACTACACAAACCAGATGCGCCAGTTCACAGGCGTTGGTTTTTGCATCGTAGGGCGTGAAAAAGCATCGATACTGAATGCGATTTCCATCTCACTACTTACAAATTGATTGTAGAAATGCTGGGAGCTTATAAAATGCAAGCAGCCACATAAACAACTTGTCATTTTCAATAATTCGGAACTGCAATGGGAAATTTTGCAGCCACCTCATCCAACTGAGAAACGGAGTTGCTCAATCAGGTGAAGCACATTTTGACAGAAAAGCGAGTCACCATCATTTGAAAGCTCCAAAGGAAGCATACAACTCTTAATCAACTGCAATCATGCGTAACATCGGCTATGGCAACTAATCACAAATGTTGCCAGGATCGCGAACAGAACGATGAAAAACCAGCGGAATCTGCATATGAGAAGCTTATTTCATTTTAAGAAAGAAGTCTAGGAAAATGCAGCAAAACTGAAATGAAATGATTTTCTAACAGGATTAAAGTAGTGCATGAACGTATCGAAATTTCTCAGGGCGAATGAAACCTCGAGACTGAAAAAGATGAGCCAATTACACACGAGGCAAACAATCCGACTGACAAAAACACTACAATGTGGCACCGAAAGGAGTGATGTGAGGTGAATCACGATAAACTTGACATTTGCGTGCACATACCCAAGGCCATATGAATTGGATAGTGAATTTCAAACAAAGCTTTAAGCCAAATTCTATTCAACGCTCAAACAATAAATTTTAACAACTCAAGTATGCAAATGCTGAGAGAAATAGACAAATGGGAAGAAGTGTCAACTTAGGGAGTTTACACGCAATTTGAAGCATTCTTGAAATGACAACTTCAGTGTATCAGAGATGTGAATAGAAAGCATGATGCGGCAGCTACGAGGCAATCTTTTAAAAAGTAGAACCGCAAATTCGTAGCATACACTTCCTAAGCACGAAAAAAATACTGAATTCAGGAATGAGGCTTTGAGTGACTGTTGGCACAAATACTGGTGCGAGCGAAACACTGAAAATACGCAGCCCCAAAAACAGCCATATGAAGGCCACATTGGGACAAAAATAGCCCTATGAATCTTGCACATATTTCCAGTGGTTTTATAACTGTGTGGAATAAGTGAAGCGATGGATATGGATTGTAAGTGATTGCTGATGGGCGGGGGATGCTAAGCAGCATTTGAGTCAGGAACCTCACCAAGCAAAAAAAGCAGAGCTTCCAAGAAGAAAACAGGCTTGACGGACTGAAGGTGGTGTGTACTGAGTCAACTAAAGACAATTTGGAAGTACTTCTGCCAAAAAGTGCGTGAGAATTCGTGGAATGCACTCTTACTCAAGACCAGGTGGTGGTGATGAATGCAGCAGTCAGTTTTGGACGATGGAAATAGTTCACGACACAAAAGTGCGTGCCGAAACGCCCACCAGTATGGTTCTATTTTAAGCTACAGCTTCCGCAGGGAGTCCAGAAAATCGTGGGGAAAAATAAGAAAATCAAAGTCTTGAATTATAAAACACAAATAATAGGGATAGGCTTACACGTCTCGGTACATATCTGCCGGTAGTAATCCGCTCAAACGAGTGATTTGGGAATTGATGTAATCGCGTCGCCTTCGTTCAACTAAAAACAGAAAAGTAGGTCTTAAGCAGACAGTACACGCCTAGGAAGCATCAAAACTGCATTTAAGTCAATGAAATGGTGGGAAGTAGGCAAAGAGGCGAGGAATTGGCAGTGCTATGGAGCACGATTGTGATAAACAATGATCAACATTAGCGAGTGAGGGTTGAAGCATCTTGTCAAGTTTTGAGTGCATCTTCCTTCACAAAGCAACTAAGGTGGGAAATGTGAATCACAGTTTTATTCACATTGAGCGCATAATTCCACTCGGAGCTACACTGACATCAAATGTTTTAAACAGAGTGTTCCAAAAAAAATATCCCTATTTAGGAAATGTCGAGGCTTTGAGGGGGGAAAAATGCATGGCGTAAGAGGAGCATTGAAAAGCTGCTAGTTTACCAAGATCTGAAAGCCCACAAAAGTTTGAAATTGGATTTGTTGTTTGTACTTAAGCTTGACTCGACTAACTTTTGGTTCTAATCGCAATTCGCCAGCAGTTTTCCTTTTTAAACAAGCATTCCAATTACAAATGTGGATCGACTGCTTCTCCTACGTGTAACCGGAGCAGGCACCGCCAAATCGTGCAACAGAAAAAAACGAAATAGGGAAGGCCAAACATAGTTGACAGTCTGGTTTGAAAGCCATGCGAGTAGGAAAGTGAATCGGAAATAATCGTCCATTACATGATAATGCGCATTATTTAGGTGAGGAAAACACAAAACAATAGGTCAAGCCTAGAGAAAAACGTATCTAAGAGTCCAAGTTCCAATGTTCACTAGTGCACTTCTCCACAAAAACGAAATGGCACTTGCGTGCTTGAATGCATGGGGACGTGAAGTGCCATGCCAGCGTGCCTTAAACCCCATGGGATGCAATGTATTTTGTGTGAAAATCAACAACCAGCAAAACCCATTAATTTCTGAATAAATTAACATGCGGAATAAAGCATTAAGTTGCATCTTGTGGGAAGCACAAACGTAACGCAATGCCCCACGTATCACCTTGCAAAGGCATAATAGATGATAGTCCTAAGGATTACCACATCGTTTCAATGCTGTTCTCCAAAACCAAAATGATTAACTAACTGAATGATATGCCAAATTCCTTCACACCCCTACATACATTTTACGAGGGTGGTGCGCCTAGGTGGACCGAAACTCCAAAGCCGTAAAAATTATTATTCTGAAATGTGACGCTAGGCGAAATTACGAATGCAAAAGTTCCATCCCCAAAGGAAAAGTGTAAACCAGTGCTAAAGCACCCAGACACCCAGGAAGGAAGACGTGGCAAGTTGGGAAGCACAACAATGTGCAGACATGCAATGAAAAAATATCACAGAGGGGAAGAGATGATGCAGCTGTGGAGAACTGATAGTGAAATCCACAGCGAAAGCATGGTCTTCAACTGACTTTCGACGACATGGAGGCTGAGGAAAATGAATGACTATGCAGATCGCAGACATCCCAACACTTTCATATCGAAGCGGAGATGCAACAACGTAGATGACTTCAACGAATTGGAAAAAAAACAATCCCGAAATGGGATGAAGAATATGGCCCCAGGAAAAAGTTATGCAGAAAGTAACGGAAACAAGATCTGCAACATAAATTAGAAATAAAGGTGAAATACTCAAGCTGGACTAGCTTGATCAAAACATGCGGACAGGATAGGATAGATGGGCAACAGTATTTGGACACACAGGTCACAAATTTTCTGGTCATTTTGGCGTGATACCTTCCCATTACAGTGAACTGATGATCACGTTCCTTTAAAAAAAACCCGAGAAAGCTTGGGTCTTTTTCACCAACGCGAGACAAGTTTCCTTCCGGAAACTGCTAGAACCGTTAGCTCAAATAGCACACATGCGCAAATGGCTCTGCTGTTGATTCGTCCCAAATTTTTACGATGGTCTTTCATATATAACAGTAAGTGATGCCGTCGACTATATCTGGGAATATGCGATTGTATGGTGGATATATAATTGTTCATTTAATGGAGTTAGTGGTTTTCTTCGATTAGAATGATGCTCTTCATAACTAATTCCATTTAACTAACCCAACTATCAACAACGCCGTTTATAATGCCGTAAAACTACTCAATCTTGGAGAAAATAAGTGGAGTAAATTATTAATGATGCCCTTTTATCAGTGTAGTGCATCGTGTGAATTTAGGTATTCTTGAACACATATTTAACTACCTAGTATTTAGACAAAATTCCCACTGCCTTTAAACTATTATGAGCGAATTGATATGTTAAAAAGCGTTGGCGGAAGCGTATTTTGAAGTAGCATTTTAATTCTCTTTCCCAACCCGATAAACTGCTTCTGATGCACAGTAATAAGTCATAATGAAGGAGAATAAATGAGCAGACTGTGCAAAGAACTCAAGACAACTCAAAGCATCGATGAATTTGCTGAATTAAGAATGAACTAAGGTAAGCTACAGCGAAATTTGGAGCAAATCTTATGATAAAATTGAAGATTAAAACCAACTCAAGCTTCCAGTCAGCATCACTTTGTTACACTATGACATCTGAAAGATTAGAAAAAAAATTTCAAAACAAGAAACCGTCGATCAGTTCGAAATTGGGGAACAATCGACTTGTAGATTTAAAAAAAACCACCGAACAATAAATACCAAGAATCAAGGTGCGACTGTAGCTTACGCCACATTTGGAAAATCATATCCATTGCATCGTAAGTGGTGGCAGGAAATATAAGATCACCGGGGTGTTACGCCGAATTGCGGAAATTTGACACTCATAAAAAAGTTCCTGTGTGCATAAATTTATCCGCCACTGATGAGTGAATGCATCGATGCCGCACACATCGTCTACCGCCATTCAATCCTAATCACAATTGCCAATTACGACACATAAACGCAATGTGCAATAAACAAAATGGCGTTCATATACAAGACTTGCAAGAAAAACACCTCATAGCAAGGATTATTGCATCTACTCGGCCTTTACTTCGCGCCAGACACAGGATACAATTCGCACCTTTGGAAAAGTAAACCAGTAGACTGGCGTTCACTAACACAACAAAATAAACCATATCCTCTTGCATAGAAAAGCTAGCTAGCTACTTTTCATTGTCAGCGTGACCAAATATCGAGAATTAGAGTACATTGACCAAACAGTACATGCTAAAGATGTTGACGATCCCCAAATAACAATTCATTGCTCAATTAGTATCACAATTACTTCCTGTAGTGGGCCTTTCACTTCTAATTTTTTCAAACGTACTTTAGTAAAGTTTTTCACAACTCAATTAAAGAGCAGTACCACTTGAAGGTAGTAAAACACTAACTCTTAAAAGTACAAAAACGCCAACCAATAGGATGTTAGGGGGCTTCGAACTGCGGCTTTCCGAGACTTTACCGCTAATAAAATCGAAGATACTTTTGAAAATCCCAAAAATGATTCCCAAACAAAGTGAATATATGACAACAAATGAACTGCAGTCAATAATACCATGAGAACCCAGAACGCCAACATTAGCAATCTTTCAGAGAAACTGGATGATGTATAGGAAATTGAAAATAGGATAAGTTCACAGAATCGACGCTTACATCGTAAATGATGTAACTGCTAGATCAACAGGAAATGCAAAGTAATGCACAAAACGAATGTCACGTGACAAGTGAAAAAGTTGGGATCCTATGGTGTAATAAGTCCCAAAAAGCTAATCTACCACAACAAATGCGAATGGAGGCCGCATTGTGTTAAAAAAAAGTTACGGTTCGACCCCACCAGAAAATTAAGCACTTCGAGGAACTTACTACGATTGTGGCTCTCCTTTTTCGATCTTGATTTGAAAGCTCCAGGTTTACCATCCGCATCGAGAACGGTGCGTTTACAGCTCCCACCGCCACCACCACTGCCTTGAGTAGTGACGGAACTGGGTGAGTAGGCGGGCGAGATGAGGCTGGCGTGGGGTGAGGCGGCCAGACCAACCATGTGAGGTGCCGAGTAGGCCACATCCATATTCCCACCTGTCGTACACTGCAGATCCGGGAGCTTGTTGGTCAGACCGCCAATGAAGCGCTGTAATGACGGGGCCCCGCCGGCTGAGTTCACGTAGGACAGGTGAGGTTGCGCCAATTGTCGACCGGCATAGAGGTCGGTCTCTGAGATTAATGAGGCGTAGGTAGACTGAACCGAATGGTGAGAATTGAAGGCAGAGGGTGCATTGAAGGACGAGGATGCAGTAGAAGCGGTGGGGGAGAAGTAGTCGGAGAAGTCGGTGCCTCCAGTCGTGTCCACGGTGACAAGGGGCGTAAAAGAAGAAGCAGTTGTGTCGTGAAATCGGGCACCACCACTGCTGCTACCGTAGGACGGAGGTCGCTGCTGGCCCATGGGAATGAGCTCGGAGGGGGTGCCAGCGCTGGTGGCGGTGGTTGGCACAAGGGAGTAGCTGGTGCTTTTTAACTCACTGTTATGAGTGGCCGTTGGATTCATAGCGTTTTGGGGAGCGAAGAAATCAATTTCACACTTAGGGGTCTTCACGACTTCTAAAAGGAAGGAACAAATAAATTATGTTCGTTATGCTCAATACCGTAGAATGATGAATAAAGGATAAAATGCAATGCAAGTCTTGCTTTTCATGATTGTATTGCACCACCGCTTCATTTCACAATATCAAGGCTATAAGTTAGTTTCGAAAATAATTGGATGTTTACCATAAGGGCTTACGATGCCGCCTCAGATCTTCAAACACATAATGCAAGCCCAAAAGCAAACTGAGCACTTCAAATAGAAAAAAATGAGTCAATCGATTCACCCAGAATTCGAAATAAATTAGTGAGTTCCCAATAAATAATTTGGTCAAACCAAATAGAACGAAGTTTAGATTGAGGACAATGGGGAAAATCGTGTCTCCTCAATAAGTGACAAATGAAAAGCAATAAGGTCACTTGGTCCTAAACTAAGCTTAAAGAAAAAAAATATTGTTATCAATATACTGGCTGCAAATAATCGCACAGAGCTATGAAGCATAACCATCTAATGCGTGCCAAATTTCAAGGAGGGGAGGGGGAGCATTGCCTACGAAAGCAAAAGGAAGAAGTTCCAGTTAACGAAATACGTGAGCGCGTGCAAGCAAGTGTAAGCGTACCTGCGTGAACATACCTCCGCACGACGCGCATATCCCTACCATATGTAGCACAGCTGATTTCCAAGGTCACTTGAGGTTTACACATCAAAATCACTGAAAGCCATTCTGATGTTGCTCATGGCAACTTTCATTTAAGGCGTAAAAGAAGCATCAAAATACATGGCAAACTACAGTCGCTAGAGTGGTTAGCTTAGTTAAACTCTATACCTACATGATCAAGGGCTTTTGAAAACGAGGGTATGAAACCTTAGAAAAGGAAGGTAGTGCTCCATCGTGGGAAAGAGGCTGACCACCAAACTAAAATCATTAGAGTAAATTACGCAGCGGTAAATTGTGGACCCTCTTCTGGGTACATAGACGAATATAGTGGTTAGGATGATTCAAATAACTTACGTCGTCTACCAATTATTCACGCGTCAGTACCTCAGAAATAACCGAAGAAAATTCTCCTGGCAATGATTAGTTCACGAATACTAAGTATCTTTTAAACTAAGCAAAACACTATCTGTCGTTATAAAACCTGTTCCAGTCACGTGCAATAACAACAACAGCCATTATATTACGCCCACAAGATTTAACCAGTGAAGAGGAAATAACAATATATTGTGGATTCCTACATGTCGGGGAATCCAGAGCAAAGCGCGAGATAACCACATCGATTGTTAAACGAGTCCGCAAAATGTTCGATTGTCTTCGTGTAAATGCACCCAACTCCATCCGTAAGTTGGGTTTCATAAAGAGTATGCAAAAGAAACACAAAAAACTCCGGTTTGATTATGATGTATATGAAGTCAGCCCAAAGAGCAAAGACCCCCAAACTAATAAATTAAAGGAAAATGCTACGTCCCAAACTCTGTTAAGATGAGATCGTTGCGAAACTGACCAAAAGTACGAAATAAACACGTGGCGATCAGCTGGTTAAGGGCCTCTGTTTCAGCCCATAATATTAGATCTTATTCAAAGTTGAAAGTACTTTTGGGTGAAATACGCATTTAACTCCTGAAACTCGAGCTTTCGTGCGCGTTTGAGAATAGTGATTCACATGATGTCACTAGGGGACGAACTGAAGAACAGATGAACCCATGAACTTCAGTTAATCGGTTTAGAAAGCCCATTAGAAGAGGACTGTTCGGTCCGAAACGGACTAGTCGGTAACACTAGGGAAAGTATGCAAAGATAACAATGCGCCAAGATGATTACAGCAGTAAGTGAGTTAGTGCCCATTATAAAAAGAGCAGCATAAGGAAAGTACCTTAGAGAAGTTCAATAAATGTTTGATGGAAACATGACAGATCCTGTTCGGCGTATGCATGCTAATATATGCAAAAATTCCTAAGAAGAAGTAACAACAAAACATGAATGCAGACAGACAGGACAAATAAGAAAAGGCTTAGAAAATTACGTGAAATGCTAAGTGATCATCACAGAAAATCATAGAGGATGATCAAAGGACTGAACACAGTGCGTAACAATGAGTACTTCTTAAGCATCTGGAAAGAAATTTCAATGGGAGTTCCGGAGAGTCCTAATAAATGGGAACTCAAAATAAATGACGAAAAACACGAAGTCATAAATAAATGCAGTACCATTTAGTGATAATATGCATAAAAGTTGTAGGCAGCTGCATAAGAAAAATTCCCCCTCCCCGCAAAAGCATGCAAAAAAGTGATACAAATAAAATTTTCGCCGGAGTTCCTGTTAAATGTCCATAACAAATATATCAGGTTTGTAAAATATTTAACAAAACGGACAATGATGGAGCAGACAGAAAATTCAAAGAACAAACCCCTTCAAGAGGTAAAGGTTCTCAATTAACTCAAAAGATATTCCGAAAAAAAAAATTTTAGAAAGTGCAGCCCTGCAACTCGATAGCAAAATGTAGCTGAACATAAATACTAAGATTAATAAATTCAGGCAAATGGTCCAGTACCACAGCATGTATATAGTTCTACTCAATTCAAAATACAAATTACGCACATTATCCGCAAAAGCGGCCCGTTAATATTACCTTAAATACGGCAGATGTGATAGTATAAAGTCCCATTCAGAATGTACCCCAGATCCTAAGCGATGGCGAGAACGCGGACGACCAGAACGATTAAAATTGGCGAAAGAACGAATGCGCCTTAAAACACGCCAACATTGGGATAATCACCTTAATTAAAACGTGCATAGTCCTACAAAAAATCTTACAATAAAACAAAGCGCATTTGCTTATTTAATTTAAAAAAACAATTTCGTTTATTCTTCCGAGCTAATTTGGCAGCCAAGGCTAATGACATTACTGGGGCATAACTGCATCATTTGAAACGCAACACTGTGATGCGATTTATTCTAAATAAGAGGAAAGTCTATTACCGTGTCAATAATTTGATTTATACGTTCACCGCCGTTCACAATTTCGCATTGCTTGCGCATTTGCTAGTACCAATTATAAATTATATTGGATATAAACTAGCTTTTCATTCAATCATGTGAACTCGAGCGTTGGTCACTGCGGATTAGAAAGACAGGAACCAAATATTTCTTAGTGTTTTATTCTATTACTTATCACCTTCTTCCAAGAATTATGTATGTATAGTTATATCATAATTTCTTTGTCCTTTCCTCGAAGTAATTTCAGCAGGCTAATTTTTGGTGCTTCTTATTTTTAGACATTGTAACTCATAGTGCCATGGGCATAGTAATTACGTACCTAAATTACGTCTTTAAGACCATCTTTCGTTTTAGCTTAATGGTAGGGATGGCACGACGAGAAACCAAGCCCTAGCTGTTCATGTTGCACTGTGCCAAGTTTTCCAATAACTTTGGTTTTTCCTACTTCATTTGCCTTTCTTGTGTATTTTTTTCATCATACACGCAAAGTCCGGTTTGCCAGTTCTTTTTTCAGTATAGTATAGTGTAGTTTTCTAAGGGATAATAAATTTATCGAATTGTTTGTCTTGCCTTGGTAATAAGCATCGGCTTCGCCCGCCTTCAAAACACTTCTTGATGTTCTCCTTGGTTCATTACTAGGTGCTAAAATGGACGATGATTATAGTTCTCTTTTATTTGACATCATTTTGGTCTTTTACAGCAGCTAATTCACGCTTTACCCATTGATTTACCTGGCTTTCGCGGTCAGTTTTACCAGCTTTTTTTAGGAGCTTTGCGGACTCTTGAAAGAAGACATCTGTCGCTACAGCCGCCAGATAATTATTCCTGAGTTCGGGCCATCCAGTTAGTCATCTACCTTAGTAATGGGAATTTCTGCTGTCGTTTAAGCAGTTTATTCTTTTGAGTTCCCATTAATTGGACTGTGTAGAAACTGTCATGTTATTTTATGTATGTATCATTTATGTCATCATGTTTTACTTATGGCTCCTTCTTTTAAACAATTAAAGGGCAACTAAAGCTAGCCAGAGCCCACGTTTTAATCGTTGGTTGTGGCGGACTGGGATGTCCTGCTGCTGTCTATCTCGCCGCTGGAGGTGTCAGTAAGTCTCCATTTGTTCACTTATCATCATGGAATCAAAGGCGGAGCACTTCTACGTCAATTATGGACAAGTCTAATCCACGCGGTCCCCCCTTTTTGTTGCCACCTTGCATTTGTCATGTCCCAATAATCGTCTTGTTAAATTTCATTTCTCTGCTGTTTGGTGGTGTATAATTTTTTTCTGTTAATTTCCTAGTTAATATTACCCTCGTGGACGATGATGTAGTTGAGGTCACCAATCTTCACCGTCAAGTAATGCACTCTGAGGATAAATTGGGTTGTCCGAAAGTTGAATCACTTGCTCAGAAGCTAAAAAGGTGTGTAGCTGGCTTTAGGGGATCCTTCAGGTTCCCACTTGTCTTAATGTCTTCTTTCCTCCTCTTCATAGCGTAAATAGCTCAGTTCGCATAGTTACGAGGAATGTCCGTTTAACTAGTGAAAATGCCTGTGGCATAATTTCAGGGTGAGTCGTAGTCTTCATCATAGTGACCAATAAACCCTTTTCGATATTTTGGAACTGCTTGACACAAGTCTGTAACATTGGTTAGTATGTCTCACACTGTTTTTTAAACACTGGAAAACACATTGCAAAGGGGTGCGTAACCCATAGTCGATTATTACGCTCATAAATGGCTGTCTCTACCGGACTGTTACCTCGCCTAGTCACGACATTGTCTTGGACTGCACCGACAATATAACCACACGCTACCTCCTGAACGACGCCTGTGCAGCTTGTGGTCCCATCCCCTTGGTGAGTGGAAGCGCTCTGCGCTTCGAGGGCCAGATGACTGTTTATCTTACTCACCGTCCGCCCGAACGCGATTCCTCCGAGTGCGAGACAAAGCGGCTGAGGCTGATTGACGAGGAAAAAGTACCTTGTTTCCGCTGCATCAACCCCTCACCACCGCCCGCTGTTCAAGCTTGCTCCGATGCTGGGGTCCTCGGTGTCGGCAAGTTCTTTCCCTCTATTTGACTTATTTATCCCATCATTCACCGCTGATATCCTGAGTGATTGGGTTATTAACTGTACTAAATGTTGTCCTAGCTGCTGCCCCAATTCTACCGAATTTCATTCGTATTCTAGATCTCCCATGGGTATTTTATGCGAACGGTAGTCGAATTCATCTATGTAGGATTGCTGTGCGCCTTGTCTGTAAATACTGGCTCTAGGCAATAATTCGACGACGATATATCTTCGCATTTCATTTGAGTTAAATCATTTCACTATTTTTTGTATATCCACCCAACCTTTATTATTTTCTTTCAGTACCTGGTATCATTGGAACTCTTCAGGCAGCTGAGGTTATAAAACTATTATCAGGAGTTGGAGGCAAGTTAATCTGTATAATTTGGAGAGTCTTCAAGCCCTCCTGCGTTTTGCAGTATTCGACAGCGAACCATGTTTAGTAATTAATTCAGCAAGGGCCCTTTGTGTGACAATTGAATGCCATTCCATACTTGTTGCTATAATAGCCTCCACCATTTACCCTCAAAAAGTTATATGGCTTCACTGACTAATTAGGATAAGTAACTTACCGCATTGTCATCAGTGCAAACTCAAGGCTAATAAGCGAAATTCATCAGACCCGTGTTATCCTACTGGTCTTCATTTTATGTGCCAAGCACTGAAATGCTAGATTAAAAGCTTCAACAGATTAAGGTCAGTTGAAACAAATATCCACTGTCATAAAAAACAACTTTTTACTGAAAAACATATATCGTTGCTGACAAAATGTTAAAGTTTCGCCTGTGTGGTTACGACGGTAGAGTCGATGGCTGGACGTTTGCTTGTGTTCGACTTGGAGCGCAATGGCATACGAACGGTGAAGCTGCGTCAAGCGCGGCCTGATTGCAAGACCTGCAGTCGCGTCAACCGGATCACACCCGAAGATGTTAAGAAAACAGACTACGTCGACTTCTGCGGTGCTTTTGTCCACAACGCGGTGAGTGAGACATTATTAACCATAACTCATGGGTATGAATAACAAGCTAGTTCTCATCTCCCACGCCCCGTCGACCTTTTTAGTCACGATCAGCAAACCTACAGAAGTCCGACACTCGTATTTCAGTTCGGGTTGGTCTTTCCTTAAATATCTATAGGCGACGATTTCTTTTTCTCCATTCCTGACCTTAAATTCGTTTTAGGCGCTAAAAGAAATCCGTGACTCAAAAAAACCTCATCTCCTCATTGATATCCGACCTGTTGTTGAAACCGAAATTTGCCGTCTCACTGACTGTCTTTGTAAGTACAGATTACGGCGTACGCTTCAAGTTTATGATGATGAGCCAGATCCATTTTCAGAACTAACTGGTTCCATTTGACAAATTCTAGTTATGTTTATGCTGTACCTACTTCCTTTTTCAAGATATACCGTTTAACGAATTATACAAAGAGTCAAACTTAACACTCATCAGGGACCGAATCCGAGCCGCTCATGAAGTCTCTCCAAACACCCCTTTTCCGGGTAGGTCAACTCATACTAAGCTGTCTTGCCGATTTATGTGTTAATTTTTCCTCTTTTAATCCGAACTAGTTATTTTGCTGTGCCGTCGCGGCAACAAGTCGCATGCAGCGTGTAAGCAGTTCGCCGAGGCTCTAGAACGAATTCTTCCTCGGAGCGCGTCGAGTGGTGATCTGACCTCGCTTGTAAACGGCGACGCGAAGCCAGTCATCCCCATCAAGTTTTTGGTTCGTGATGTTGCCGGCGGACTGCAGGCCTGGAGCGAGCAGATTGACAACAACCTCCCCATTTACTAGAGCCGAATTACCTATTTCAACCTCCTTCTTTTAAATGGAATAACTCTGCGCCTTTGGATAAAATATGGAAGTCAGTGTATTCACAGCGTCATCCTATCTGCCTTTAAGTGGTAGCACCTCATGGGACCACTCTGGGATATGGTAAAATGGACAGCACAGTCAAACGGGGTCAAGCCTCACGAACATACTCCCTACTTGAGTATCATAACAGCGACAGGAATGCCAAATAATAAAAGATCGATTTGGCGTGAAATAAGACGCTTTGAAAAAGCCATAAACAAGACATTATAGAGCATCATGCGTGTATTACTGCCAGGTCATGAAGCCTAGTCGAGAGCTGACAGCACCTCCTCCTCCCCCTCCACAGATCAAAAGAATGAGGTTGCAGAACCGGAGAGCAAAGGGGAAAGTCAGTAGTGCAAGCGTATTACCAAAGGAAGCGGAAATACAAAAAGGAGAGAAGGATTATAGCAACGGTAAAGATGATAAGGTACTTTGCAATTGAGCTTTGAAGGTTCAAGGATGCGGCGTTATTTCGGTAGTTGCGTGATAGGTCGGAGAGGTGGGTCGCCTGGACATCCAAGGCTAAAATGTTAAAGCACCACACTACAGGCTACTCCGTTTGTGAGTGTGGCAGTGACAATAACTAGTAAATGTGTTCAAGGTTCGAAGTTCACAGAGCACAATATCATCTAATGGGTTCGTGGGGAATATAGTGGTGTTAAATCGGAATAGTCACCTGTTAATGCTTCTCCACGTTTGAGGACATCATCAATATTTTGGATCATAATTCGTTGCACATCTTGCAGTGCTACATTTAATTGCGATACGTTGGATGAAACACGGGTGTCCGTATATTTCTGCTGCAGTTTCTGCAATTCACGATCTACAAGGAAACTGTCCCGATGGTGAGTTCATAGTATTCTGGGAATTTAAGTATTCGACGAGGAGGTTTCAGGATTAAAACGACGAATAAAGGAAGTTACCTTTAAAGAAACTTGAATGAATCTTAGTCAACTTAGTAAAACCGTAGAGCTAATCAACAAGTAAAATAAAAAGTGTTGGAATCTTAGCATACCAAATTCAATAAAACCATATGGTCGCGAAACAGTATAAACATCGTTTGAATATTGGCCACTGAACTGATTGTGAACCTCCTCAAGGAAAGCGAAAGCTTTCTGTCTAGGAAAGTTCACTTCTGTAAGGATTAAGTAACAGATCCCAGATTCAAATAGGTAGTGGAAGTAGTACGTTCCAGCAACGAGCGAACAACGCGTTGGTGAAGACGGCACAAGTCTTCGAATCAGCATCTTGGCTTGATTCTGATAACTCACTAGGTTCCGACTTAACTGAGGAAAACCAATCAAAAAATTTAACTAACACATCTAAAAACAGCAAATGTGATTTCGGCATTTTTGATTAGGGAACGCAAGAAATAGCTCCAAACACAAAACCGGGCAGGATGTCTGTAGCTCTATAAATTTACGGAGAAGCAAATTATAACGTAACACCTACCATAGCCACAATAGAATATCTAATTAACAGAGTGCCTAAATACACTGGGATAAAAAGTACTTTGGCAGTACATACTAAAACCATTCGGGGAAAAAGTAGTCTAACAAGTCAGAGCCATTTTCCCATTAAATAGATAACCGATTAAATATTGAAAATGACTATTGGAGAGCATTTTACCTCGGTATCTTCTTTTACCGAGGCTACCAGTGGAAGACCATCGGCGACACGCGAAATCAGCGTAAAGAGAATCATTCTACTACAATATATGTCAGAACGTAGACGTGGAGGTGCGCTTGCTACATCAAGGTCCCCGCGACCTACACGAATTCGACCAATCACCCCCAACGCCTGAAATGTTAAACACACCTGTTTCGGACTGCAAAAAGGAGCTAAAAATTGCCAGTAAAATGGAGAAAGGCTAATGAAGTGTATTGGTCTAACCGAAATCAACAATGACAAGCTTTTTTAAGAAGGGCTGACTAGTCAACAGTGAATTCTACCTTCAAGGTAGCGGCTCATTTTAATTATTAAGATTTGCTTACTAGTGAAAGGTTTACACAAATGAAAATGACACCAAGGTTTTGTTTGGCACTTATCTTAAGTTATCGTGATTTTTGCATGCAATTGCGGTTTGGATGCATGGAGCGCAATTTGGGAATGTCGGGGTTAGTGAGGTAGACAGGGTGGTAAACTATTAAGGTAGTTTATTGCATAGGAATGGGTTTTTCTTTATTAAATGTCATTGGCGAAACATATAAGGCGGTTGGGAAGAAATAACCCAGAGAATAAAAATGAAGTCATGGGGTTGTTCGCAGGCAACAACTAGGAAAGTGTAGCGTCCCGAGGCTTCCCTTAAGACGAAAGAAGGCGCAATACTCAAGTTGAGTATATATTTGAGCACAGAAAAGGTGTTTGGGCTGCTGGCATGGCCCGAAGGCTAGACCACCCAGCGTGGTACAAGAAGGCAAGTTCAAAAGTCCTCAAGTGGCGCCTCACCAATACCGAGGGATAAACCACCATCGTATTACAAAAGTGCACCGACCTTAACTTAATTTTGGATGGATTGGACATCTAGTAACCCGTCGCCTACTGACAACAGAAAAATCCTCTAATTTTGTCGGCCACATCTATAGTTGAAGCCACTCTGAATCTCAATTGACCACGCCAGAGTGTGGGCGATTTTTAAATTACAGGAAAAAATGTGGATATACCCGGAGAGCCATATCGCCTGTCAGAAATAAAAACTGTTAATAGTGTAGAGTTCGTGCCGTTTATATGCTTAGTTTGGCAAGTAGCAAACCATCCCATAGTTGGAACGCCACCCTGAGATTCTTCTGCGTTGCCTACCACGGCGTAGTCAGTGCTTCGAAAACCCTTTACGAACTAGAAACGGTAGACATCGAAATTTTATGTCAATGATGATAAATTCGCTCGCAGAGTCCGTAATGGACCACGACAAATCTATTGCATATGGAATTTAGCACTGTCCGCGAACCGTATTTATAAAGTGAGTTTTACTGTTGTCGTGATACTCAGGGCTGAGAAATGCTTTAAATCGCATGCATTCCGTGTCAGGTGTTATGCATAGGAACATAAGACCTAAAACTTATATTCCAAGTCTGTTCATCCTAGCCATAGTCCTGCTTCATTGTACTGGATTACATTAATATCCTACGCATTACATAAGGTATTGCGTGCGCATGTAATAAACTTTTGTCTTTAAGTGCCACATTCAGATTTCTAGTCAGCTCATTCAAGTCGTACAAACTCAGGGAAGCTTTTGTAATTATTGGCCATTAGCAAGGCATGAGACCAAGGTAATTTGCAAAGGTACATGGCAATTTAGCTCTTCTATAAGGAGTCTCTTGGGAGTTCAACCATCCACACCAGATGTCTTTCTCTTGTGAAGTTAAAATTTAGCAGCCGGGTAGAGGGGTAGATATAAGCTATTCTTAGGAGTCAGTTAGCTTGCCTTACTCGTTAATAAAGCACTTCAGACGCTCTTTAGTTTGTATTTAAATATGCTAATATGAAGCATAACTCTGAAGACCCCCAAGTCTTTTATGAAGAAGAAAAAGTAATAAAGTTGGAGCAGACTATGTGTTGCCGGTGTACAGGGGGGCAAAGCGTCTGCCGACTTGGCCCAGAGACCATTTACCTCGGCGGATTGCATGGGCCAAGCCCTAAATAGGCTCAACACCAAAGTTCAGAGTCAAACAAATAATTAACATATTACTGTAATATGGTAATTGTTAGTGGAACTTTCGGTTTTGGTCGTGGTTCACTTAGGTACTCCGTCATTGTACTTTCATTTGGTAGCCAGGCTTTCGGGCGGTACCACCAGTCTCAAGCCCTGCCGTGAGTGGAATATATATGCATATTCTGCCCTAGCAGTGTAACTTTTTTTCCCATTTTCAGGGAGATCTCAGGGTGCTGCATTGATGGAGGTAAAAGCGAACGCTATCTTAAAGGACAGTTATCTTAATTTCTGCTACTGGGTGATAAAACTTATCATAACGGAAGAAGACCATGTGCTGCGGGTAGAAGAATATGTGACAACCGCTGGCAGGGGGTCCAAATATGACGTTTGACTTCGGCAACCACCCGGACGTGAACCATTCAAATAGTTCCTACCTTACCTGTTTGAATATACAATTTATGAGAGCATGCGATCCATCCAGCAATTATCTTCTTCATCTAGACACAGGTGTCTGAATAGTACTGAGGTTAGAACAAAGTGAAAGAAATGAATAGGCGTAAAACTTCATCTTCAGGGTATTATATTAAGCTGCGTCCTAAGTTATATGACTCTGCATCAGGGCCAGTATTCCCGTGACTAGTGTGAAAATGCGTTATGGCCGGTACATTCCTTCGTCCCTCCAATACATACAAAACTCCAGATTTAGCAGACTTTCCAAAAGGGATTAGTATTGCTGCAGTAAAGTATCTCATCAGTTACATTAAAGTTTGAGGACAGGCACAACTAGCACTTTGGTGTTTTTCTTACATCACTGATTATATTATGGTGCTTGCCGAGGAATATTGACCATTAGGAGCACCCAGGACGAAGATCAACGGAAAAGGAGGGCTGCAAAATGAGTCAGTTGCTTGTTTAACACTCAGTTTTGCTAACAATCCAGTCAATGGCCCTGCAACTGTACCCAAGCCAGGCAGTATGGAATTCGGACTACGTCAGTAGCCCCATCCACACTGCATGTTAACAATATGTATTCTGCTTAGGCGTTATGTCATCTTTCGTCTTCAAGGATGTCTTAGAGCTCTACATTATGGCCCAACATCAATGAACACCTAAAATGGGGACTGTAGTACTTATGTTTATTAAAATACTTTTTATGGAAGAAGGGGCAATCAACTAGAACCTTGTGATAGAGGCGCAGTTAAAGTCCTCCTAGGCCGAAAAGGGCTTAGTGTCCGGATCCGCCTAGACCTGTACTGATTCTCGTTCACTCTAAACAGTAAACATGTTTTAATCAAATCAGTCTATTCGTACAAAGGGTATGAAGGCCAGGGAGGTGATAAAGGGAATATGCTGCAGGAACCATCCATTCAAGAGTAGATACAACCTGATAGATCTAAAGGATACAAATGCCTACGTGTAGAGCTAGTTGGAATAGTATGTATCTATGAATGTAAAGCTGCGATTTACTTTATAAATAATTTATTTTCAAGAGCCTATTTCGCAACATTTAATGGCCAAATATTAAGAACTAAAAACTGCTGCTTAGATCCGATGTTATCTTGCCAAGGTCTAGTATTAGACCAAATCACATTTTATCATTACTTTTGCCATCTTTGTTTATCTATCTCGATCAGCAGGAATAGATTTAGTTTGCGAGTTTTAAATGCCTCAGGTTTTGTGGTTTTTGCTTATGTTTAGTGAATATTGAAGTACATAACTTAACGGTCTCATCACTAGAGTTCCATTTTATTGTTCAAAAATAGGCGTTATATTCTTATCTGTTCTCAACTTTGGGTCTGCGGTGTTTGAGGGCCGCGTTCTTCCTAGCTTCGCTTAGTTGAATGTTGGCTAGCACTCTTGTTTGCAATTTAGACATTTCACCTTCAAGTGCATTCCCTTATGTTCAGATAAATGTCTCCTCTTCTAACTTGGTGGCTGTGTTCTGAAGTTACTACCACCCCATTATTCTTAAATTAATACGAACTAATTGGCTCTTGCCATAGGTGCAGCATCAGAATATTTTGCTCGTTTTTTGCCACTGTTGAGCGCTTTTTATGTAAGGACCATGTCTTTTATAGCACAGTTAGTTTTATGCTTCCAAATCGTACAATTTGTTTCTTTATGTACTCGGGTTTTTCTCTTAGAATGGTTTCATTAGCTGATTCACCGGACGGTGGGAAGTGGTATCAACGATGTGATTTATTTGATCTGAAACGCCTAAAGGAGGTACTGATTCTGCAGGAAAAAACTGATATTTTAGGGCTCTGCCACTGACAGAAAAGTTTTCGCAGGAAATTTGGGTGATGTATACTACCTTGCTGATAGTCACAATTTCTGGGTTTTTCATCGGAACAATGAAATTTTGTTGCAAAACTATCTCAGTAAGTCCCTAAAGTAGAATGCTTACACTTATTTAAATAGAAGAAGGAATTTTTAGGGTCTACGAGTTATCTGAGTTGAATGCTGTGTTCATAGAGAGCAATGAGGACAAACTAGAGGTTTTTTTACCTGAAACAACTGAATTGCTGCAGCTTCCGGTAAGGTTCCACTTTATTCTCATGCAGTAGATGACTTTGGCGAATATTGTAGACGTCAAGGCTAAATCTTGGGCTGATGGTATTCACTAATTTGTGCTTAATACCTACTGTAGGCGCCGCTGACGTAATGATTTATACGGCCGATTCTAGGCTGATCATTTTGTCGAACATTACAAGACAGTCTTTTCACAATGCTGTTTTAAACAAAGATGTCGACTTTTTTGCAACTAAACTGCGGCACTCGGTCCTGAGAGAAAGCGCATCACCACTGGCATTGTTGTGTGCTACGAAACGACCTCAAATAGCTGTTACAGTTTCGTTAGTAAGTTTTATTTAATGCGATTTAACATAATCCTAGGAACCACTTATGAAAGTAGCTACATTTGAGAACTCAATGACAAATATGTACTTGGAGCAGGATTTGTTGTGCTTTATGCATCTGGTGGAACATTCTTTGCTCTTTGTTAAGTACGAGTACATCGGATCAGGTTACTTCGCCGTACTTACGCGTCAGGTTTGCAATTAATGTTGTAATGGTTGTAATCACAGCACCAAATGCTTATCTTTAATGCGATTGCGCGCGTTTGTTGCGGGGTGTTATGTGACATTTCCAGCGTTATTGACTTCGCAATTAAACTGGAAAAGGAAGACGGAAGGTCTATGTCATTCGATTTGTATACCCTTCATATGAGTTCGGATGGTCTCTCCTTTGAGGTGCGGACTTATCCCGCGTAAGATACAAACTGCTTAATCATCGCAGCCGCTTCTATTAATTAATTTTTCATCAGCGATCGTGACATTTTACGGTTTGACTTCGTCTTTACCGTAGACGGAAGCTGCGTATTTCCATGCCACTCACGACACAGTTCTCGTCGATGTTTTCTCGAAATCATTTGAGTTCTGAACCAATTCTGGTAGAACAGGAGGGCATACATCTTAAAGTTTCCACCTTCTTGATAACGGACCTGGCAGACCAGTATGTACTCTTGCCTTTTATTAGTTGAATAACAACTAAAGTTTGAAAGTCTTGGTGCAGGAGAAGAGGTTTGCTGAAGCTAGACAATTTGCAATGCGACACAATCTAAGTACCCTCGTGAGTCCTTAATATTTATTCAATTTGCGAAACCTGTCTTGCATTACTGTCTGTGAGACGCATTTCTTCTTTCAGCTCATATCGCAGTTTGAGTTTTTGGCCTGTCTTGAAACTCTGGTGGCAAACGCAGAGAAAATTAGTGTCCCTCTTGATGCTGCGACAACTAATATGGTGATTTCCGACTGTGACTCAATCTGTGAACGAGCTATCAAGCTTCTTGATGATTTTACGGTGCGTCCGGCCGCATTTCCCGTTAAATTTGTGAAGCCATCTTTGAATATTTCTAGGAAGTTATTCTGTTATGTGCTCTCCTTGCATAGTTTCGTCGTCAAACTGTTTCAAATCGCTCGCATTAATTTCAATGGTTGCATTTTATTTTTACGATGGCACCGTAGGAATTCGTTATATCTAGCCATTATCCGATTTTACTCCTTTTTTACTATCTCCCCTACCAGTTGAAAGATACCTGAGGTTAAAGTTTCTCGTTTAAGGTGTTGGAATCGTCAAAAGCAATTGTCCAATTGACGATAAGTGGCGTTATACCGTGCCTGGGTAAACAGCCCCATCTCTTGGAAAGAGTTTTTAATAAGGTGTGTTCATTATAATATTTGTCTTTTGGAATGCATCTAATTCGATCTATCTTCGTTTTTTTTTTCAGTTGCCACAGCATGCAGAAGCACGAGAGGTTTGATATTGCATTTTGTAATTCCTATCTGTGATAGACCGTTTCGACTGCACTAAAACGCTTGGAAGCATTTCGCAAGCTACGAAAGTATCGAGATCTTAGGTGTGTATCACAGGTTTTTGTTTACATTTTTTGTGCTATAACGTTTTCTACTATGCATTAGTTTTTTTTTTCAGTTATATTTCATGGAAGAAGTTTACTTCATCTAAAATTACGGCAGAGTTTGTTGAATGCTTCATCAAGTGGGAGGAATACAGTGATGGCTTTATGATTTGGCAAATGTTTAAGGTAAGGCAAAAATAATTTCATTCATTGCTTAGATTTTAGTATTTGGCTACTGGGATTTCTTAGAGATCTTACCAAGTTTTTATATCTTCTCATTCGGTACACATTTTAATATTTTGTTTTTTTGTGGGTGATTATTTATTAATTAGATCAAAACGTAATTTTTGGAACTTATTTAGAAGAATTAGTTCATAGGTGTAATTATGTGCCTGGTTTTTTTTAGAATATTCGTATATCATAGTGTGCCACGGTCGACGCAAATGCGTAGTTAGCGCTGTTTGAAGTGTATGTTGACTGAAACCAGCACACTCAAGCCGTTCAGTTTCTGTGAATGATAATAGGTTCGCGAATTTTCACTTTGATTGTTAAAATACCTTAAATGGTATTTCCTCTTGGCTTTCAGACGGATTTAACGTCGGACTTGACTTTGCATTCGGTTAATGCCTTCCTCTCCATCCTCTCACTTAAGCCACTCTCATCTGGTTGCGAAAATCCCGAAATTGAGGGGCTTTTGGTGGAGACGGAGAATGCATTGCATGTCTGGTTAGGTACAGAGTTGGTTCCGGCACTGGTGTCCAACTGTCCTTCTGCTTTGGTGAGTGGACTTTATTTCTTGTTTTGAATTTATTGCTTCATTTTCTACTTAAAGATCTCCCTTTGTTCTCAAAGTTGAGTTATTAGCTTTCACTCGGTATTTGGATGAGTTTACAAATTTGAATCACATCCTATGAATGATAGACTGGTTTACCTCTCTCCTATCCTAGCCACTCTTATCTAAGTGGTTGGTGAACCGCGTAAAGCGGCTTGAAGGTTCTATCAAGAGTTCTGGTGGCCATCATTATTTTGATTGGCCGGAGACTGCCATTACCTGGGCGGAGGGGCTGCTGAGCAAGGTCAAACCAGCATCTTGTCAAGATGAAGTGACATCGCAAGAAGAGGTGGACTTTCTTATCTCCGGTCTTTATAGTCGGAGTGCAGAGGTGGATCCTTTCTACGACGTTCGTTGTCTTTTGTTTGATCTGATCACCATCAAGGACCTTCTTGATAAGTATGTCTGAGCATCTACATTTGGTCTCTTCAGAAATCATAGGTTAACAAAATAAAGAAATCAATCAGTGATTTTCTTTATATCCCTAGACCACCGTGCTAATCATTCACTGAGGTAATTTCTACAGCTTGGCAAACGCGTCACTCATTGTTCTTTTTGTTTGAACGGTACTCTACCACAATTACTCTATATTTTTCTGCATTTTATTGACGAGATTGTATAGTAATACCTTATAAATTCAATTGATGAAAAGTTCCGGGAATTACATATGCTAATTAAGAAAACGTTTCCTTATAATTTTATTGTCAGGCCAAGGAGTTGTGTCTCTAAACGAACAATCCAGCTTGACAACCCGACTCACTCTTCTTTAGGTACAACTTTAAGCTGGATCTGGACAGCTGCGGGACTATGGATGCGAAATCGGTTGCATTTAAGCTTATGGATGTTGCTGTTACTTCACATAGTGATTCTGATAAAAACACGTCTCTGGTGGACCGAGTGGCCAATTTCATAAGGGTCAGCATTGGATTTCTTTCCCTTTTCATCTCTCAAAAACTCCCTCAAACTTGTTTCACAGTATTATTAGTAGTTTATACATAGTGAGCTTAAAACAGTAGCGAGGTACTGTTTGGTGTATTTACCTGGCGATTTGGTTGTGGTATAGCCATCCAATGGTACTAACCTGAAGCTATAGCTTACCACCCTCTTAGTTAGATTTTAATTCTGTTTTTCCCAATATATGCGCATTTTCCTTGATGTAAAGTGCTAATTTTAGAGTTATTTCTTCATATATCCTAAATCCCATAAGTAGTTAAAATGGTTGGTTGGTTTGTCTGCCACCCCTCGGACAGCCAATTTCCTATTTCCGATTATTATTATATGATCGGGATTTGAATTGTTAATCTCTACTGAATCGCAATACGAAGTTGTTTATCTATACGCTTCACGATAGATATTAATACTCCCAACTGTTGGCTTTTATTTTCTTACGCGTTAGTAGCGTATCTTGATTTTAGACAAAAACCAGTTCTTTAAACGCACTTATTGCGTTGATAGGAAAGGGGTCTGCATGCTGACAGTGTCTACTGTGACTACTGTTTCGACCTTTTGACTGCGTTCAATTCGAATAAATTGTCCCAGACCACTGCAACGTTCACGGTTGATGGGAAGCAATTGACTCCAACTGAATCGATCACCACAGCTGATTTGATTCACCGTACTTGTTTGGTTGCTTCGTGGATCACATCACTGGACTATCGATGCAAGGTGGATGGATACACAATCCCTATTTTTTTCAATGAGGTTTTATGGGCCTTAAGCTCAACGTTATTCACTAAACTCTCTTCGAACAAACAACAAGTATTGAGAGAGTTTGCATGCCATTCGACTTAAAGTCGTGTCATGATTGCAGTTTTGAGATTCATTATTTTCCCTATGCCTACACCCAGATTGCCCAATTTCTGGCGAAAGTCACTCCGATGCCTTGGCCAGCTCAGCTCCACGTATTTGTGGACTCCGTTCTTGCTGACTGCATTCTGGGTCGGTTTGAAAGTGTGCACGCAGCCATACGGGGACTTTTACGTCGGTCTAATAGAGCAAAGGCCACCAGCATTCTTTTAAGGCGAGTGCACTCATTGCTACCATGTCCTCTTTTATCACTATTAGAGAGTTACAGATACTCATATCGACTATGAATTGGCGCCGCCAATGCCTTCCATTGTTCAAAACTGCACATAGAATTCTGTATAAGCTACTACTACTTATTGGCAGTAATTTTATCGGTGTGAGATGATAGTACTGCTGTATCCACGTGATCAGGTATGGGGTTGAACTGGACATGCGCCCCGGCTTCGGTCTGGCTCGCAGCCTGTTTGGCCTGTTGTTGCATGCGTCACCGCCGTGGATGCCTGCTCCGTGTTCGAGTCTACCTGTGTCACGTTCTCCTCGCACCCGCCAAGAAGTGTTGGCGGACGCACTTCAGGTGGCGCGACTTCTTGCAGCGCCGAGCGAATACTCCACCGACTCCACTATCACTGCCTCCCACACACTGGCTCTCATCCACCTACGCCTCGCTCTCCACCAAACACTCCTCCGTCCCACCGATCACCTCCATGACGTTCACCAGCGTGTTCACTATCTTCTCTCCATAGTGTTTGAGGAGGTGCTTACCCTCGGGCGAACGGGTGGTCAGAGTTTCGTGGAGACTTTGTTCACCGAGGTCCTCCACGATCTGGCGGCGCTATGGGACGTAACCCGTTGCAGTTTTGAGTGTGTATGTCGAGTTTGTGGAGTCTTTTACTGGCCTTTTTATGAATTCAACGAAATTTTGTAGGAATTTTGTATTATGTGATGGTACTATTTTAGGTCTTTTTTTCGATGGTTAAAACCGTAGCTTTATGATCACTGTTTTAACTTGATCGTTAATGTCAATGAAGAAATCAACCAGAAGAACTCTCGTATTAACATAATATCGTTTATTTGTTTCGTGTAGTGATTTAAATTGTTTGGACTGCAAATCATCTCAATATGATAGAATCAAATGTAGATAATGAATCTTTGAAATAGCAAAACTCCCATGATTAACCGTTTCTTTTATCCCTCATGCAACTTATCAGGCGGTAATTAGCGTCTAACCTATGGATGATTCAATAAATTCCAAGTTAGTTTTTTATTATAATTTGCTGGGGTACATCGTTCACATCTCTCGGATTCTGCGAAAGTAAGTTGAGATATTGTTGTACGGTGATCGCGTCTATATGGAAAGTGAAATTGTGCTTTATATCCATTTTTGTAGGCTCCCTTGTACCTCGAGGTGTTTGCATGCACCGCTCTGGAGGCCACTAGACTCTGCGGTCCTCACTCAACCGTTGGAAAAGAAGCAGCACATTGGCTTAGATATGTTCAAGTGGGACAGAAAATCCTGAGGCATTTGGAGGTGTGCAAAGGCGACGGCGATGTTTTCATCCTACACCACCTTCCCATACCAGGCAGGTCTGACGAGACAATCCTGCCATTTGCCTTCAAGCACTCCCCCAGTGGTGGTCCCTTTGACTCCCAAAACGTTGCGCTCTTCAACCTCCTCCTGCAGTGGACACGAACAGAGCAGGTGGGAAAATTGGAGGAAGCGGATGTGGATGTTCTTTTTGTTGAGGCATGGCTAACCGATAAGCCCTCTGAGACTGTTGTCATGGTGATGAAGCAACTCCTTGAACGCCTGAAGATGAAGTCCGAAGGGGATGTGGTCAATCCTCGAATAGCACATCGATTCGTCGCCGGGAAACTCATGCCGTTCATTGCCGAATTGGCGGTCAGGTCGCAGTTTGACCAAGTGGCCTTTTTGCTGGAGTGTGTACGTGATCTACTCGAGAGTGCATTCAGTAGAGGTAATTTTTTGGAAGTTGGGAAATGTCTGGTGCTGATGTATCAAATAACATGCAATAGCATGGGAAGGTTGAATAATTTTAGGGTAATTTTTAGTGTGAACAGTTAGAAAATCATGATTTTTATATGTACGATTTGGCACTTTGATTACTTATCATCGTGTATCCACTGTTGGGGTTTTTGGTATCATATGCAATTCATTTAACCCTCTTAATTTTTCACTAGTATTGTGTTACAAACAAATTATGATACAAATTTTCCGTGCAGCTCTTTTTTAGAGCATGTCCTTGTCTGTGGGAGCATTCATATTCCAACATCATAGATGCAGGTCTTGTGCCATTGCTTGCCAAATAGAATTGGAACGTTTGTGAGATAAATACTACGACTATCTTCAAATTTTAAACGAACATACCAGAGATAGGAGATTTTGATTTGTTTTAGTAAACGCCTTTGCGTTGTTTCTTTTTCAGGAGTAATATCTTCCAAACACAGATGTGTTCTCATCTTGCTGTCGTGTGTAACCACCACTTTCTCCAAAATTTCACAGCGGTTTTCTGTAAGTTTCGGATGCAATCTTAAGCTGCTACCTGGAAAAGATCCATTCGTTTCTTAGGTGAAACTCAAGCTAGTATTGGTAGCATCTTTACAATATCTTCCTCGTTTTGATTAAGTGCTACTTTCAAAAGGGAACTATAGTTTTTTATGTGCGTGTTGTCTCTGATCAAGGAATGTCCTTCAGATCGTATGTTCAAAATGGAACTGCTTTAATGGTAAATGTACATCTATGGCAAAAAAAATCCGAGTTTCGGGGGGGGCGCGAGGATATGGAGCAGACAGGTAGAGCTTTAATGGGTCCCTCAACTCAACTACCCAGCAGCGTGTTACCCAGGTCAGATGTATAGTACTCAATGACTGGTAGTTAACAGTTAAAATGTATTTCAATGCATTCCCATATGATCAGAAACTGTCAGAGCTGAGATTTTATGTGTCACAATGCCCTTAGGTGTGTCCCAAAAATACGACCGTTCTTACTATGGCAGGGACGCTGTAGTACCACGTTTCTGCCTAAATCAACCCAATGGCGGAATCCGAGAATATGCTGCCCATTACTTCATTTGTCCGTCGTTTGGTGAGGTGTCTTGTAGAAAAAATGTCTTATCGGTCAGAGGACACCTCCTGCTTGTTGTTACACTAACGCGCCTATTCCAGATGGTCTTATTTCTCATCAATTTGGATTGAAATTTCAACGATTTCGTTAAGCTTCATATTAATCTATTGGGGTTTCATGTGACTTTTCCTGTTCCAATTTCCAAGTGTTCCACTTTCCGATCTTCACCCCGACGGGCTAATTTGCTGTTAGGCCTAAAAAATAATTTCATGCCCATTTTTAGGGTGGAAAAACATTTTTGGAGTGTTAATACGCAATTAAAGAAGTATGTTAACAGAGAGAAACTTGTGAATAAATAAGCCCTGCTTCTCCACTACAGTGATGTTTGTAACGCCAATGATTAGACGTTTTTCTTGCATAGTAATTTATTTATAAAGTAGTTTACCGTGGTACACCCCATCGTTCTGCCTGTAAATATATGCAAAACTTAGCGTCCACCGTTAGGAGTTTTGCCAAATCTCATGTATTATTTACACTGTACTCCGATAGCATTATTTAGTTCACGATTAACTAGGATCTGGCCTCTCCTTTAGAGAGGGTACCTGTGTGTATACATTTCCAGTGTTACGAAGTCCTCCAGCCCAGCACTATGATTGGAAAATCACATTTTCGGGTAATTGTAGTCGTCGCTTTCAGTCTTGAATGAATGAGGTTCGAAGATTTTCTAACATTTGACGAAAACTTTTTTCGAACTTTCAACCACTCCAGCCTCCTAACTCCCCGGATTGATGTCTAATTTATTTCGCAAATGTTAATCTGCTACGTTAATGGTTGAAATTTTTGTTATAGAAAACGACACTTTTACAGGGCCCATTTGAGAAATGGCAATTTTCTCTTTTTGACGGGGAAGAAGTGCGCCAAGACGTGAGTCTAGAAACAGCGCAGGCTTTGTCTTCTGAGCCACTGCAATGGCTTTTGCAAATGGTCCAATATATGGAAAAAAGTGGTGAGAACACCGCTCGTAAATTTCATCTTTTAGTGCTGTGTGTGGCATTGTATTTTCTTCTGGTCTCGCAGCTGCGATGATAAGGTTTATAACAGCTGAGACTCCAAGTAATGTGTACATCACACAGTGTCTGAGATGCGCCTGTGCTTGTCCAAACTTTATTTTAAGATTAATAGTATGATAAGTTTGACTCTTCTAAGAGTACCCTTTTGTCATTCAGGCGACGCGGAGACCATTACAGTTTTGATCTCGGAAGGTTTGCGTCTTGCAGTAGAATATGCAACCAAGTTGGATCTGGTGATCTCTGTCTCACTTCCCATGGTCGGGGCACTGACGTCGCTCTGCTTTGAAGAAGTCTACGACGGTTCCCTGGTAGAGTTTGCATTATTTTTTCTCACCTCACGCCTACTATTTAATCACAGCCCGATAAATCTTTATTTCTCAAAACAGGATGCTTAAAAGTAGAAAATGGTTATTGCATAGATTTTATCAAAAAATTTATCCTTCTTCCTAAGGATTTGACAAATGATTTACAACAAAATTACTATTTTGGGACCTGATCCCAAATTTGAAATCCGCTGCCACCCGCGTATAGACATAAAAGAACTATTAAAATAAGTTGGGAATATTTTGGTCAACACCCTATACCACCAGGTTTTAATGAGTACTTGAATTTAATAAGTATCTTGAAGTTTTAAATATGTTTAAGAGAGTCGCTGAGAGCAGCGTCCAAGAGGATCCCACTGTTGAGATGTCAGTTGTGAACGCACGAAGGGACTTGATGGAGCACTTGTTTGCCGTCTTGCGTGAGCACGTCAATCAGTGGATGAGCCACGCTCTAGGTCGTCTCTTCTGTGCCCCGCGTCTCGACCTGCCTCTGGCTTTTGGCCTTGCCGTCAACTTGCCCTTCTCCACAAGCGGATCTCAGCTGCGCCAAATCGTTGCGGCTAACCCTCGAGCGGCAAACAGGATTCAGGTCCGTTTCTCCAATTTATTTTTCACTTGAAAACATCTTTTACTCTGTCAGCTGACACTGTGTGTGTGTACGTAGCAAAAGGTTATTTTGACACCTAACTTAGGTCATCGCTTCAATGATGTTCAAGGCAGCTGCCTACCTTCCCATTGAAGCCTCACAACAAATGATCGAAATGGCTCAAGGCCTTTTTATGAACGCCAAGTGGGACGCTGCTTTGCGTATCTATGGAGTGAGTGTTTTTCTTGACATAGATGTTAACGTTTTCAGTGGTTTTTCGAGGCGAAACATGGTCATTTAACGCTCAACTTATAGAAGATACTTATGCCCTTGGAAAAGTACTCACGAATTGCGATACATAAAATGAGCTAAAGTCATTTCTCCCACAGTATTAGTGTGCGATCCTTTGTGTTTTATCCTAATAGTACGCTTGCAGTAATTTAGCACTTTCAGTACGTTTTAACAGTTGCGCCTAAGCCGCCGTGATCCTCGTCCAGACGTTGTGCTTGGCCATTTGCTGGATATTTTGCCTCACCTCTGTCGCCCATTTTCCGTCACCAATCCGCTCTCGCTTGACAGTAGCACTGGCGACTCGAGACCCTTGCCTCCCATCAGTCAGATAGTTGAATTTTGCGAAGATTTTCATCAGGATGTCCGACAGGCTCTGCTTAAACACCTGGAGATTCTTCTTCAGACATCTTTCTCGCAGAAGCTTAGTGCCTCTGGAGCGGTCGATGATCTGAAGAGTTTTAGGTTAGTAAATATCGTTTTCTGCCTCCTCTACTGCCACTTGAACACACCGGTAATTACCCAACCTAACGAATTGTATTATCGTCAATCCACTTCTTTTTAATAGCTAGCTTATTTTATATATATTCTTCGTTCATAAACTAATCTTAAATTTTTTTTAAGACATCCGTCAGGTGTAAACTGAAAATTCTTTCACTGAGTGTTGTATGCTTGGTCTATGGTATTTTGATGCGTCAAAGACAGGCGATAAGATCAATTTCCTTAATTTACGACAATTTTAGTGAGTTTCGCTCGCCTGAGATCTCTTGTTTCATTAGCGATTTACCGATTATTTAAAAGAGAACCTTTTAGGCGATTTTGATAAGTTATGAAAAAGATACTTTAGTAGAAGAGCAGTGTGTGGTGTTAACCTTCAGATCATCCACATTAAAGTCTATATTTGTTTTAATTGTGGTGCTTATTGTGACCTGTAACAGTGGAATAAGTGGCTGATTCTCTTGAATTAGATGTGTACTGTTTTAAGGTGGAGAATGACTTTTGCTTCTCTTTACCCAGAGAGTATTCTGAAGCAAAGTTGGGTCGTGCTTCGGATGTCCACAAGGCCCTTCTACAATTCGCTTTTCCTGGCAGCGACTTCAGGGAGGAGACCCTTGTTACCTTCCTTAAGCGTAACTTTGCGACAACCTCCCCATACGACTACGAGCAGCTGTATTTTCTTCTCGACTGTATCGGTTGCTACGAGGATATGGATCAGGCTCCCAGGGTGGGTTGGCAATGTTCAAACAGACCTTTTTGAGTATCGCATGAATTGATGACTTTAGTTAAGTGGAATCTATATCTGCACAAAAAGGTATATAGCACTAAGTTATCTTCGAATATCAAAGCGTTTTACTCGTCTAACTCTCCGTCACCGGATTCATTCTTTACCAATAGATAATGGCTTTGTATAAACTTCCTCTTGGTGTAGAGATGGCTGTTTCTCCTTTGAGCATGTTCTCACACTGAAACATTCGCATTACTACTGTACTTTGTTGTATTCAACAATTTGTAATGAAAATTTTGTCGCAACCATCAACTTTTACGTAAAAATTTTGCTAAAAACGCCGGCAGATCACTGACGGTCTTATCAAAGTAGGGGAAACCCACCGATGTGTAGTCGGATTTAGGCAGCTGATTTACCTAAAAGTTGGGTTTCGTGTTTTGAACAAATAAATACAGCTCTTCTTCAAAAGCATGCACACTAAAGAAATTTCATTTGTCATGGCTGGATGGTATTTACGACTGAGTAAATGTATAAACTACCCCTGTGATCTTGCTTGTCAGTTATTCACACGTCTTGATATACCGGACTCTTATTTAAGAGGCATATTAATTAATTGATAAGGCCTTGCTATAATGCCGGTCGATGTCAAACAATGGTCAGTACTTGTATGGGCAAATAAATTTTGTTTCATCACAAATCCTCCGTAAGGGTTAAATTATGCAAGACAACTTAACGCTATTACCTGCCTTTCATATACTGTGTACAAACGCTGTTTCTCTGTCTAGCATTTAACATTGAATACCTTGAAAGTATGACTAAACGCCTTTTTCTCCTTTTTGAAGCCATGTCAAGATTGTTTCTTTGTTAAAATGTACCTTTTTCCACATTCTATAGTTGACACCTAAAGATCGGCAGTTGCAAGCGTTTAAAGCAAATTAGTCTTATGAAAAGTTAACAATCCGCGAATATCTGAGATGAGTTCTTCATGCACCTGTATTCACATTATTTTCTAGATGTGCGCCCTTCTAGAGTTTCTCCAGCGCTACAACTTTAGGCCCACACGAGATGCATTGTCTAATCAAAGCCTAGCTGCGCCAAGTACCGAGGACGTGAGTTTTGTCCCTACCAATTTACCTGACTTATAATTTAAATGAAATGCTACTTTGTACTCACTCCCACAGTCCCCTGGTTCCCAAGACTTACTTCTGAAGAAGCATCGTCTTCCGTTCCATCCACTCTGCAGCGCGTCTGGCTTTGTTTATTTCGGTAAGCCCATCCGCCTATAGCCACAAATGTTGCCCTAACATCCAGTAATCGGGTTTTACACCTCCCTTTAGAGAAAGAAATTGACTACTCGAATGTGTATAAGTGGCTTAAGTTGGATGACTTTATGAAGGTAAGCAATTACGGGTTTGTACTTCAATTTATGACGTTGGGGAGCAATAAATTCAGTGCGACCACTTGCGTGACATATTCCGATGTGTTTATTCCACAATTCTAACCTGCCCCGCCTACTGTTGAAACAAACTTTTTTGATTAAGGAATCGCTAACCATAACAATTGAAAATGATGGCACTTCAGTTCGGACAGTCACTTTTCCATCTATCTTTTCCACTTCCATATCTGCCTCACCTTGCTTGTGCGTCACTGTTGGGTCAGAAGGCGCATCGCCTTTCTTTCTTACGTGCTCATTTTTAAGGATATATTAAGTGTACTTTTATTCTTTTGTAGTGGAATCTATCAGATAATATTCGCATCGCAGTTGTGTCCAATAGTCTCAAGAGCCTGCAGAAGAATGGGCTGTTGAGATTGATGCCTCTTAAGGTTGTCCCCTCAACTTTACCCGTCGCCACCAAATTCTTCCACCACACTCTTCCAGTCCAGCGTGCATCTCCAGAGGTCTGGGAGGAGGCGCTAGCCTGTAAACGCATCATTCGTTCCTGTCTACTGCGTGCTTACCAACACTTACTTCCTGTGAAAAACAGAATGAAACTTCTCATGTTTCTTGGAGGTATCGCATGTTCTCCATTATTTTTGCTGTTAATTAAGTTACACTTTAAAGTTCCTCTTAAGCATTTTTCCTTACTTACCTGATTACTAGATTACACCGAATAGAATAGTTGATGTTGCGTTATTGTGCCTTGATGCTTTCGGTACTTGCCCATAGCTTTCGATATTCTGAGGATTCGTACACCATTATTGTAGTATGTAATGTTCTTAAAAATACATGGCTGCCGGCTTACTCTAAACTTCATGTTTCTGTTGGCAGAGACTTTCTCGCGTTTTGAAGACGGTTCAATAAAGTTGATGTTCTTAAAGATGGCAGTGCGTCTAATTAGCGGCTGGGGAACCAACGAGGACACCAGTAGTAGTGCGGCGCATTCGCGCTCATCTTCCTCCGCCTTGCTCGCTGACGGAAGCACAGCCTCCTCGACGCGCTCTTCGATGCAGATGGGCCGCCGTGTCTCTCAGTGCATCAAAAGAGCCCTGGAAGAAGCCGAACTGTGTCGTCAGAAATTAGCTGTCGAGGCCTGTCTGCACCGCTACTGTATCACTCGCTTCTGGCCTGACATTCTCACCCGAGCTGCATCGTAAGCGCATCCCATCTATCATATGCCACTCATCAGTGTTGCCAATGTCTCATTTCAGTCGCGCATATGACTGATGCAGTTCCTCCCCTTTTCCCCAATTTATTACCAACCTCATCGTCCTCCAGTTACGGCTCTGCTTCCGTTTGATTAGAATCTTCACTGATGTTTCATAACGTTATCGTGCCAAACAGTTAAATGGGCGTAGGCTGATACGGGCATAGGAATGTGGCTCAAAATAAACTTCTGAGGATTTTTTTCCCGTGTTTCCACAAACATGGATACCACGGTGTTTTATTCTAAATATTTCATCTTTAATTTATTAAGACAATAAGCGAGTTTACTTCGTTGCCTTGATTGGGATTCGCCCTCTGTTGCCACATTTTTGATTCTACTGAGGTTACTTAATCTCCCTTCCACATAGCCTATCCATTCACGTCATTGCACAAACAGCGATATTATTATCGTGAAGTGCTTTTTTTGTGTAATCAGTGCAAAATTCATGCATTTGATGCCAAAATACCTAGGCCCGCCTTATTGGTCACATTCCCGTCTTTCAATAGAACTAATAGCTTCTTGTCAACAGTTGGTGTTCTTAAACTGGCGCCTCCAAACAAATACCCTTCTTTACCATTCCATTGTTCAACTTTGTTTTGCATAACCTGTTCAGTGCAGTACGATTGCCCAAATAGATGCTGTTTAGTGTTATTGCACACTGTTATTCCCATCTGCCTCTACAGCTCCTCGGCGCTCGTGGATCTCTTGCTGAATAAGTCTTGTCTGGTCTATGGTTCGGATGTTCGCGATGCGGTGGTGGCCTATCACCGTCGAGAGGAAGTCCTGGTGATGCTAAGAGGTGCGTTGAAGGAGCTGCTCTCTCTGCAGGGCGTCAACTTCGACTCGTGGGCGCGCCAGGTGCTGTGGCAGCGTTTGCGTCTTCCCAAGTCCATTCGTCCTTCCGAGTGGTCAGAGATCGGGTCCACTGATAATGGCGGCGGTGAGGCGGTTGACTTAAACGCCACAGCCATCATCTTTGATCTCGACAGCTCGGTTCTTCTACCTGGTGAACAGGCTGATCTTACATTCGACACCACCATTACCTCGGTATCACTCCTTTACCTCATATGTGTATACGTGCATTTCATAATCTGCGTGTCATCTTACTCCTGGACTTGACGCCTTTGCATTTACCTCTCCATAAGTCACCTGTCACGTTACTTGACTCTGGTCAGTTTTATGTAGATAATTGCTTCAATTACATTTTGTCAAAAAGTCCCTGCAAACTTCTGTACTAAAGACACGTATCTGAGGCATATACCTTTTAAATAACTTCTGCCAGATAAATATTTCACTTGTAACTGACTTTTTGCTGCCAAACCATTATGTAATACTCATTTTCACATAAGAATGTATAAATTAAAGCCTTAGCCTTGTATGTTTTATCATTCCTACTAAAAAACCATTCTTTTTCTTTTGTAAAAGTTATAGCTTGTAAGGTAGGAGTTATCTTTTTTAATTGACTAGTAAATCTGGAAGCTAATTTATTTTACGTATTAGTTCATTTCTCGTTCTTATTAATTTATACATTGCATTGAATGGAAACTGGATACTTTTTTCTCATATAAGCGGTCTGTTCTGTGCCATTGAATCGGCCCATGCTCGTGCAGTTGTCAGCACGAGATACTGCCTTGCACATGAAAATCGAGGTTAAGTAACCACCAAATCGCATTACAGGACTGGTCAGTAAATGCGCGAAATATGCGATTCCGTGCAGTTTTTGTTTATACCCATACGTGTGCTTCAGCCCACCATCTTCGATATTCGGAAGTCAGAGGGTCATGGCGAGGCCGCTGAGCCAGTGGAGAGCGACTTTTTGTTGGGGGAGTTTATGGTCACGGCCGCTGCAACTGGAGGTGGTGGGGGCGATGAGGTGACCCGAATTCTGTCTGAGTGGTGTCTACTGCGTCCACTGACCCCAGACGTACTGCAGTCCCTCAGCGCACAGGAGGTGAAGAAACGGTGGCGCACGGTGCAATTCACCCTCCGCTGTCGCAAACTGCCCTTCTCCGATCCCTCTGTCTCGCAGGTGATCGAATATCTTCGTAGCCTTGCCGCAATAGCCAGGCAGAAGTGACCTTTTGCATTGTGTTTGCTCTATTGATCTGTTACAACTTGCTACTTTTATACACGAGGCTTTCCATTTCTACTGGCTTTTGTCTTATGACCAAACTCCACTTCGAGGTACTAGTCAAACATGACCTTGGAGGCTCCTGGAAAGTTCATCGATGACCTGACCGCCTGCTTTCTATATGCAGTCCAGTCTTTTTTGCTTTTGTAAGGTTAAGAATCCAAAAAATCCAAAATTCCTTGTCCGACGTTGGGTGCGCGCAGCCAGATATGGTCCTTCGCATGAGTGAGGCTGGCCATTACTATTCGTACCACTAGCCTTTTGTGCTTAGTCTGGCCATTTCTGTGAATTGGATGCATCCCACAAATATTGCATCGCTGTCCATTAACTCACCCTTTTGATTAACGGCTTTCTTTTGCTTCATTTTTAATAGACGCGTTTCTACGTTTTATCGCAACCCTTCTGAGGTGGAGACAGTTACGATTCCCAATGCTAAGTCCACTTAAGCTGCTCGAGACGGTTTGAATAAATGCCACGGTGAAACCGTTACCATCAATTAATCATAGCTACAGATCGCTCAGTGTCCATTAGTGGAGCACCATGAGATCGTGATGATATTTTGGACTAATGGCAAATTGTTTAACTGCATGAGTATATCTACGTGACATGGACAATGCAGTTCAATTGGAACCTCAGTAGAATTGTTCCAGTTTTCGTTTATTTTAAAGCACCGTTCAAATGTGAGGGCGCCTAAGGAATGTCACTGATGTCGTTTTGCGAAATAACCGCTAGCATTCTCCATCGATGGGTTTCAAAACGTTAACCATTCTCCGGCATTATCAGGAGCATATAAAGTGCACGTTCTTTTCCGCCTTATTGAACACTTGTACCACCAATGCCTTCGATTTCGTTGTCTTATTTGCTAGTATCCACTTTGTTATGGAAGGTAATGCTGAAGATTGAGTTTCCTATACTTTTGCCACATACACATACATATAAGCTTAAAAGACTGAAACATTCTGTCATCATAGCTTCAAATACCGTTTTTTTAGCATGTTCAAGTGGATTGTTTCTATTCGTTCTTCCTGTTAGCGTTTGCAGTTGGAGTAAACAAACCATTTTGCGAGATAGCGCAATCACCCAATAGCGCACAAACCCTCTCTCATTGAGACATAAGTGGATTTGGCACTAGAATGTTATTTTGAATTTCTTTTGTTTGTTAAATAATCCCTGTCGTAAAGTATTAGCTCATGAGTAAACAACAGTTTCTCTGATTAGTCCCAACGTATTTATCGTGTACACAGGCATCATACTCTTCCAAATAGTGTTTCACATAGATGTAGGTATCAATCGGTGATTGTTTACGCTGATACAACTTTTTGGAGTGTTGGTAAACTAACGAGGACATTGGTACACATGGGTCTGGATAGGATTCTTTCTGAAAGGTTTGAAGGAAGGTTAATAAACCGAAGGTGGGAGGAGACGTCGGCACCCTCGTAGATGCGACTGTGTGCGTCGGGGGCAATAGAGCTTTGGCAAATTCGGCAGTCGGTGGAATGCATCAGTATTTTTAAATGGTCGTTAAAGCTTCGAGATACTAAAAGTAAAAAGAACATTTGCTGTCAGTTGATGCCTAGCCTATCACCCTTCTGCACTCGTTCGTTACTGTTTATCGCCATTCGATTTAATCCGCCCAGCAGACGGCAATTACCCGTTTCAACGGTGACATTTTAAATACAAAAGCGATTTTGATAACGTTAATGTGTTATTGTCTACCCATAAATGAGTTATTTACCAGATGGTGACGCAATAATAAATGTGGAGACATTTATGGGTGGAAAGTAATACAAAAGAATTACCTCTTCCAAGTGAATGATAAGCGTCAATCCATCTCCACTGAATGCGTTGAAAGTGGCTACGAAATCAAATTTTTAACATTAGATCAAAAGAAGTTATTTTAACAGACAAATCTACAGTTGTTTGGGTCGGAAACATGTACGGTTTTTAATTACTCAGTCGGCATGCAGTACTTAAATTTACCTTTTATGCTCTTAAAACACGGAATAACTCAATATCCACTTTGGAGCGAGGGCGTAAGTTCATAAACCAAGGCATTCTGTCAATATTACTGCTTTTACTAGCCAATAAATCTAAAGTGAACTGGAACTGAAACCGATGCAAAGGTTACAAATGCGAGACAATGTGTCAGATAGCATTGAAGCTGGAGCGAAGGGATCGGACTCACATATAGCCCTCGTCAGGAGCGCCATTATCTGGATGAACGTGCCATAACTGATTCGCCATTCAGCATCAGCGAAGCGGTGTACGATACGCGCCAGAATTGTATGCGGAAGGTAGAGACCTGCGGGTGCAGACATCGGGGTAGGTGAAACCGGGACCAATGTGCTCATGTTAGGGTCTGGCATCGTGCGACAGATTCGGTTAACGTTGTGTGGACAAATAGTCTTGCAAGCAATAACGGTGATAGTTGGTAATTATTTGAAACGATTGGAAGGGTTTGTGCGCTCCCTTCTATGGTCAAACAAAGTGCTTTCCACGCTTGGAAAGAAAAGTACAAGAACTGAATTTTCAACAAATTTCGAGTCGGTGGGTAGAAATTAATTTACATAAATAAAACTTCACTTTCCCTGCCCATCCCACCCGAGTTCAAGGCAATAAAAATATTTGTTCTAAATTTGGGGTCAGGAATTTGAAGAAAGTGCGTTGCAAGCGTGGGATGAAGGAGTGAATTAAAGGTGGTTTGGATAAGTGTGCGTTTACATTGTGGGAGCAGTGTGTTGCCTACTGCAAGAAAATAAATAAAGTGCCGCAAAATTTTATGATCATGCGCGAAGAAAATGTTATTGGTATGATCACTGTCACAATGCACGTATTGTGAATCCCTTATCTTACTCTCGACATTGAATATTATCTTGTGATATAACTCCTCCTTTATTACGCAACAAGTAATTTGGAATTCTGAGAGGTGCTTCTTCCTCGGGAGCATCTGTCCATACCCATTAATTAATCACAAGTTTTGTGGGATTCGTCGAATAATTCTTCCACCGGTTCACACAGCTAAAGTTTTGCAAAAAGAAGATAACCTAGAAATCACACTTGAGAAGCCTCCATTTTTTCATCGCAATTTCCAAATTAAATTCACGAGTTGTATGGGTGATTATTTTGCAAGTACAGAAAGAAATTACCCATTCCCATAATTCACGAAACTGGGATACGATAAGAGGAAAGTCATTCTAAATTCATAAATTAAATACGAGATATTTTACACGTTTGGTGCTTGGGTGCACCACCAAACAATTATTCGCTCATGCACAGGTACCCACTTTTCCCTCACACCATGTAATCAGTTCAAACATGGAAGATTCGAATGTAGCTTTCTTCAGAGGCACTACCTTCAATGTGATGGAACCGTGTGCTTTGTTGAACGAAGCGCTGGCAAAACTCACCGACTTGTTCGATGAGAATCCGAAAATCGAGGCAAGTGATGTGGCCCGTTCGCTGGGGATCAAAGGCCGCGAACATGCGCGACCAGCAGCGAAGGAGGCTCCACGTCGGTTGAAATTCCGACTCCACCAACCGTCCCGTGTACCGGTCGTTGCGCATCGCAATGAGGGCACGGCATGCATCAGTCGACACCTGAACAGAACACGAAAAACGCTAAAAAAATGCCGAAGAGCGTTCCTTTATACCATTTCAGTAATGAATGTTTCAAAGCTCGTGCTATCAGCAGACATTCTGATTCTTGCAGGTGAGTTACAAACTAAGGTAAGCATAAACATTTGCTTCGACATCATTTGCATTCATAATAGGTTTAGACATTAAAAATCGCGTTGATACGCGTTTAATGGTAGAAATTAATTCCGGGGAATAAAAGAAACCAAGGGTAAAACATTTTTTGTACAATTTTGAAGGATGCCCAATTTTTTCATTTATTTTGACTGCAACTTCACGTGCTCTTTGTCATCAACCTAGCTAATAGGCAGATAAGAATCTCCACCATTCAGTTTGCGTTCGACTGATAGACTAACAAGTTCCCAAAAGGGTAAACAGCTATGCTATGCTGAATTTCGCGTTAATAAATGATATAGATCAAAGTAGCAATAAAAACCTACAATTTCCAAATAAATGCAACCGTAGTCAAAAAGGATTCCAGCCTTTTTAAATGCATGCATTCCACTTGAGGGTGGAAAAAGCAACTCAAGTTCGGGTCTTATGACTTCCCATAAGCCGATTTATACTGACCCAGACACATGCACGGCGCATTTTACTCAATTTTAAGTGAAATCATGAATTTAATGAGATAAAATTAGTGCCACCAAAATAATTCAGTTTGATATGTTTTGGCGTCAAAAATCGTGCCTTTGTCATGGTCATAGAGTTTCCTTTAATTCCACTCCATCATTGATGAACAGCAAGACCTCAACAAGATAGCAATAACAGGCAACTACTACTGCAGTGAATCGTCTGTTGTCGAAACACACCAACTGCAAAGGGTTTTAGATTAGAGAGTTGCCTTTCCACATTTCGTTGCACACGTAGTCGTGTTAATTGTCTTAGTGCAATGAGGAAAAAGGGCAACAAGGGTTGATCAGACGCGGATAGCACGTGACCATAATCCAAACTTCCGATCGGCAGATGCGACAGCAAAGCTGTACATCTTTCTCTTTTTACTGTTTGTAGAACTGATTCAAACTAATAGGTAGAGGAAACTAAAAAAAGAACACAATGAATATACCCTTGTGCAATTTGAGAACGAATATACTGCAAAGTAAAAGTGGGCTGTATGGGACTGCTGAGTAAAGACCGAGTAATTCGTTTTCTTTGCTATCTGAGGTACGAAAGGCATCATTGTGAAGAGAAGTGTTAGTTACTTGCGAAAATACGTTAAGTACTTATTCCAACTGTATAAACTAACCATGGCATAGGGTAAACGATGGTCTTCTTTGAGCAGAGTATTGAGTATCGAGTCCAGCTGGAAGGCATCCACGGCCATGGAATCACCACTGGCCTCGTAGAAGAGTCGCCGAATTCGGGGAAGAATCGTGTCGAATTGGGGATCTGGATCGGACAGAGCCTGAGGTGAAATGCTTCCCGCATCAATCGGCCCCAATGCTAGCCTTGATCGCAAAATAAATATCGAGCTTGGCAAAACTTTATGCATGAAAATAAAATGATCAGTTTAGCATTTTTGGATGGAATTAGGTGTTTTAACACTAACGTATTTCAGAGGCTCTTAAGGGCTTGTAGGAGAATTCAAAAAGACGAAAAATAGAAGTTAGCCATTTTCAATCAAAGGAATTTTCTTTAAAAAACGAAATGTCAATTCTAGACCAGGACTTTGATCACCCTGTTGAGCATGGTTGGAAGGTGAAATTGGTAATTTGGAATGAGAATATAACCTTCTTCATTTATGATGACATAAGTAAGTGATCCAAAATATCCCAATTAATCATGGAAGTCCTTGGTAAAATTGAAAATTGCCAATTCGTTAGTACTCATCTCATTTTCTTCAAACATCTGAAATAGTTCGATTGTACTTAACGAACGGGGCAAATTTCAATAATGCGGCAATGGCTAAGGCGAAAATGCCTGCGTAGCTTTTAATGGAAACAAAATGGATAACCATGTTAATATAAAGTTTACTAACTTCAACTCATACACTATGCAAAGATATTAGCATCGTAGAAAGCCCAATAAAGCCTTACAAGTAAATGGAACAAGAGCGCCCAAATTACTGTCGATGGTAAAACGCATTTCTACAGAATTCGATGCAAGGTGAAATCCCACAGTGCAAAATACCAGTTATCATTAAAAAATTTGTAGCAAAGGTTTAAAAATGCCCGATTGCTTGGATTCATTTCACAGTATTCCAAGAGATAAAAGCTTTCTCTTGACTTCTGATATGACTAGAAGCAACGATGATGGGCGTAGAGTTAGTGCTCCTACACATTTCATATTCTAAGCATGTAACCACCTAATTTTTTCGCCCATATCGGTGATCGTAAGCCGAAGGGGAAACATTTTGCGCCTTTTGGTGCACTTCTTCGGCATGATACGTGCATTTCATTTCGCTCACAGCATCCTCCACATTTCGCATGATGAATAAAATAGTGTTAAGTGAGATCGACGCGCACCATTAATTAAATTTTGCCGACTAAAAACTGCTTACTTCGGAAATGTTAATCATTTTTGTGCTCATGAAATGTTACTTGATGTTAAGCACATCTAACTTCACTTATTTCCTCGCAGAGCTCACAATTTTCACATTAATCCTCAATTTGTCCAGATTAAAGTTGAACCAGGGAACATGGTCGACTTGGCTTCAACCCAAATTAAGTCCAAAGCGTTTAGACACTTTGTTAAATGAAAGCGAGCCATTTACTTCCGAGTTTAATCTACAGCTACGAGTAGGAATGTCCCTTTACAAAACTCCAAAATGGCTTCCATAGTTAATATTTTGATATAAGGATATGCTTTATTGGTGCATTGTACTACACGGCAGCATAAACTCACGCCCCTCATATTGGCGTGGTATTTTTTGACTTCCGAGAAGACTTGGATCGCTACAGCATAAAATGCGTAAGTACTTGTTTGGACATGAGGTGAATCTTTAAATCTCCTCAAACTTACATTACAATGGCATTGAACAATGAGTGTACAATACAGAGCTGCAGATATACTGCATAATGCTTGCACTAGTTAACCGGAATTATGATTCCATGGTTCGTATTCCATACAAAAGGGGGATTCAAGAGCGAATTGAAATTGTCATAATCTTTTCTTTAGTGTGTAGTTTTAGTAAGCAAGGGTTAGTAGTGCCATTGTCTGATCTGCACCTGCCTTTGGTCTCGTATCTTGAACAAGGAAAGGAGTACGGTTTGTGCTTTAATCAATGTAAAGTAAATTTTTGAATGAGGTAAATTCTGATAGCAACTCCAGTAGATTAAGCATGCCATGATAAGTTCGATACAAAATATTCATAACTTAGTTGCAGAGATCTCTGCTGTAGTGAGTTAATGTGCCTCTTGACACCGTAGATCGTATACACCGCAAGGCTTGTTGCACAAGAGACTGAATTTAAAACATCAATCTGATCCAGGGACCTTCTTTTAAAAGAACTACGAATCCCCAAAAAGGTGCTCTGAGGATCCCGATTCAAGTTACCCTCAATGAAAATTGCAGTTCACCTAGCAGGACCAGTGCTTTCTCAAATAAATATTGGAGGAAGCCTTGGAAAAAAGTTAATTAACCTACCCCGGCTATTGAACAAAATCACCCAAGCAAAATTAAGATTTTGATCTTTGAGGCTTTTACATAAGGTTTATATATGCCTTTTTTCAATATAGCAAATGGCTTACGATACAATTCGGAAAAAACCTTTAGACAGTGAACTACAAACGTGCTGCCACATTTGTAGTTCCAGTAACAGTGAAAAATAAATCTCTGGAGATTTCCATTAGCCAGAGACTACACTATTAACTGAAAGTCTAATTCTGATTCCTGTAGGTGTGACCTGGAAATCAACGACTCAACATTGACGAATAGTGAAACATGTAATACCACTTCTTAATCAAAGGAGTCAATGCATTCAAAAGAGAACAAAAAAGTTACAGGCTAAGACGGGTGCTGGATGAAATGGGCGCTTAGACTGCGACTCCAAAGCAAAATAAGCTCTCATGAATTGTATGATCGAAAAACACTTCGTTTCCACAACCACCAGTGAATCACTAACTTTAAAGCCAATCATGTTTTAACATTAGTTGTAGGACCAATCCTTTTCCTTACAATTGCCTGTTCTAGCATTCCAAATCATCGGTGCATATGATAAGCGAACTCGTGTACTGATGCCCACTTCCAAATTCTTCCTTAAGTCGAATTTGTTATGCTCACCTTCTAGTCTACATCATACACAGCAAATGTTGGGTAGCCGCCCAAGCCATCTCCCCTTTTATATCTATCATTGAATAAAGTATCATTGATGGAATGAGAAATGAAGCAAAGTAACTGAGCATAGATAAACCAAACGTCACCGCATGGTACTTGAACAGGGATACTCCCTCCTCCCAAAACCATTCAGAGATTTTAGGCCAAGCCCCAGCCCTGCCGATGGTTTTCACTTCTTCCCCGTATTGTTAAAAGACCATCTTTCAGAGGGTGATGAGGTGCTGCTCAAAAACTGCGTTTTTTGTTAGATCAACAGATGTCGTTGCGAGCAGTGGTGTATGAATGGGTAGGCCAATGAAAAGAGCTTCGTTGAGTCCGGTTCTGAGACTAACAAAACAACCTGCTGGTCGAACCCCTAGGCTTAGTGACATTGGTGAATGTTTAAAAAATTAACACGAGTAGTTCAACCCTAAGCGTACCACCACATAACTTTAAATTTGGACTGATAAAACAGAGGTTCGTAATTGAAAATTGGGAATGGAATATGGTTCTTGCAGTCGCAGCTAAGGGAAAGTTAATGTACAAAAAGGTAAAGAATTGGCGATGATAGATTGGATTAAAGTTAAGAGTAATGTTGGTTTAATGTAGCATCACCGTACCCGAGAAACGGTTTTTCTTTCAAGCACCATTTCGTTGACTTTTTGATGATTGAGTTAGTCTTCACGAATAAGGTCTACTTTCATTATATCAAATAGAACTGCCATACTACCTGTTGCCTTAGGAAGGGGAATTGACTCTCAGAAAGTAATAAGGATGATTGAACATTTGTGTGTGCCCTGCTATACGAAGTAGAGGCAGACTAGTTTAATTAACCAAATGTGTGGAAATATGAAAATATTTTTGATACCGTGACCAGTCAAATTAAATTAAATATTCTGCAGAAAAAAATCTAACGTGGGTCAATTTTTCCAAACCTTCAATTTTGTCTATCCATTAAGCGCATTGGTTAGCAACTAATTTCTTTTTAATTCACAAAACAGTGTTTGCTTACTCCAGGTCTATCAAAACACTCTCAGATCTTTCGTGTATAGGCATAAAATTTGCATTTAATGAAAACATTCACTTGACACAAAGCCAGAATGATAATGCCCAGCCAGACGCTTGGCAATAAACGCAATTCGACGTTTTGTTTCGGTAAACTATCAGCACACTTAACAGCATTGGCAAGATGTAGCTTTTTGAAAATGGGAGTTTATTAGTTCTTTTTAGCTTGCAAAAACCCTCTACACACAGCAAGAGCCACTTTGTAGTGCTTTAAATAAAAATCCCTTCTTGGTTTTTTTTGCAGTAAGCACAAAAATCTGCACTTATCCTTCGCCTTTTAATTAACATGCAAACACAAACGCGCTGGAGAAGTTTGAGAAAGCATCGGCGTAATTACGCATAAAGCACTCAAATGCATGAAAAATACCGTGTTTACTAATAATCTATTGCAATACATAGGTTGATAAAAGCAGCAGGCTCTACCAAGAGCCATTTGTTCCCCTCCACCCAGATGGCATCGCACATGTCCCAAAACCTTGACCAATGCAAATATTATCCCACCCCCACTCACTCCTTTCCAGCTCTTCGGCTTGAGCGTGCAAGTAAATGCGGTTTTAAAGGTGAAAGTTTAAGTAGCTTGCTTAATTTGGTGAACAGGGCAAGCGAAAGCAGCACAGAAGATTGGCCATCCAACGCCTTAACGAGGAGCACTTACTCAAGCGTTCGATCAGACTGCTCAAAGAGAACCCTGAGGAGGAACTCTCCCGGTTGATCTGCGGCATACGTGCAGGGCACGAGGAGATACACACCGGGGACTAGTCGAAATCGCTTGACAACCTCTCGGGAGTCATAGAAATAGTCCACGCTCGCGACGTGACTTGTGGTTTCAAAGAAATGCCGTGTCATTGGGGGGGATGCTCCGGGAGGAAGCTAGAGTGCATTATGAAGACACCTTCAACCGAATGTAATTTGCACGGCAAAAAATATGCTTTAGTGTTGAACGCATTGCATGGATGGAACTAAATGGATGATACACAAATGCATTTGATTAGGTAATTTACGATGCATTCGGGAAAGCAAAAATAAAACCAGAATTTCCAACTTTTCTGTCAGATAACTTCGTACAATACCAGCATCAAAGTTGTTCTTTTGATTTAAGAAACGATGATTTGAACATTTTAAATTGCGGAGTAAGTCGGGCTTTTAATCACCAAAATACATCCATGTATCATTAAACTTTGAACTAACAGATAGGCCCTTGGTGATTTGAACCAAGTGAAAAGCCAACCCCCCAATAATATACTATGTAAAAACATTATGAAACCAAGAAAATAATACTAAAGGAAGATCATCTTTGGCATATTTTACCACTATAACTGGTAATAAAATGGACCTATTTTTGACCATACCCGCAAATATATAATTGGTGCGGCTATTTCAAATGGAGGAGCAGCAAAACATCAAACGGAATTAGGGGAGGGATGTGTGAAATAAATCTGGGACACACTGACAGTAAATAGACTTATCGTTAGAATAAACGCCACGCCCAAAAAACCATACAATGACAGGCATGAACCAAGTGCCAGAAGGGAGCATAGACCGACGCACCCTGTACAGGACAAAGCCGATGGAAAGGAGGCGCGGTGCGCGATGTCGGAGGGGACGAACGTCGGATTGGAGGAGGGCGACGACGATTGCGGTAAGGCCTTCAGGGTCCCCGACATCCGGCGTAGGCAAGCTCACCACAAATTGGGGGTTAGCCCAATGGCTGGCACGCACAAACGGTCGTCCACCCGCTGTTACACCACGCACCCATCGGCCGAAGAAGCGCGGTGTAGTCCACGTCTCCATCGCAGGCCCCACCGGCGCCTGGTGGTTGCCGGTGGTAGCCACGGTTCCACAGAACAACCTGCCGCCACCCGCATCACCGCTCGGAGGCTCCAGCACATGGCAGATGTCCAGGTAGTCAAAATTGGCCAAAAAATCTTCCATTGACATCCTTGGTGCATGAATATAAGGATAGATGGGTGAATGGGTGAGCGGGCAGAGAGGAAGGAAGAGCAAAGAAAAGCGCAGATGTTTGCTTTAATGTTACCATCTGTTTAGAGGCTACCACGACCAAATGACGCTGTGTGTATCCTTACTTTAATCTGGCTACAGCTTCCACTTCCGAATTTGAAAGAGTTCAGAATTTTAAATTTTGTATTCGTAATAGCAAATTTTCAAGATTTACGCCATTTATTGCCGTTCAAATTTGATCGCTATTCCAGGCTGATTCAATTAGCGACGATAAAAAAGTGAGGAAGAAAAATCAGTTGGCTTGGTGCAGATGGAAAATCTACAGATATACGTAAGCGTCAGTAATTACCAGTTTTCAGTAAATAATTAATTAAATAAGTGGAATTTGTGTTTGATCTGTAGGTCAGAGTGGAAGATAACACCATTGTCGGACATCGTCAACTGATAGAAGGCGTCGGACCAACTGCAATGGTAGTAAGCCAAACCGGGTTGGAAATGAGGCTAGTGCAGTGCAAGGTCAATGCAGGCGACTCGTGAATGTATGTGTGGGTGAGGGGGCTCTCAAGCCCATTCGAGCAGATGTCGACGCATAAGCATTAGTGAAAATGAAGCCTGCCCCCCCCCCCCTTGCGGCAGGCTGATTCCAAAGCAGTCAATAGACAAACTACAACTAGTTTAAAAGCACGACCGGACTAGACTAATGTTGCTACTAATTGGAATGCTCCAGAAGACCTATGACCAATGACAATCGTCACAATGATCAATGGGTGTTGATTTACAGTAGGTATTTGAGGTTTTACCTGTGTTAATTGTTAAATTTCCGTTTGAATGATTCAGAGGACACAAATGGTTGATATTATTTTGCATGGAGGAGAGGATGTAAGGGAGACTAGGTAGGCAAAAACAGAAAACTGCAACCAAGTACTTCGACTGAACAACTATCCGACCCAGTGGAGATTCCGTGGTTTGGATTGAGGCCGTTAGAGAAGATGGCAGTCACTACAGGAGATGGAATTTGCAGAAAACCTGAGAAACCTGTCATTTTTTTGCGCACTTCTGAGACTTTTTATGAAAGAACTTTGTGAGAACTGTAAGTATCAACAATTGGTGCGGTTCAAATACCTCAACACTCTGTCATTATGCCATAAACGTCTACACAAAGCTTCTGGTAGATGTTAGATGAAACAAATATCAAAGCCTGAGTTTCCTCCATCGCCTTCATTCCTCGTATTTTAATGTCCCCTGCAGTCACAGTTGATGAATATTGTCACAAAATAATCGATGATTTTAGGCAAATTAAGTGACAGAAAAACGGCACCGCTTTCACCCCTAAAATTAATTTTAAGCTCTTGAAAAGTTTTAAACGAAATCAAACGTTATACAGTGCCTTATTTTGAGAAGAAAACAAGGTTTATTTGCAAATTTACTTCTTTACACGCCAAACAGTTACAAGAGACGGATGAAAAAGTAATTTTTTCATCATGACCCCATCCACTTGCATACCTCTCACCATATCCCCTGTACAATGAGGTACTAGATGGCATACAGATAAGTCTAGCTACCAAAACAGGGGCGGCCATAAAACTCGTGGACTCCGTCTACCACTCGTTTGAAGGTAGTGTGAACACGTACAATCGCCAATCCCTATCATCACTGCAAGACTCACAATGAATTTTCCTTCATTAAGCAACGAGGTTCAATGATGAGCTGGGATAATAAACGAATATTGGTTACAACGGACTGTAACAAAAATTTCTACTTTATTCCCATAATATGCTAATAATTTGCGATCGGAGATTAATAAAAAAATAGGATGTGCAATGGAGCAACGAGTAAAGATGACTCGACATACTTGGAATGGTCTACAGCTAAACTAAAAATGGTATTTACCCTTTAATCGACACAGATCCAATAATAAAATGTTAAGTAAATTAGTGCGAAACTGGAGGGATAAGAGGGCAGAGCAAGGTGTGAGAATGAAATGTGAGCGACGCACCAGAATTCACCTTCGCCCTTCACCAGCCCAACTTTGATGCGGTCCTCGGGAGGAAGGGAAAGCCACTCAGAGGAGCCCTCGGACCAGGCGCCCACCCAGCCGACGCGCGCCGAGGGCCAGAGATTGCGCAGCCGCACCAGCCGTACCAGTCGTGAGCCCGACACGTCGGTAAGGCGCAACTTCCGACAGTCCGTCAGGCCAAACGCCTGGCCCGGCACGAAACCCTGAGGCAGCACGAACCCGCTGCACGGACTGCCCTTCGTCTGCAAATCAGGCAACAAAATGCACCCTCACATACATTGCATCATTTCATTCTTAGACCTCCCCCTTACAGGGAAAGCACAATCCAATGTAAGCACAGAAAGCGGCTCGGCATGCAATGTAATGAACATTCTATGTATGCTGTTGATGTGATATGAAGACACGTACCATTAAAGCCAAATTTTTAATGGCATCGAGCTAATTATTTGATTCCGTTTTTACCGATTCTCACGGTAGAACAGTAAACAATTTACACTGAGTTGGATAAAATATACCATGCTACGTATTATCAGCTGCAAAACTTTACACGAAGTGAAACATCTAACTAAATAAGCACAGTATTTTAACTGCTTGTTTGACTCTCGGTTTCGGTAACGTGCTCCTTAGGGCTGCACCATTACACCTTTGCCGGGTGGGCTGACCTCTGGGCCATGTCAGTAACTCCAAACCCTACTGTATGTCAAATGTGTAGATTCCACTCGAGTATTATATCCTCTTTCGTCTTCAGAGAAGTCTCAGCACGCTGTATAACATCTTAAAACACCCTTAAATAAAGGATTTTCGAACGCAAAACCAATGTTTGAAGTGAAACAACTTCAAATGACGGAGGCAAAAGGGAAAGTCAAAAAACCCCTAACGAAGGGGATCTGGTGCTCCATTTCGCTTTTATGTAATTAAGTAGCGCACTACCCTTTTCACAACGATAAAAGGTTTGACAATCAGAAGCAAGACATCACCACTAAACACCAAAATCTGGAAAATTATGCAAGACACCATGTCATCACTCACCATGGGTTCATATTATATTATATTATATTATAAGAATTCTACATAACCGGTAATGCGCGGCAAGGATAATTATTGCAGACATAAAAAATCAGACGAGTGCGGCAATGACTGGTAACCATGCCCATACTCTATCAGCAGTGCTAACCGCTTGAAGGGAAAGTAAAAGATTTTTTCACTTAGATCCAGTTTCGCCCCCTCAACTATTGGTATTCAAAGGGTCTAAATAACCTAAATACAGATGTAAAGTAATAGCCTACCCTTAAACTCTGAGGCGATGCAGTTGCGTTGCGTAAACAAATTCATTGCACGTCAATTCTAACCTTATAAATGCGAGCTGTAGGAGGAAGAACACATGACGTTTGTACATTTATGTTGGTTATCATACACCCCGCCCTACGTCAGATCATTTTTCCAGTAAAATTTCAGATATCAGCCCAGTACATGAAAACAAATGTTGAAGTCGACAAAGTGCTGACAAGCGAGTTAGAGTGAACAGTCTTCGCAGCATAGTTTGTGAAAAAGAGCGAAATCAAGCCTCATTCTACTTTAATAAACAGTAGAACGACTTTCACCCATAAGTGGACGAACGAATTATAATTCCAACGAGCTTGACAAGTCTATTCATCCCAAGAAAGCTCAGAGACTCAAAAATTACTGAACTGATTCGGTTGGTGAGAGGGAGCTTCATGCGATGCCACCGGTTGTAGGCTGAAGTGAGCCAATGAGAATGCTCCAGTCGAACTGCCCTGCTCCATCTGACCACTGAGAAGGTAGCTCCCGCTGGCGTACTTTCCCCAAGCCTGGCAAATACAGTGGATTCGCGTTTGAAGACGCTGGGTGAAAACTATGTACCAGCAAACGCGTCTGTGCAGCGCAGTTAGTGCAAACAGCCTGCTTGATGGGGAAATGCCGCTAAGGGATGAAGAAGCACTTGCCTTGATGCGGGCGGTTATGAGACTGCGTCTGTCGAAGGCCTTGATGAGGATATCGTCGAGGTCAGGCGGAGGTCGCATGCCTTGGTCCTCTCCGGGGGCAAGACAGTAGGACTCCGTCAGGCCACCAATTATGTCGTCCATCGCGTCACCTATCAGACCGACGTTGAGAGCCTCATAGGACCCACTTAGTCTGCAAAAAACAGATACTTAATTGTGAGGGTGATTCTTCAGTTGGCATTCAAATAAACTGTCCAAATCCCTCACTTGCACGATGATGGTATGGGTTCTTATTTATGGCACATAATTTGCCAGTCTCCTAGGCCTTTCGTATTCGTAGAAAAGTTGCCTCCAGATTGGTGTGACTCCTAATATCTTCGGGTTACTACAATTTAAAGCTCGGCGTCAGGCCAATTCCTTCAACTGACACTATCTAAATTCACTGCGCTTTCAAAAAGTAGCATAGACTATGGTAGCCAAAAACTTCAAGAAGCTAGCGCTAGTCGCTGTTTTTTGCCTGATGATAATCCACTTATGTCAGACAAAATAATAATATCTTCAGCTATTGAACGACATGCTTGATTCTTGCGTTGATTGGTTAAAATCATTGCTCATTACTCAGAAAGGTACAAATTAATTGAGAAAAGGCTCGTGAAATGGGATGTCAGCTTTGTGTTAAAGTTGTATACTTAACGTCACTTTACGACGCGCAGGAAAGGTGACAATACCAATCCAACTGAGGAGGGAAGTGATGCTTAACTTGCAACCTCCTATCTACATAACAAACAAAAAGGGTATTTTTCGTACGCGAATAGCACCTGAATAAAAAAATGGACGTTTAAGGTAATAAATGCTCAAACACTATTGTACAGTCAGAATTCAAAAACAAGGTATGCGAATGAACACCCCTTACCAGATGCCGACCGCCTCAGCGTTGAGTTTAAACTGGCCATCGCTTCAAAGCAAGTCATCGCCATTTCCATATATAAACCTTCAGCAAGCATTTCAACTGCTACTAATCAGTTGGAGAGAATCCTTATATCACTTATCTTAGAGTTGTGCGGCTTAATACGATTAATTAATAGCCACAATTATCTAATAGAATGTACCTGTGGGTAGATGGAAAACTCAATGAGTCCTTCAAAGGAGCAGATCGGTTAGTGAGTTTAAACTAACTTGAAGCTACCCGCCATTAATTTACAGGAAAAAAATTAAAATCATGAAATATCCCCCGAACAAATTATCTCCAATGACAAGAATATCATACTTATTCCCTCTATACTGAAGAACGGAAATCACATCTCCAGTGAAGCGCCAATCACCCCATTTGGAAGTGGCACCCAATTTATTTGAAAACAGACATTCAATATAGACAACGCACACGCTTATGGGGCTGTTCCCTACAGATCTGTAAATTCACTATCGTCTAGTCATTCCCACTTATTGAAGTATTCGATAGTTCTGACAACACTTAAGATCGCCATTATTTGTTCCCACCATCTGCGGCTACTATGAGTTGTCACAATGTCCGTACTTACAATTGGGTAGATTAATTCAAGTCTGGTTGAGGTACGTACCCCTGGTTGAATTTTAAATCTTTTCAACCAAGGTTAATTAATTGAAAGGTGTTTTAATTAGGAACCAAAAGACGTGCTATTCAGAAAGTGTTGTCTACTGCCGTGAATGAGTTAAAATCTTTGAGGCAGTAGTCTTTTTTTCCTTATGTCTAGTTTTTCCAAAACAAATCAACGCGACGAGATAAACTCTGAAGCGATTCTATTAATTTGTGGCACTTAAAAATTTCTCAGAAAGTAAAATGCAACGAAACGCCGCCGTCCCAATATCTCCATGAAAGGATAAGTTATCCACAGACCTAGCCAAAACGGAAGTACATAAGGGCCGACTTGCCTGTGTGAGCCAATTTTACTCCTAGGACCCTATTTCAAGCGACTATTGGTTTACTCCCCTCAATTTCAACAACGACCACCATCCAGAGAGGTGTATATAATCCACAGGAAAAATAAGGCTTATACTAAATTAATCAAACATCCTGCTTCTTTTAAAGCAAATACTTCATAAATTTCCCAGTAGATTGCACTTGAATGGCGGTAGCAAACGCAATTTTCACTTAAAGACCTGAAGAACTGTTGATTGCACACGCTGGATGAAGTAAGTGTTCACCACTCACACCATGTCTAATTGCAGTTGCATTGCCTTGTCGCGCCTGGCCAGAGGATGCTACCCCCCTCGAGACAACTGCGGTCAGTTGCGACGTTTGACTTTAATAATAAGGACTTGACATTCTACTTACCTCCTCTTTGGTAAAGGACTCATTTTTAAAAAGAAATGAAAAATACTGCACACTTGCGGGGCCCCATCCACCCTATTTTTATATCAACTAATATAAAATTGATTAAAAATTAAATTACACCGTAACTGGGACCATATTTATATTTGAAGGCGGAAAAATACTTCCAAGAGGTAACAATGATATGTAAATAGCTAAATTATCTCGGTGGATCGCCGACACTGGAAGGCATAATTCTGCAGTCACTAGCAAAAGATTTTTTGGCAAGTAAACCTCAACTGTATCCAAGATTAATAAAATGAATTTATATTCGGAAACAAAATAAAAATTAGGACTAAAGGACGCTGTGATTTTTACTTGAGTGGTATTTGAAGCATTTACTTTCGTTTAAAGTAGACATTTAAAATATTTCAGCAGATTCCTAACACGGCATACCATTCTCCACAAATAATAATTAAGTTGATGGGAGAGATTGGCTTACACCGCAACAATTCCTGGCTTTACGATGACAGTGTGATATATGCGGTCAAGCTAGCTTCTTTAGAGGTCACTAGGACAAAAAAACTTCCAACTATTTCTTTGTGCTAGATCCCTATAACATGGAATTGTGTCGTTCTACGTAAGAAGCATACAGAGGGAGGCGCTCACTTGGCATAGGCCTTCTCCAGGAGTGCAGGCCAGAACTCCGTATGTCGGCTGGAGTGGATGAAGAGGGGTCGGCCGCCAGGTCGCACGGGCAGGCGGTCGTCGATGATGACCTCCTCCCAGGCGCCGAACTGCCAGAAACGAAAGCAGAAGCACCCTGCGTACCACTCGGCACGAAAGGATTGGCCCTGTGGGATCGACCGCATTGTCAGCCGCGGCTGCGTCACCATAGAGGCCAAGGCCGCAACCACCCAACAATCTCCTGCGCGCAATGAAACAGTAAGAAATGCGGTGCTATGATCACCGACGTTCCTTATCTGATTCTCCACGCTCAAATTATAGACAGTGGTGTAAGACTGCAGTTGCTATTCCTTAATAAAGCAAATTCCGTTGCTCTACTCATTAGTCAACGCGAAATTGATGATGTAGGCAAAAGTTAATTGGGTTTCCGGTGGATTTATGGTTCGAAGCAAGAGTGTGAACAGTTGCATATTCATGCAGTGATAACTTCTCTTCAAATAAGCAAAATATATTCTATAACAACATATTACTGCGTCCTGAATTTTTGGAATGATAAGGAATGCTTAGCTGATAAGAGCAATGACAGTGGTATGGCCAAATAGGCATGTTTTTAACTATAGAAAGTTGGTTTTAACTGAAATTACTCTAGGGAGTGAATGAGAGTTTCACCAGTGTCTAGGTGAAAAAGCTAATGATGAACTTCTTCGCTTTAACGACGCCACCCTATTTTGAAATACTCATTCGACATTTATTCGTACCAACATTTACGAAAATAAAATAGGGAAATGTTGTAATTTGGTGGCAAATACTGATACAATTGTTTTTAATTAGGCTAGTATAATTGTGAAGGCACCTCTCAGCAAATCCGAGTTTTGGTTAAATTCAAAGTTTGTTTTAGCTTCAGAAATGTTTAAAAATCTTATTCAAGCGCTATCGTCTTGTAGAGGATTCTGACTCAACTCAATTTTTCATTGAATAGATGACTACAAAATACTAGAGAACACAATACGGTGATGACCGCGACTTGGGACTACTGAGTTCCCAAGTAAACGTGAAGATGTTTAGTCCGTTACCCAGCTCAGCTTAAGCACGTTTTTCTTGAAAATTTAAGTTCCACGTCGCTGCCGTTAGAAACAATAAGAGGGAAACTGCAATATGGATACGGGTAAACCTACCTGAAATGGGCTGGGAACAGAGACAGCGTAAAGGATCACAGGAAAAGGGTGTATGTGAAAAGCGTATGACGGTTGTGCCACAGCCAGTTATTCACCTAACGCATCAAATTACTTTACTGATCCCATCCAACTTGATACGAGGTCCCCGAAAATCAGAAACCAAATGCCCTCTCGCATAATCATCACGCATGCCCACGCAGTTGCAGGGTGTATGAAGCGCATACACGCATTTGGCTGATCTACTCGCTAAATAATTCATTGACCCTTGCCCTGTAAGACAATGTACTGCCCTCTTTATGATTTGTAGAACGAGCTTCCTCAACACTGTAAATGTTGCTCCCGCACGATATGTGGGATTAAGGAATGCAACAAGAAGACTCCAGAGCCTATGTAAAAAGGTGAGATAGTTATATTTTTCATTTGGTAGGATCAACATTTGCACTCGGGAGGTTGCTATTGGAATGACAGTTACCAAGAGCATGCGTATGCTATGATAGATGAATGTGCAACCTGATTACACGGGTGATGCGAATCAGAGTAACACTTTACATGTTTTATTGATAGGAATATATGACCCTTTTACCTCTAAAAAAACAGGTGCTTATTCAAACGGATAACCATAACAGTAAAGCTAATTCTTATTTCCCTTTCTTCATTCAATAAAGACATTGTCAAAATTCGGATGTAAAGACATCAACAACCTTTCAAATCAACAATGGCAAGCTTTGTCGTTTCCCTTTGGTACCTACAATAGCGGGACAATTGGGAAGATGTACCGAGTGTGGGGGAAAGAAATGACGAGAATAACTAACCGGTAATGAGGATCCTTACGCTAGGATTTAGTGACCGCCCTTCTCCATCATTATTCAGTTTAAACGACTTGAAAATGAAGCACATCCAGGTCAGTAAGGACAACGTGGATACCAATAAACCAGTTTCAATGCTTTCCATAAATATCTACTAACGAACCGATCCGTGGAATAAGATACAAAATTGCAAAAATATGCAATTTAAACATATTTCTTGCATTGTTAATGGTGGCCCATTGTGAAATTAGCGATGTCTTGTAGTAGGCATTTTATGATAGATGAGCATTTTAGAAGGTTCATATTTAATGCACTGGGATTATCATGAATGAACAATCATACCAAATACCACGCCTAACATGTCTGTATGAAAACCGAAACATCAATTGCTTGTCATTCCCAAACAAACCGATCAAACTTGCTATCAAACTTGCGTTGACTGCCAATTACGTTGATTTAGAATTCATTTCCACAAGTAGTTTGTCATCGCCGGGTCTGCGTGATAAGTCGGGACTGCACTCGTGCTCCACGGCTCAGTCAGTATGCGTGATTGAGGGCGTTAACTTCCGCTGGTGCCACAGTGTTGCCTCGACTACTTTGCTCCACGTTTCCCTCTTCCTCCTACTACGGTCAACAATATTTTCGTTTTATTGAGGACACTACGACTGCATTAAAATTTTTCCAAGAACTTCAGCTGAAATGGGCGACAACTGAGTCACTAAATATTCAGGCTTCAAGTGTAAGATAGGGAATACTACCAGCGAAAGTAAGATATTAAAGTAGTGAATCGCCACTTTGCTCTGTTAATGAACATCCTTTACTCTTAACCGCGTATTCATCACGAAATAATACTATTTGTACAGTAAATATGCTACTAGGAAGCACATTTTGCAGCAACAAATAAGAAACTGTCCCCAGTACTTGCATTTATACAACAAAAATTTGAACGAACCGGCTTTCACAGTCGAGTAAATATATATACGTCAAATTCCCACCTTTTCGGAATACTTCTACTTTAAAATGGCAATGCAGCAGACTGGATTTACAAGTTTCTTGTTGTGTTAGGGTTATATTATAAGGAGATTTCAAACCTTTTAGCTGTGAATAGGTAGAATTAATGGCGACTGCTATCCAGTAATCTTAAATTTCAAGGGAGACTTTTGTCATGCCCTGAATTGCCAGTTTCGGTCGACCTTAGTACTCACGAAAGTACCACAAAAAACCTACAGATCTGTATTTTTTGGTGACTTATTTTTTTCATAGCTTTGTTTCACATACGCAGCAGAGATTCGCTTAAGGTGTCCGAACCGGAAGAGAAAAAAGTTTTTGAAAGAAATGAAGCAATATAAAAAGCTGAAGTAAAATTCGCAAGGACAAAATACATTGGTAGTTTTAAATTGGAAATTCAGAATAAAATGAATCCGATAAATCAGAAAGTGTAAAATGCTGCCTGAAAATAGTGTAATGATAACACACACGGCACGGCAGTATCCCATGATAAGAATCGTACGCTATTAGTCTGTCCTAGTGCTTTTTTATTATGACACGAAATGAAGTTTATTGTTGTGGTTGAAGCGTATATGTATATAAACCACTCAGATGGCATTTAAATGCCAGGAGAGTATCTTCAAAAAGCGTCGCTTTATGCAGAGATATCAATTTAATCTGCATGCTTAGTACGCAAAATTACCACTTCAAAATGATGGGCTCATGTATGTGACGCGAATGCAATCAAGCATTTTACAAAACATTTTTCGGGTTTAAGTGAAGTAAAACAAAATACACATCACCATTAACCCACAACCAGGTCTGTGTGGGGTAAAAAATGCGGCACAACCAACTGTTCATAGATTTAATTATTCATTTTAGAGAATAATTCACTTATTGAAAAAAGGTTTAGCCCACCTTTGGGTCTTAAATACGCAACAAAATTTGTAGACCAAATTCTTCTGTTTATAAACATGTGTCTTAAAGAACTTCTTGTTCAAAAAAAAAACAATTTAATACGTACCGCAAGGTAGTGGAAAAACGGTCCATAGACATCATTCTATACATAGGATCAACCATGATAAAATATGATCCATTAAGAGGTCAGGCCGCTGAGGATCAACGTTTGAAGGCTGAGAAACTTCTTACAGATTTGCATAGATTAAAAACTAAGTCAGCTCCGTTACAAATATTTAGATTATTCCACATTCACAGCAGCACTTGAATAACAGCTTTTTTGTTTTTACAGATTTCTCGACGGAAAAATCTGGGAAATAGGATAATGCAGCTGTCACACTGATTCAATGCACAGGAAAATGTTTTTATTCAGATCCAGAACATTTCACATACCACTGAAAAAAGCAGAAAATGGGGGGGGGGGGGAAAAAAACTAGGCTAAAAATTGCAATTGTAACATAAATTTACATAATCCAACAAATTCGTTGTATCTTTTTTCTGTTAAAATACTTAAACCACCTTGAGGGCATAATAGAAGATTCCTTACCTAATTCGCCTTGTCGAAGATCCCCAAGTCTAATGCTTCCACCAGCAATAAACTCTGGAAAGTGTATTTTTCGCGGTGCTATTCCAAGTACGTCTGTTCTACACATCGCGGCAACAATTTCAGGTGGACGCATCCACACAATACTACAGGGAGGACGACGGCTGTAATATAAACTGGTTTCATCCGCCGGAAAGGCAGAATCACAAAATAAACGCCCAAGCATTTTATGTTCCGTTCGAATTTGCTCAAATGATTCCGAAGGAATCGGTAGGGTCTTTGTGCTTGGACCAACATCGTGTATCATTTGTGATGAGTCGCGGCCTTAAATTTAAAAACGAGTCTCCGCAAAAAATTAAAAACACAATTAGCGTTAAAATATATGCATTTAATAAAAAACAACACTTAGGGAAGCAAAAAAATAGAGCCAGACGAACGAAAGACCTCCCTGAATCATAAGGAATGCACAAAACGCAGAAAAGTAGCTAGTGTGGGATCAAGATCCAAAATTGCGCTTACCAGAGTCATTTAAAAATCGTGTTTGTCCATCGGCCGAAACTCGAAAAATATCATCAGTTTCAGATATCCTTCCAAAATTCGCATTACTGACGGCCCTTAAAGGAGGATAATCGCCTATTTTGTTGAGACTACTGTTAGATATCTTAAGCGAGAGATTAGTATTCATGCTGATTCAAAAAAAGGAAGTAAATGGTTCGACTAATTCAAAGTGTCCCATAGTTGGCGCAGCCGACGCATCGCTTTAAGTCAGGCAGGCTCGATGACCTTGAAGGTGCTATCAATGGCTGTGTAGCAAAACATAATATATCTTTAACGCGTTAATAATTTTCGTCAGTAAATTAGATGCATAACAATGTTTTTTTGTGTTTCCAAGTGCTAGGCAAGAAATATGTTTGTCCAATTAAAATAGCACTGTCGAATTATCGTGGAAAGAAATCGTTTTCGTTGCCCATTTTAGCTGATGGTATTGCTTATAGAGCAACACTTCTTTGGTCCTAAGTGTTTACACCTAATACTTGGCTTTGGCCTACGCTACAGCTCAGTCTTGTAAAATGGAACCCCAATCTCAACTAATAACTTTCGGGAGCTATCCCTCACGAAGTCGTTTTGTCACCACTTGAACCCCTTGGCTCACTTTATTTTCCTACTACCTGTGTTGGCGACTAACCACCCTACCACTTGACGGTTGCAAATAGCTGTAAACCCGCACCATTTTGACAAATAGGTAGGGGCTCATGCCTCGTGAAGCTCCACTCCGAATCACGACCCGATGGCCATGCCGCAAAATAGAATAATAACCTCAAGAGACCGAAGCGCCGGGGTAGTTGCAGCCAAGCAAAGTTCTAGACTACTGCACTTATGTCTAATTGACATTGGCTCCTGGAAGGCTTCCATACAGTTTATCCTTTCTTATTAGAATGTACATTTGGTAAAATTATGCAATAGCAACAGGTGATAAACCCTTTTTTCAATTTATTGTTTAGCCCAATGTGCACGGTTTCAATAGCTACCGGTCCTTGAGGGTCCATCAGGGAAGTAAGAATAACATTAGCCCAAAATAATCACACCATCAAAACATCAATTATTCAAAAAATTTGGGAGAACAAAAGAAGGATTAATAATATACCCTTCAAATTCACTACCAGAAGTTATCTGAGTTGCCATATTCCTCACTAAAACGTAAGAGATCAATTTAATTACAGGTTTGTACACAGAATACTGTTTCCTACAAATAAAACTGACCTTTTTACATTGATGGGCTCTCCTACGGATATGTCAACACTTTTTCGTTCAGTGCTACTTAAGTCGGAATCAAACTATAATACGGAAATACATTTTAAGCAATTTAACAATCAACAGATGAAGTGAATTCAAAAGCTCATTTGGCAATATTTGGTACCAATGATACTGCCGTAAAACCATTTGTATTTGATTGCGAAACCGTTACATCACTGATCCCAAAATCAAACCCATTTCCCATAAGCATGTTTATCAAGAGTAAGTTGACAGTACCAAAAATTCCCTCGGATTGAGAGTTAAATACTTGTCAGAAAAGCGGACCAAACCAGTAACTATTAAATACTACTTTATCGTTATCAAAGAAAAAGTTGAAAATAATTAAACTGCCACCTTGTGAAACTAAACCGCGCACATTGCAAAAAAAAACCTCAGAAGGTTTAGGTCAGAATTTTATCAATTGAGCCTTAAAAGATTACAAAAGCAAACAGTTGTCGCATCTCTAATCAAGCACCCTGGGATTAGCTATTTGATGCTACAATTTACTTAATGATATTACCTAAATAAATATCACATTCAAGCACACATTACATTTCCACTAGTTAGATGACATTCGTATTACAATATTCTTATTCAAGTCCAATTCGATGGGTATTTAGCATTGCGCTTCATTTATTCGCAAGCGTACCTGCTGAGCTGCGAGAAAACCACCGAATGAGACACTCATTTTGGTCGCTCCCGGGCCCTGGTTTTCCGCCACAATCGGACGAACTGGCTCCACCTCTGGCTCCTGCACTAAGCGCTGCTCTTGGAGTACTTTCACATATTTCAAGCTCATTGGATCAATCGCAGTACTGGAGGATGAACCCAAACGCTTGTCCCCTTCCTCTTCTTCCTCCTGACTTCCACGAGAAGACATATCAGCCAAATGCCTCTCAGCCTCATTACCAATTCCATCAGTGCCGACTTGCTTGGTGCTAGAAACTGGAAATTTAGTAGTTGGATGAGGAGTGAGCACATGGCTATAAAGAGAGCATTATTTCACGATAGTCCATCTGCTGCCGACAAAATTTATCCCTGCATCAGGAAATCACGCTCGAAACAATTTGAAAATATGAATGCAGTATTCTTTACAATAGGCATGTAATCTCAGAAACAAAATAAACACTTACCATCCTCACAATCATCATCTAAAATGTCGGTATTATGTGTTTGGTCTGTCGATCGGCATGGAGTCTGTCTACTTGAGCCTGTCAAAGGAACCGCTTCACACTGTGGACCTTCCTTAATTTCCTGATCGACGGGGTCCACGGTCGCCGTTACGCTACTCGGAGTGGTACTTTGTGACGTTACCTTTAGTGGAATGCCATCGCTATGATTTGCCAGAGGTTCTTTCTCAGGAACCACAGATACTATCGTATTGGTTTCATCGAATGTTGTGGGTATGCTTCGCATCGATATTATGAATGAGGAAGCTTTTCGATGGCTCATTGCAATGTCTGCTGATGGGGTAGTAACTACGGTAGTAGCGACACGAGGGGTTGTACTTTCTTGTGAAGGCTTCTTTGTGTTGTTCGTCTCCATTGTTTGCGCTTGTTGTGCAGGTGTTGATACTTTTCTAAAATTCATAGGGGAGCAATCGCAATTGCGGAACGCTTGACAGATGATTCTCTTTAAGGGCAATTGATTCCGTATTTCGATAATGAATTAGCTGCGCGGGATTTAGTTTAAAATACCTAGACTCCCGGACTTCTTAATGAATAACAAAATCATTATTTATAGTTCAACGGTAAGTCTTCTTGAAAAATATCAGTCCTAAGCTGACTTCTGCTTCATAAGAATGCAAATGTTTGACGAGATATGAGGGAGATTGCCGACTTGCTGTAGATATGATGGCATAGAGTAATATCAAAGGCTTTGTTTGAGAAACTAGTTATTAGTTGATGCATCAAAAGTGGCTTTTATATTGTCTTAAGGCCCTTTAATATGTGTAGATTAAGTTAAAATCATTTTCACGATGAAGTAGGCAACCAAAAATTATCACTTAGGTTGAGACTTGCCCTTCAAAGTGGTGGTGTATACCAGCCAACTCAGACGTTTCTCCACAAGTTCCATCACGTGCAGCCTCGATAGCACTAGCCATGGACCTCTACAAATTAGTAACAAAGGCAAAAAACACTTTGGTTAGTGGCACTTTCCCGCTTGCCCTTTTCGACACGTTGACGTCCTGGAATTACATGGTGTTTGGCCATATCGATATGCAAATACCGATTTACAACCTCGGGAAATCTATGCAGTGACATTAGGCAATCAATGCTTTGAAAGGAATAAAAGATCGCAAATACGCAAAAACGTCTTATCGGTGTCTGTCTAATTACTCTACCTCATCGCTACACATCCCTTCTCAGTAAATTGTACTATCACAACGATTGTATTTTACTCTGGGGAGTTGTTCCACAAGTAACAAAAGTGAACCTCACTGAAGTTGACTACATCGGATTCGGGGATTCTTCAGTACACGTCCTATTCGAATATTTTCTATTGCAGGAGATTTCAGTATGTGCTACGTTCCTCTGTTACAAACTGCCAGCATAGCGTGCCATATTTACACTACTCTCACCACTCTTTGTAAGGAATTGTTTAAAATTCTTGAGTGGTGTTTGTCATGGATACTCACCATAAAAGGCATTGGCCAGCTAGGAGGAAATTGACCAAGAGTGGGTATACTGCTAGCAGTTCTAAAGCTGTTTAAATATGCCGTTGAAAAACCACTTCTGAGTAACGTGGAGCCATTCTGCTGGACGCGTTTTGTAATTGCCTCCTCGAACCCCTTTAGTATTGGCGGGACAGTGCAAATTTCCTCCTTCCATTGGCCCAGCGCTTCTTCTAGTTTGACAGACTCCTGTTCCAGTGCTTTCAGCCTCTCTCGTGCCGTCTCGACAGTGGCCGAAGATGATCCAGTAATCACAGTCTTGGTGGAAACTGCAGGAGCCTGGGACTCATCGTAGAAATCGCCTTTAACGCCTCGAAGCACTAACCGAACAAAAGAATAAATTTTCTAACAAGATTAGACATCGAACAGGTAGTTTTAAAACTAGTAGTAACCACAATATCGTAGATGTACTGCAACTGTTAAATGAAAAAGCTATAATTAATCCCCTAAGCATATTCGAATAAAGTGGTACGACTCAAGGACTGCCAACAGGAAAGTCCCGAAAAGAGTGGCGTTTTAAAAAAATTGTGTTTGAAGTAAAATATTTTATAAAGTACGCCTCGGATTTTTTAGTATTTGTCAATGCGCGTCATGGAATGTGGGCTCGTGGTTTTTAGGAATGAAACAGAAAATTTACTTGTCCGAATTTATATAAATGTGCCAGATCCAAAACCACATTACCCTATTGTGCTTTAATAAACGCTGATGTCTGGAGCGAATTACAAAACCGTAACGAGAGGCATACTTATGACTTGGGGTAATACTGATAACAATAAGTACTAAAAACAGCGAAGTTGACTTATATCTTAAAGACTAAAGTATTGCACACACTGAGGCATGGCAGCCTCGTTACTCATCTTCGCTAAATGCTCTGATTCACATGGTGGAATAAAAGGAGGGGGAAGTGCGACTAAGTTCGCAGTGATATGAAAATAAAGCCCGCGTCTTTCAGGAGCATGCTAATCAACCCGAACAATTAAGCAATACGTAGTGGTCTTGTGATGTGGAGGAAGAGTGGCTTACCAGCCGGTACCGCTGTCGCAGTGGCGGCGAAGACGCGCGAGTCCGGAGGACAGGAACGCCGTTGATCGGCCAGTAGTCCACGTAGTCTACTCACCTCACTCTGCCGTAGGCAAACACGCTCCTCCAGGCGATTCTTCTCCGCCCTCTGCAAAGCACAATATACTCACCCAAGAGAGTTAAGCAGCCTGCAGGGCACCAAGTTCCCTCATTGAAACAGATTCCCTTTGGCACAAATTGTTTGTTTTAAAGTGGGCAACATAGCATACGCTCTCCCAACCTTTGATGACTGCTCCTCGGTTCAAACGAGAGACGAGCAAACTCTGTACCACGTAATTATATTCTTATAAGAGGAATGGGTACCCGTAACCACGGGAATGCTAATGCTGCCGGTTTCTCTTGCCCAACTGGCGGTTCAATTCTAAACAGCATACCGCGAGTTAAGTCGACCCTTTACCTACAGGTTATTAACTCATAAACTATTTTCTTCATTAAGATTTCATTTATTCTTTTGTTTAAATTGTGACTCTAAAATTTGTTCACAGCGAAGCCGAAAAATAAACACATAAAAATCGCAAAATTACATAATGTTGCCGTAAATATGCGTTTTGCTTTATTTAGTTGAGATGGCATCATTAACCAAAGTACGGCCAAAAAATCATCGCGTGTGTTTGGCATAACAATTACCAGTTCCTCTATCTTGACATTGAGCCCGATTCTTTCTTTATTGTTATTTGTGCGTTCCTGCTCGAGGGCTGCCCGTAGGGATTCGTTCTCCCGGTGCGCAGCCAGGAGAAGATTCCTCTCAGAGGACGCAATTACCGCACCTGCAAAGGAAGGATACAATCAATCCCAACGTCCTTGCTGGCATCACTTCTCCTCGCCAAAAAAAAAAAAATAGCGGCAAGAAGAAGCCAAAGACAAAGTCTCAATTTTGCACATTTTTTCCGCGACCACAAATGCGACTGTGCTTAAATTTTCTTGACGACGCAGATACATTTTGAGCACGTGCATAATTAGGGCCACTCAAGCCTATCTAGGAAATAGTGTAAATGAAAGAGAACGGATTTTGTAATTCGACTACTCATCTGTACAGAAGAGAAGCGGGATGAAGCCTGGATATCTCGAAAAATACGTATATTTAGTAGTGTCAATGGTTTAATGATGGGTGGATGGCAGTTACTCATGATTGCGAGCAATGCCGCCACAAAACTTCCCTATCAGAGCTAAAACGTGTTTTAAAGAAGGTTGTATACTTTTCTCGTAAAACTTAATGGTTTGATTAAGGAGTAGCGAAGAAGGATAACAGTTCTGCAAGAGCTTATCGAATTGAATAGGACGTTGAACCTTGTCTTAACCCATCAATTTCCTCAAAAGCCTGTCCGAGACGTCTAAAAAGAAAAGAAGGTATAAGTGTAGGCACAAGAAAGATTAACAGGAATTCTTATTTAAGTGAGTTTTGGAAGAAAAGATAAATTACCACCAAAGCTTACTCCTTCAGGGTACTTATTTCATTTGTCGAAGCACTGAGTTTCATTTTGAGAGTTTCGTAATCAGTTATCTAAATGCATGTAACAATGAAAGTGCAAAGCCCGTTGTATTACGTGCGAAAAACCTAACTTACTTCCATTTGTGAAAAGAGGGCTGACTTTTGGGATACTTCCTCCTGAAGCGCTAGCACATGGTTTCTCCGAGCTTCCAATGCATTTTTTTCAACTAAAATTGAGCGCTCGACATACATATTTAGAAGGATGTAGAAGCACGTCAGTATGTAAAATGATGTTGAACATCTAAATCATACTTGCTAGACAAGTCTCAGTTATCTCCAACTCCCTTCTTTTGTTGAGTAGCTCAACTTCATCCGATTTACGAAGTCTTAATAGAAATGAATATATCAATGAAAGTACTCTACTGAATATATAGAATACAAAAGTATACTATAATAAGCAAAACAAACTTATAAGTGGGATGTATTTATCAGCAAAGTGTGATTGTGACTCATCAGCCTGCTATGAATAAGAGGCATAACGTTTTAAGAAAGCAGGCCTTCCGTAAAGCGTAAAAACAGTCAGATTCCCACTTTTTTATTTCCTTATCCTGTTTTAATAAATGGCAAGTGATCAGCTAAAGTGACTAATTTCTGTCACGACCACGTACTAAACACACCAACCTTTCAACTTCTTGCTTTACGATGTCGTTAAAAGCCTGCTTTCTGGCTAGTAGCTCCTCTTCTTCGATTTGCAGTTGAGCCCGACGTTTGCAAAAATTGTCTTGTAGCTCCTTCCTTTGTCTAAACGAAATTCAAGTGACAAATTTTTAGCTAAAAACTAACAACACAAACAAATGAATAACTAGCAATATTTTAATTAATAGACCCACAAGTTCAAAGCCAGATCAGCACATTAACAAAATGAATAGTCACGTTGGTGCAGCGATTCATAGAATTTCGTCCATCGCATTTATAAAAAAAATCAAAATATGATGAATTAACGACTGGACAATTGGTATTCATGCCACGTGTTACGTAAACGTGTCATTTAACTAACGTTAATTCTCTTAAAATTGATTAAATGATGCCCCAATTTAATCATGAGAGAACCTTTTGTTTCACTTTTAACCTTTCTAAATCAGCCTCCACCTGACGGGCCTTTTGCATCTGAATTCGGCACGCTTCAGTTTCCGCCGCTAGTATCTGTCGCTGGAAGAGGTTGGTACGTTCATTGGCTTCCCTCGATTTCGTCATTATTACGTTCAAATGTTTTTCACGTTCGTCAAGAGCAGCCTTTTGGATGGCATAGACCTCCTCCAACTAAATTAAAGTATCAATAAGTAGCAAGACTGCATCAGCAAACCTGCCTGTAAAGATTTCTCATGTATTTTAGCATTTGCGGAATGTTCAATTTCCTTCTTTATTTCATTCAGTGTGTTTCGTTTAAACGCCTCTAGCTAAAATTTAAGGGGCAATATCATCCATCAAGAAAGCTAATTATACTCCATATAAGTAAAAGAAAGGACTTATTTGATTAGGCAATAGTAAACTTCACGCAGTTTCAAAATTAGATAGTTTTGCTCACTGCAAAGTCCAGATCCATCCTATCTTAAACAAAGTGGAAAAACTTTGAGGAGAGATTTGTGGATATAAGTGAGCACATCATCCGATTAGTCAGTCATAGAAAAAAATTATTCAAAAATAACAGTTAATTACTTTTTGGTGATAATCATTGTAAATCCCTTCTTCGACTTCGCCACGTAAATGCAAAACCTTTCCTTCAAAATTCCTTCTTATTTGTTCAGCATCAAATTTTTGCTGACTATCGTATTTGGCATCGATTTTTTCCAGCTGAATTTCTAAGTGAAGTGGTAAGACAAGATGCAAATAAAAGTAAGGAGTGCTGCAGCAATGAAATATTCTGGTAATAAGAACTCACTAGACAATTAAAGAGTAATAAAAGGATTATTCAACTTCAATGCTAAAAGATATGCATACCGTAAAGGAATGAGTCACAATCCGGCCCTACTTGAATACATTTGTCTTCCATATTGGCAGAGCCAATTAAAGTAATATACGAAACAATATTATACAAAAGACTTGCAGTTGGATTTGACAAACATGAAAACTAAAGCCAGTAAAAATCTTACAACTTACCTTTGCTTGATTATTCTTACAAAATTCACTGATTCGCATGACACTAATTAATTCATCTCGCGAAAAACCCTAAAAATGTGTATATTTATTGAAATTACGCCAGAATTTTGTAGTCCAGCTTCGGGTACAAGAACACTCAATGTGTACCAGTACCCTTGTTTACGAAGGTATTCAAGACATAAACTGCATGCAATCTTTTGGTAAAGCAAAGGCAAATCTAAAAATGCGCTATGATGATGTTCCGAAGATTTAAAATGCATTTCATCAATAAGTTTCTGTCTGAGGTTAGCCTTTTAGACGATTACCCCGTGCAAAGTTTCGCACCTTTAGTTCTTCGAAAATCCCTTTTGATTTTAGATTATGGACTAATTTTCGACGGAAGTTTTGCGGTGTCATGTCACTTGTTTGCTCCTTCATATCGCCTAGCTGAAAAACTATGGTCAAGGCGAATGTGAATATCGCGCCTGAGGCCCTGGAAGTTCATTGGATAGCTTTGTTGATGGTGCCGTATTGAAGACTGGTAGAAGCATCCAAAAGAGAAACATCGATGCTTTTGCTAAGATTACAAAAGTAAGCCAGTATTTGCCTTTTTTAAAAAATGGCACAAAATGCTAGTTTTGTCTTTAGGAGACTCAAACGATAGTTGTATCTTCCTCCTCTCATTTGAAAATGCAGAGATTATGCGGCAGTAATGGCTCGTCTTTCCAACGACAAAGGCCAAAAGTTTGCCCATTAAGTTCGTGTAAGTGAAAGGACCACACCTTCCCTTTATGACAACTCATATGTATATCTTTGATTTAATGGCAAACTCATAACGCCTTTACGGAAAGTATGGTTATTTATCGACTTATGAGGTGGTCAATATTATTATTTCCAATCTTGGTTCCAATCGTACTCCCAATTTTTCCACGGTCTGGTAAGTAATTGGCTGACGGGTTTCTCTAATCCTATAGTTCCATTGGTAGTTGAACATAGGAAAATTTAGCGACCACCGCCTTTTCCTTGGTACACTGCTCCTCGTAAATGTTGAGTAGTAAGGTTATACTACTTGTCTGCGCACTTCTGGTTTGTCTTTACTCATTAATTTTCGATAGAAACAATTCCAAGTGCTCCGCTCCCACAGATCCCGGGGTAGACCTTGACAAATTCCTGGATAATTGCATTCTTTAGTACATTTTCAAACATATGTTGACTTTTCGAGATGTTACAGCTCTCAGTGGGAGATTAAGCATGCAACGCTTTGGGTATATTCTAAGCAAAATCAATATTATTCGCCCGATTGGAACTGCGAACCACACATTAGTCAGAGAGGTATGGTGAATGTTCCCTTATGTTTCTTGCAGTTCATTAGTAAGGAGCTTAGTGAGAGTGGTTGGACAGTTAAATTGGATACGTTTTCGGAATCCACAGTGATTGGAAATAGGACTTTTGCAAACATTGTAGCTGTCAATAGACCGCATGCGTCCCGCCGCATTATTTTGTCTTGCCATTATGAATCAAAGCTGATGCACAACTTTTATGGAACCATTGATTCAGCTGTTCCCTGTTCAATCATTGTAAATATTGCTGAAAGTCTCATCAGACTCTTCCAGTCATCAAAAGTAAGACATTTTTTCGCAGCCTGTCAGATACCTTTATACAAGACTTCTCATATCTTCTCTACTTTCTTGGAATTAATCCGGAGTTTTCTCTATGCGAATGGTGGGAGTGGACGCCCTAAACTTCCTGATTTCAGAGTAACTAACCTTCAAATCCGAATTTCGCAGTAATTTTGCTTGAATATTTATTCTTTTATACTGGGGACCATACAGTCATACGGTTTTGTTCCGTATTCTGTTACCACAGAGTGACACTACCGTTCAGCTGGTATTCTTTGACGGTGAAGAGGCCTTTAGGGAATGGACAGACACCGACTCCCTTTATGGCTCGCGTCACCTCGCTGCGCAGATGGCCCAAGCTGATTCACAGGGCTGTAACGAAATTAGCCAAATTGTGAGTACCTTACCTCCGGTCCGCTGCACCTGTCTGCATCTAATGCTTGATTCAGTCAACCGTCTCTAGTTTTGACATAACTCCAAAACAAAGCATGATTTTTTGACGGGATGTTCCACAGACTTAAATTCTGCAGTTTAAATTATTTGATGGTATTTTGCTTTGCAAAATCATGTCTGGATGACACCTTTGTAATTCCTGTTTACCTTTGGTTTAAAGTGCAGATCGCACTGCAAATGACGAACCCCTCAGAATTGATAATTCAGAACCAGAATTGGTTCAGTTCCCTCTCGCATTAATACTGGAGAAAATAGAGCTGACAACCATCTTGTAAGGGTAGTTGGTTTTTCCCTTTTAGGATTTGTTCGTTCTTTTGGATTTGATAGGTGCCGCCCACCACCCCTTTCCTCGTTATCCGCACTGCGACCCTCGGTTTTATGACATGCTCCGCGACATAGGTAACTATCATTAACCATCCTACACCTTCCTGTGCCTGCCTCTAAAGCTACGACTACAACCCTATACCGATTTCCGTTAGACCCCCAAGCCCGCTCCTACCCGTCAACAACCCAATCGCAACCTATTGAGAAATCCACGCATTGCCCTAATTGATTCATCTTCGCCCCCAATGGCGTATTTTAATCCTTAAAATTTCAAGTTTGCTGGATAAATAAGACAGTGGGGAGACACAACACCCCGAAATGCCACAGCTTGCTACCCAACACCCAATGACCACGCTTCTCTAATTCTAGAACGCCTCTTAAAGCCCTTCTTTCTCTTGGGATCGCAAAGCCCTGAGGATAGACGGAAGCCCTCCTACTTTTCTTCAACTATTCATCCGGGGATCCTGGATGATCACACACCATTCCTCAGTAAAGGTAACCACCTGCCCCGATGCGGACCCACCACTCGTATCTCTTACAACATGGCATCCACATTCCCCCATTCACCTTTCAGGTGTACCAGTCCTTCACTTGGTCCCCGCTCCCTTTCCTCCACAGTGGCACGACGTTAGCGACACAATCGACAACATTGACTTTGAGGCAATTCACGACATACAGCTCGTGATAGCCACTTTTCTTTGTCAGTTTCTTCAAGTTCCACCCAACTCGATCGAAAATTTTCTTACTATGTGAAGACTCACCCTTCCGCCTTGCTAGTACACCCTAACGCAATAGAACCTTTGTTGAGCTGTTCCAAAGTCATCTTTGTTAAATGTCACATCAGTTAGTGTATTCTATGTGAAACGAATTCGAAGTGCGATATTGGCTATGAACTACATGGTGTATTATTTTACAGTTTGTATGATTCACGCCAATAAGGACTCGCGATGTTGGGCGACGAGGCGTACACGTATCGACTCGAATAGCTACAATATGTACATTGACATAAAGGGCTCTCCCTAAGAGGTATCCATCGCCTCATCCACGCCAGCGTTCTTTTGACTATCCAGATCAACAATTGGATCGTCTTCTACAAAGGAAATGTTGCAGTAGGTTAAAAAAGTACAAGAGCAGTGAGTGGGATAAGGAAACATACGTTCAACCAGTTTTTGCAGATCACGGAGTGCGACTAGAAACAGATGGAACTGCTTCTTGCGCAAACTGATTCGCTCATCGTACATCTTGTTTGTGTTCTCAAGGTTGTTTAATTCAGTCCTCATTTTTTGAAGCTTCCTAAAATATTCCAATAGTGAGGTGCCGATGTAAGCGCGGGGCATATGGATTCCACGGCAGTGAAGCAGCATTAATTCGAACATGTAAATGATGGCCTGTCGTGATTCCTCACCGTAAGCTCTCTTGCCTCTCTGGATATTCCTGCACGATCTTCGCCAGGTTGTGATACTCTAGGAAACAAGCGGCTGTGAATGTGAGCCGTACCTTGGCGATTTTTGCGAATAACCCTAGCCGTCTTCAGACGTTCTCTTTGGTTGGTGATATCAATACGTGCCGTTTCTATGGACTTGTCTATTTGTCTATTTCAAGCAAAGAAGCATTTACCAATTTCCTCCAGAAGCTCCGAATATCGGTTTGACTGTTCCATATTCATCAACTGGATCAGAAGCGCTTGATCCATCGCATTTTCACACTGTAGGATTTTTTCCAGTATCGTTTGACAGGCGGCATCACTAATGGTTATGTAAAATACGAAAAATTATCTCATACTTCGCCTCAGGTGTTTCATCAGATGTAGCCCAACGCAAATAATCCTTGAGCAGAATTCCAAATCTTCTATCGTCCAGCCCGCTCTCACCTTCAACTAGTAATTTTCGTCGAATTATGGCATCTGAAGTATACAGTGTAATGGATGACGACGTCTACCCTCTGAAGCAGCGGTCATATTTGCCAAAAGCAAAGGGGAACCTCGTCCGAACAGAGCCGTCGGCCTTTGTTGGAGGAGGGATGTAGGTTCCAAAAAGGCGCCAACTTAGGGGCTTATGCAAAAGTAAATAGGTGGTAGGCAATAACTGCAAATAGTATGCAAAAAAAGGCTTACTAGTAAAAACAAACTGAACATGGGATAGCGGTGCACAGCTTTGTTGCAAATCGCGGTACAAATTAGGACAGTTGTTGTGTTGAACGCAGATTTATTATTTGCACAAGGCAGCTGTGTTTCAAGAAAACGAGTATAAATGTGGAAAATAAAATGACTTTAATGAATTAGTTGTGATATTTTGGTATGCCTACTATAAAGTAAAAATACCTGGTGATAAATATAATGTGCAACTGTATTCTCGTTTGTCGGTCAGGCCACTGGGTCATGCCAGTAGCCACGAGACCCGCTGTGCGCAAGAAACTCGTTCTATGCAAGTGTTGCATCTTCAATCACCTTCACAAAGGCCTCAGTACCACGCAGTTTCATCAGCATCAATTGCTAACACAACTCAAATGCTAGCACCGGACGCGAAATAATGTCCAGACGCCTGCCATGGGGCTATTACAAAATATAACTGCATGCCTTTGAATAATACAAAAAAGGTATTTTATTCGTCGTTTACTGTATTTATGCGTTTTGTTTGCGACTGAACATTTCCCCGAATATTTTAAAATCGAATTATATTACAATCCGCTTCCATTCACACATCACTTTTAATAGCGCTACACAAACGCAGCAATGTATTTAGCTGTTCTTACAAGCTTTGTGCAGACAAATATGGCAGAATGAAGACTCGACTATTGCATTTTTAGGTAAACATTGAACACGTTTTCTCCTGCTTTAAAGTGTCCTCGCTCATTTAGATGGCCCCAAAATGCTAACGCTTAACCTTTTTTACAAAAACTATTTTTAGAGTTTTTAGGTAAAAAGATATGTGGCACTACACTATTATGGGGTTTTGCTTCACATAGTCTTTTTGCCAAATCATTTTGCTCTTAGTTTTTAAATACCCTCGCCGCAAAAAATGTCAAAATGCCTTGCAAATTTTAAATACGGTTATTTGTGTGTATCAACAATGTTGCATAAAAGCTTTTGAGTTGGGAACCTTTTGTTTTACTTCCCTCATACTCTTCTGGCGCGTCTTCTCTTGTGCTTTCGAGGCGTGAGTTGTCGTTCTGCTGGTCGTGGCTTTCGTTAGGGTCGTCACATTTTTTAGTCAGCCCTTGTTCTCTTATAGTTGTACTTGCAGTGCGCATATTTTAATCGGGGGGAATTTTGTTGATGTTTTACTGTGATATATTTGTTTTTTGTTACAGCTAGACTATGGGTGCCTATAAATTCATGCAGGAATTGTACCGCCACAAGCAGTCGGACGTAATGCGTTACCTTTTGCGGATGAGGTGTTGGGAGTATCGCCAGTCTAATAAGATTGTGCGTGTTAGTCGCCCCTCCCGACCTGACAAAGCCAGGCGACTTGGCTATAAGGCTAAGCAAGGGTTTGTCATCTACCGCACCCGCGTACGCCGTGGTGGTCGAAAACGTCCTGTTTCCAAAGGTGCTACCTACGGTAAACCAACCAACGAGGGTGTCAACCAGTTAAAGAACCAACGGTCTATCCAGGCAACCGCTGAGGTATGTCCGTGAATCTTTATTGTCTATCTTCTAAGGATCGTGTTGGGCGTAAATGTGGTTCCCTCCGTGTGCTGAATTCCTACTGGGTTGGTGAGGACAGTACATTCAAATTTTATGAAGTAATTTGTGTCGACCCGAATCATTCGGCTATTCGTCGTGATCCTGCTATCCGCTGGATTTGCAAGGCTAATAAGAAGCATCGTGAACAGCGTGGTCTCACTTCCGCTACTCGTAAGTCGCGTGGTCTTGGGAAGGGTTACGGATACAGCAAGACCATTGGTGGCTCTCGTCATGCAGCCTGGAAGCGCAACAATTTGGTTCAGATGAGGCGTCGGCGATAAATCCCGAATAAAATTTCTTACCGGATTTCAAAACTTACTTTGTTATAGTTGGATAGAGCTTCAGAGAGCCTTATCTTAAAGCTGATCTGCCTGGTCTTTGTCAAGTTTATTGTGTCCTTGTTCTTATAGTCTCGTGACATGATTTTATGGGATAAGTGTGCTAGTAACTTCATTTACTCAACTTGGGCTCTAATAGTTACATTTTGGCCTGATTGCTTTCACTGCTTAGTGCAAGTCTGCAAGTGGCCGGCAGTAGTTACCTGCTCGGAACTGAATGACTAACACAGATTGTGGACGGTTCATATTTGGTGCGGATCTTGGTTGGAGCTTCTTCGCAACACATCTCTCCGATAGGGCGCGTATGAAAATAAGGCGGTTTCCTTTGGGGTTGGTCTCTCTGCGGGTGTGTGCTCAACAATTCGTACATTGTTGACCCTCTGAGTGGCAGGGACAGTCTTGGGGTGCAAGGCTTCCTGCTCCAATTTGTTCTCCTAGGGATATTTTGTTTTTGTTTTTCCTCATTCGCGGCCTTGACTGCAGGGTTGTTTCTTGCTCTACTGGGCACTCTGGATAGTTCATTAGTTGATAGAGTGGAGGCGCGGTTGTGGCCGTGTTCCTCGTTCCTCTCATGTTGAGGCGCCTAGGTGTGACTATCGATGCAGTCGTGTTGGTGCGAGCTGCAGCGCGTCTTGCGGTTGGCGTGTAGCCCACGTCGCCCCCCTCGTGTCCCTCACATTCTTCCTCTTCATCCTGGCCCTCTTCGCCTTCTTCTCCCTCTTCGTCGTCGTCGTCCTTCCTCGCTGCTTGCATTGCATTTAAGCTTTCGGTTTCGAGAGCTATAATGTCCGCCGCCGTGTTGCGAACCTTCTCCAGAGCGTCAGTGAATTCCTCCATCTCCATTCCTTCGCCGACATACCTCAATAATGAATCATTGAAGTATTCTATTAGCTCCAAAACGCTCGTAATGGTCTGTTTGAGCTCTCATTGCAACGAATGCTTAATTGGAAAGAAATCAGCTTTTTGTGATCTACTATGTAATTGTTAATTCTTGTAGTTGGTCGTTAGTTTCGTGTAAAGTGCTTATACCATTACATTTAGGACTCGCTTCATCTGGTACTTATGCAGTTGCCTAAGGCAACAAATTTTCTCCGAACGTAACCTGGCTTAAGAGTGATGAATTTGTGTTAGCTTGCGATGTTTTGTGGTACGATCTTTTAGTGTAGTCTAGGAGCTATCTCAGGGGACATGATGCAGTTGCAATATTTTAGTTTTTTGCACTATGATGACTGAAAGGTTACTCATTTGCCCTTTGGCTTTATTTCTTTCCCCTGCAGGATGTTTGTCTTTTTGAGATTTTCCTTGCCTTAGTAGCGAGGTATTTCTGAGCAAAGTGTGTAATAATTACCAATGCAGGAAGGCTCGTTTGGAGAATAAGTTTAAAAAAGCTATTTCAGCTCGGCTGAAGACCTCGGATATGGCAGTGCTGTTGGTAATCATGACCAATGATCTGGTTATCTTTTCTGGTCCCATGCCAGGGATTAGGACGGGTGGTTGGGGCGTGTACGCCACTTTGAAGGCCGTCGGGCACCAGTCGACGATGTTGGCACGTTCTTCTCGCATACCCTCCAGTGTTTGAAGGATTTCAAACACGCTGTGATGTCCCCTGTACGTCAGGCATGTAGCGAGGGTTACACCCTCGTCTAGCATCGCTGTGACGGTGCGATAGTCTGGCTTGAATACCATGCGTGTCAGTATCGGCGTGGTGTACCTGCTTCTCTCCGCCTCCATATCAGTGCAAAATGGCACGAATGTGATCATGGGATAGTGGATTGCAGGAAAAGGGATGAGATTGGTGAGAAATTCTGAGATTGTGCCGTTGATGTTGCATTTGAAGCGTACCGAAGCGGTGAGGCCGGCGACGAGGGGGCCGATGACCCGGTTCACCGTGGTGTAAGTAGGTCGCACGACCGCCAGCTCCTTGGTGCAAATATTAAAGAGCGCCGAGTTATCCAGAAAGATATTGAGATCACAGAAGTCGGAGGAGTGGTAGAGGTGGTGCATGCAATTATACACTTCCACGGGCCCGATGGCCATCTGATCGGAGGGCACAATGCTGAACTGTAGCATTCTGCGCCCAGCGAATTCGAGGCAGGCGCGCTCCTGGAACATGGAGAGTAGTCCGCTACCTGTTCCACCGCCCAGAGCGGAGAAGGTCATTGTGCCCTCGAAGTTGTCGCACTTCTCAATCATCCGGCGCATTGAATTGATTAGCGCGCCCACAACCTTTCCGCCGAGCGTGTAGTAGCCGCGGGCGAAGTTACCGGCTGCATCTTCCATGCCGGCTAATAAGGTTTCCGGGTTGAATAGGCCTTTGTATGCACCATCCCGTACTTCATCTGGAATTTAAGTATCATACTACTAGTGTTTTGGCGCTTAATGAAGTGTGGTCCTCTCAATAGGGGGACGCTATTATTGCCTTTTGGAAACTCGAAAAAATCGCTTTCTCCGTTCCTTTTGCTAACTGAGCAGTCGTTTATATTTTAAGTAGTTTTGGATATGAGGCATCTTAGATAACTTAGAATCTGAGTTGTGTTTGTGCAAGTAGTTGATGTGCTTCTTTCATTCTGTACCAGATTTCTCTGGACACATATGTATCTTGGAGTAATGCGGAATTGAGCCCTCCCACCAGTTCTAATTTCAGATGAAAATGTCAAGGCGTAGTTTGCTGTCGACCTAGAGAGTTTTAGAAAAGCATTTCACTTGTTGCCCTATTCATCGAGCCCCATGTTATCATAATGTGAAATATGACGTCGCGATAACTTTAATGGATAAAATTGCTAAAACTTGATTTCCTGTTCCAACATACCAATAACTGAGGGTTCCAAATCGGCTAAAATTGCACGGGGGACGTATTTTTCGTGGGGAGTGAGTTGCTCGAAAACAGTGTTGAGCTCTCTATGCTCCTGTAAAGTGGGTTCATATTGAATGGTACCGTCGCGGCACACGCCATGCTCCAGACACAACATCTCCCACACCGCACTTGCTGCTTGCACGCCCGCCTGTCCGATGAAGAATGTGCACAGCTCCTTCATCATCAATGCTCTCCACACACGCACGCAGATTTGGTTGATTCGCTTTGGACTAACTAAAAAGTATTGGTTTTGTCAACCCGCTGCAATTACACAGGAAAGCAATACATAATACGACGGGGATTGGGCTCGTCGTCGTTGCAGCGCTACTGTATCGATCGGTCGCTTCAAAAGCCTCGCGGTCTTCGAAGGGAACGTGATCCTTGCACCGTAAGCCCACTGTCCCGAGTTTATTGCAAATTTCACAATTCCTACAAAACTGTCTTATGTAGTTAATTTGACGAGCATAATGCGCATACTCGATAATCTTCGTTTGGGTCATGTTTCAGAAATCTGATATATTTGCAGTTCAGAAACAAAATTTTGCATTTTCTGAGAACCATTTCCATATAATCTGCAATAGAGTCAAAATAATTCGATTTGTTTTATTGCTTTCACTTTGGTACCATTAATTAGTCGAATATCCCTGCTGTGTGACCACATTTCCAACTAGATTAAAATGCTTGTCGCATATGATCCCATAGTAGTACGTGTGTTAAAAGGACATGGGTTTAGGGTATTTTTGATTACATGATCACTGGCAACGCGCCATATGCTTGAAACATAAAGGGACCAAGTACTACTGATAGCATGGAATAAATTAGATAAGGGATTTATCTAGGTGATATTAGAGTTCTAGTTCCTTTGTCAAATGGGGATAAGAGCATCAATTTATGAGGAAATTAGGGCTGGAATATTTTTTTGGTTATATGAAACCCGTTACCGCAACGAATTCGGTTAATGACTAGCGTAAGACGAATCTAATGATTTTAAAGACAAAGGAAGTAAAGTTACCGCACTGCAATATAATTTTTGATTTATACGGTTTTTGTCGCATTTTTACATTTTGAGCTACCAGTATGGAAATTCGCCATACCTACCACTTCCAGGATCCGACTTTATTATTGGTTGTACTTTGAAGTTTTCAAGTAGGATTCGCAGCATTAACATCCTCTTGGTATGGTACCAAAATAAGGGGTGGAGAAGAATTTTTCACACAGTAAATTAACTTGCTAGTCATCCTTATTCTGCTAAACTTGCGGAAGAGTATAGCCAGGAATTACAGCCCAGAACCATTTACTTAAAAGTAAAACAAGCTTTACTATATTAACAATCGCAGAATAAAACAACTAAATAAATCACCTAGTAGAAACACAACAACCACCTTTCGCAAGCAGATTGCACTGATTGTGCATCTGTGTGCGAATATCTATTTAATGATATTGCAATTTTCTCAATTGGCAATTGCTGCTGTAGTCCTTGCCTTTAAAAGGCTTGCTGATAAGCCGAAAAATAAAAAGCAACATATGGGCTACTAAATGAAAAATGACTCAAAGCATCTTTTCTCTAATCGAAGAATTAGCGTTAGTTCAGATGCTTAATAGACGCGCTTCATTAAATTCGGCTTGCAGCTAATTTAGTCTGCTGCCTAGCTTCAATTATCATCGCTTTCGTAACATTGCAGCTTCATTGTGAGTGATGCAGTTTAATTCGATTGATAACCGTTGGGACTCAGAATGTCATGTAGTTGTATATTTTCCTACTTATAAATTTAAAATCTCAATTTTTTTTGTATCCGATTTGTAACTAAACTAGCAATTCGGTTCAGAACATACTCAAAGCTGCAATAGGAATACAAATCGATTTCTTTGTGACATTGCTTGCAAGTTTTAATCCCAGTTCCTTGATGCTAGTCATTAGTTTTGCAGTCGTCGATGTGTCTTCCAGGTGCAGCCGTAGGCCGCCTTAATTTCCGCTTAATATTTGTGACGGGTTCCACAATGTTTGCAAATTTGTTCCTGTACCTTGTCGGTATTTTGGCAAAGTAGTTGAAATAGGCTTTCGGAATATTTTGGAACGACGCTAATCCTTAAATGTTTCACCGTAGATGAGCGATGTCTGTGTTTGTCGTGTTTGACCGGTAAAGTTAGTCTTATTCAGCCGTTCTTCCACAAAAGGTGCAGGACGGATCAAATATGACATCTTTCCAGAAATCATCAATCCCGAAATTAGACGTTCCATGGATAGAGAAATATCGTCCTCTCCGCCTCTCCGACATTGTTGGGAACGAAGCCACGATCCAACGGCTTGAATCCTTCTCTCATACGGGCAATGTGCCCCACATAATTATTGCTGGCCCACCCGGCTGCGGCAAGACCACCAGCATTCTCTGTTTGGCTCGGGCTCTTCTTGGCGACGCTTACAAAGACGCCGTTCTTGAACTCAATGCGTCCAACGATCGTGGCATCGACGTCGTCCGTAGTCGGATTAAGATGTTTGCTCAGAAGAAGGTCACACTACCCTTCGGGCGTCAAAAATTCATCATTCTTGACGAAGCCGACAGGTTAGGTGTTTTCTTAACATCTCACGGCATTTAGCCATGTACTACTTCCAAAAAAGCTGGGATTTTTTTAATCTTGTGACGTAGAGAAGATGGCCTTCATCTTAACATTGACCTTGCAGTGCTATTGTTGTTTTGTTCCAGTGTTATATGAGTCTGTTAAATCTGACTGCTATGAATTTTTCCTTAAAATAAGTGCATATCTGCGCATGTGGTGAGCATTTGTTTATATAAATGAAAAGCATGACGGACGGGGCTCAGCAGGCTCTGCGTCGTACCATGGAGATTTATTCAAAAACCACTCGGTTTGCGTTGGCGTGCAACGACTCTTCCAAGCTGATTGAACCCATCCAGTCGCGATGTGCTGTGCTGCGCTACGCGAAGCTTACCTCGGTCCAACTGATGGCACGACTTTTTGAGGTTGCGAAGGCAGAGGGCGTCAATTACACGGAGGAAGGGCTAGAGGCCGTCGTCTTTACCGCTGAGGGCGACATGCGACAGGTTTGTTGGCGATCGTTGTACTGCTTAAAGCCTACAAATACGCCTCATATTGTGCATATTCTTGGGAAGAACACTCACTGTTCTTTTCGAATGCACTGAGCATGGAACATTTTGCCTGATGTTTATACATTTGCCCAAAGGATCAGTTATCTTTATTTTATTATTCAAAACGCTCCTTTTGTAGCAATTAATTCAAACCACTTGTTTAGGTGCTTTCAATTTCGACAACAGTATCAATGTTGTTTGGAGTTTCTACATTTTAGGCGCTCAACAATCTACAATCGACTTACCAAGGGTTCGGGATGGTCACCAGCGAGAATGTTTTCAAGGTAATTTATTAGCATGCCCAAAAGCTGTGGCAATTCATCATAAAGCACAACGATTTGGGGGCAGTGTTTTCCATTTCCACGTTATAGAATACTAATTCTACCCATTGTTGCGAAACCGCGATTCGGCCCCTTAGCTAAGTCCCAATCGACTAAGATTTCGTCTACTGTAGACAGAATCAACGGAGTTGCACTAAATGCACGTTGCTTCATCAAGGTATTAAAATTATCTAGCAATTTTAGGTATGTGACGAACCTCATCCGCTGCTGGTGCAGAACATGGTTGATCACTGCTTAAGAGGCAAATTTTCCGACGCCCACAATGTCCTGAAGCATCTTTGGGATCTGGGATACTCCGCCGAAGATATTTACTCAATGCTCTTCCGCATTGTAAAAAACCACCAAATGGATGAGTATCTGAAACTGGAGTACATAAAGGTTCGAATGTTCCCCTTATTTTACAGGCGAACCTCAAAACCACATCATCGTCATCAACTGCTCTTGAATTGTAGGAAGTTGGTCTTACCCATCTCAGGATCGCCGAGGGTCTGGGCACGCTTCTTCAACTCGGCGGTTTACTGGCCCGGCTCTGCAAAATTACTATTCAAACAGGAAGATAGGGTGGCATGGTGTTTTTTTAACTGTTCAATTTGAAATAGTTTACTGTACATTTTTGTGCGTTGAACCAATAATACCGCCAAAATGAAATTTTACACACTCGATTCCAATGGAACTGTGGGGGTTATTGATAACGAGACGTTTCTCACGGTTGGCGCATTGACAACCAATTGCACTTTGACAGTTGCGCGAATCCGTTTCGTGGTAAGCGGTGTCGCTGCGCAGTGACACAACTTCAGGGCTGTCAAAAACAGAACGGATGTACACGCTACTCGGGAATTGGGAGAAGTCTTTCGTTAAGGAAGGGCGAAATGATGCAACAGTAAATCCAAAACCGGATCTGTTAGTCGATACATAACTATCTTCCGAGGTGAGTGGTTCCAGCAAGCCTTTTCGTTTTGGATCACCGAGACGAGTACCTCTGCGCCACCCTTGGTTTTGCATTATCCTAGCCCCATACACCTACAAGGCAAAAACAACTGGTCAGATAGTGGATCACCTATTTTATCAGTAGAAGCCTCTGCTCACATACGGATAGGAAAGGTTTTACGCAGTCTTCACTCGATTCTTCAAGAATCTGGTTAAGCTGTTTGCTGTCGAGATCCAGCCCACCGGGTCCTGTGAAGCTCAGACCTTCGTCATCGCTGCATTGGTGTAGATTGATGTCCCAGTCAAAAGAGGAAGGTTCGCCGAAGAATTCGTCCCTCCGTACGCTTCCGCATTCCCTCCAGAACATTTCGTCAGTGTAGTGCACCAGACCAGATCCACCTTTCTCCCACTTGAGTTCAATCTTGCTCTCGTATTTCAGAGAGTGCTTACTGCTCCTGTTCACGTCGTAAGGGTCATCATGGAGGACCTCAAAGCGATCCCACTCCTCAGCAACTTCGTCGGCGACAACAGGATCTGAGAGGATCAGTCCACTTTCAGTTTGAAGGACTGGTTTCTCTAATTCAACCTCCGTGTCCGTGATCAAGTCGCATTTCCCGGTGCTGCCAGGGTAGAAGTATGGAACGCTGCCATATTTTCGATTGCTTTTGAAACAAGGAAAGTCTAGCTTTAATCTTCGGATAGTGGCGGAACCCAACTGACACGATCGAATAAGAGAGATAAAGTGGGAAATGGGAGTTCCGGCATTTCCCTGGGGCATCCAAGAAGGCGGAGAAAATTCACAAAGTTCTAAGAAAATAATGTCGTTCAAGAAACGGGACCAAAGTAGCTAATAAGAGCGAAGATGAACACATACTCACCCTTAAGACTATTTAAATGAGATGGTGCATAGCTCACACGATAGAGTTTGCAGGGTGGGAAATTTCCACATTTGGCGTCGGTGAACCACGAGTCCTCAAATGACCCCAGGACTCCCCGAGTGTAGGCAGGTTTGATTGCCATTAGAGCGGTACACTTAAGGGCTCTCCTCGAACGATGTCGCTTTAGAGCGCGCAGAAGTACATCCGCATCGACTATGCTGTGAGAAGTGAGAAAAACGCGCGAGGATGACGGACGGTGACGGTAATGAAAACACGCAAAGGCGCCAGCTTCAACGTGCTGAGAAAATATTCGCCGCAAGTCAGATGTCTTAACAGATGTTGGAATGTCAGTAACAAGAAAGATATTCTGACCCGTCAACTCCATTTACCTGAATGCAGTCACGGGCTGCGGTGAGTCAACGTGAAATCGGAACTCTTGCTCCAAAACTAAGTGCTTTAAAACACGATGTAAACGCAATAATTTGTTTTACTGTTGCTTTCAACTGCGAATTGGCTGTAAAAGATAAATAACAACAGTCAACTTAAAATGGACCATACCGCATGGCAACAGTACAGTGGAAATAGTTATGACCGAAGTCGATGAGTGCAACATTTGACTGATATTTTGTGCTCAAAGTGTGGCAAAAAAATTGGATATAAAAAACGCAAAAAAGGTGAAATTTACGAGGATGTTCTTTATGGAGGCAATTTTACAGTAGAAAATTTGCTGTGGATATCGCTTATGAAATTTCGCTCTAAGGCGTTACCGTAGTATTCTACTTATCTAAGTCTTGGTTTTGCTCAGGCGGACTGGTTCTTTTACTAGGCACTAAAATACATATTTATTCTGAGCATTATGTAGTTGTGTTAAGAATGGTGTTAAAACGCCGCATAGATTTTGTTGTTTTTAGGGAATATACTTTGCCCTCGAAAGTAAGTGCGCATTAGACCTTCAATTATTTTTGAAAATTCCGATTAAATAAAAACTTGCGTGGTTTGTTTTCTAGGCTTGTAAGAGACAAAAAATACCCTAGACTTCTCGTGTTTAATAAATTTTTCAAAATGCCACGTTTTTGATCTTAATTTTAGCTGCGTTTAGCTTCTTCCCTAATATTAACTTTGCAGTGTTGCCTGTTTCGAATAGAGCTGAGTAATTTTTCTTCAGTTCGATTGGTGGGGTCGTCGGTTCTGTGTGCTGGTTTGGTTGTTCGGACCTGGCAATGGAATTTAATCCTTACACACTTAATGGAGGGTAGTTCTCTTTATTTCTATACAATTCTTTGAATAGTACTGCATTGGGTATATCGGGCAAGGATTTTGCTCTCGTTGCATCAGATACACGCCTGACAGATGAAAACATGGGTCTCCTTTTCTCTCGTGATTCTCCACATATTTACGAAGTGTAATTATGGAGATATCTAACTTCCGCAGTACATCTAATGTTAGGATATGTCTCACGGGCTTCCATGGCGACATCATCACATTTATTAAGTTGCTGGAGTCACATATCAAGGTCTGTTTTCTGTTTCTTTAATTACCTTGCTCTAGGAATACCTTTACCAACACAAAAGGGAGATACCTCTCACGGCTCTCGCTAATTTAGTGTCTGTTTGTTTGTACTCACGTCGTTTCTTCCCGTTTTATGTCAGTGCTATTTTGGCGGGTATTGATGAGGATGGCAGAGGCGCCATCTTCTCCTTTGACCCAGTTGGATCTTATGAGAGGGAAGTCTACCGCGCGTGCGGCACAGGTGGTGCTATTTTGCAGCCATTTATGGACAGCCAGGTTAGATTGTTTCGCCTTAGACGATTATTAGATCGGTGGTCCGGATCTCGTAGCCGATTGTGTTGAAATGGAAAAGGGTCCTGCGGTTCGTCTTGCTAGGGACGTATTTATTAGTGCTACTGAACGAGACATTTATTGTGGTGACTCTGTTGTCATTGACGTAATCACGGCTTCTGGAGTGAATCGCGTATGTTACCCGCTGCGGCGCGACTAATTTTGCCTTTTGATGAATATATTGTTTGAAGATACAGTGTAGTTTTATCTATGGTTGAAAATAGTTGGCGACTAATGAGTGACATTTTGATGGTCAAAATACTGTGCTACTTGTAAATTTTATTGGGTGTGCAATCTTGGCAATCGTCTTGCTGCAAGAGTTTTGGAGCCATCTGGTGGATGTCGTCTTTTGCTATTGTCATTTCTCAGTTTCGCATCTTCTTCGGTTTGTATTCTTTTCCCGAAGGTGGTTCCGCGTCACTTGCTTTTTTGTGACTTCTTTCTTTGTACGATAGCCAAGGCTTGGGGTTCAGTTTTTGTCCTACAGTTGAGTTGTAGCTTTTCAGGTTGTCGTAGTGGCACCACGGCAGTAGCTCCACCAATAATTCGTCCTCACAAACAATGTCCTTGGATTATTGGAAGTGTTGAGTTTACGAACTTCATTTTTTTTCACAAAAAGTACGGAAAGGTGCTTGCCCTGACGTGAATGTGAGCCCGGACTATATTCATGGATTGTGCTTGGCTTTGGTGGCCAGTTGTTCCTTCAGGCGATTCCAGTATTAACATCAAAGATAGGTGCATGCGAAATTTGGTATCACCCGCAGAAAACTCTGAGAAGCTGATTGTATGTGGTCTATTGACGACGTATTCGCTTAGCTGCATCGCATTTTCATTCTTCACTCTACCATTGTGAGAGAGGCCAAGGTAGTAGGCCTTGCTACTATTTTGTGATAAGGCAGCAAATTTGTTTAACTGTGCTCCTTGTAGTGTAAAGGGCGCCTGTAATTGCGCTGGCGGTGGAAATAAGTAAACTGCTGTGTGAGATCTTTATCTTCGAATAATGGGCTGGGCCCTGATCTTAAGTGCTTACAAGTTGTGCTGGAAAGTTAATAGCGTCGTTGATGAGATTTCTGCTGTAAATACATGCTGGTAAGCTGGAAGAGTCCGCATGGGATCTTCATTCAGCATGTGTCTTGAACAGTTTGCAGAAAGTTTGTTCAATTGTAATAAATACTTTTCAAAGTGACATTTTAAATACTCCGTGTAATCTCATCGGAGCCGACGGCAAGGTTGCTATTGTCAAGTTCGAGTTGTTATGCAGCATCTCATAGATATACCACTTCCTCACTTGAAAATTCGAGTCATTTGGTCTTGAATTTCGTGGTCATCTGTGCAGTAATTTGTCAAGTGAGAAAGTATGGACAATCGCAGTGCAGATCTGAATTAATCCAGCTTGGATCGGCGTGCCCTCCAAGATTGTAAATCGTCTTCGGTGTTAGTAGGGCGATACTTCAATGTGCCATGATAATGCTAGCACTAACAATGCAGTAATGTAGAGGTAATAAGATTGTTTTCTGGTTTCCTACGCTAGTCAAGAATTCCATTAAAACGGAGGCTTAGTTTGCTTGCATCCAACACTTAGTCTATGTACAATTCACTGCAGAGGGATTACCTAAGATACGTTCTTTGCTTGCAAAACCAACTTTGCTACAAACATTCCAAAACCCTGGTTTGATGACGAGAGGAATCAAGACCAACTTCAGCTGGATTCAGGCCATTAATCCTAGTCAGCGTGCCTTTCTACTAACCATGCTTTGATGTGACAAGCCAACGATGCTCTTCGTATTCAGCATACGAGAGATATTTGACAAAGGATGATGCTTTCAGTATTTTTAATAAACCATGTAGTGAGCTTTACTTGGCTCAGTTCGTTTGCAAGAAATAAGACCTCTGTCTACGCGACTTTTTAGCTGTTGAGTGGGTGGAAAAGAATGCTCGGTTAGCCGTGAAGGTTAATGTCATTGCGACCACGGGTGATGATCATCTCAAACTACTGCTTCGTGAGCTTCTTGCGACACTGGTCGCCGAATGTGTCAATTTCGTTGATGGACATCTTAAACTTCTCGATGCTCTTCTCTACTGTATTCCTTCACCTGCTATGTTCATTTCAACCGTTAGTCCTTTATACGCCTTTCCTCTAGCGTTCTGTCGTAAAATATGAGCAATAGTTGTTTGCAATTAGGTCAATCGTGCGCCCTGTTTTGTTTAATTGAAGTGGAATGTGTCTTTGTTAGCCGGAACTGGAGCAGAAAGTGGGCGTGTCTGCTCACAAGTGGTTCTATGAAATCATGGCTTGGCACATTTTTTGTGGCATGGTTATCGAGAACAGGTAGGATGTCATTATGTGTAGACGTGGTAGGGGAATAGGACAAGCTGGGATGCGAAATGAGTAAGGCTGAATGGGCCTTGAGGAATGCTGTTCTTCATGAGAGCCGAAATGGCTAACAGCCACTGGTTATGTTTTCATCAAATAAATCGCAATACGGTGTACAAATTGCAGGTCATATGAGCGGAACATCGGGAAGGCGCACAATGGGAGGGTGAAGGAATTGCTGACCGCAGGAGAAGTAGTTGAGCTTCCAGCGAGTAGCATGGGAGCCAGGCAAAACGCAAATATTGTTGACATGTCAGACCCGGAATTCTGTTTTCCATGTTCTGTGCTGGGTTTTGGTAAATCGTTCACTCGCCTATGTAAGGTGGTAAGTTGAGTAAGACGATCGGTCAAGGAAGTGCACGCTTTCTGTCCCGCCTCATTTACTTTTGTTGTATTTAGTGTAACGCTCACATCCAAGGGGTAATAACAAATTAGCCAGTCTCACCCCAACCCTCAATCACAAAACCTGTGCGCGTACAAGGTAAGTCCATACCTCTTCTGTTATTTCCGCGCCAGATTGGGAATTATTTGAGAAAAAACATAACCAGTGGCTGAATACACTTTTCATCAATTCCCATCAAGTCTACTTAAGACTGCTATTCACGATTCACCAATCCTCAAGATGCCTGGTGGCCTGATCATGCAAGCGAGGTGTCGCGTCGACCGGAGGGTAGGACACCTCTGTGAGCTGGGAGTTCTGAAAATCAGCAACATCCCCTTAATAGGATCTTGCTTGTTCTCCATAATCAAGTGACAAGGTGCGCAATCCATGGATGCGTATGAACACACGTAAGTAGACGCACGCCGCATGCAGAACCTTTGGAAGAAGAAGCGGGCAGTGGACTCGAACGTCGTGGCGATTGAGGAGTGGTCGGCATGCCCCCAAGCCAAAGAGCTGAGTGCCACGGTGTCCCTAAACCTGTATCTATCCCCACTGACTCGAACCGAAAAAATATGTGCAATTCAATTAGCCTCTTCGTTCTGAGGGTATGAGGGCGGCTGGGGAGTAGGGGCTAGCCGAGGGTTGTGCCACAATTGTTATGCCATGTCGGCGTTAGTGGAACAAATAATCATTTGTCGTCCGAGTTCTAACTCGAGGCTTCATCAAAACTTATGTATTACACTGAGCAAACGCAGCACGTCTTCACCTTAACCGCGTCAACATGCGTGTTAGATTCTGGAGACATTGTGCTCAGTTTCATTTGCGTGGCACTATCTACCTTTACCATGAAAGGCTTAATTGTTCTGCTATATATTGGGGCACAACTATGAAGGATTGACAGAGTTTTGGAGATACTTGAAGTTGTGCCACACTACTAGCTAATTAATCGTTACCAAAGCAAATGTTGGCAAGTACATTTTTCTTGAATTGAGAAGGGGATTGTCCATCCTCCTGTCAATTGTCCTTTAACATGGCATGAGATGGCGTGGTACGACTGCAGACCACGTCGAAAATGGTGAATTCTCACCAGTAGTTCACAGGCTGTGCCCACAAACCACATGCCCTTGAAACCGGCGTCAAGTTGGTCCCTTTCAAACGGGCATCAATTCACTCGTCTTGAACATTGGCTTGATTTCGTGTGGCCTGCCATGAAATTCAGTCCACACGCGCTGCATTTTCGCTCCCTTTCTTTTCTCTAAACCAATGTGACAATTTAATCCCATGTTGGAATGACCTACTGAGTGTGCCGACACTCCTCGTGGAGGTGGGTTTCAATGTCCTTTCGACTAGTGCCCAAACACCTCGCTCCTGCCTACGTCTTTTTTTGAACTCATTCAATATCTTCCATTCATGTCGACAATGCAGTATGCATCTTCTCCTATCTGTAACCTGAATGCCTTCCTCAAATCAAGTAGGTGTGTTATTTTCTGACAATTTTGCCGATGTACGTTTGACGATTAGTCGTTGCTCTTCACACGTGCCTCGTGTCCCCACGCACTTTAGTGCAGACTGTGTAGGAAGGACGAAAACACATGAGACTCTACGTCCATGCTTCTGCACCGGCGTTACACCGCGCATGCTAGACAAATGATTCACTTCGAGGCTAAACTGGAGCACCAACCATTAGCACATTCACGATACATTGTGTATGGAGGCTGCGACCCCTGCCTGAACGGAGTCTACGGTGAATTGCCCGAGTCATCACTACTGCATGTCTGGCCGTGCTCTGCTCACAACTGCAGTAGAGAAGGGGTGAGAGTCCACCCTGTTCTTATGACTCATTATGGTGCGAGGCTATCAGGAGTGGTGGTAGCGTGGGAAGGGCAGGAAGACGGACCCAGACCACCACCAGTAATCGTGTTACCTTTTAAGGGTGGCTCTGTTACGGGGCGGTCGCAAGTAAAGTAATGCAGAAACGAGGCGATTGCTCGGAAAGAGGTTTGCTAATTTCTCACCGAGAACAAGCACGCCGTAGAATCTTTGCATGTAACGTCCTTCGCCGAATAAGGCGCATAGTCATCCTCGTGCGCTTAAAAATGCAGTCAAATGGCTGCAGAAACCCTCTTGCAGCATTCTACTTGACAAAAGCTGGCAGCAAACTCAATGGCTACAAGACATTATTCTTTGAGAAGCTAATATAATGCATAACGTTGGAAATTCCTGTTTCTGCATCACTAGTACTGGACAACTGCCTGCTAAATTGAGACTGTGAACCTTTGGTCTTCAAGTGCCAAGCAAAGGAAAGATGGGCAATATCATGCCTCTTTTCTTCGTCCCTTTCTTCTTTTCCTCAAATTAAGGAGGTATGCAATCTCATGAGTCAATTTGAGCATATGCTCCGATATCATTCTGCAATGGCACTGAAAATGCACTTCACATCTACACGATAGAGAGCGTTGCTTTATTACTGACAACCACTGATAAATGCCCATGGTTCCGCAAGAATGACGTAGATGTCAAGTAAAGTAGGCTTAAGAATCTCGTTTCACTCTGTTGGAGGGAAAAGCGATATCCAAGGATTGTCATAAATTCTTGGTTTTCCCAGCACCCAATATTGGCCGACGGAATAAGGCAGGCAGCGCAGTCTACTGTTCCTCAGTTAAATACTCCTAAGCTCCTTCACCCTGCGCATGTTGGCCACTGGCAACCCATCCAGGGGATCACCTAAATGCATAAATAGAGCGATTAGTTGAACATGATCGGTCCCTCACAATCATGTCTGCTCACAAATAGTCCTAGAAACAACATTACTCTGGTCAGCCGTTGCAAGAAGACTTTCTCACTTCACCAGATTCCAAAAGTCCCCCAACAAGTCCCAATTTTCAGCGACTGCGTGCCAGAGCGTAGGCTATTGAGACACTGCCAGCTCCCTCACCTCCGAGTTCATGCAGAGGAAGGTCAGATGCAAACATTTTAGAGGCTTGACAATTGACGGAATTCAGGCCTTCTCCGCGTTCAACAGAGACAAATTTGTCAATCGCACAACACGATTGTCAAATCACTGAAGTTTTGCATCTCTTATACCCAAACTTCCAAGGTGAAGTGGAAATGCTTTCCCGCGGTTTTCAATTACACGTTTGCCAACCTTGGGCGTCTACAAAATCTGTACCAAGGTGACGATATGTCTTCAAGAATCCTCCACCCATCCATAACATGGATCTTACAATAATGCTTTGTCGATTCTTCATACCACAAAGGAAGTGACGTAGTGGGTCAGACTAATCCAACGTGCTGCGACTCGTAAGAGTCAGAGCCATTCCTTACAAAAGACGGTATTTCGAGCGGAATCGGCCAAACGAATGGTAAATCTACCCTCGCCCACAAGTCTGTCGTCAGCTTCGACAGCGCTCCGCCTACGCTAAATTTAAGAGCATTTGAATCTTGATTACCTCAAAACTCAACACCCGCAATGCTATTCGAAGCAGACATGAAACGGCATTTGACTTGTCAACCCATTCAAATACGAATTTGATCTATTCTGTTGCTATTTGTAACCCTAGTTATAAAATTTACCTATTTGCATTTTTTGAGTAAAAAATTTACTAGGTGAGAGTAATTGTTCACCCACAGCACTAATCAATTATGATTTCGTGCAGAACACTGGCTCTGCAAGCACGCCCCTAGTTGTTCTTAATTTCATGTTTTTAAATAATCTTAGTTATTTTAATCTTTTCTATGTTTTCGTGTGCCTCAAATGCTTCGTTATTTCCCGGGATTTATTTGAGCCTTATTTAAGTCGGCGTGTGCCTCGTTTTTTTGCAATTTGGCAAGCGTTGAAGCAAATTAGTGTGTATTGTTTTGCCTAATAAGATTTAACGCTCCTCCATTTAAGCATAGAAATTAAAGTTTCTATTCTGACTCCTGCACTAACGCAGACCTTGTTCCTAATGCGGCGGTGCTGCTACGAGATTGCCAATTGATGGCAACTTCTGTTAACGGCTTTACCGTGAAGAGATTCGCATCGAATTTGTTGTGTAGATACATGGGTCAAATGACAGCGACAATTATTCGGGCTTTGTGGCATTTTTTACGACTTTCGTCAACAGGTGAAGCAAAGAGCATGCTCTTCGCTTTTGCGAGTGTTTCTTGCATACTGTTTTTGGTTACCGTGAAATTGGTTAACGTTTTGGTTCAATATGTACCTGTTAGTTACCTGTTGATCCAAAGTCACCAATGAGTTGGGCTTGAATACGTAACTGCACATGCATTGAGGGCAACTCTTTGCATCTAAGTGGACCACTTTTGCCTACTGACTTCGCATCAGTGTATGTGGATATGACAAGTTATAGGCCTTACATGTGCTGGCTTTCACTGGGTCCCATTCACTGATATTGGACGCAAACAGGCCTTTGTGCCTGAGATGCCGAAGGGGCTCTGTAGTGATAATGAGGTATGCAGCCCGAACGATAGGAAGCCTCATGTTCTCAAGTCAGTATTTTGCGAAGTTCACCCTTGTTTAGGGTCCAAAGTTGACTCTTCATACAGGGTTCCCTGGGCCACAGTCTGTAGTCTAGGGTAGTCTCTAACCTCGTTCATGTGATGGGTTGCATCTACCGTAATGCTTATATTATTGATGGTGCGATCTGTTGTTTAAAATAACTGGCCGCTTAGCTGCGCAAAAGCAATGGTGGGTAAGGTTAACTTTTATCCACTAGCTATCGGTTTTGCGACAAATCACTATTTTTGGAACTGTGGATAACAAGGAATAAAGTAGACAGCATGAGCTAAAGTGCATATCAGAGGAAGGTGTGCACGTGTGTGGGAATCGTCCGACTGACTGCACATCTAAGCTGGTATACTCCCGTTTCCTAGTCCCCCGATTTCCAGAATATTTTCTCTTCATTAATCTCATCAGCCAAATTGATTGTAAACTTGTATAAGCATTGGAGACCTGAGTCGGATTGTTGGACACGCTTTATGGGATTCACACAATAAATGCCTACCTGAAAGTTGGAATGGACCATGATGTCATGCCATACCATATCTCATATTTTGTTGATAATTAAAGTGCCATAGTGGTTGTGTTAATAACAATTCAATCAACTTCCTTTTGAAACTTGCTCAGTTCTCACTAGGACGGTGACGACATTGTGAGGTCATCTCAACGTCCGGTCCATGTTACGTAGAAGATAGTCACCGCGGCAGACGCCGGCGGAACTACAGGACGCACTGCAAAGCAGTGAGAATAAAAGCAATCGTCGCGACGGGTGGAATCATTGTGTAACCCTCTACATGTCATTGGATGTTTTCGTAAAAACTCCACCTGAGGGAAGTTGCTCGCGCTGAAGAGGGAAACTCACACCTTCTGCTGGGATTAGGACCCCTTTATTGCTGCCGCCGCCGCCGCCGTCTTCCTGGTTGAAGAATGGTTCCTTCAGCCTCACAGTTCCGGCCTTAACTGATGAGGCACCTCACCTCCACTGGAGCCCTGGAATTTGGCACGACGACAGGTCAGTAAATCCATCCCCTGTTTTTGTCAGCATTTCCTACTTGAATTTGAAAGCTATGGGTTGCTGTCACATTTAGTCTAAAATTGCTTTACAGGTATGCTTTATGTGAAGTGAGATATTGAGACCTTGTGTAATGCTGATGTTGGGCTTTGAGTGTCGCTATTCAAGTAGGACTGACGAGGTAATTAGCCAGGTCATAAGTAAGCCTGTTTCACACATCCTCGAGGCAACTTGTCTCAACATCGTCGGGAGAGTAGGTCACTGTGACTTCCATGCATGTAGATTGCGTGAAAAGTCATCGCACATCGCTTGAGAGAGGAGTGGAGTGCAATCATGCGATGCGCCAATGGCGAAGACTGTCGTCTTACGGAATGCAGACAGACCAACTCCCAATACAGTGCATGCTATTTGTTTGCCAGCACGACGTGACAACGTGAGAGGCTCAGTTAAGATGGAAAAGATTCCACCAAGCTATCTCAATCCCGGTATCTCCATTTGCTTTGTTATGACTGTGCTGATGATAAACCAGTTGCAGTGCTAATTCCATCAAATCCTGAGGCTGATGCACTTAGATGCACTTAATTGCATTCAGAAGACCAGCGTTTCTACAATTCACTTATCACTTCACATCAACTACTGTTAAATTGCATGGCAATAAAGACGACACGGGTGTAATGAAGATCCACTACCATCATGATTCCTTGACTTATAATGAGGCGGCTTCTAATTTAGTGCCCGCTTATCTGACAAATTATTTTTGTAAATAATAAGCATGTCAATGGATGAATGTCCATCTTACTTATTGTAAATGAGCAGTATCTCTGTTGTCATTATCCTCATTACCATCACTCTCTTGACTTCAGGTTGGCAGTGGTGGCAGATTGGGATTTCCCCTTCTCCGTGGGTTACACATATCTTCCCCATTCCCACATTTCTACCCCATTTCATCTTTCGCCATCATTGTCGTCTCCGCATATCTCCCTTTCTCTCCCTAGCTTTAAAACTATTCTTATTAAGAAGACTTTCCTGACCCCCTTATCGCTCTTCCTGTTAACAAACACGTGGTTATTTCTATCTCGAAGAATACAATTCAATGGTAATTTCCTTTGAATTAAACCCTTATTTTTACTTTGTTTGATTAGTATAAGTGGTTTGGATGGGAGGAGGGGATGACGGCAGCACATGGATTCCGCTTGTTCCATCGTCTGCTATTTTAAAGGCCAATATTGAAGTAGGCAGCAGACTCCGTATTAGCCAATCAGATTTCGATGCACAGTTAAACATATCAAGTGTCTTTCTAACGCCCATGTAGCATCCAAAGGTAGTTTTTTTGGGGAGAGAAATGAACCTAGAAATGTTCCAGACAATGCGCTTCAGTCTGCATAGTGTATTCTTTATCTTAGCAGAATGCCTTTTGGTGTATCTAGTCGCAGCCTTTCCGCTTATAATTGGCTTAACTTTTACTTCTTCCCATTACTAGTGCGCGTCTTCAAACCAAATCTATTGCCACTTTTGGAAATGGGATTCATGAGTTAGAAAGCCCTCAGCAATATGTGGAAAGGTGACGGCCTACTTAAAGTTGATGTTTTGAGTCTGTAATAATGCTCTTGATAAGTGATAAAAACATGGGATTTTAGCTCACAAAAGTTCTCCCACCGTAATATATTTTGCTCAAGGTGAACAAAACAACAAAATGTAACTACATTATGAAAGATGCAATAGGTGAAATTAAGTAGTGATGATTTAAAGCACATGCAGGGTTGGACGGAAACCCGAATTGCGATCTCAGTGACGATTTCGTTGACACCTGAATGTGATTGACCAGATGAATCATTCATGCAAAGTAGATCAAACGAAAGTGCTATGTGATTTCTCTTCACCTTGTTACAGCATTCAAAGTTCTTGCATTTCTTCCTGTCGTCCCAACTTAATCAGGGAAAATAATGCATTGGCACATTTGATGCGCGGTTTTCGCGACACTTCGTGAAAATACACGTCGTTACAAGTGAAAAAGTTCAAGAGATAAGCATAATTTTGGCGGTAGCAGCCAATAGTTGGACCAGAAAGGCAAATCCTTCTTTTACGAGGCGAATGAAATGAATTGGTATAACTATGTGCATTCTGTTTTATCGCACATTTCACACCCATCGTGGCAAGTGGGAAAAAACTGCAAAACTTGGGTGAACAATTGGGGAGAGGAGCGAACCATGAAATATCAGTGAAGCTGATGGGGGATTCCTAATATGTGCCATCATTAATCAGGTGTAGTCACATGTTCAGGGTAAATTTGCAAAATCAGAACTCAAATAAATTTAATTCCCATAATGAAAATGCACAAAATGCAAGATCTCTTGCAGTTAACAAATGTAAAAAATTCGCAACTTCGGATACGTTTACTGGTTTTTGTGCCGTGCATTTCTTCATCAAGTAATTTTCAGCTATTTTTTTATTCATGTAAAAATATATTTTTTAAAATTGCTTACATTTAATGAAGACCATTCTTGTAGCCTTCCCTCTTATGAGCGACTTTGAAGAATAATCTACACAAGCATTGAAACCATTAACGTTTTCCAAATTTGAAACTGAATTGACATAGTACTTATTCATCGCAAGGTCAACTATGGCGATTAGCGCAGTAGTTCTGCTTAATAAAAAGAGAAATGACGCTTTCTCGTATGAGTATACGCCGTTACTAAGGCATCCTTCGTACCAACTCGTTTACTGCAAAGTTGCCCAAATGAAACTAAACTAAATTAAGCTGAGCGCGGAAAAGGCAAGGCCTCCAAGCTTCTCCATCAAAAGAGGACGGGACATACGCTTTTCTACTAAGGACACATTAAAAGCAATTCATTGTATCAAATCACTGGTTGGGCCTTTGCGTTCCTTTCGTTAATTGCAACAAGTTCCAATAGTGTAAGTTTACGCCACTTCTGAGTTTGGGGCTCCAATCGCGGATCAAGAGTCTACTCTCATCACAGCTTGGTGGATTGGATAGGCAGTGGGTGACTGAAATGCAGTTTAGCTTTTCGATACTGACGATTACATAAAAATGTTGACCTAATATAGAAAATGCTGAAAACCGTTACTCAATATAAAGACAATAACTTACCCCACTGTACATATCTTTCATGTTGAAGTACATACATCTTGACGTTGACATTGATAAAAGTCATTTGAAGAGACTAGATACCGGTAACAGAATAATAAGGCTTATCCCTAGACTCAGCTTTACGTTTTCAGAGAAATAAACGTTGTACTAATTAGAGGTTTTGGTCAAAAAGTTATACAAGCTTGCTCCGTCTGCTCTTATGAACTTTTGCACTTTTGGGTCGTAATATTCCAGCAACCTGCACTGCGAAGCAGTGAGAGTAAAAGCGATCGTCGCGATGGGTGGAATCATTGTGCGACCTTCTACATGTCATTGGATGTTTTCGTAAAAACTCCATCTGAGGAAAGTTGTTAAAACATCCGCCTTTCGATGGGCCACCCGTCCACGAGGATCGCCTTGACGCATGCAACCATGCTTGGAGTACCTGCATCGAAAAATGCATGCTACCTCTGGATTTGGGTGGCAGTTCTAGCAGAGCGCATACCTGGCTCTCCAAAGTATACGCTCACCAAAGGGCACTACTGGAGGATATTGTGCTTGGTAATGGTTATTGGTTAGGAAAGTTCCGCATTTGGGTCGTAATCTGTGGTTGTCGCCGTTGTCCTAGCAAGATAACGCGAATATTACACACTTCGCTGCATGAATTCATCCAAGCAAACGCTTTATCCCATCCTATGCGCATATTTCTAGTCTGGAAATACGAAACAAGCAAATCACGATTTCCATGCATGAAGGCTGCTTCATCCTCCATCAAGTGTACGCATAGGTTGAGTGAGCATTAGTTCCTTGTATAGAAGCCGCATCCACGTACCGGATGGGAACATCCAGTACTCCCGCTATTTCTCAGCGATGTTACGGTCCCTCAAGCAGCATCTCGCTAGCACAATCGCTTGTTTCCATCCTGTGGTTTTGCTGGCAAGGCGACACCACTGCATCATTCATTTGAGCCAACTTAGCAGAAAATCTCAGAAAGAACTTAGTAGCGACGGAGTGAAGTATTCCCATAAATGTCTCCTAAGTGAAAAATCTACCCTCGTACACCTAGATCTTATAAGCGCTACACAGATAGACGCTCTTAAAAGCCTTAGTTAACAAAAGTTGTCAATCCCTTAATGAAGGTACTACATTCCCTGTGCTTTGCCAACCACCAAACACACCTAACTGGGAACTATTCAAGTACTTCATCAACATTGCTTCCAGAATAGTCTCTACTCGTTTTGCAGAATTTCCTATGCTGCAAAATAAGTGAATTAATCCCTCCAATCCTGCAACGCATTTGGCCAAATAATTTCATCGCACTTAGAGTATCAAGGGAGAGCATTTGTTTCAGCAAGCTTTGCATATTTCGCAACAGAATTGTAGTGAATCGAAAGTGAGCGCATAGGAGCTTGATGGCTATGCATCGCTTAGATTAGGTGTTGGCGAGGCGCGAAGAGCCACAAGCAGAGCCCACGATTAGGGCCAACTCAGCAGACGAGCACGCAACCATTTCCCATTTCGCCCACCAAAATGGCCTCTACATTTTAACGAAGTAAATGTGTGGGCATTTATTTCTAAAACCTTTGCATTTACTTGATTCAGTGAATTTACAACTCGTTGTGAATCGAAAATGGAAAACTTTATGGGGGAATAAAATTTTCGCGCATTTTTAAATGTCTAAATAAAGCGCATAAATCCAGTCCACCAGATGAAGTCAAGTGATCCCTTTCTAGGAAGATATGAGGATGGCACACGTCGAGGTCATTTCGTGTACACTGGCTACAGCGAAGTTGTCTGATTTCTTTCTCCTCGCTGCCATAATCGGTATAGTGGAACGGGTAGGTTTTGTTCTGTTGATTGCCGAAGCAAGACTTTTGCTGTATGGTTGGCCTTTTGTGCCAAAACACTAACTTCACGTATCATCCG